TAGTCTACCGACTCTCTCCCTTTAACGAGCTCTAACTAAGGACTTAAGCTTAGTACTCGTACTAAGTAAGATTCTAGGATTAACGTACCGATCCTAATAATACGTAGCTTTACCGTCTATATAGCTTCCCTATTAAGTACGTTATATTTAAAGGCTAAAATTACTAATAAGCTCTCCCCCGCGATAAGTAAAGCGTTATAAGTACCTCACCTCCTTAATATATCTAATAGAATCCCTATCTAACCGTTTATCTTAAATATATTAATATATATATCGATACTACGGATACTACTATTACGATAGGGATACCGGGGATAATCGTAAAAGTACCTAGCTAATATAAGGTAGTAGATCCCAAGCTCACCTCCCGCCCGCTCCCTCCGCCCCGTCCGCACCGCTAACGTATATTAACCTCTCCCCCTCCGCCTACCTTGTCTGCGCGCCTATACCACCTATCTTGGTACGGCAGACAGCAGGGAACAGTGCTGACAGGTGAGGTAGATGTGCATGCTGAGCATAGAGATCGTGTGCTGCTCGCGCCCGACGTGCCTCGATGAGGGCAAGACGTGCTTCCGCGTCACGGAGGCGTGCAGCCGCAACCCCGGTGGGGGTATCGAGCGCGCCCGCAACTGCGGCCCCCAGCGCATCTGGGGCACCTGGGTGTTGGGCATGGTCCCGTGTCTGGTCTGCCTCAAGGCAGAGAACCGCGAGATGGGTAGATATAGCTGGATCGTCGCGGGTTGGAGGTGCATTGGCTAACTTGCGCTGTAGAGAAGCTGATGGGCGAGCTCGGCGTGCCCTACGACATCGAGAGTAAGTGACCCATATCACCCTCATATCCCCCAAACAAGTAATCCCATACCGCAATCTCCATCCCCGCAGCCGTCCAGTATACCGATAGCACGATACTCGATGCGATGGCGTGGACAGCTATTGTCTGCTGGGGATGGGAAGAGATGTAGTCGGGATTCACCGGAAAAGTGGAGTCAGCAGTGCTTGGCTTACGCAGCGGGTGAATCCTGCCATCTTGTCGCGTCCCACGTGCACCTGGCTGCTTGTTTCCCTGATTATCCTCCTCACCTACCCTCCGCTCGCACCGCGCAAGACAAGAACTTTCACTTACTTATACATTACAGAGGAGACGCTCGCGGAGCACCTCCGCCTCCTCGCCGCCAAATACCAGTAGACGGCGCGCCCGTGAGAGGAGCTCTCACTAAATAGCTCCCCTCAATTGCACACCTCTTCTCCCCTGGACAACATGGTTCTGGGCCACCGAAAGAACTCACTGCATTCTAATCGCTCCTCCGTGGACGAGAACCGCAGCGAGAATGACGACGAAACGGTGGTGTCGGAGGAGCAGGGCTCCATCCTCACTCACATCATCTCCCAGCTGCGCCCAGGCGCCGACCTGAGCCGTGTGACCCTCCCTACGTTCATCCTCGAACCGCGATCCATGCTCGAGCGCATCACGAACTTCATGGCTCACCCCGAAACCCTCCTCCCTATGCCTAAGATTGATGACCCTATCGAGCGCTTCGTGGCCGTAACAAAGTTCTACCTCTCCGGATGGCACATCAAACCCCCTGGTGTCAAGAAGCCCCTCAACCCCATCCTCGGAGAAACGTTCACCGGGTACTGGGACTATCCAGATGGCACCAGGGGGTACTACATCTCCGAACAAACCTCTCATCATCCTCCTAAATCGTCCTACTTCTTCATGGCTCCCGAGCACCATATCCGGATAGACGGCACATTGAAACCACGTAGTAAATTTCTAGGCAATAGTGTAGGATCGTTCATGGAAGGCATAGCAGTGATGAGGTTCTTGAACCGGGGCGAAAGATAGTGAGTATGAGCAAATACCTAGTTGACTGTCAAATGGCTGACCAAATCACAGCTTCATCACCCAGCCAAACATGTACGCCCGAGGCATTCTTTTCGGAAAGATGAAATACGAGCTTGGTGACCACGCCGTCGTGCGTTGCCCGGAATCTGGTCTAGAGGTTGACATAGAATTCAAAGTAAAAGGCTGGGTTGGTGGCTCGTATAACGGAATTGGAGGCTTCATCAAGGACAAGAATGGCAAGCAGCTGTATGAGCTGAGCGGACACTGGGACGGCGAGATGTTTATCAAAGACCTCGCTACGGGCAAGAAAGAGCTTCTGTTCGACGCCTCGCACGCAAAGCCGAGCTTTCCGAAGAGCCGTCCTCTCGAGGAGCAAGCGCCTCGTGAGAGCCAAAAGCTTTGGCACAGCACAACTCAGGCAATCAAGAAGGCGGATCAAAGAACCGCAACGGACGAGAAGTCACGCATCGAGGACGAGCAAAGACGTGAGGCAGCTGAGAGAGGCGAGGGCCACGTCTGGCAGCCCAAGCTGTTCAAGGCCGCACCTCCAGGAGACGAACAGAGCCTGGACTGGATCATCGACGCACAAGTTGACAACGATGGGCCAGCGGAGAAGCAGATCAAACAGATACTGGCGATTGCTCCTATCATTCCTGGCCAAGGTCTCGACCAAACGAAATACTTTGAGGATAAGGCCCTTCCTTCGCAACAAGGCAAGGGTCTGCCTGCGCAGTCTGGCAGCAACGACTTGATCGACTTTGGACAGAACGACTCAACATCTGCTGCTTCACAACAGACTTCGCAGACAACTGCATCTCCAGCAAAGCCCAACGGCCTTCAGGACCCTCTCTTGCCCACAAGTTCTGGCAAGCCAAAGCCTGGAGACCCTATCAGACGGATGGATTCAATGGGCCGAGAAGACCTGTTCATGGATGCAGAGCCATGAGTTGAGCATTGGGCATAGCTGGAGGAGTTTGGGGATTCAGAAAGCATGAGCTGGGCGTTGAGCCTGAATGATTTGGACGGGACGCGTATATACCACGATGAGCATGAATCGTTGCGCCTCAACAGCTGAAGTTCGTCGTGCAGGAGAGAACATACACCTTCGTTATCCCTCAACGAGTTGGTCTAATCTGACAAATGGCGTCGACTTGGTGAATCTTGCCGACGAAGGGGTGCGGCTCTGCAGCCATGAGGAGCATCGAAATCATGAAGTGCATACTGACAACCAGGTTGTTGCTGCCGTCCCTGCTTAAGACTTGCAGAAGGCCTCACATAGTTACTGCTCATGGCTACGGCTGGGCAGCAAATCGGCATTGAGTTTGATGGCCGCGGTGAGGCTGCAGGTTTCAGATTGGCGTGTTGCGTGCTTTGTCGCTGTCAAGCGAACGAGATCTTCTAGTGATCAGCTGCTGTCGAGGAAATACAGGGCGAATGGTTGGTAGTGTTATACGCAGTGCAAGCCCTTTTTTCGGTATTTCCCTGTGTGTCTGGAGCGATCTGAAACGTTGATAGTCCATTCTCCTTCTCCTTTGCGTTACGGCCCTGCGGATCCGCCTTCAGCCGACGGGATGCAGCTCGTGGGTGATGCCCAATCCATTCCTGCACCTTTGCCCACCACCCTGTCGACCCGCGGGACCGCCCACGGGACATCAACGACGACTCCACGACGCGTGAGAACCAGTTCGCGCCCGCCAGAGTGCGCTGCAGCAGTTCGTACCGGCTTTGACGGCCGTTTGGCGCTGCGCTGAGTCGCTATCTGCGTGCCAGGTGCTGCGCGCTGCCCCGGCGATCGTGCTCCACGCCGCCCACCGCCTCAGCCGCCGCAGCGCATCTGGGAAACCAGGACTTCACACCTGGCCTCCCGGACTCCGGACGCGTACCTGGCCTCGCTCACTGGCACTGCCAGGCCACACGACGATTCAGTAACGATAGCAATCAGCGCTGGCCCACCGCTGCCATCCCGGCCCTCAGGCAGAGCCGCATCGCACCCCAGGCCACGCGGAGTCACGCCTCGCCCGCCTCGCATTATTATCACTACCGCCAGCATAAGGTTCGATGCCTGACATGCACGAAATATAGGCCAGGACAGCAGCAGCTAAGAAGCTTGGATCCACCTCCAGTCTTTACGACCGCAAGTTCCGCCGCCCATCCTTGCCACGGCGGTGCTTTACTTTTCGCTGGCAGACTCCAATCCGGCCGGTGCATCTTAACAACCACGGCGGTGCCTCTGCACTGGGTCCTTACATAGCCGCCCCTATGGATATGGAGACCCTACGTGCCGCAGCCGCTCCACCCTTCCACTATGGCCATGGCCATTATCACGATTACGCCGGCGCTGGCGATGGCATGCTGGCAACCGTTGCCGAAGAACGTCCTCCTCCGCGGCAACGGCCTACCAAGCCGCAGGAACAGGAACAGGAACAGGAACACGGCGAGGACAGCGACTATGACCCGGAGCAAGGCGAGCATCTTCGCTCGCCGAAGAGGCAACGCACTGGCTACGGCTGCGTACATTGCAACATGACATTTACCGAGAAACGTGCGCTTGCACGACACAAGAAGACTGATCACCACCGACGACAGCTGGGATTGCCACCGGACAGGAAACACGCCTGCGCTATGTGTGGCAAGCATTTTACCCGTGGCCATGACCTCAAACGACATCAAAACGAGCAGCATTCTGAGCAAAATACCGCCACTGCTACCGAAATGTCGTCTGGAAGCTCTGAGTACAGCAATGCATCGACGTATGTGGAAGACCGCACTTCGCAGTCATCATCTGCAACAGGAAGCTCGACATTGGCAGCCATAGCAGAAGCTGCTCCTCTCTCCAGCACCTATCCGTTCTCCGATGCTTCTACATACGCATATGGAGACCAGGACGACGATCTTCGCAGTCATGGCAAGAGCTTCAGCATGAGCCCTGATTCATCCAGCAGCAATGGTCGTCGAAACTCTTCACAGCCCGAGATCAAGCAGGAGCACAAACAAAAACATGATTCGTCTAGTCCAAACACCTCACCAATGACTGGAACCCTTGGAGAGGGAAGCCCTGGTTTTAAGAGGGAAAAGTTCAAACCTAAGAAAGACGACCTCGACGAACTCCCGCCATTCACGCCCGAAGCATCGCCATTGAAAGCATCTGCTCTCGGGAAACGGATGCCCATTCAACCCCGTGACATAGATGCTTGGCAGCCCATGATTTGCATGATCTGCGGTAATGCATTCGAAGAAGAGGCTGAAGACTTGATCAAGCATCTTCGGTGGCACCTGGACAACTTCAAGGGCAAGCACAAATGCAAGGACTGCAGAATCGATTTCACACACGCCGCAGATTTGGAAAGACACTTGCAAAGCGCGGCGGAAGGACACTGCGGTTTCAATTTCCCTCATGAATGTACAGGTCACCATCCTCCAGGAGACAGGACTGGCACGCTTACCGACTACGATCGAGTGCGACTTTTCGTTCACTTGCAAAATTGGGAGCAGGCTCAACTACATGCATACATTGCCGAGATCAACGAGCTGACCATCTCGAGGCGGATAGGCAACATAGCACGTGATCGCTGGTCAGAAGTGATTCGGAGGTCACGCCCTAACTCGTTCTGCAGCTTCGCCATCAGCGTCAACACTTACGCCACAGCTCCATGCGATGTGACAGATGGCAAGCTGGATCTCGGTGGACTCCAGAAACGTCTTCAATCGATGTCTCTAGGCAAACCTGGCTCACGACTACTTCGCCGTATAACTCCCTCCTCAGATGATCTTCGCTCCACCAAGACCGTCGACAAGACGTTATTACGAGCGGTGCGACATGGCGATCTACTTAAAGCTCAACGTCAGATTGACCTTGGTGGCGACGTCAGCATCATCCATGAAGACCAAGGTCCGTTCACGACAGTTGCACTATGGGGACATGGGTACATATCTCGCCGCATGGCCGAACACCGAGTCGATGAAGACATCATGGGCAGCTGCTCTGTATGCCACATGAACAGCCAAACGTTCAGTAGACCCTACAACAAGGTCAAGTCGCTATTGAAACACGGCGCCAACTCCAACGAGCCTGGCGGACTTTGCGGCTACCCGCTCCACACAGCAGCATGGATGGGCAAAGCGGATATCGTTGCTATCCTGATCGAACACGGAGCAGACATGAATCTGGACGGTAAATACGGCGATACATTATGTTCCGTCGCCGCTGCAGTCGGATACCCCGGCCATGTAGAAGTCGTGCAGCTACTCATCGACATCGGCGCCGACGTCCGTTGCACAGGACCTCGGGGAAGCGCTATTGATCTGGCCAAAGAAAGACGGAGACACTGGTCATTACGGTTGAAAGAATCCAAAGATGACGAAGAAGGGGAGATGATGAGCAGGATTTCGTGCTGTGATCAGGTCATCTGCGCATTGCAAGGTGCCAGCGCGACAGCGGATGTGAGGAACATGGCGAGGAAATCGAAAGCTAGCAGAAAGAGCATGGAGTCGTATCGTCGTGCGAATGTGGCGCAAGGTGTTTACAGTTATGGCTAAGCAGGGCGGAGCGTTTGCAGCACGGATATGGTGTTCTTTGGGGCATATGGGTGATTCTCTTTTTGATGATGATGCGGGCTTCGGGTTGGAGGAGCCCAGGGGACGTAATGATGGATATGGGACTGATGATGTTTTTCTTCTTCAACTTCAGTGGGGTCTTTTGGCGTCTTCTAGATATCCAGTCTGTCAATCCAGAGTTTCGTTGTGTTGTCCGAGTGTAGGACTTATTATTTGATTTCCTCGTTTCATACTGCGTGTTCTTGTTCAAAGCATTGTCGCTGCAACGGCTTCCATGTACTCATTTACGCTATCAACACCCAGAATCGTGCAGAACATGTGCGAACAAACACCAACGCTATATGTATGTACATCCAAACAGCCCTATCCGAAAACAGTACTCTCCCACCCATCATCCATACATCTCCTCCCTCCACGCCTCCACCGCATCCCTCGCCAACTCCCTCATCTGCCTCAAATCCTCCCCATCCCCCATCCCATCCCTGACCTTATCCCACCACAAATTCAGCATGCCCGCCACCTCCGAATCCTCACCCACCTCATCATAAAACCTAATCATCCGACTCGTGTACTTGACCGAGGACATGAACAACCCCGGCCCGGACGTCGCGAGGAGGATCCAGATGAGGTTCTGCAGGATGTCGAGGCCGCGGGTTAGGGATTGGACGTTTTGGGCGGTTGTGGTTAGGAGGGCGGTTTTGGTGGCGAGGACGAGGGCGGCGGTGGGTGGCGGGAGGGAGAGGGTTGTGCCGAGGGAGGCGATTGTTGTTTGGAGGTGGGAGAAGGTAAGGATGGTGGATTGGGCTTGGGTGAGTTGGGCGTGGATATTTTGGCGTCGGGGGCTGTGGAGCAGGTTTTGAGTCGTTGCGGTTGTGAGGACGTGTGGGATGACGGTTTGCGTGAAGTGGGTGGTGGCGGCGGCTTCGAGGTCGGATTTGAGGGTTGGGTCTTGGGTTTCGATTATGCCGGCGGCGTAGAGGTGGAGGGGACACCAGAGTTGGGATTCGATGAGGTGGAGGAAGGTTTCTTGTGCTTGCTGCTCTTCTTGTTGGTGTTGGTGGCGTTCTTTGTCTTCGACGCAGGAGGAGCAGGAGGGGATGAAGACGACGTGGTCGCCGGCGAAGCGGACTTCACCTCCTTTGCCGGATGTTGCTTCTGTTGCTAGTGCCACCAGCACCGCTGAGGGTACGCCGTGGCCGACTGCAGACGTCAAGTCGCGGGCCCCAGTGCCTGGTGCTGTCACAACGTCCGCCACTTTTCGTTTGATGTTGTCGGTGAAGGCGTGGCTGCAGAGATATGAGTGCTGGTCGACGTCGATGATCACACGAGGCCAGTCTCGATTCGCACGAGCTTCGATGAGGTTGTTGAGGCTGTGGACGGTAACGTCATGTTCGATAGCGAATGCGTGTAGGTCGACGGGATGGTCTGATGCTTGAGCTTGGAGCTTTAAAGCGATATCGTCCATTTGATTCCTCGGCAAGACGAAGCGTTCGTCTCTGCTGAAGCACAATTCCGGTCTCAGTCCTTGCACAACCACCTCCGTCCTCTCCACATCCAGTCCAAGCAAAGCTGGAAGATTATTTCGATCGATACGGAAGATCTCCCGGTGAACTAATTGTCGGAGCTGCTCGCCAACTTGTGCGGTGTCGACGACCTGATTCTCGGTGCTTGAATTCGGTGACTCCCAATCGTTGCGGCTGACGCTTTCGAGTGTGCGTCTACTTTTGCTAGCTCGTGAGCCGCCAATGAGTGTCGTGGACGATGACCATCTCATGGAGTCGGAAGGTCGTGAAGTCGACGTGCACGAATCCCTCGGAGGGTCCGTGGCGTTGTTCATCCAGCTGGTGATGTCAGTTGCTCACTGCAGATTGTGGATTCGTCTGTGGCGTTTCAGCAATATGTCTGCCTTTTTAGACTGCGGAGGGTGAATTTTGAGCAATGTGAAGGGAAGACATCAGAAACAGTCACACGAGCGCCTGACGTATGAGGTCGGTCGACTTTTACAACCAGAACTTGGAACGGGAGCTGAAGCCAGCCAATGACGTGAGCATGTACCTAGTGAGCGAGCTCGGGGATGTTCGTTTGGTAGTCTCGGACTTTACCTAGTCAAAATGTGCTGTGTTGGAAGTCGGGTGTTCCATTTTTGTTCATATGAGCTGTTATACTTTCCTTTCGAGTCGTCGCAAACCAAATGGACTGCTGAATACTACTCTGGTCTTCAATAGCCTTGCTCTTTCGCTTTTCTGCCAACGAATTTCCTTCCTTCGCTTGAGCCTCCTGCAATCCATTCGTCGGGTGGGAAAATGTCGAGAAGTCCGGATTTGTGTAGAGTGGGGATGGGTGTTGTCAAGAATTGTTCAAGTTGGTCTTTCGTGAGACCTGCAAAGACAAGGGTCAGAGCTGACGCGCGGCTGGTAGGATTTAAAACAAAACTCACCTTCAATTTCTTCGCCAGCGCAGACACGATCGTAAAGCTTGATGTTCTGAATCAATGCACCAACAGTGCCAGTCTGAATCTTCGTTCCATCTGCCAAAGTGATTGCTGGAAGACTTGATGATTGATCCTTCAGGAGTCGTTTGTTGATGTCGTGAAGTGCTTCGATTTCTTGATCTTGCGACATCGTATGGGAAAAGCCGGCGGCGATTGTGATAGGGTTTGTGTGGTGATGTGCCGATGTGTTGTTGATCTGTTAGGGAAGAGTGTGGTGGGTTGTGGTGGAGAGTTGGTGATGTGATAAAGGCGTAGCTTTTGAACTCGTATGGCTCGCATGCATTTCCGTTCGATTGGCTCATTCGGAGCGTCCACGGAATCCTCGGTGCTGATTTGTGTACAGTCTTGTGTTTGCTGATGCCTTGACTTGACCCAGAATGTTGCCCCGACAGCGAGAGACATATGAAACGAGAGCACCACTTGATTGAGTTGTCTCAGAGCGAACCGGTCTCAAGTCTCGCTCCGCACTTACTGTCTTGGTCCTAATCGCCAGAGCGAGCTGCTGTTGTGGCGAATTGCCAATGAACTCACCGTCGACGTTATTTCTCTTGCGTTTCGTCGAGCGTCTTCTTTGGATTCAAAGTGAGAGGCATACTGGGTGGTAGAGGGAAGTATGGGCGGCCAGCAATGACCATGTCTTTGCCGAACTTGTGATAAGCCACGGGGTTGAGTGACGCTACGTTCTGTTCTGCCTTTGGGGGTCGACGTGGTGCAATCGAAACTCCGCCTTGGCCAATAAAGGTCGGTGCCATGGTGATGATGATTGAGTCGACGAGTTCTGGGAGTCGGAGCAGATCCTTGATGACTGAAGCGCCGCCCTCAATCATCACGCTGTTGATGCCTTTGTGCTTCAGAGCCTCGAGGATGGAACGCCAGAAGATGGGGTCGTTGCTGACGGCATTGTCGGTGTACTTGGGCATGGGGTCGGTCCAGCGGATGATTTGGCAATTGCTGTCCAGCGGCGAGTCGAGGCTCTTTGGCCGAGTGATGAGCCAAGGGCCTTTGCCCTTGTCCTCGTGTCTGAGCTTCGCCATTTGGCTGCGAGCCAGCTGGAAGCGCAGGTTGGGGTCGACAACGACGGGGCGCGGCTGGTCGTTGATGGTTGCGCCTGGGTAGCGACAGTTGAGGGCTGGGTCGTCCGCCACAGCCGTGCCGACGCCGACCAGAATCGCGTCGTGTTGGTAACGGAGGAAGTGCGTCATGCTCTTCGTCTCCGGGCCCGAAATGGTGGTGCGCTGGCCAGGCGCAAAGGCGATCATGCCGTCCAGGGACTGCGCATAGGTCAGGGTCACGAAGGGCAGCTTCTCGTCCTTCGCCGAGTCGACGACAGGACGAGGCGCCTCCGCACCCGTCGCTGGGTTGCGAGCCCCTGGGGGCAGGAAGGGCGAGAGGAAGTACATCTCGCTCGCGGCGAGAGCCTTCGTCTCAGACATTCTTCTCCGAGCGGCAGGGGGCGACCAGGGAGTTGACGTCTATATAGAGAGAGGAGTCAAGGAAGCGTTGGCGGGGACGGTTGCTGTGAATGTGAGATGAAACCGCCCGGGGCTTCGTTTTTCCAGGCCGATCAGTCCGGGCGCTACGCGTGAGTGCTGCGTGCTACAGTTGGGCGATCTCACTCCTCTCTTTCCTTTCCAACTTTAGATCTCATCTGTAACATCATCCCAGCGACTCCTGAACTCTGCCAGCCCTCACCACCAATGACTCGACCCAGGTCCTGAGCAGAGCTGGTGAGATTAGCCAACCCTCAGCCACCGTTCCAAGTGTTTGCTCGATGCGCCTATACCCATTGCTTCCGGCCTAAGCGATGGCGACCAGCAGAACGTTGCAGCCAGTGTGAAACTCCAGCGCTCCTATAACACCCCTTCGACCATCCCACCCATGGGCAGAACATTGCGGAGGATTACTGCATAACTTCCGTCGTGGCGGTACAACGGACGAACGACAGGAGCCGCCGTGACGATGTCCTTCGCTGACTTCCCTGTAGCTGGATGCCGGGAAGCCGACTTCTGAGATTCTTGCGGAGAAGTTCTTGGACTTGGCCACGAAACCATCACCAGGCGCTGCTGTGCAATCTCAACGGCATTGTTTTACGCAATCACGAGGAGGCCACGCGCTGTACCACGACTATGTGCAACATACCAAACGGTCTTCAGAGACGCCGCCCTCCAAAACCCTTTACTACAATGTCGACGCAAAGTCCGGAGACGAAAGTTTGATTTCGGACAGCTCGTGAAACAGGCATGCCATGCTCCTCGGCGTCGAAATAGGACGGATGACGCTCGGGCCCAGTTTCTCATTCGCAGCGTCGGTCAGGATGGCAGCCCAGCGTTGCCATGCCAAGTCAATGTCGACCGCGTGCATGTAGGTGCAACTATGACCCTCCCTCATTTCGGAACCCCATCTTGGAAACGCAAGGTTGGAATAAGATGGCTATGCTGTCCTCGCGTGCCAGTCCTGTTTCCCTCACCTCTCTTCCTCGCTCCACTGGGCCAACATGGCTCGTCGCTCACTCATTTGGCTGTCTGCCCTCGTTTCAGTAATAGCAGCACAGTCATCTCAGCAATCGACCTTCTCTCCAGCTCGACCTCCAGCAATACCTTTGGCGGTGAGGTCACCATACCTTAGTACCTGGCAAGCGGCAGGATCCGATGGCGGTAATGGGGGCTACTTAGCCGGGCAATGGCCTACGTTCTGGACTGGTTCAATCAATGGTTGGTGCGGCCTGATACGAGTCGACAACAACACGTATACATGGATGTGAGTGCCTTTCAGAGACATATGCTCAATGCGCTTTGTTAATTCGGATGCAGGGGCAAGCCAGACCCGCTGCCACAGGTCGTCAGCCAAACAGCTTTCGAGTATACGTCAACTCGCAGCTCATTCACAATGGACGTCAACGGCCAAGTGACAATGAACATCACTTTCCTTTCGCCTGTCGATCCGACCGATAAGCAGAGGCAAAGCATGCCCGTGTCTTACGTGAACATTGAGGTGGTGTCTGCCGATGGCAACGAGCATGAGGTTGCAATCTACACGGATATCAGCGCTGAGTGGACATCGGGTGACCGCAACCAGGTCGCTCAATGGAGTCGCGGGGTTGCACAAGGATCAAGCGACTCAGGCGGCTCAGGAGATCTTGCGTTCCACAAAGTCTGGAGACAAACCCAGATCGAGTTTGCCGAGGACGGTGATCAAGCGGCGTGGGGTTATTGGTACTATGCCACCGAGAACGTCGATGGATTGACGTATCAATCTGGAGCCGATACCGATGTCCGACGACAGTTTACTGACAACGGCGGCTTGAACAACAGCGAGGACACTGACTATCGAGCCATCAACGACAACTTCCCAGTCTTTGCATTCGCCGTGGACCTGGGCTCTGTATCCTCAGACAGCAAGGAGTCGCTTTTCACTGTCAATCTGCTTCAAAACAACAGTGTCCAGTTTGCCACCGGGCAAGGTTTGCAACAAGTCCCAAGTTTTTGGCGATCATCATTCTCAGATGAATTGAGCGCCGTCACAACGTTCTACTTCGACTATGCCAACGGCGCCAGAGTGTCGGCTGCTTTGGACAACGATGTCGCCTCGGACTCCCGAGCAGCTGGCGGTGATGACTACGTAGCCATCACCAGCCTTGCTGTCCGCCAAGCATGGGGCGCTGTCCAGATCGCTGGTACTGAGAGCGAGAACTACATCTTCCTGAAAGAAATCAGCTCGAACGGCAACTTCCAAACCGTGGATGTAATCTTCCCTTTCCACCCAATGCTCCTTTACATGAATGCGAGCTGGATGAAAATGATACTGGATCCTCTCTTCATCAACATGAAGAGCCTGTGGCCGCAGGACTTCGCCATACACGATATTGGCTCGCGATACCCAAACGCCACTGGACATGCTGATGGCAACGCAGCGTTGCAGCCATTGGAGGAGTGCGGCAACATGTTGATAATGACTCTCGGATATGCTCAGAAGACAGGTGATACCGATTATTTGAATCAAAACTGGGACCTTCTGCACCAGTGGGGTCAGTGGCTGATCAACAACAACTCGGTCATTCCATTCAATCAGATCTCGACAGGTACGTACAGTCGGCGATTTTGACCTCATGTCTTGCTAGTACTGACCACCTTCTAGATGATTTTGCCGGTCCGTTAGCAAACCAGACCAACTTGGCGCTAAAAGGCATCATTGGACTTCAAGCTGCTGCCATGATCGCGAACATGACCGGTCATTCACAAGAAGGCTCTGACTACGCCAATACCGCTTCTGACTGGATTCGTCAATGGGAGCAGCTCGCGGTGAACCAAAACGCCAACCCTCCTCATACGGTGTTGAATTATGGTGACGAAGACTCTTTCTCGCTTCTTTACAACCTCTATGCAGACCAGCTGGTCCAGACGAACATTGTGCCACACTCGATCTACACAATGCAGTCAGAGTTCTACCCGACCGTCAAGCAAGAGTATGGCGTTCCACTGGATACGAGAGCAGACCGCACAAAGAGCGACTGGGAAATCTTCTGCGCCGCAATCGCCTCAGACGACACGAGAGACATGTTCATTCAGGATCTGGCCAAATTCATCAACCAGACGCCGACCAGTGCGCCGGTCACAGACTTGTATGACCCCAGCACTGCTCAGTTCGCCGCTGACATCGGCCCCTTCAAAGCTCGGCCCGTGGTTGGTGGATGGTTTGCACTGCTTGCCCTGAACCAGACCGGCCTGCCCGACGAGTCGTATATCGGTCAGTCCTCATCTTAAACGTTGGGCTTCAAGGTCGAAAGACGGGCCATGGGTGTTACCGGATGTAGTAATCGCATCGACCGAGAGATCCGAGGGGTGCTGAGGAGTGCATCGTCTGCATCATTACTACATGCATCGTTGTCGAGTAGGAAAGGCTGGCAAGGCGTTGCGATTAGGGCAGCGGAATTATGACTTCTTCCTAGCAAAGTAATACGACCATGCCATTCGACGACAGGCCTCCTTTATGGTGGGTCTGGCGCGGATCTGCCTCTTCCCGCTCGTGGTCATCACGCTTGATGTGCATTACCGCTCGCCCCATGATTGATCAGATTGATCAGGTTTTAGGACACCACGCGTTGTCTTTCGATCTACCCGTCATCTTCAATCGACGTCAATGGTTCCAGTAAAGCTCCCGAGAAGATGGGGGTGTGGAAACGCTGCGGCTTCGCTTAATGATTGGAGATGAAGTTATCCCGACGTTGCTGAGAATGCACGAGATCGCTCCCGCATGCTTGGAGAGTTCTGTATGGGCATGACAGTGCACACGTGAGTGAGTTCTATCCCACGCCATAACGTCGAGCTGAGAGAAAGGCTAAAAGGAGAAAATGCGTTGCCTCTGTTGGTACAGATAGACTTATCTCGCTAACTCGGCCAGTGATTGGCGAATGCAAGGTCCAAAGATGCTTGCACGAAGCCGTCTCGCCTCACGAACAAGGGCCTGCAGTCGGCAGGTTCGGCTAACCAAGCCGGTAGGAATTCATGCTTGTACTCTCGCTACCTCCTTTTCTTGCGGACTTGCCGATGGCATCGATCTATTCCATCCAACACAAGACAGCAAATCATTGACGTCAGAGAGATAGAAGCCCAAGCAAGGTACGCCTGCCGAGCCAAGAACGTGGGAGTGTGAGAGCGTGGGCAAATTAAAAGGAACACGGCGACGGCAGAACGATTGCGTGCCCTGACCCAAGGCAGTGGCTATGGTTACGAGATCTGTTGACCCCGGGGTCTGGGTGGAGACCAGCCAAACACGACAACATCTGCCCTCCTCCTCATGCTCTGGTACCTGGGAATGCCGGAACCCAATCCACCGGTAAGAAGCCACCTCACCTCATTGGAGACGACCTGACGCCTCACTGCATGGCTACAGACGTCCTTTCGGGACGGCGCCTTGAACAGATTGGAGGCGTGAAGATGCTTGCCCAGCGCTGAGCAAGGATCGCACATCCGCCTCGCTGTGTAACATGTAGCATTCGGTTAACGCCCCTGCACCTCATGCACCTCTCTCTTCGAGGAGAAGGCTGTTTCCAATTCGAGGCCCACGCCCCACCCCAAGCACCTACACGACCAATCTTGACGAGGACATCATTCCAACACCCTCCTGAATGGGTCGGCTACAGACACAGCAATCTGATCGCCGTACCGACAGAGAGGAAGGCTGCCATCCACGATCGCTCACGCCGCCTGTTGTGCGTCATGCCGTTGCCAGACGCATGCCTGCGCGGATGCGCACATTGAGTACACATGCCGTTCGCATGGCTCGTCTGCTATTTGTCATGTCGTGCCAATTTACGCATCTCGTGCTGCCAGAGGACCCCGGCATGTAACCGATGGTGGATGAGACAACCCTCGCTTGGCTGGGATGGGAAGAGGATGTGGGCAGCAAAGCAACATGTATAGCAACAGCGAGATGAGAGTCGACGACCCTAGCAGCTTCCAAACAGTCCCAGGTCGCTCATCACATGCACTCTTCAGCCGCTGGAACGAGTGTTCGAGCACCTGTTGAGCCCTGCACTGCTATTTCAATGCTTCTGCAATGTCGCAGCATCCTGGCCCATGACGACGGCGGCCTCGACATTTCCCGTGCAATCAACCCGCAGGATCGCAGGAACCCAGTGGCATGGTGCGCTAATTGCGAACAAGATCTACCGGGGATGGGGCCTCTCGCAGGGTGAAGCAATATCTAGCCAGCAAGCTGGGACGATCACAGCCCAGGATGTGTATTTTGAGGCGCTCATGCAACGCCCAGTCGTAGGCCTCCTGAAGACAAGGCTAGAGCAGGCAGAGGCCCATCCCATTCCAAACGCTGGGCACCCATCCCTTGGGCACTGGCGCAGTCATCGGTCGTCAACGCACAGCGGTCAAGGTGACCAGGCCGCAGTTCGAATGCGATCTGTGGCTTATTGGCTGTGACACTGCGGGCTTTCTTAGCCACCCTCTAGGTAGGCCCACCCTTCAGCCCGCTCACATTCCGCGTCGCTTGTGAGCGAAGCCATGCGATCGAATGCATACCGTAGTCGCCCTTTGCAGGTTTGACCAGGACCGGCGACGGACCGTCCGTTTCGTCGTTCGCCCAATTATACCGACTTCCTCTTTCCGCACACGCACCCTCGCCACGACACCAGTTCTGAACGTTGCCCAAGCTATTCCACCTAGACACCCCTCCTTGACAGAAGCCTCACTAGGCCCCGGGAGCGAGTGGGTCTCGAATGGTGGCCATCGCCCTTATGCAACGCTCTGAATCCAGTCTGTGTCTTCAGAACATGGCTTTGATGATGCTATATGGTCGACGCCAGTCGTCTGGATCCGTCACTCTGGTTTAGACAGCCTGCTGTGCTTCATCGCTTATCTAGATCGCTGTCTGCAACCCACTTGGACAGCATGCTTTCGTTCTCCGCCTAATCGTTGATCACTCTTTTCTGCATGGCTTCGTCGTCTTGGGCCGGATACGGCCCTGCTGCGCCGACCCAAGGCCCTTCGAACCAAATCCAGAGGACTGGGTCTGGCGACCATCAGAAGAAGCCTCAATCACGACAGTTACTCTCGTGTACCAAGTGTCGAGAGAGGAAGGTCAAGGTATGTATTAAAACTCTTCGTCGATGGCCCTGACTGACCCCTTAAAGTGTGACAGGACCAAGCCTTGCTCAGCATGCTGCGCCAGAGGACATCCAAAGGAGTGCGAGTTCGTTGTTGGCGAGGGCAATGACTACAGTCCCATCCAACAGTCGTACGAGATTCGAAAACTGCGGGCGGAGAACCAGAAACTCAAGGAGAGACTTCAACAAGCCCGACTTACTGGATCAGGGGACGACGACGACGACGAAGAGTCTTCCGATCGAAAGAGCTCGAGGGCGTCGAGAACAACGGCTTCACGTCAACGACGCTTCAAGACGGGCGAGCGAGTCGACAATCTGTACTTTGGCACTCCCGGACTTGCCAACATCGTCTCAGATGTGAGTAACGTCACAGTCTCGTCGATGCACTCGACTAACAAGCCTTGCAGTTCGCCAACCTCCAGATAGGCGCCCACTCCCTGACGCATGCCGTACCGAAAGGTCGAGACATGTATGCATTACCCGAAGGCTCACCATATCCATTTCCCATGCTCAACGGCGGGAACACGTTATCAGATCTTGCGCAGACTCTCCTGATTCCGAACGAAGACATGATCTACGAGAGTCTCGACATGTTTCAGCGCCGCGCTCAGTCCTGCTACTTCCCACACACTCCAGACGGAGTCACCAGGCGGGAGGTTGAACGATTCATGGCTGACGCAGAGGCCAACGCTGAACGTTTTCCGGACATGTTGGCGCTCATCTTTGCGACTCTTGCTACAGGTATGCAGATGGGCGTGTACGACAAGCATGGCGACTGGCTGCCTGGTGCTGTTGAGCAAACGAGGAAGACGAGCGATGTCTACGGTGAGTGCCAGCGTCCTTTGTCGATCGTCAACGATGGTTGGTACTGACGATTTACAGTCGCTGCAGCAATGCAAGCGTTGCGTCTAGCATCTTTTATGAACACGCCGACTCTTCTATGCATCCAGGCACTGATCATGATCGGACCCTACCTTACAAACAGCGGTCGTTTCCTTGACGCTTTCACTCTCTTTGGCACAACGATTCGATTAGCCCATTCGATCGGCCTACACCGTGACCCCAAACTCCTCGACCCAGCACCACCCCTACGAGAATGCACGATCAGAAGAACACTTTGGTGGTGGATGTTACACATGGACCAACAGTACTCAGTCACACTTGGAAGGCCACTCGGAATCTCAGGCTTCGGAGACTGTCCTCCGCCAGAAACTCTCACGACAAATCCTACGATACTGCGGTTGAACGAGTTTGTTGACCATCTCACTATTATGGCGAGGCAGATTCTATCCAGCGACGGCATGGTGAATGTTGGTCGCATTGACGAATACACGGACAAGTTGATAGGCTTGTGGGATACTATGCCAGAAGCGCTGCAGTTCAACGAGAGTTGGTGCCGGATGGAGACGCAGTTGCCTGAATGGCCTTTGGACGCCATGTCCGCAAGTATGTTGGTTATGAACATCATTCCTTTTATGTATGCTGACTCGCACAGTGCTGTTTGCCAAAGTACAGTCATTCCTGATCTTACTGAACCGCCAACGGATAGAGCGCACTCAAAGCATCCCCGTGGACCACTCACCACCTGGGTCGATGATGCCTCCTCCCCGACCGATGACAGGAGCAATGGGCTATGGAGAACATCCAATTCATGCGGCACCTGTTCGAGGTCGATCGCTGGTTGTCGAATCTTCCATCCAACTCCTCAAAGCCTTCCTCTTCTTTCGATACCGCAACCCGGCCGTTCTGATCTGTTGGACAATGGGTCAGCAGGCTTTTAACGCTTCTATGATCCTCATATTGGATGCTTGGGAGACAGAGAATCAGCAAAACGAGTGGCTTGTCAACCAAGCGTACGCCGTCTTTCATGAGCTGCAGAGCAAGGGCGTTCACAAACTGGCAGAGCTTGCTGTCCGACGCATCTCGAGCGGCCTCATGATGTTGGAACAACGACGACATCAACGAGAACAACAAGCCGCCATGTCAAGACGTCCATATGGATACCAACCCACACTTCAAATCGACACAGCGTCTATGAGCGACTTCTCAGGAGACGCTGTCATGGGCAACACCGGTATGTTTCTGCTCGAGGATCCAGGACTACAATCTTACATTGCACCCTCCTTCCAGCCTCTTGGATGGAACATGGCGGGTAGCAGCGCCCGCCCTTCCAACTCCTCGCACCCCACGTCCCCAAGCATCCCATCGCCGGTTGTTCCAGTAAGCCAGGTGACGGCCGCGCCTTTTCCTGTCATGACAGCGCCCTTCACCGGTGGGCCCATGACGACTTCATCCTACTCCCTTGGCGGCGGGGGCAGTCTTCCAGCACGAATACCCAATCTTCCGCCGCAGGCGCCGGGCTCGTCCAACGCATCAAGACCGCAAGCGGCGTTTACACCAATCAACGCGGGTGTCCCTTTAGTCTCTCCCTCCGATCGACAGCACCCACATCATCACCAACAACAACAGCAGCAGCAGAACGAACAGCAGTCATTTTCTCAGGTTCGCGGTCCCCGTCCCAGCCACAGCAGCCACTCGTCGCACCATGGCCGCTCACAACAGCAACACCGCAGTGGCAGCAGCAGTCATCACCACAGCACAGGCGCGGGACCGCGAGGAATCCAACAGCATCATCGGCTCGACAGGCCGCCGAAGTCGCAGCAGAGGCGCAAGTAGAAGAGGCGGAGGGCAACAGTGGTGAGGCAGAATCGTACACAGCGGGAGGAGGAGAGGGCCTGACGGAAGCAGAATGGCGAGCTAATGCGGGACGGCAGTGGGCGCTGCTCTGGCTCTGGTGAAAGGAGCTGGCCGGGCATCCTCTTGTTTGACACGTCACTCGCCAACACCCACCCGTGCCATCTACCTACCTCTAACAGACTTTATCTCGGCATCTGATTGAGCAGCAGAGGCCAGGCCATCAATCACGTTTGAGAGGGGCCAGGCGGGTATGGATGATTTGCAGACATACACGACCGCGTGCATGCATGTTTCACGTATCACCTGCATAAGCAGAAAAAAGCATATTGACATGATGAAAACGAAAGATTTCCGGCAAAGCTTGCAAAGGCACACACATCTTTGAGGGTACCACATCGGCGGCACAGTGCTTTCTACGGGCGTTGGTTGGACAATCAAGTAACCCGCGGACGCTTCACTGAAGACGGCGCACAGGGGCAAACACAATTACCATTGGGGCGTTTTAATAGTCGATTTTTCGTATTTACATGGGACGTTTGGCGGGCAGCAGGGAAAGGGGAGGAATGGCAAAAAGGAGCATGTACCGGCGTGACGGCCGCGCCAACGCAGAGGTTCAGTTGAATGAGGACCAGTCGTTGGGGGCAAAGGGCGTCAAAAGACGGCACGCGAGCAGGGAGATCCTGGGTATTGAGCTGCACGTGGGAGGATTCAGGGCTTAGTCTATCGAGAGGCCGATTGATGGGGAGCTGGAAGAGTTTTTGCCTTTGGCTTGACAGCTCATTATGATTTCAGCGCTGTGCCGTGGGAGTGCGAGGTGTTGGGTAGTAGGGTTGTGGAGAGAAGGTAGCTTATGCAATGCAGTAGTCGGATTCAGCGCTGAAGGATGTGTTGGTTTGTTTGCTCGAGGATTTCTATGGCTTCAAAGCTTTGATCAAGTTTTGCTCAAACGTTTTGCTGTGTCCTTTGTTGAGACGTGAGTCGGCTCTGCGGTTGCTGATGTTCTGAAAAGCCAGTTGGGCCGTTTCACTCGTCTTTGCGGAAGCCCCTGAGCACGCAAGGGGAGATTGTTGGTTACGTCTCTACGAGAGTTTCTGAGTCTTTTAAGCTACGAGAGGCTGCGAAGTCACTTGATCTCTCGACTATCTCGTGATCAGGATGCAGTAGCGGCATGTAAGGTAAGATGACAGCTTGGCAGACCAGCCGTGATGGCTCCTTGGTGATTGACGGGAGTGACAGGGCGATCGATGCATGTGTCACAAGCTCACTGGACAGGTTCGTCGGGAGGCCCTGCTGTCTTCTTTGAGAACTCTAACGAAGGCTCTCTATTCACGCAGCTGGACGAATATCGTTGGACCTCGAGGGCCACGGTCTGGATCCTTTCAGCACCTGCAGATCACGTCTTCACGCCTCACAGGACGTGTCGGTTGATCTAGGCCCCGATTATCCTACTTGGCAGTGGTTTTTGCCTCATATCCGCACTGCTCGTGAAAGCCATTGTGGACTTCTGTGGGAGAAGAAGAAAAGTGAGCTGTCATGTGCACACCCATGGCCAAGACCCACTTGGTGCGTTGTTGGTGTTCAAAGCACGAGCGATGTGCCTTCTTTTAACCTCTACTGGTGCAAACTCGTGTTGGCAGGTTGCTGTGTTGCTATCATTGGATCAGAAGTCGGAGGAAACGCCGTAGGGTTTTGCCCACCTTGTGCCGTGCAAGACGAGAAAATGCCATTGCGTTCGTGGGATCGCTCTGCCTCGAGACGATCAACAAGATGCATCTAGAATTGTGTCAACCTTTGGAAAGCGAGGGCTGACAGTGATATGGCAGCTGGTGATGTGGGCACGAAGCTGAGGCGGCGATCAACGGAAACATAAAGGAACCAACTTGCTGTCGAAAGGTGCATCGTCTGCACTCGATGTCCATGTTCAGACGCGTCCTTGTGCGGCTATTTTCTTACCACTCCAGCAGCTCATGTATTCTGATCTAGAATGGCCGAGAAGACTTCCAGCAAAAGACGGAGGAGCGTTGATGGCGCTGCTGCCGAAGAGCTGGTTCTCCCGCGATGAACAAAATACAATGAAGTTCGCAGACTCCAGACCCCCTCAGACGGCAACGCCTCTCAGTCAAGCATCGCATCACTGAATACTCCATGGGTTTCTCGCAGCAATGGAAGACTCCAAAATGTGGGGGATCGCAACAAGTCGGTCGTCGCACTTTGCGGACAGTCTCTGTCCTTTCTCCTCTCCTCAGAAGGTGGCTCGCGGCAGCCAACAGGGCTGACGAACACATGCGAGGGTGACACCGCGATCTCAGTTTCGGGACAGGCTACTGCAATACTCCCGAACCGGCATCCAAAACAGTCTGGTGCTCATGGTGGACTTCGTTGGCTCAGACGAGGGTCTTTCGTTCGTACAAGAACGACTGTCTTGCGATATCTGTTTGGCCGCATGGAGGATTTCAAATCGATGTTGGCAAGGTGATATTTCGAGGCCTGTGAGCAGGGCGAAGGACTGCGTCGATCGATGATCCGGTAACGGTTTGCAAGATATTTGCCGACGAATGCGGACGAATGCCTGGTCTTGTCGTATCGTTGTAACAAGAGCTCCATCACGGACAGAAGCTGGCGTTTGGTGAAACAAGTCAACTTCGACTCCTTAGAAAGCAGCATTGCCCTGACTGTGATGCCTAGGCGAAGATTTAACGTTGCTGGTCCTCCAGCACGACGTCCAGGCGAAGCCGAGGGGCATGGCAAGGCTCAAGCCTTTCCTGTCATTGTGCTTAATCAACTTGGACCGTCGAGTTGTGAGGGAACCAGCTTCAGCCATCTCGGTAGTCCTGCTGCCGAGAGGAAACAAGAACGAAGTTGGTAAATTCCTCGCTGTCAGTTCCAGTCGAGGACTGCAGCTCGCCGTTTGAAAAAGGGAGGGGGCAGTAGTGCGGCTCGGGGTGACTCCATACTCAGCAGATCAAGCTGTATGCAGAACCAACGATACGGCTTACCAAGTTCCGGGGATAATGTCGCCGTTGGAATGCAGTTGTCTCGTCTAGTCGGAGACGCTGGTGTTGGACAACGTTAAGGAAGGTAGTGAAGAGTGTCAGCAAGAGAACAGAGCAAGACACAGCATTTTTATTGCTTCACTGTCTTCCCTCGATGCTGCCAATTTCCAAAGAACGATAAGGTAGGGGTCACTGGCCATAGCCAAGGCTTGAAGTCGAAATAATCCTTGCCTGGTGCAGAGGCTAAAATTGGGGGCGGGCAGATCAGGGTCGGAGCAATCCGAGCCAGCGTTCCCTGCTCACGTGAGCGGTTCCTGCGATGCGGGACATGGAAGTCTAATGAGGACGAGCCTCCTGACATTGATTGATTGACGCTGGCCGGTCTCAGGTTGCTGTTGAACCTCTCAGCCTTCTCCCTGGCGGAGCAGCCGTGTGCGTCCATTCACTGCTGGGAGCATCCACCGTCGCCGCAGCCCTCCACTGATCGCTGACCATCACACGATTGCCGATCTGCTCCGAGACCGTGACGACCCCTCGGTCTCGACTGGCAGAGCACGCGACTCCAGCAGCTGCTCCCTCGCAGCTTCCACCTCCTGCGCTCTTTCCAGCGGACACAGCAGCGGCGATGAGCACCGATCCATCACGCAACAACAACCACGCCTCGTCTGCATACGCCGGCCGTCCAACCGCACAAGATGATCTGACCTGGCTCGACTTTCTGCGCTCTGCCGGTGGCACCATCCGCGATGACCCTCGTCCGCCGCAACTCGATAGGACCGATTCTGCCGAGCGCAAGAGGCGACACACCGGCAGCGAGCCTCAGCAACGCACCCATCCTTACCCGTACCAGACCTACAACCGCCCGTCAGCCAACCCAAGCTCGCAGCTCGGCAATAGCGTCGAGACCGCCATCGATCTGACAAGCCCACAACGTCCTCCTCCGTCACGTCCGACACATTCACATCCAACACATCCACATGCAGCACGACCAGCACGACCAGCAGTACGACCATCGATTACCAGCATGCAGGCCAGCACCGCGAGCGGCGGCGCTGCCAGAAGAGAGAGCGATATTGTTCTGCCCAAGTGGCAGCCAGATCATGATGCTACCGAGTGCCCGGTCTGCCACACCGAGTTCAGCATATTCTACCGAAGACATCATTGCAGGAAGTGCGGACGTGTGGTGTGTGCCACTTGCTCGCCGCATAGGATCACGATACCGAGACAGTACATCGTACAGCCGCCGAATCCATTCTACGAGGATGAAGGCAATCCGTCCTCGCCTGGCGGACTCAACCCAGCACTGGGAGGAGGCGAGGTGGTCCGTGTTTGCAACCCGTGCGTACCAGATCCGTGGACTCCAGTTGTCAGTGCAGCTCTGAGTGCTCCCTTACCTCCTGCACCCACCAACGCCGCAACGGGTGCAGCCAACAACGATGCCTTTCCCGGCAGGTGGGACGGTACGATTCGAGGGCCAGAACAGCATCGGCCAGTGAGATATCTTGATGGCAGAATGGAGCGAAGGGACAGAGCTTCATCGTTCCAAAATGCTCCGTGGAACAGGCCGAACACGACCTCTGAACTGCCAGGAGTATCAAGTTCCTCTGGCGGTCCAAGATTTGGGCCAGGCTTCCCAGATGCTCCATCCAACAGGAGACTCTTGAGCGAGGAGCAACAAAGATTCACAATCGCTCAACACAACAGACCTGATAATTGGTCCACCTACCAACACGCCCCCTGGTACAGAAGAGATCCTGACACTGGAAGATCAGAAATGGGAGACTTTCACGATCAAATTGATCCTCGTGTTCGACATCGATACTCCCAAAGCCGTGTCAGCGGTTCAAGCGTTCCCACGCCGCCAAACCGGCCACCACCTTCACTGCCCAATCGGCCACCACCGCCACCGCCAGGCCAAGCCGCGCCTCCAACTCGTGCACCGCCTGCTGTACCTCAGGACAGGCCTCGACGAGAAGTCAAGGAGGAAGACGAATGCCCGGTTTGCGGTACGGAGATGCCACCCGGCGAGGCTGTCCGTGAAGCGCACATCCAGGACTGTATTGCATCCCGCTTCTCATCGACACCAAGCCAACAAGCCCGCTCTGCTCCTCCCGCCGCAGACGCCATCGCATCAGCACCACCGGCACGGGAGACAGCCTCCAACACGCCGGAAGGATCTCGTCCGAGGGCGACTAGTTACCGCCCGCGCGGCATGGCGCTGTACAGAGCAACCGAGAAGGACTGCACGACCGAAGACGGCGAGCCACAAGAGTGCGTCATTTGCTTCGAAGAGTTTGAAGAGGGAGACGAGATGGGCAGAATGGAGTGTCTGTGCAAGTTCCACCGCGCATGCATTCGGCAGTGGTGGGAGACGAAAGGACAGGGCAGCTGTCCAACGCATCAGCTCCATGATTGAGCAAGCACGACAGGGACGGTTTATGGGATGCGTTTAATGAATTAGCATGAATCGACGAAGGCGTTTGCGGGATAGACTCGCTACTGATTTTCGGGGATACCATGGAGCGCGGGTCATTGGCATTGGAATGGAGTCGCTGTGTCGGGGGCGTGGTTCGCTCAGCCTATAGCTCAGTCGCAATGAATTCCAGTTCGTCTGTTAGCTTTTTCGTCTCTCTTTTTCGACATCTTGTGAGTTCGCTTTGCAAATTTGTCCCAGAGGACAGGAATCTGCGGGAATTCCTAAAAACGGGTTGTAAACAGCATGACGAACATTCATTCATATTCCTCAAAAGCGACTCGCACTCCGCCCTCTACCCTCAGGCGTCTCCCTAAAACTCGAAACAGACCTACTAGCATTCCCCTCCGCAACCTCCACCCCCGTCTTCGTCTCCACATCCCCTGCACTCACCCCCCTCTCCGTGGCAAGAATCGTGCCCCCAGCAGGACTATACTGCACCTTCAACCCACCCACAGACTTCAACCACGCCGGGCTCCTCGGCTCATGATCGGTATGTCTCAGCAGAGGGGCATCGAAAGCCCGGGCTATGTCGAGGGGACTCATGCTTACTCGCCCGTGGAGACGCCACCAGCCCCAGTAGGTGGGGAGGAGCGCTAGACATGCGATGCACATGACTGCGAAGCCTCCTGCGAGCCAGCCGACGCGGGTGTGGTAGACGGTGCGGGATTGTGACTGCGTAGCGGGGACGGTTTGCGACAAGGTGCGGTTGACGAGCGTCATGTTCGGGTATCCGATTTCCGGCCTCGTGCTCGTGGGCGTGGAGCAGTGGCCCAAGGTTGTTTCGTCGCAGGCGTCGACGCTGGTGGTGGCGGATTTGTTGGTCAGGGCGATGGCGGCGCGGAGGGAGAGCTCGTGGATTGTGGCGAGCATGTCTGGGATCGGGTCGGCCCAGGTGATGTTGTAGGAGTTGAGCGAGTCGACGGTGGCGTTGGAGGCGAAGTATTCGTTGGCGATGGCGTTGGAGTTGTCGAGGCGGATCCAGCTGCCGACAGGGGTGATGTTTGCTTGGGTAGTGTATTGGTTGGTCAGGGCGAGCCAGAAGCCGCCGAGGGTTGAGGGGTGGTCTGTAGAAAGCGTCAGTGAGTTTTCATGTAGTGGGAGACTGTGGTTTAGACTCACTTTGCATGCCAGTGTCGTCAAGCTGGCGGTATATCTGGTGTACCGTTCGATTCTCTTGATCATCCATCGGCTGTAGACTCACGGTATCGTTCTCTAGGCTGACCGGGTAGCGGACTAAGGCTTCAGACAGCGTGCAATTTGTCCAATGCATGGTGCCGTTGCCGCCAGCTGTCACTTTGTGGATGTTGTAAAAGTTCATGCTATAGAGTCCTGAATAGCTGTAGTCATTGCTAATATTCCAGTAATCCCAGCTGAGGGTAATGTTTGTTTCAAACATCGTCTGTGTGTCCGCGGGACCGTGGTATTGATCGGTTTGATTATTGAGAGCCAAAGACGTGTAGTTGTTCATCTCGTAGTAGTCTGGCAGGCGAAAGGGTAGTGTTCCGCTTGTACATGTGACATCCCATCCCGGTGCGACAATCTCCGTGGAGCATCTTCCCTTGCATGTAGAATTCGCAATGTTGATGTCCTGGCGTGAGTTGTACTGCTGCACGACTTGGGCGAAGTCTGGATTGTACAGGCCCGGCGCGAATTTGTCCGAATGGTCTGCGATGACACCTGTCGCGCCCAATTGCAGCGGATCGGATGAAACGGGGAAGGTCAGGTTCGTCGATGTTGTCGATTGGTATGTGCGCACGGTGGAGGCACGCTGCAGTAGTGGAGCGTCGGTCAGAAGCACCAGCATGGCTACACTGGCAATAGCGACTCTGCTGAAATGCGGTAGATGTGCAAATAGCCCAGGAATGGAGCTGGCCTGCTCGAGTGCTGCGTGTAGGCCTCGTAATGTTGTTCCTGTTTGTACTCGAGTCCACCAACTGAGGCACGCACCTTCCGCGAAGGCATAGGCAAGTAGCGCATTAGCTACGGTCGCCGTGATGGCCAGTAGTACGGAAGGCTGCAAATCGTAGCCGCCTACTTCCCATGCATTCAGCACTTGTCCATTCGATACCAGTCCGATGGTGAGTGCAGTGACGGCGCAGCCGAATGCCAGCGTAATAGAACCGAGGCCAAGCCAGGGAATGTGTCGTCGGGCTGGTGGTGTTTGCTGCGCATTGTTGACAGCATGGTAACGCGGAGTGTTCATTGTGAAGCAGATCTGGTGGAATGGAAGGACCGAGCGGTATGGGGGCTGCGGTAGACGTTGCATATATGCATCTCCGATACTCACATGGCAGAGATGAATCCTAGCGCAGGCTTTGCAGGGGACATGCAGTGGTTGCGAGACCCTATCGTCCGCACGCGACTAAAGCATGTCGATCCTTCAGTATATGAGTCCACAGTCCGGACGCATACGTTCATCAACGGAGACATCGAGTCGATGGTGTTCTGGCATGATCTTGCTCCACGATGACGAGTGAAGTGTCTCCTGCATGACGGACTCTACGCTTCGTGATGTCCATACACATCGAATTCTGGCCCTGGTTCCAAGTAGCTGGACGTCTGAGACTGCATTTCAGAGGCGAGCGTTGGTAGATTTGTGAGCAAGCGAAATTCGGGCCATCATGCAGCTATCGTTTCCGGCAGTCTAGCAGGCTGTGACTCAGCATCGCTTCACGCTCCAAGCCAGCCTGGTCACCTATTTTTGAATTGTTCTTCCCACGCAGGCCTTTGTGTATTCTCGCTATTATGGACGGCGCAGTCAACGGTTGCGGAAGACCTTGGCTCGAATGTCGACAAGTAAGAGTCCGCGAGGTCCTGGGCCGTCCAAGAATGTGCTGCTGAGCTTCGTCTTGTTGATGGGGGGCTGAGGAGCAAACCACCAGCGTCCGATGAACATTCTACCTTCTTGCAGCAAGTGATTATTGTGTTTTATTGCAGCCTTCTAGACGGCCTTGACGGAGGCACAACGTGAAGTCGTAATTTCCGGATTGCTCAGCCAATCAGGACGGGGTTGACGATGAGGTGTGTATGAAATCGCATTTCACTTGTTCCTCTGTGCAGTCAGCTACTCCAGGGCTGTTGACGAACTGCTTAATCTCTGGATGGTCCATCGCTGAATTCGAGATAGGTTGTCGGTGTAGACCACTCCGGCAATTGTATTGTTGGGCTTCCGAGACGACAACGGTGGTAGCGGTCGAGAGGGCGTCGCCGAATACTCGCAGAACCCACGACAACGCATATACGACCACCTCCTTCTGGGCGTTCAATTGCCCTTGGACCTGTGGCGCAGATACATGTACTACACATGGTCGTGCTTGCAATGTCACTCCACAACCCTACGGCCCCGCTATGCAAGCTTCGCAGCTCGGAAACCATCCCCAACTTCATCACTCATGCAGCTGAACTACAACGCTGACCTGCCATCAGCCCTAGGCAATCGGTGCTCGATGAGGAAGTCGGGTCGTTTCCGATTCAATGCTGTGCCGCTCTTAAACGCGAGCGCTCTGCTGCATCTTGCTCAAGGATGGAGTCCTGACGTCCTACTTCCTGACAAATATACACAGCTTGATGCAGGGCACGCTTATACACCAGCTGTGTCTTGCGAAGTTCGCGCCTAACATACGATACTACTGATTTTACGCAGCTCTCTCCGCCGACTCGTCTCCTACTCACGCCAGCGTTAACGTCGAACTCGACCATGCCACAGAAGATCGTTCCTCCTGGCCAAGAACGAGAGTTCCCAGCGCATAGCGAGACGGGAAAGATACCCTTCGAGTACAAGAAGAATGGCTTAAAAGGCGAGACAGCATACTGGGCATGGGGAGATCTCTCATCGGACAACGTGCCATTGATCGTCCTGCACGGTGGTCCTGGCGTGCCTCACAATTACCTGTTGCCGATCTCGCTCGTCTACAAAGATCATGGTATACCGGTGGTCATGTACGACCAGATTGGCTGTGGAGAAAGCACTCGCTTCAAGGATAAGAAAGGCGACGAAGAGTTTTGGACGCCGGAGCTGTTTATGGAAGAGGTGAACAATGTAAAGAGTCATCTCGGTATCAAACAGTTCGATCTCTTGGGGCAGAGCTGGGGAGGTATGCTAGCGGCACAATATGCCATTGACCAACAACCGGAAGGTCTGCGAAAGCTTATCTTGTCCGACTCACCGTCCAACATGGCGAGCTGGAACAAGGTCCAAAGCGAACTCCGCAAACAACTTCCTCAGGACATCCAAGATACGCTCGATCGTTTGGAGAAAGAAGGCAAAATGGAGTCGCCAGAGTACGAAGAATGCGTCATGGAGTACTACAAGCTCTTCATGTGCCGCTGCGAGCCCTGGCCTAAGGAAGCGGAAGATTCGTTCGCCGGGTTAGCAGAGGATAACACTGTCTACAGCACCATGTGCGGTCCGAGCGAGTTTTACATCATTGGTAGCTTGAAGAACTGGAGCGTCACCAAAGGCCTGCATAAACTGACAGAGAAGATTGTACCTGGAGGCATACTCGTCATGAATGGCTACTATGACGAAGCACAAGACGAGACGACCGAGGAGTTCTTCCATCTCACCAGCGCTAAAGCCAAGTGGGTGCGCTATGCGCTGAGCAGTCATTTCCCGATGTTGGAAGAGACGGAGAAGTACATGGCTGATCTTGGGAGGTTCTTGACTATTTGATTAGGTTCATGTATCGGCGAGAACGAAAGCGAGCCCTACGAGAAAATAGACAAGACATTCAGCGTATTCGTTCCGTCCTTGGCCGCTTCCAAATGTTCGCTTGGCTTCAGCTCAGCTCGACCGCCGTAAAAGGTCAACGGCAGTCAGCTGCGGATCCTTCTTATATTGGCTTACACTCTGTTTGCCAGTGAAAAACAATACAACAGAAGAGTCGATGTAGGTGGCGAGAGCTGACTATAAATTCAAGAACAATTACTTCTCACACTTGCAAAGATGGGCGCCGAAGCCTCCAAGCCCCAGCCTGGGGCCAAGCTACAAGTCATCGGCGCAGGTACAGCGATTCAACGGCAGTCTCCATGCCACCAAGTTTTATTCTAACAACCGCAGGCCTCCCCCGGACCGGAACAGCCTCCTTCTCGGCCGCCCTCACCATCCTCCTCAAGGGACCCGTCTACCACGGCGGCACCCAAAACCTCGTCTCAGGAGATCCCCACCACATCAAAACATGGATCGACATCCTCTGTCGCACACCATACAAATCCCCTGCAGATAAAGAATACGTCATGAGGAAAATCAAAGCCATCACGGACGGTTACGTTGCTGTGGCAGATACGCCTCATTCGCTTTTCGTGCCCGAACTGATGGAGTTGTACCCTGATGCGAAGGTTGTGTGTACTGTGCGGGATCCTGATGCGTGAGTTCAACAGATCCACCTACCCCATCCAAACGGAAGTTCTGACTATGCATAAAAGATGGACCTCCTCGATCGCCGCCACCTCCTCTTCCTCCCTGCAAACCCTCCTCCCCATCCTCCTCTTCTGGCTGCCCGCCATGTCCTACTTCCCACGCTACATCGCACACATCCAAGGCGGGCGATGGGGCGAGCTCTATGCCGAACCCGGGGAGAAGTGGTCGATGGGAAAGCACGTCTGGTACAAGCATATGGAGTTTTTGGAGAGGGTTGTGCCGAAGGAGAAGTTGGCTCTCTTCGATGTGAAGGAGGGGTGGGGACCGCTTTGCAAGGCTGTTGGGGTTGATCGGGAGGTTGTGGGGGGAGTGGAGTTTCCGAGAGTTAATGATGGGAAGGCTATTGAGGAGTTTGCGGGGAGGTGTGTGAGACGGGGACTGGTGAGGTGGGCAGTTTTCTTGGGGGTTGTTGCTGCTGGGGTGGGTGTGGCGTGGAGGGTGTGGAAGTGATGTTGAGAAGACCTCATTGATGGCTGCTGTCTTTCACTCAGTTAAGCAGATCTCTTATAATCTTCATCATCCCCACCACCTTCTCCTCCTCCAACTTTCTCCCCACGAGCTGCAGACATACCGGCAACCCATTATAAACCTCTGGATCATATCTTCGACGAATCGTCTCATCCCTCTCACAAGTCGGCGGCGGTAAAGATCCTCCTTGTGCATCTTTTACAAGACTCGTGTCATCCGGTAGATCCAGAGCAGGATCCACAAAACCAGTCGGGAACGTGCAGGCAGTATAGTCCAGCAAGTTCACAGTCGCCGTATACGCAAAGTACCTGACCTTGCTATAATCCCCATGTCTGGGTGCAACAGCCGGTACGACAGGGGCGATGTACGCATCCATGGGTGGAAGGCCTTTGGAAGCATCAGCAGTCTGATTCCACTGTTCCAGAACCGCAGCCCGGAAGTCCAAACATTCCATCGCCAGGTCCCAGGACTGCGTGATTCCCAGAGCTGGGTCCGGTGTATCACACCCGCTCTCCATGGGCGGCTCGCCGGATTTGGCGCATTGTCTTCGAATATCTCCTGCCGCATCTGAGCGGAACACTTTGAGAACGAGCTCGGTAGCTCGCTGCTGGTCAATTTTCCAGGGGATGGTTTCGTGGCCGGCGGCTTGAAGGGCTGCTGCGGTGCGTTTGAGGGCGCTGCGGATTGGAGGCTGAGGAAGGCAGACGCCGTCCCATTCGAAGACGCCGATGCGGAGTTTGCGGTTCGTAATCTCGTTGACTGCATCGGTTCGCCATGCTATTGGTACACAATAAGGATCCAGTGTCCAGGGACTGCTGCTGATAATGACCTTCATGATCATCTCGATGTCATCAATGGACCTCGCCATTGGCCCTACAACAGATACGATGGTCTGCTGGCCCTCCATGCTGTTGAGCATTCGATAGTAGGGCACTCGTCCTGAGCTCGGTCGAAGTCCATACAGGCCCTGATACGCTGATGGAGATCGAATTGATCCGCCGAGATCTGATCCAAAACCCAGCGGACTTGCTTTGAAGCCGATCAAGGCACCTTCGCCACCACTGGAGCCGCCGCAGGAGAAGGACCGGTTGAAGGGATTTGATGCTCGGCCGAGGATGTTGTTGACGGTTTCGCCCTGTACAATAAATCAGCAAGAGCGGCTTTCAACCCCGGGAGAACTCTGATCACTCACCCACATGCACCCAATACTCAAACTCGTCTTCGCAAAGATGTTCGCCCCAGCATCCTTCAAGATCTTCACAACAGCCGCATCATCCTTATCGACATTGCCAATGGGGTACACAAACCCACACGTCGTCTCCGTCCCAATAAGCCTACACTGATCCTTGACACTAATCGGCAATCCATGCAAAGGCCCAACAGTCTCCCCAGTCTTGTCCAGAAACGCATCAAGTTCTTTCGCTCGGGCGAGTGCTAGATCATACGGCAGTGCGAGACAGCAATGCAACAGCCGGTGAGCGATAGCTGCTCGATGGGTGAACGCATTCAAGACTTCGACGGAAGTGTACTTCTTCTCGCGGATGGCTACCACAAGTGATGAGGCATCCAGGGCTGTAATTCCAAGTTCTTTGGCCGAGAGATACTTCTGCGGTACATCTTGCACCGATGCCGTATCTTCAAGAGAATGCGTGAGCTCTGGATGGTCGAATTCCTTGGGGATGGAGGCCAGGATTCGGGACTTCTTGTCCGCTACCCGGTCTTGCCATGATTGCCTGATCTCGTTTGACGTTGTTTCTCCCATCGTCGAGATATGTTGTTAATAAGTCTTGCGTTGGGAGCTTCGGTTGTCGATGTCGGAGAATAGGCAAGGCAGGTAGGATGGAGCTCTTCATTCGCCTAAATAACCTCTTCGAGCTGCCCTTAGCCTTGAGATAGCCCGTGGCCGCGGCCAACGCAGTGCTACATGCAAGATAAGGTATGTCTGCAATCATGGGGTGTACCAAGAGTTCATTGCCAAGGACGATGGGACAAAATGTGCCGTATGTCGTTGCGCCGATGCAGCTTGATCCCTCAACGATCTTGTCTCCCTCGATATCAAGGCCATGGATACTTCTAGCAAAGAAGAGAAGGCTGTCACAGCCACACTGAAAGACAGCGAGCATGGCGAACAGGAAATCTACATTGACCCAGAGCTTGAGAAGCGTACTTTGCGGAAGTTTGACAGATGGGTCCTGCCGCAGTTCATGCTGCTCGTGTTGATAGCGTATCTGGATCGCAGCAACATCGGTGAGTTCCAGAAGCACTTTCAAAATACCCCTGCTGAAAACTATAGGAAATGCGAGAGTCTTCGGTTTCGAAGAAGGCCTTGGGCTCACAGGCCATCAATTCAATGATATCAGCACCGTCTTCTACGCGACTTACGTCCTCTTCGAAGTACCATGGGTGATGGCTGTCAAACGTTTCGGCGCCAACACAGTCCTCGCAGCAGCTCTTGTGTCCTGGTCGATCGTCACACTTTGCACTGGCTTCATCCATAACTATACGCAATGCATCGTCATGCGTCTGCTGCTTGGAGCGGCCGAAGCTGGGTTATTCCCAGCTCTTTCATTCATCATATCAACCATCTGGGACAGGAAGAGCCAGGCGAAGCGGGTCAGCTTGCTTTATATGTCCAGTGCGTTGAGTGGAGCTTTCGGAGGCTTGATCGCGTATGGGATCCAGACGATGGGTCGTCAACGTGGGCTCGACGCGTGGCGGTGGTTGTTTGTGAGTTCATCTTCCTTGCTCTTTCTCAACGCTAACAGTTGCCGTCAGATCATCGAAGGCGCAATCAGCATCTTCATCTGTCTCCTCGCATGGTTCAGTCTGCCCAAGAGCGCTGAAGAGGCCTGGTTTCTGACTGCTGAGGAGAGAGGCGTGATGCAGGCTCGAAAGGCACGCGAGGCGTTGTACAAAGGGACTGATGAGTTCAGCTGGAAGTTTGTCAAGCAAGCTGTGACTGATCCTTTCATTTACGCGTCTGCTGCCCTGCTCTTCTGCTCCAGCATTCCGTTGTTTGGTTTTGTAGGTATAGCCAGGCCGATCGTACAGAAGTTGCGACTGACCAGCTCCAGGGCACCTTCCTTCCAACAATCATTCAAGGCCTTGGGTATACCGGTCTTGCCCCGAACTACCTTTCGATCCCATGCTACGTCCTCGCGGCCATAACGTTGATCAGTTGGACCACTTTGTCGGATCGTCTAGGCAAACGTGCTCTCTTCGCGTTCCTGGCTCCAATACCCTGCATTATCGGCTATGCGATTGTTGTTCGAACTCCATCTCCTGAGGCTGGGTATGCAGCAATGTTCCTCTGCGCAGCTGGAATCTATCCATACAACGCCATCATGTTCACGTGGCTACTGAACAACCTCAGTCCGGACTGGAAGCGTTCCGTCGGCGCACCGTTGTTCGCGTCGCTCGCCAACATCAGTGGTGTGATCAGCAGTCAAATCTATCCGTCCAGTGACAGTCCACGATATCTGATGGGGAACGCGGTGTCTCTTGCGATGGAAGCGGTGGCTTGCGGAGGGGTGCTGTTTGTATGGCTGCTGCTGAAGAGGAGAGACCAAAAGAAGGAGCGCATGCTGGCGGAGGGCGATATCGACAATGGGTACGGTGGCGAAGATCGTGGTCTGCAGTTCAGATACGCGCTGTGATGGGACGACATGCCGGGGTTCAGGTAAAAAGAGGTTGGCAATGTTGTCTATGAACGCCGTAGGTGGTGGGAAAGTGATAAATAGTTGAAGCTCCCGGTAATGGGGGAGACATTGCCCTGACTAAATTTCGGCAAAAAGCAATGAGACTATATATACTGGAAAATTCATTGGCCTATCAGCTGAGTAGCTGGGAAAAATGCCAAAGCCGTCGCCGAAGCCAAATCCCCCGAGTGATGACCCCGATCACTCCCTCAGCTTTTGCTCCCCGGTTCGAATCCCGCCAGGCAGCTTGTCTTTTTGCTCATTTTATAAAACACAATTCGACAATGCATATTGCAACAACCTGTATTAGCCTCTGCACCACGATACCAGCGTCTCCATCTTTTTGGCACTCTGCAGATCAGGTGTGCCGGTTCGATCCCCCAATCATTGTTCTCTGTGAATGATTTGATGCTTTGTCATGCGTCACAATTGTTTCCAACGAGGTCGAGCAAGGCGAATGTCACCTCCGGCGACGAAGCGCCTGCGAAACGATCGAAACGATTGATGGCTGCGACAACTTGCAATATCTGCGACAATATCCTCAGCTCTGCGTCAATGCGGCCTTCTACAATGCGCAATTAGGATTCACGAGTTGACGTAGCATTCTACGAGCCCGCTGCGGACTTCTGCGTGACCGCAATACCGCTGAACGTCTCACCCGTGCCTGGCAATCATTGCTTGCACAGATCCACGCTCTCACGCACAACTACGGCTTCGTTTGAACTCCGGCAAAGTCCAAGCAGTAGTTAAATAGCATTTTCGAAGCTGTGGTGATCAGAGAAGTAGCTCGAGCAGATGTACTAACCCATGTCCAACGTCGACGCAAGACTTGCCACCTTGCACTTCTCTTTTGCTAGTCCAGGGTTCAATACATGTAGAGGGAATATTCTTTTTGCGTTTTGTTCGTCATGTCGCATTTTACACACGGCGATTCAAAATTTGCACCTCATATGGTTCCGCTCTTGAGCTTTTGATGTTTTTGACTTGTCCTTTTGACGATCCAACGTTTCGATCTATTTCAAGTCTGTGCAACTTGTCGTCGTCTCCATGGATGCTTCTCCATTAGCCTCTTAGGTGAGGAAATTCGGCTCGATTGCTGGTGGAGATTGTCTACATTGTATCGACGATTTTCGACTCTTATGGGCAAGCAGTCACATCCAAGAATCGTTTCAATCCAGCTCGCTTCGATATGAAGATTATGCGATGAGATTGAGCGATTTTTGGAATTCAGTTCGGCTTTGAAGGAGGGAAGAGAGAGAGGTGAGGTCGGCTCAGCTTTCACGTCTCCACCTGCCCCGGATTGACTCTGGCCAGCCCGCGACCCATGCTCGTGACTTCGGCCCTCACGCTTGACAAACAGCAACAAAGAGGAAGCAACGTCAACTGCCTTCCACTACTCCAATCCAATCTTCACGTGCAATATATCTACCACCGAGACCATCGACCAGCTTCGAACCTTCACCACGACTCGCCGCAAGCCCTCCAACGCCATGGCCCGCAAGGCCGACGATCTGCTTGCGGACCTGGACCAGCTCGGCAGCGAAGAGCAGCAGGCCGCGGACAAACCATCTGCCAAACCAGGCGCGAAGAACACCAAGTCAGGCAACGCCGCCAACGACGAGGAAGATGCACTGGCGGAGATTGAGAAGCAACTCGCTGCGAAACCAGCTGGCGGATCGCGACCAGGCACCCCACGACTGAGCTCGAGTACCACCAGTGGAACGAATAGAAGTCCTAAGCGGACTGCAGAATATACGCCTGCTACAACCTCAGTGAACAGCAGTGAGAGGAACAGCAGTGAAGACCGAGCTAGAAGCAATGCGCCGCAGACACGGACAAGTGGAGAGGGCAACAGGAGCTTCCACCAGGCACAGACACCAGCGGCGGAAGATGCTACATCTGAGCCTGAGCAGCCAAAGGCCAGCGGAGGCGGCTGGTGGGGAAGCATGTTCAATGCTGCGACTGCGGCCGTGAAGCAGGCTGAAACGTTGGCCAAGGAGATCAGCGGCAACGAGGAGGCTCAGAAGTGGGCAGATCAAGTCAGAGGACAGTATCAGAACTTACAATCTATTGGTGACTCCTACTATCCAAATGCGAAAGCAATCTATACTGACTTTGCATAACAGGCACGGATCTCCGATCACGAGCTTTGCCAACATTCACATCCCTCATCTCGCACATCGCACCGCCCATCTCAGCGCACGAACGACTCCAGATTCACACCACTCACGATATCCAGAACTACCCATCTCTTGACCCGCTCATATACTCTACCTTCAGCCGTATCATGGCTCAAGTCGAAGGCGGTGATCTTCTCGTCATCCAGCGTGGCAGCGAATCACGAAACCGGTCATCATCTGACGTGCAAGGCTACAGGGGCGGCGTGCTCGGCGGAGGAGGCTCATGGACCGATGGCCCATGGTGGCGAGAAGATGGAGCGAAGCGCTCGCTTGGCACAGTACCTGGACTGAAAGAGGGCACTCGATTGGCAAGAGTCAGCGCGGAGTCGTACGCCAAGGAGTTCTTTGATTCACGTGGTGGTGTGGAGGAGGCTGCTAAGAAGGCCACCGAAACGTTGAACGAATCGAACCCGACTCGCAGTAGCGATATCTTCCTCGCCATTCAACCGATCAGCTACACCGCCGAGAAGGACCTCTTTGCCGAAGATGCGCGCGCCGAGAAGACTGAATCTGGCGTCGTGAAGCCCGAAGAGGAAAGCGAGGATATGGTTGTCTTCGCAATCTACCTCTACGACCCAATCCACTCGATCTCGTTCAAGGCTCTTTCGCAGCCCTTCCCGCAGCGCTGGGCTGATTGGATCGATGCTGAAGCCACCGCAGACAGCTTGCCAGAATCGATCTTGGAGATCATCCAGACCGGCGGCGTCGATCCACGAGAATGGGTTGCTGAATGGCTGGAGGAGATTCTTTCTCTGTCTGTTGGCGTCGTTGCTCAGCAATATGTTGCCAAGCGTATGGGCGTTGGTGAAGGCGGCATTGGAAGGGGAAAGAAGAGGGCGGAAGAAGAGGCTATCAGCGGAGAGGCTGCAAGGGCGATCTGATTTGAAGACGAGGGATCGCTTTCATGACATGTAAGGCAAAGGGGAGTTGAAGGCGCTTTGGATATGATGCAGGCTCACGAGCTTTGGTCGTTCGGTTACCATGGTAATGTCTTCATGGCACAATGACTCTATCACTTTCACACTCACTCCCACATTTCACCCGTCGTTTCCCCCATCATTTCTCTCCACCAGCTCCCTCGCCTCCCATCCCCTTCTTAAACACCTCCCTCGCCTCCCTCTGCTGCCCCTCCAAATCAACCGCAAAGACCTCCGTCTTCCACACGGACAACCTCTCCCGAATCCTCTCCGGATCAACACCCACATCCGGATCCCTCCCCGTCATCAGCCTCGCAGCGCGCATACTCGCCTCGGCAATCGCACTCCGCCTCGGCCGGCGAATCCCATCGTACCCTCCCAGCGCACGGGGGATGTCCTCAGGGGTTTCGACGAGGCCTAGCACGGTGGAGAGGAGCAAGGCGTCTTCGATCGCTTGGCCTGCTCCGGCGCCGAGGAAGGGAGGGAAGGATTGCGCGGCGTCGCCGGCGAGGCAGATGTGACCGGAGGGGGAGATGTAGGTTGGCGTTGGGGGGTGGATGCGGCCGGCGGCGGCGTGGAGGGTGGGTTGGCGGAGGAAGATCTATATCACGAAAGCGTCAGTGGTATTTTGAATAAAAAAATAAAGGGGATTAGGGAGGTTCTACCTTCAACATCGCCCTCCCAACATCCCCCCAATCCTCCAAATCCCTCTTCAGCCGTTCCCGATCCCACTCCACCCAAGGCAGCTCGTACGGCCAAGGCCCCCTATCGCTCCACCCCGCAATGACCTGCATACTCCTCCCCTGATCACAATGATCCGTCAGCAAGAACCCTCCCTCCCCAATCCATCCATACTGCGTGCGCAGACTACAGTACTCCTTCCCGAACGCCTCCTCCGCCTCCGCGAGGGGGACTACGACCCGGTGGTTATAACCCTGCGTGTAGACGGGTGCGTACGCCGGCCCGAGGACGTGCAGGCGCACGGTACTGTTGATACCGTCGCAGCCTATGAGGGCGTCGACGGTGGCGGTGGTGGAGTCGGTGAAGGTGAGGGTTATGGGGTGGTGTTCGGAGTTGGAGTTGGGGTTGTTGGAGGTGATGGAGGCGAGTTTCTTGCCTAGCTGGAGGACGTCGTCTGGGATTCGTTGCCGCAGAGCGTTCCAAAATGCCGTGCGGTGGACGGTGATCTGCGGCGTGGGCTGCGGGACGTCGCCTACATGGAGACCAGAATTTTTTCCCGTTCCCTGTACACATTCATCAATCAACACCCACCAATCTCAAGCTTGACGCAGACATACAACCATAATCCTCACAGCCGGGACACAAGGCACGCCCCCCGCCTCATCCAACGCCTCCCTCAGACTCGGCGAGATGAGTCCCAGAGCTTCTTGGGCGTTGGTCGCGAGTCCGATCGCGGCGCCTTCGTCTCGAATTTGGGGGCTTGCTTCGAAGATCTTGACGGACCATTGGGGGTGTTTGGTCGTGAGGGAATGGGCGAGACAGAGGCTGGCGATGCCGCCGCCGGCGATGGCGATTTTGAGACGTTCGGCTGGCATTTCTTGGTGGTATTGTTTTTTTGTGATGTGGTTGTAGTCCACGGCCGGCGAGTTAATTAATAAGATATCGATGCTCTCTAGCTGTGAGTTTTGTTAGCGCTCCTGCGGGTCTACACAGCTCGTTCCTAGGGCAAAATCGATGTGAAGCTGTCTTAATCGTATTCATCATGTACTGCATCTAAACGTACAGAGCGCAGCCGTCTCGCGTTACCCATTTTACCCAGGCGTCCCTACTCATTATGCCAGCGCAAAAAAAGCACCCGGGCAGACAGCCGCGACCCAAAGCAACCCAAAACGTCCATCGTCCAAGTGAAGAAACATCTATCCCCGCCAGAACACGACGATCAGACGGCCGATCAATAGATCGGACCTCCTGGTCGCCAGCGAACTGACGGGGATACCAGCGCGAAATCCAGGAGTGAGCGAAAATCCAGCCAGCAAGAGGAGGGCGATGGCGGCGTGAAGTTCTGCGCTCAGTACGGCGGCGTGAAAGGCTCGTCCCGGCTCGTCTTCCTCCAGTTGCCCTTCTTCCCCTTGCAGGCCTGGCACACAGCCTCCTTGAGCAGGCTGCTAGGCCCATCCTTGAAAGCTACGCCCACCGCGACCGCCAGACACATGCTAAACTTGAGCCAGAGCAGTGGGCTGTGCTTCCAGCGACGCGGTTGGTGAGGGCAGTGCTTAGCTACCTTGCCAGCGCCGGCGCCAGAGGGGACCGCAACGTTCTTATCGCTGGGGCTGCTCGCGCGCTTCTTGCCGGTGCCGGCAACCATGCTATTGCTGCCGGTGACGACGGGAGAGGGCGAGGTCTCTGGGGTCTGGTATGCTGTGCCGTAGCTCAGAGCGTTGACGTCTTGGTCTTGGGAGGGCGAGTCTTCGATCAGGGACTGCTGCTCGCTGCTGGTGCCTGATGATGAGTGGCCGAGCATGCCATGACGAGCCATGGGACCGAACAAGAAGCCGACAAGCCACCACTGAATCGAAAGAAGTGGGCGAGGAATTGACATGCGTGCCTGTGCTGCCTGAACAAGGTGCTTAACCACATCGATTGGCGAATGGAAGAGGTTGCTGAGTACGGTTCTCAAGCTGTCCAGAGTCGAGCGTGAAGAATTGGAGGCGATACCGACAGTCGATAGCGAAGCCTGAGAGGCCGACATGAGGGATGTGTTGCTGGCATGGGTCTGCAAGATGTGCTGAATGATGACTGGCTTGCGACGCTCTGCGTACAGCGGCGATGGAGGCCTGCTGGCGGACGAGCCAGTATCGACGACAGGAATTGGCGCATGCGCATCCGCATCATTGTTATCATCACCCTCCTCCGGCAGCTCTTCCACCTCTGAATCGAATGGGCTGGACTGAGGACTCGCACGTATGACTGTGTTCATCGTATCATCGGTCGATGCGTGGTCGGTCGAGGCAGGATCAGAATGGAACTGCTCATTGTCTGTGCTGGTGCTCGAGTTGCGAGCGGCGGTAAGCTCATCCATGAGGTTGCGGTGGAAGTGTCTACCGATCGTTGAGTCTCGCGTGCTGGCAGAGAAGTTGCGGTCGTTGACGTCGTCAAATGAGTCGGAGGTCGGGGAGAACATCTTGAGCGACGTATCAACGTCAACCTCAGTGTCGGTGGTGTCGAATCGCAAGCCTGCTGGTGGTGGCGACATGGCCGCAGCGTTTGACTCGGTCGAAGAACTGCGGCGACGACTATGTGGGCTACCGTCGGTCGATTCGAAAGGTGGGAATTTGAATGGAGTCTCGCCGTCGTGCGACTCGAAGATAGGAGCTGATCGGATCGTTCGCTTTGTGGACAAAGACATCTCTGGGAGAAGGAGCGGCTTAGGCGCGTTTCCCTCGAATTTCCTCATGTGTCTGTTGCGTCTTGAGATGGTGTCCGATGGCTGCATGCTGCTGGTGCTGAACGAAGCGTCCGACTCGCTGCCGTTGTCGACGGGCGACATGACTTCAGGAGAGAACGTCTGGCCCAGCGGAGAGAATGGTCCTCGAGGACTCTGTCGCATGCGAGAGAATGCTGGTGAAGTAGCCGAGAAGCGATCTGGTGACATGGCCAACTCTCCAACTGTAGGGACGCGGACGTTCAAAGACGTGGGCCTACCACGTCTTGAGAGCCCTGGCGTAGCCGATGGAGGGTCGAACTTGGCTGGTGAAGTGGACTCCGCCAAAAGACGATTGACCTTATCTTTCTTTTTCTGGAGAGATTCATTCTTATCCTTTTGCTGCACCAGCTCAATTTCCAGCCGTGCGATGTGGGCTTCAAGTGTCTTAAACTTCTCGGAGTGCCACTTGTCCGTCGTAGCAGCGTAAACGTTCTGGATGGGCGTTTGCAAAGTGGTCACTTGCGTTTCAAGCTGGACGACTCGATTGCGCAGGGCGACTTCGACCTTGCGGTGGTCTTCAGTGGCCTCGGAAACACGATCTTGATAACGCTTCTCCCAGTCACGTAAGTCTTGGTGCAGTCCTCGATTCGCGGCTCTCAGGTGCCGCAGTGTATCGGAAAGCTCTTTGGCGGTTGAGGAAGACACCTGCTTGTCAAGGTCTTTGAGCGTCTCTGCCAATGCTGTCTCCAGATATGCGATGTGATCATTCGTGTCTTTCTCTCGTTGCTCTCGATCGAGACGTCGTCCGAAACCCTCCATGTTTGCTCGTACCCTCAGAGAACGAGAGTTGGTGGTTGTTGAAGTTGGGTGCAGCGGAGAAGAGTCGTTGTCGTTGTCGAGAGCAACCAGGGCCTCGCTTGTGTCTGCGTTTGTAGTTGACCAAAACTTCCCCGAGGTCACGCGTGGCCGCGCGCGCCGTGTCGCCGACGAGTTGACAATATCCTGCAACACTTCCACCCCAGAATCATTCCTTCTCGTTGTATTCCAATTACTATCCCTCTCTCCTATCCTGTCATCGTTTTCGTATGTCTTCATTCTACCCAATGGGCTTATATTCTCCGCATCGCTCGCCGCAGACCAAGTGGTCGTGGTCAAGGTCGAGGAAGTGTTCGCCGGCGTCACCCTCCTCCCAGGAATCGCAGGACCTCGAAAGCCTGCATTGCGAAGTTTTAGTCGGCGTTTCTGCCTACTATTGCTCAATGATCTCGCACCCCGTGGTGGTGCTCCCGTGCTCGGCGATCCGGCGCCAGATGCAGGAAAGGACGGTGATGAACGATCGGTGGTGGTTGTGGTGTTCTCATTATTGCGATTCGGCGGAATTCTACTACTCTCCAGGAACGAAGCATGCAGCGGCGAAGAAGAAGAGGCCATGATTGCTGCTGGGGTGGTCGGAATGAGAGTCGTGGTACATTTGTTTGTGTCGAGTCATGGATGCGATTGTCCTATCCAACGAACGACAACAACAAGCAGGATCAACGCATGATCTGGGATCTGGCCCAGCAGACGGGAAGGGAAGGGAAGAGCAGGCGGTCGCTTCCTGTCGACCGCAGCAACAAGCGACTGGAACGAGGGCGCGAACGATGGGGTGACTACGACGAGATGGTGCCAGGCGAGGTTCAAGGAAGGTGTGCACCGAGCGTGCACTCTAAAATTCCCGGGCCAACTGCATGTTTACGCTTTTCCATTCACGTCCGCCCCACGCCGAGGTGAACTGTGGCAACACGAGAGCACGTGAGAGACAGGCATGCAGGGCTTCCTTTCACTTCAGGAGCTGCAGCTGTCTTTCACTATGCATGTATCCATCTCTACCTCAGTATGCTGCGCAGGATTGCCAGAGAGCGCACTTCACGGACGGACGGACGAGGCAGCATCGACGAATGTTCACGAGAAAGTCGCCCATCTCTTCTCGGCTCTGCTCTCGTCGTCCTCGGCTGTCGATCTTCGAAAAACATCACTCGCCATGGATGAATGACGAGCATCCTCGCTACTCGACTTTAGCACGAAGTCTTTTCGCATGGCCTGGGGCAGATCATACAGCAGTCATTTGCTGTGCGCTTGGCTCGCTGCGAATCTTTCTAATGGACGTCACCGACCGAGCGGCGATGAGGTCCTTGAGATTTCGCGGAGATTGTTCCAAGGACACTGTTCGGGGCTGAAAATAAGAAGAGCCTTGTCCGGCCCCTGTTCTGCATGAAATGGACACAGACATTTCCTCTGAAGATCTGGGCAAGCCAAGGCTTGTTGATAGAGGCACGAGATCTCCGGGGACGACATCGAAGGGGAGATATTTTGAAGAGAGGACACCCATGTCCAGCTTTTCATCGAGACGTGAATCAAAGGCAAGTACATTTTCATAAACAGCGACTCTCATTTACATTTCATATGCCTTCCCATGCCTGGTCGTTTCAAGATAGCAAGGCAAGCAGCAACACGCCTCCATTCGGAAAATCGAATCGCCTGCCGCTTCAAACCGCCATGAGCAGCTGTTGTATCTTATGGAAGCTCGACAACAATCTTCTTCGCACTAACGCCCGCCCCGATGGTATCAACCGCCAGCTGAATACTCTCCAAGCCTTGCCCGACAACCTCCGGATCCGGCTTGCACTTCATCTGGCCCTTCTCCAACGCGGCCGGCAACCAGTTCACCCAGACATCTAAGACACGCGAAAGTCAGCCCAAGCTCACACAGGACTCGCGAAACATACCCTGCTCGATAGTATTCGGCGTCGCCTTCCACCCAAACTGCTTCGCCAACTTCCTCTCCGGCGTGATTTCCACCGTGCTGTTACAATACGCAATTCTCACGCCTTCTTGCACGGGCTCTTTGTACGGCATGCTCTCTGGCAAGACCGTAGCGACCACGCGCGAAGCGGCGTCTTTCCCCAGCTGAGAAGCGATATCCGTGCACTTGGGCAAGACATCGCCCATGAAAATCGCGGCGAAGACACCAGCAAAGGGCTTATCTTTGAGCGCCGTAACAATCTGGTCGACAATATCCTCCGACCTATCACCAACCTCCTCGTCAGCCATACTCAACCCTTCAACTCCCGAACCACTACTCACCTATAATCAAAAAAGTAATCCACCCCAATCTCCCTACAAAACGCCTCATTATGCCCCCCAGCCGTCGCGGCGACCTCATACCCGGCCGCCTTAAGCATCTGCACCCCACAAGCACCCACACTCGAACTCGCGCCCCACGCCAACACCACGCTCCCCTTCCTCTCAACCTCCCCCACCACCTTCGGCGGCGCCAACCCCAAATTCCTCGGATGGAAAATACTCACCGCCGCCGTACAGATCGCCAGGGGCAGCACGCACCCTTGCGCGTAAGAGAGGTGCGAGGGGAGAATGCAGGCGACGGACTCGTGGATGGACGGGTACAGCTGGAAGCCGCCGTCTTCGACGCAGCCGGTGATGCGGTCGCCGAGTTTGAAGCGGGTGACTTCGGGGCCGAGGGCGATGATTTCGCCGGCGACGTCGCTGCCGAGGATGCAGGGGAAGGTGGTCCAGAGGATGCCGAGGGTTTGGATGCCGAAGTCGACCTTGGCGGAGGTTGTTAGTTGGTGGTGATGGTGATGGGAGGGGGGAGGACGGGTGTTGGGCTTACGGGGTTCATGGCTACGGCGTGGTTGCGGATGACGATGCTGCGGCCCTCGGGGGCGGGTTGGGGGGCTTTGTCGACTTTGAAGGGGCGTTCTTGCTTGGACATGAGCCAGGCGGCTTGGTTGGTTTCCGTTGTTGTGGACATGTTGATCGGTTTGGATGGCTGCTTGCTTCAATTGAGTGTTGATGATGGTGTAGGGATGGGATTGTTGTTGTGGAAGAGAATGCTGAATATGAGTTGAGTATAATAAAGCCCAGTGGAACATCTCACAGTCTTAAATACCTTTCCCTCCTCCCGTCAACTCCATCTTACCTCCGTCCCAGAGACCTCCCCATCCGGAAGCCAAGTCGCAAGTCAACACAGTCATCTCGACGAACTTCCCACCTTTGTCGCATGATCTACTCCTAATAGATTCTGAGGATGAGCTTAGTAGGCTGGAAGTCCATTGGAAGGATTTTTTGAGTTCAGAAAGATGCGAGGCGAGGTTAGCGTGTTACTGGATTGGGTAGGTACCTGGATTTTGGAGGTCAAAGGAATGTTCACTTGGGCGTCATCGATGTTTTGAAGATGGGATTTGGGTAGAGAGAGTGCGAAGGAGATAAGAGGTGGGTTGTTCGTAATTACTGAGGGGGTTGTTATTGGGCGCTTTTGGCGGGATGAGGTGGTGCCGTGAGGAGTTGTGCTTCGACTGCGTGTTGGGATGTCTTGCCTTTGAGATCTGCTATCCATACCCTGAGCAACGGTAGGTCTGTTCAAGTGTCCACGTTGAGAGTATCATTGGATCGCTTGCTCAAGTTGTGCGAGAGATTGACAGACTTCGACATGCCCGATCTGTTCTTGCTCAGGATATTTCAGGTTCCCGAGTGCCACATCACCTGCATCCAATCCTCCCTTCGTGGTACCTGTGAAACGATGCGACGCAAGCAGATCTTGTCCTCGTGCAACATTCTGCTGTCCGAAGTGGGTTGTGAAACAATCTGTGCGATGGCTTTTGATGCATCTTGCCCTGCGGCTCTGCAGCGAAGCCGTGTGACGATGCCACTGATGCTTAGCTCTGTCTGGGTGGGACAAGGCTTTTGAAAGGACAGACTGGAAGTGTTGCGTGGAGGTCATAAGGACGCCCTCCTCGTTCTCGCTGGCAATAATGGAGTCTGCATTTCGCAAGCCGCAATTCGCAATCCGCAAATCGCACTCTCAAACGTCACGGGACAACATCCCTGTCGACTTTCCGGCTCCACCGACAAGAGTTGGCGGCAGCCACAGGAATCACGACATTGTCTTGGATGTCCAAAGCAATCTCTTAATAATGATCACCTTTGCTCTGCTATGATGATGCGGGAGTACGTACACCCATCTGGGATATCAAAGGCATGGCCCAATAGCCCATAGCAAAGATTGCGTGCGTCTGCCAAGCGGACCCTGTCAGTTTTCTCCTGAGATTTGCTTCAGATGGAAGATCGCCGGTGGTAGCAAGTCGAAACAGACGGTTGAGGTCCACAGGGCGAAAACAAACCTCCGACATTAACGTCTTGCGCGTCACTTCTGGCTGTGCGACATGTGTGCGTCTTGCTGCTGCTGGTTGAAACGGGCCTGCAACGGTGAGCATGTCACTCGAAAAGGGATGACTTGGGGGAAAGTTGGATGTTGGACGGGTGCGTGCTGGCTCTGGAGTTTGGCGGAGGGCGGGAGCGCTAGCAGCTGCTTGATTGGGGAAGCAGCCAATCAGACGGATCGGGCGATGAAGCATGTGCAGGGGTCCGGAGCAGGGTTGATGGTTGGGGTGTGAGGAAGGATGTTGCACTGATGCTGCGAGAGGGGGGAACAGAGATCCGTGGACGTACATGTACGAAGACCATGCAGCTCACTCAGTGCAATGCTTGATTAGATTGTTGGTTGAGGGCATATGAGAAGAAAAAGAAAAGAGGTCGCTTCGAAGGATGAATTGAGGTGTGTTGAACAAGTGCATTCGGCGCTAGAAGCGGGCCAGTGCGTGGGCGATAGGAACAAGGTTCGCCGATTCTGTTGCAGCCGAAGGGCAAATTGGCCACCAGCAGCAGCAGCAGCAACCGTCAAAAAGTGTGATGATGCGGCAGTTGGGAGGAGCTTCTCTTTCTCCATCCATCCCTCACCATTCACCTCTCCTACTCCACCACCGCCATCCCTCCCATACCGCTGCGCATCGGGAGCGTATCCGGGACACGCTCCTTCTGAACCACCTCCACGCCGATTCCATCGGCCTCGCCTGGCGCCAGCCGTGGGTGGGAGCATTGAGGTGTGCCGCCCACGTGCATCTCCCACTGCTGCGAACTCCTCAACCGGAGCTGCATCGCGCCATACTGCGCTTCCCCACCACCCCGATATATCTCCAATCCCCTCGCCCTGGACTCGCCGTAGCACCCCCGACGTCCTCCCTGCTCCCCCTCCACCACACCCGCTCCGCGCACGCCGGCGCCCAAGCTGGAGGAAAGCAAGGACTGGGTGTCAGAGAGCAGCCGCTCTTCTGATACCGACGACTACCCCGCCGACTCCTTCTCCCACCCGAGAATGAGAGAACGTTCGTCCTGGCGAGACTGGAACCCGTTGCGACGCTTCCAGCACGGCAGATACTCCTACCAACAGATACCTTCGCTTTCGGTTGAGAGTCTCAATGGCGCGTTCCAGCTCGCTTCGCAGCAGTGGCCGCAGAACACCGTGTCATGGCGGGAAAGGAGACGGAAATGTGGCATTGCCAAGCTGTCGTGGTCAAAACCGATTGTCTTGGCTGTCGCGAGTATCCTTATCCTCACACTGCTGGGTGGTGGAGGATACCATCATCACCAAAGGAAGATGAGGGAGAAGAACAATCCCAAGGATGTGCCCTACTACTGGATGCACTACCTTCGCCTGAATGGGTTCTACAACGGCATTCGAACGCTTGTTCCCTACTCGCAGTACGCAGCAGAGAATGGATACAACAAGACCGAGCCATTGAGCATGCAGACTTCGCCTGAACAATTGAAGCTGTCTAAAGGCCAACCTCCCCTCGAGCCTCAAGTCTACAGCCCGTACCCCGAGTACTCGTCACAACAATATTTGGCAGACCACCATACAGTACATACCTGTTATCTGGATGAGGCAGAGACCATCCCTGTACCTGATATTTACGCTTACCCCGGTGTTCCACAGCATATGGCGGAACCATTCTACGGGTCGTACGATACGCTTGGCCTGGAGGACAAGATGTGCTTCGAGCGCTATGGACGATACGGCCCATACGGCTTCGGTTACAACGCGACTTCTAACGGAACGAGCCCGGGAATGAACGCCGAGAGTGAAGGGAGCGACAAGATATTTGAAAAGATCAGGCATATCAACTATGACCACGTCGATTGGGGCTCTGCGCAAAGGAGGTGTCATGAGAGGAACAAGGCGAGATTCGAGGATGGCAACGGCAAGAAAAGAGTCGGACGACAAGCATATGTTCTGCGTACATGGACTGGTTATGAGTACACGCCAAACCAGGTCATCGCGCTGCGTGCCATGGTAAACGAGCTGAGCTTGAAGTCTGGAGGTGAATACGACGTCCATTTTCTGGTCCACGTGAAGAACGATAGCATCCCCATCTGGGCTGACAGGGGTGTCTACCAGCAGACTTTGGAGGAGAATGTGCCTCGCGAGTTCTGGGGAATCAGCACGCTCTGGTCTGAAGCCCAGATGGAGATGTACTATCCTCACCCATTCCCTGGTAACTTCGCCAATATGGCGGGCAGCAAGGTCCATAGTGTTTACCGGAGTGCGCATTTCCCACTACAGTGGTTCGCTCAGCAACATCCCGAGTACGACCATTTCTGGAATTGGGAGATGGACATCAGATATTCGGGCCATTACTATGAATTCAACAACAGGATCGCGGAGTGGGCCAGGCAACAGCCACGAAAGGGCATGTGGGAGCGAGCTCGACGATTCTACATTCCCAAGTACCACGGCAGCTGGCAGAACTTTACCAATTTCGTGGAGCAGGAGACCGCGGATGTTGATGTTGGGAAGAACGATCAAGTCAAGAGTGGACCAGTGCCAATCTGGGGACCAATCAAGGACTTTCCCAACATTGGAATGATGGAATCGCCTGAGGGTACAAGCCCGCCAACGACTTACGAGCAGGACAACTACGAATGGGGTGTTGGTGAGGATGCTGATCTGATGGTGTTCAACCCAATCTTCGACCCGGCGACCACAAACTGGGTATTCAGCTGGGACATCTCAGGCTACGGCGACCATACGCTTCCACCTCCACCACGCCGGGTAGCCATCATCACAGTCGCCCGACTTTCGAAGCGACTGCTGGACACGATGCACAAAGAAACCTGGCACATGCGACATACCATGTTCCCCGAGATGTGGCCTCCCAGTGTCGCCATGCACCACGGCCTGAAAGCCGTCTACGTGCCCCATCCCGTGTATTTCGACCGCGACTGGGACGTCGGATATATGAACGGGGTGTTCAACTACCCCCACGAAATCTGGGAGTCTCCCTTTGGCTGGGGAGAACACAACATGCTGGGCAGCAGCTTCTACTACAACAGCGGCTTTAGCGGAGCGCTCTGGCGGAGATGGCTCGGGCAGTGGGAGAACGGCGAGGGCGGTCGAGCGGCCGAGGAGGCAGGGACGGGTCGGATGTGCTTGAGAGGGACGCTGCATCATCCCATCAAGCACGAGAGGGGCCCTGAAGCGTGATGAGGAGTGTTTGTCCTTTTACTGCGGCGTTCAAGCGGGCGTGCGTTTGTCGCATCTTCTATATGGCGTTCGATGGTGGCGGGATAGGCATATTTGCTGTTGGATTAACACCGCAAGGTCTATTGTCTGGATTTGTGAGCAGTGCCGTGCAAGCAGGAATGTACATATTATATATGATGGGGCGTAGGAGTGTGGGAGTGGGAGCAATGAGGGCGCGAGGCACTGACAAATGTGCATAGAGATATAGGTCATGGTCTTTTTGGAGACTTTTACAAGAAGTGTTTTAATGACGATACTATACCGTACCGAGTACATGTATGTCTCGTCCAATACTTTCTCCATGACTAGTAATCGAGGTTGGAACATGTAGGTCGTATGACGTGAGCTCCATTACCATTCATTCATTCACCAACCACCGCAAAGTACAGCGTACATCATCCATCATATGCAGGATCCGAAGGACCGTACACGAGGAAACAACATCCGTGGTACCTGCCTTCTCTCTCACACACACTCTCTCGCACGCGTCCTATTTCTCATCATTACAGGAGTGACCCATTGCGGAATGCCCTCCTCCTCGTCCTCGAAATTCTACAGCCCTACGTCACTGCGTCTTCAGCCCCACATTGGTGACGCTGGCGTGCATCAGATCTTTGAGATTGAAGGTTCGCGGCAAGGACGTTACGGTAGGGAGAGATGTGAATTCAATCGAATCAGAAACGGATTGGAGGTTGGTGATGTTTTTGGGGCCGGCAGAGAGGGATGCTTGGTGGTGGATGATGGTGGTGGGAGGAGTGAAGCAAATCGCCGTTTGCAGTGCACATGTGCCTCGCCTCGGAACGGCATCGCGAGGTGCAGAAAGGTGAAGTGAGTAATTGATGAGGTTTGTGAGCAGACATCAGTCAGTCAGGCGGTTTCGGGGCGTTTTGTCCGTCAGCAGCGAACATGTGATAGAAGCGAGAAGTAGTTGTGGTTTGTCGGCCTGAGGAAGGTCGTGAAGTCCGAGATCCGCGAAATGCCGCAGGAAAGGATGGTGAGAGTGAGTGGACTGGAGTTTTCGTCTGAACTTCATCAACATTGTTGCCTCTGTCGAGAGTCGAGAATCGGTATCATCCTGGCAAGAAAGCAAGCAGTGCATATCGACTACCGCCCGCGACAATCTTCAGCAGCGTGTGTGTGGTCCCGCCGGCGATCTCATCAAGACGCGACAAACAGCTCGCTCCATCCGTCGCCTCCCTACAGTACCTACCTACCTACCAGCTGGCGTGTGGAGGTGGCCATCATTATTGCTTCTGGGGAAGGATTATTAAGACATCACTCATGATGCGAACAATTGAGGTCAGTGTTTTGTTTGCCATTTCCTTATGACGTTGCACGTTCGAGCACAGGCCCGATTCTTCGTCGTCACCACACATCACCGCCGCCGCCGTTCTGCTGGGCCCCCCTTCGTCGTCCTCGCTTGGGGGGTGAAGGAGCCGGATGACGGGTGTGCGACCACTGGCCTCTCGACCAAGCCATCCCTCATCCAGGGCCGGTGGCGCCTGCTGCTGCTGCCGCACCTACATGTTCTCATTGAAGAGAGTGGGTTGCTCCTTCTTTGTCGCGACGCGCATGACGTAGGCCTTGGCGCAGCGGCAGCACCTCACATCCCATCACCACCTGCAGTCCATCCACAACTTCCAACTTGCACATGCGAGCTGATCCATGCCGGCTGCATCATCAATCATCCACTCCTCTCTCTGCTGCTGCTGCGCGACACCACCACCACCTCCTCCTCCAGCGGGTTGATTGATCATCACCACCACCATCTCATAGCCAAGCTGCTTTCTCGATTGAGTCCCTCCACCTCCTCGCCTCTGCAGTCCGACACACCTCCACCACCTCCGCCGACTGTCTTTCAGTTTCCTTCGTCCGCCGGGCCTGTGACGCCCAGAAAGTCTAATTAATCATGTCGACGATACAGAACCTCAAGAACTTCATCCGCCACGGCAAGCAGGCCAGAGACGCCCGCTCGCCGCCCGACCAGGCCACCACCCACGTCTCCAACGTCCACGCCCAGCAGCAGCGCTTCCACCAGGGCCATGGCGCCCACCACCCCCAGCCGCACCACGCCGGCGTGAGCGACCCGAACGTCTACGAACACAAGCCACTGCAAGCCGCCGCAACCCACAAGAACGACTTCTCCGCCGCGGCCGTCGACAATCGAAATGTCGCCGCCAAGGCAGGCCACGCCGCGGCCGGTGCCGTTGACGCCCAGCAGAAGAAGGACCAGAAACAGAAAGACTACGACTCTTCTGTCCTCGAGCGCATCGTTGCCGAAGAGCGCGATAGCAAAGGCAAGCTCCCGAGATATCCTGGTCTGGAACGCTGGCAGCTGGTCGAGAAGATGGGTGACGGCGCCTTCAGCAACGTCTACCGCGCCAAGGATACCCAGCACGTCTACGATCAGGTCGCGATCAAGGTGGTGCGCAAGTTTGAGATGAACTCTACCCAGGTATGCATGCGGTCGACCGTGCTGTTTTCTTTCTTCCTCACCTCGTTTTTTGCCCCCACCCCCGTGCGAACGAACTTGTATCTTTATTGAGACTTGCCAACCCGTGTGCCTGCTAGGGCGTTCTGCATCCGGATTTCGACAAGAAGGCGCCAAAGGGCGTGGAGGTGCGCAGTACTCCAGTCTTTCTCCTCTCTCCTCGCTGCCCCCCTCCGACGACGAAGCAAATTACATTTGACATCCGCTGACGTCATAATTCACAGCGAGCCAACATCCTCAAGGAGGTGCAAATCATGCGCCAACTGGACCACCCCAACATCGTCAAGCTCATCGATTTCTCAGAAGCACGACAGTACTACTACATTGTCCTCGAGCTGTGCCCTGGTGGCGAGCTGTTCCACCAGATTGTGCGTTTGACTTACTTCAGCGAGGAGCTTTCGCGACACGTCATTACTCAGGTTGCTGAGGCGTTGGAATACCTGCACGAGGAGGCGGGTGTTGTGCATCGGTGAGGATCTTGTGATGTATGGGATGATGCGTTGGCTGACTTGTGACAGTGATATCAAACCTGAGAATCTTCTGTTCTACCCGGTACCGTTCATCCCTACCAGGAATCCCAAGCCGAAAGGACCCGAGGATGAGGATAAGGCCGACGAGGGAGAGTTCATTCCTGGACAGGGTGCTGGTGGTATTGGAACGATCAAGATTGCCGACTTTGGTCTTTCGAAGGTCATCTGGGATAGCCAAACGATGACGCCTTGCGGAACGGTCGGCTACACTGCGCCTGAGATTGTGAAGGATGAGCGTTACTCGAAGAGCGTCGACATGTGGGCACTCGGCTGTGTGCTTTACACTCTGCTCTGCGGTTTCCCTCCATTCTATGACGAGAGCATCCAGGTGCTCACTGAGAAGGTCGCCCGCGGACAGTATACCTTCCTGTCGCCATGGTGGGATGACATCTCCAAGTCTGCACAGGATCTCGTCTCGCATCTTCTGACCGTTGATCCCGACAAGCGATACGATATCAAGCAATTCCTCAATCACCCCTGGATCCGCGGATCGAGTGAGGAGACTTACGCTGCTGCTGACGCACCCCCTCTCGCAACTCCTCTGCACGTTCGCCAGGGCCAAATGTCCACTGGTGACAAGAGTGCTTCACCAATGAAGCCTGACTTCACATACCTCGACGACACTCCCGGCGCAAGTCGACGGATGGACTTCCGATCTCCCGGGGCTGTCAATCTGCGAGAAGTGTTTGATGTCGGTTATTCAGTGCATCGCCAGGAGGAAGAGGGCAAGCGGAGGAAGAACTTTAAGCAAGGCTACCGTGGCGGCAACCCGATGAACTCGCTCAACGCACTGGATGAGGAGTACCTGGATGATGACGAGGACGAGGGTGTCTCTGCACCTTATGACCCCAACTCGCAAAATCCACCGGCCAAGGTACCGAAGTCGGGCGCAGCACCAGACGTTGGCGGCATGGAGAAGCAGATGCGGAATACCAGCTTGTCGGCAGCAGCGCAGGCACGTCAAGCGAATGCCCCTCGGCAAACGCAGCAGCGTGGGTACGGCCAACATTCCCCTGAAGTCGCGGCGGCTGCGAAGAGACAAGTCCGTAACAAGGCGGGTGCATTTGAGCTGAGTCTCGACAACGCCACGCTTCTTGGACGAAGAGGCAAGAAGCCGGAAGCTTCGAGCGGCTTGAGACATGAGCAGACGGTGCAGTAGAACGGCCGGTGGTGATGCTTGCTTGTCTTGATGTTTGCAATTGAGGATCGAAAAGCTGTTTTCCCTCTCTCATCTCTAGAATCAGATTTCGATGGGAAAGGAGGAGAAGAAGAAAGAAGAAGAAAGACACGATCAATCGATGGATGGATGCGATGCACGATGCGATGCGATGGGCATATTTTATGGCGTTTTCTTTTTTTTTCCTTTTTTTTTCCTTTTTTTTTTGTGGTTTCAAAGGGGAATGGATTGAAATGGGAATGAGATCGAGGCTTGTTGCACCCAATTTCGACAGATACAGATTCTTTTTTATTTTTCTTATTCTTTTGCTTCTTTTTGGGTGGTGAGGGTGGCGTTTTGTTTGTTTGTGTTTTCGAGATGGGAGTGCTTGTTTTCTTGTTTTAGTTGTAGCGATGCAAGTATGTTATGGAAGTTTTTGAGATGAGGATCTCGAGATGTGTTTGTTTGAGTTTTGTCTTTGGTGATTGTGAGTGTGAGGTGATAAGTATTTTGTAGTGAGTTGGTGAGTTGGTGAGTCTGAGTGATGCATGTGACGGTATGAGTGGTAGGGAGTGCAGGGTACGGCAGTAGGGGAGGAATCTAAGTCTTGAAGAAAGAAGGTATGGGTCGAAGGGGTTAATGTATGATCTGTACACTCTTTGATTACATATTGATACACTCTGAGTCTCACTCCCTCTTCCTCTGGCTGTTCTTCATCTGCGGGAGGGATACCAACTCTGAGCTATGACTTGTATGTAGCTCATCATCACCATCTCCTGCCTTTCTCCATGGAATGATAACTCTAATCGATACTCGTTCATCATCTCCACCACACCGTGCCTCTCACCCTTCGTTCATTGAGATGCCTGCTTATCTCCTCCTACTCATTCAAATCCATCCTCTCCCCCATCCCCACCTGCTCAACACCCACCACGTCCCCCTTCACAAGCCCGTTATCCGCCGGAGGAGGATTCTCAATAATCGCCGGAATCGCCATCATCGTGCCCGCACCACCACCAGCAGTAGCTCCTCCTCCTTGCACCTCCTCAGGCTCCAAACTCGCGCTCGCAGAATTCGGCGTCGACGTCGTCAACTTGGGTTTGCGAGGCCCTTTCTTAATCCCCGCATCCTTGCGTTTGTGCAAGTTCTTACTCCCCGGCGGACGACCTTTGCGCACGCCGACGGGTTTGCCGGGCGAGGTGCTGCCTGGGGGTGCGGGCGCGGGGTCGACGCTGCCGCTGCGGTTGGAGCTGGAGCCGACGCTGTCGCCGCGGAGTTGGAGGACGCGTTTGGGGACGTGGTTCTTCCAGCGGCCGCGGGCGGCGGGTTGGTAGTCTTCGGGGGCGAGGAGGGAGGGGGTGGGGCCGCGGTCGGGTGTGGCGGAGGGGGTTTCTTTGTCGTCGGGTGGGGTGTCGTTGGAGGTGATGTTGTGGTTCAGACGGGAGCGTTTGCGGGGTGGCTGCACGACGACGCCGTCGAAGCGGGAGACGGGCTTGATGGTGCGTTTGGCGGTCATTTCGCCGTCGCCGTAGTCAACTGCTGTGGCGTGCGGGTCGTGGCCGTAGCGATTGCGGCGGCGGCGGAGCTCGCGGCCTTCTTCATCGCGGACTATGCGTTGGGCGTCGGGGTCTTGATAGCCGATCTTGCGCGGGTCGAAGTTGTAGTCGTAGAGGATAGATTCTTTCTTGTCCTCCCAGACGGCGGTTTCGACTGGTTGGCGGCCGCCTTTGACGGCTTTGCGCTCTTTCTTGCCGTGCATGGGGTTGCGGGCGACGACTTCGTCGAGTCTGAGGTACTCGTCTTGGAGTTGTTGGAGTGCTAGCTGTGCATTGCCAGCGATTTGCTTGAGCGAGTCGAGGGAGCGGGCTGCTGGGTCGTGCTTCGTGAGTGCTTTGATGAATGCCTCTGGGCCGATCATTGCCGGAAAGTCCTTGCGCATGATCTTCGCCGCCTCATCCAGCTCATCTGCTTCAGTGTCCGACCACTCCTCTTTGAAGAGGCTTGGCAGGTCTTCCTCGATCACTTTGTCTTCTTCAGGTGGCAGGAGAGGTGGTCGTGGAGTGGGTGCCTTGGACTGCGAGTTGGAAGAGCCTTTCGATCTCATCTCTGCTGCAGCAAGTCCGCTGCGCTTTCTGATGACCCTCGCGGGTTTCTGTAGAGCAGTCGCTTTGCGCTCAGCTGCTAAGGCCTCACGCTGGAGTTGCGCCTCGGGTCCATCGCCAGCACGTGGACGGCCGCCGACAGCTCGTGACTTCCTGCCGCCAGCAGTGAGGCGAGACGCTTCGTCTTTTGATACTTGACACCACTTGCCGCCGCCGCGATACTGCCAACTCAGATTCGGCCACTTGTCAGGTCCATCTTCTCTCCTCAGTAGAGCAGTAAGCGGTGGTGGCTTGGGCCCAGTATCCTCTTCAGATCTGAGAAGTGCCATCTTGTCTTGTGCGCCGGGTCCACGAACGGCAGTCTTGTTAGAACTACCAGGAGGTGGTAACCCTCGAGCCCACTTGCCTTGGCCTCGATGGTGAAAGGTCTCGTCAGGGTGATCGTGGACGTAGGTCGAGTCGAAAAGTCCTTCAGGTTCGAGGTCTTCAAAATCCTGTGTGCTTGGGGGAGGTCGAGGGGGTCGTGTGCCTCGAGCCCAGCGACCTTGTCCGCGGTGGTGAAATTCCTCGTTTGGATGAGCTTGGACATAAGCTTTGTCGAATAATTCACTTGGTTCGTCATCCCACATGTCAATCTTCGGCTTGGAGCTTCGCCGCCTGCCGCTACTTCGGCGAAACTCGTCGCTGGCATGTGATTCGGCGTAGTCTTTGATGAAGCTGTTGTCGGCCTTGCTGGACCGACGCTCTGACGATGCTGCTGGTGTGGCGGTTCCTGCTTCAAACACACTGCTCTTCCGCCTGTATCGTCCACTTCCCCGATGCACCCAGTCAATCTCTGGATGTAGTAGTGTGTATTCTTTGCTGAACGTTCCTGCCACCTCATTCGTACTGCTTCCCACAACCGGCTTGACACTCTCCATGTCATCTTCTTCTTGGGCGATGCTGCTGCGTCGACGGTCAGGGCGTATCACCTGACCATCCGCAGCAACAGTAATGCTTCCACGCTTGCCAGTCGGGCCCACACCTGGTTTGTAGTACCGGTTGCCTTTGTGGTGGAAGGTCATTCCAGGGTAGTTGTGCAGATCGTCGGCGTGGATGGTGAGGCCTGGGCCTAATTCCCGCGAGACATCGCTGCTGCTGTATTTGCGAATAGCATGCGAAGCAGTGGAGTCCCGACGTCTGGAGTGCTTGTCAGACTCGGATCGTGAGCCCCGTTTGTACCAGCCGTTGCCGGTGTGGTGGAAGGTCTCGTGTGGGTGCGCTTCGACGTAGTCTTTTCTGAATGTCTTGTCCGGATCGTGGGAATCGTCACTATCTCCAGCCATGTCGTCGTCCTCTGCGTAGATGGAATTGTTGGGTGCGTCAGTTAGTCGTGAGCTGCGACGTTGTTCAATACTTGGGACGGCAGTCTTGGCCTGGCGTGAAAGCCTGGTCCGTGCGCCGTCGTCGTTTGCATTGCTGCTTGCTATCGTGGCGGTGTTCATGGGAAACTCGACGTCCATAGCTTTGTTCCATTTTCGAACCACTTCACGTTGGCTTTTGTCCCGGATGAGCTCGATGGCTTTGGGCCATTGGTGTCGAGGAGTCGTCTTGATCAGGTTGAGGATGAGGTTGAATTGATGCTTGAACGATGGACTCCAGCCAGGCTTCGCCATTGGGTTGTGCTTTCGTCTGAAGTCGTCAAAGTGTTGTGCCAAGGCTTCGGTCATCTGGTCCATAGTCCGCTCGCTCGTTGCCACCGAGCCGGTCGTCTTTTCAGTGGTTTGCCTGCTTTATCGTTAGATACCAAAGCTTCTGATATACATCGTCGACAATACGTACCTCGTTGGCCTCGGGGAGACATTGGGATTGTCAGATTTGACTTCAGATGCTGGTAAGTAGCGGCCTTGCCCACGGTGGATCCATTTGATGTCGGGATGGAGTCGAGTGTACTCTTTTGAGTAAGTACCGCGATGATTTGGCCCGTACGTCGATTCTTCATCGTCATCGTTTCCGGCCTGGTAAAACTGTTGGTGGAAGTTGTTGGATGCGTGTGAGATGGGCTTCGGCTTGGTGCGTATGATTCCCCGAAACCTGTCCCTCGCAACGCCGTCGCTGAACCGAACGGTCAACAGACCACTATAGATAGACGCTTCCATCGCCGCCGGAGGGAAATGTTTGTAAGAATGGGATGCTGCGAAAGAGGGGCCTTGGTGTTGCGGCGTGGTTGTTGATTGCGTAGGACGAGCGACGAGGATGTCACTCGATGCATTTGATGAGACGTTGGACGCCGTGCGTTCCACTTCGGGCAGCCCGTCCCCAAAGTCTCGTCGCCGGCGGGGCGACATGTTGGAGGCGGCTCGGGCCCAGCTCATCATCCTGGCGGGCGGCGGCGGTGGGGGATGGGGTGGCCGTCGTAAAGATTTGAATAAAGAACCACGATGGAGGTTGCCAGCCAGGGCCAAGCCAAGCCAGGGAGGATTCGGAGGCAGGCGCAGGCGGATCCCGTCTAGGTTCGGTTAGCCCTCTGATCCTGGCTGCAGCGCGACGAACCGAGCGAATCATTGGGAGGTTTTGAGTGGCTAGCGTACCGACTGGGATGGTCTTGCTTGCTGCTTCGACGACATGTTAGCTTCTTCTTTCTCTTTCATCAATGTACCAATCAATGCAACGACGATTCCATCAATTGCTTGATCGATGGGATGGTTGACGGAGATGACAGGGCTTTGGATGGTGTGCAGAGCCCTTGTGTTCTGACAACGAACGATGAGAATGGCGGAAAAACTCACCCAAGCGCTCACGGCAGCCATCGAGCAAAGATCCAACCCAGAAGAGAGAGGATGAGATAATTGCCGACCAAGGCGACCAGCTCGGTAACGCGCTCGTTAACAGCCTCGCCTTGGCCCTTCACCCGGCGAAGATCCTGGATGTACCAGTGCTCTGCCGTCGGACGGGGTGGAGTTCGTCCTGTTGGTGTCATTCTGCTGTTCCCGCTCAGAACGACGAGGACAGGTTGATGGTGATGTTGTTGGATGGCTTAGAAGACAGTGGAGAGGTTGGAGATCCAGCGCTCGTCGATGGCAGCCTACAGCATGTGAAAGCCGCAAGTGAGGGCATTGCCGTCCTTCACTCAGAACAAGCTGGATCGGTGCTAGTGAGCGCGCGCAACAGGAGGCATCCCCGGCAGAGGTACGACGACCACCGCGATGGATGTATCTGCGATACCTTCCATGTCCACCTGGCGACCAGGGTTGTATTCGAGCAGGAGTCACCATTCAGCGCACATCAACCGCCTGCCGTTCCAAAGGGACGGCACCGATCTTTTCACCCTCAGCTATTGAAGGAGAAACTCGGCTCAAAACGTCCTTACATCCCTACACTATAACGCTACGTCGATCTTGGCTCTCACAGGCATATCATATTTTCTCCTCATGCAATCTACGGGACAACTCGGTCAGGACAGCGTTGTGACCAGCGCTCGACACGCAAAATGTCTATGGCATTCTCCATATTCTCTTTACAGCAGACTGCGGGTGTTGTGAGGCAGCTGCAGCACAGGCCTCGTTGATGTACTATGGCTTTGTCTGAAGGACGCCTCTTGGATGCGCTACTCTGAAAGAAGGGCTTTCATATTTGACCATCAAAGCGCGATCATGCCATTGTGGACGGACAAGGGTAGCGTATCTGGAAGAGGTATCAATCTAGACCTGGGCGCTTTGCCGACTCAGAATGCCATTGTCGACAGCGGGTGGCATTCATATAAATATTCTTCCGCCCTGAAAAGTTTGGATCTCATCCACCACCGAACAACCCTCATACTTCTTCCACACGATCCACGCACGCGTGCACAACCGAAAACACACCAACACCAACACCACAGCCATGGACAACCCTCCCGCCGCTTCCTCCACCAGAGCCGATGATGCCATCTTAAGCACCCTGAAGCCACATCACTCGGTAGATATCGAGTTTCCTTGCAGAGAGCTTCTTCAAGATGGCGAAGGCATGATCTTGCCTCATCCTTGGGACATCGAGGAGAGACATCAGCCTTTCCCACTCGCCCCGGATGACACTATCGAGCAGAGATGGCCCTGGCTGAACGTCTTTGACACTAGACGTGCCTCATACTACCCTGTTGAGGCTGTCTTTGATCCCGAGCTCTTCTCAGAAGATGACGATGAGTTGAGAGCAACAGATGACCTTGCTGCTGACATGGCAAGACTCATCAATAAATTCGAGGGCAGTACAACTCTCGAGCTGCTCACTTACGTCCCACTCAATCTCAATGAGGACGATGCCCCGAAGTGCGAGTATGATATTCGAGTTCGCATTCGTCGCACCACGCTTCTGGATGGCGAGGACGCCCAAGCTGACGAACTCCAACCCGCGATCTACGAGTCGACCGTCAGAGATTGGAGGAGCATGATGAGGTCCGACGCTGTCGTTCACGCTTGGCAGGACGACATCGTTCATCTAATGCACCAAGATTTGGACCAAGATGTCCGACACGTGCAGCTCAAGATGGAGGATTCCGGCCTGGACTACGAAGACTGGGTCAACTGCGACCTCTGGCAGAAACCACGACAGATGCCCATCGATCAAGGCATAGCCAAGATTACTACTACCTTGACTAAGCCTGAGCTGGACCAGTTCAACGAGACTCTCGCCGATGACGACAAATTGCTCCAATGCCCATCTTGCCTGGAGGACTACGATGAGAGCACTACAAACACAGCCGTACTACTCCCCTGCTCGAAGAAACACTGCCTCTGCTTGACCTGCCTCAAGCAGTGGTGCATCCAGAACGGACTTGACAAGGTGAGCTGCCCCTACTGCCGCCAGCGCTTGACGCCACCAGAAATGGCGCAGCAGGTGAAGCCAAACTACCTGGACATTGACGGTCAATTCGAGCAAGACTCCCGTTTCACAGACTACGAGAACGCCGAGCGCTCATACGCCCCACTCGACCGCGTGGCTTCTTCAGAGGATGACACCCTGACTGTGGTCGACCAAGACGTCTTGATCGAGGCCTGGAACAAGATCGTACCTAACGGGTACGACGACTACACCCCTGAGCGCTTGACTCCCGTGAAAGCGCCTGAGGCATGGTTCTTCTTCCGAAGCTTCCTCCAAACCGTCAGACAACAGCACGGCAAGACGCTCCAAGCAAAGAAGCTCTACCGCACCCTCCGCCGCAACACGTTCGAAGCTTTGAGGGCAGAGTTCGTCGCCAATGGCAAGGACAAGTTCCTCTGTGCGCAGAGCAAGGCAATCATCGATGAGAACGCTGCTAGGACGCCAATGCGCTTCGACATCCGTCCGTTCGTGGATAAGTCGCTCAACCGCATCGTCCAGCTGTCGATCAAGAGCGGCACTCTCAATGCCTCGCGGACTGAGTCTGACTAGGATATGGACATCGATTGATGAAGACTGACAACCAGAATGATCACATTGGGAGGGATTATTTGCATTGGGGCTGACACAGATTGATACATTTTCTCTCCAGGCGTTCGGCGTTGGTAACTAGACTGAAAAGGTTTGATATTTCCACATCTTTTTCTTCCCCCTTCTCGCTTCACTTGACTCTACAGTATGCGCTCTCTTACTCTAATTTCCACTCGCAGAGACTGTAGATGTCCCACACCACCTGGCATTGGATTTTCTCGCGCCCTCCGGATACAGCGATATTCGTCTCTCTACTGTGGGCAGCCGGATTTCGACCATCGCTTGGTCTCTGCATTGGTATCCCAAATCTCGCCTTTCAATACGGATACTTCTACCAATTTCAAAGAGATGGATCCCAACTTGCGGCTCGACATCTCTGCGAGCGGCCAAATCTCGATCTACGCGCAAGGGCTTACAACACCCGACGGGAAAGCTCTGTCGGGGACTTGGTGTGTACAGCTTATTTTAAAGCACTTCAAGCATACATCGAACATTCGCTGATGCACCATGCCTTCGTTTGCAGGTTTTCTGTTTAGGCTGGCTAGATCAGCAAGGACTTCTAGTTGCCTATGTTGGATGTCAAAGAATCCGTTCCATCATACAAAGCCCTGGCTCTCAAAGCAAGGCATTGACATCTGAGCACTCCTTGTTTGAAACAAAGGGCTTTGTAGGCGTTGAAGCTCTGGCTTAAGTAGCACTGCGTCTCGCAAGCGTGAGGTGAGATCGCGTACTACACCAAAATACCTTGTACTAAATCTCATCTGCGCTGGACGCAGACCAAATCAAAACCACAGGCCTTGCACTCGGCTAGAAGCTCAACATGGGCAACAGCAACTCGGCTATGAGCGCCTCAATCTCTTCATCTCTACAGAAAGGTGGGCGTTCACTCCGCAAAAGCAGCCCAAAGGCTCACAGCTCTGCTAAACCTACCCAGGGCGGTTTCGCCTCTTCGCTAGCACCAAACCACCTGGTCGAAATTTTATAACCTTGTGCCGACATCCTGAACGACGGCGAAACCCTCGTTATGGCCCGCATAGACAGGCAGGCTGAGAGATATCAACCTCTGCCGCTTGCGCCCGACGATGACATTGAGGAGACCTATCCATGGCTCGGCGGCTATGAGTCTCTTTGCATAGCACGTTATCTGTCTACGCGCGTCCTTCACAAGCTTTCTCTCCTTGATGGACTTTCTGGGACGACAGATTTGGCTTCTCGCATAAACAAGCTCATTCACTATGTGGGCGCATCGATAATCCGCATGGTCACCTACTCGACTGACGAGGATGGCATTGGAATCCGGGTCTGTCTTCAGACAAGCTTAAGACGTCAAGGCGGCAAAATCAAGGACCTGGAGCCGGCAACTTTCGATTTCACGATGGAGCAATGGAAACAGATGTCTGCAGGCCCAGATGACCAGTTGCCTGCTTGGCAAAGCGACATTGACAGCCTTTTGTTCCGGAAACTCGACAGACACGTCCGTCATGTAGAGTTCATGCTCGGACTATATGGGTATGATAACAATGAGACCGATCGCAGCAGCGGCTGGAAGACCCCACGGCAAGTGTCGGTCAAGGACGGCATACCGCTCATCGCCAAGACGTTGACCAAGCGTGAGCTGGCCGAGCACAATAGGGCCCTCTTGCCAGATGATCAGATTGAGCAATGCCCGATCTGCTTTGGCTCATACCAGGACGCGAGTGAGTTGAACAGTACGGTCATGCTACCCTGCTCGAGCAAGCATTGCATCTGCTACGAATGCTTCCACAACGTCTGCGAGGTCAACGGTCTTTCGGATACATTATGTCCCTATTGCCGTAAGCAAGTAGCCCCTCCTGGTTTGGCCCCCCGTCTAGGACCAAACTTTATGGATATCGACGCTCCCTTCACGTATGATGCAAGATACACCGAATTCGAGAACCGAGAGAGGTCCTTTGCAGCGATTGACCGCGTGCCGCCTTGGAAGCGCGAGGCTTGGATCGTTGTCGACAAAGACGTCTTTGTGGAGTCGTGGAATCAGGTCGTACCACATGGATTCGAAGACGACAACACCCCAGCCCGCTGCATCTATACCAAAGCCCCTGAAACATGGCACTTCTTCAAGAGCTTCCTAGATTCAATCAGAGGCCTCGACGGCATCATTTGGGAGGTCGGCGACCTCTACAACGTTCTCCGCGATCATGTTCTTGAAGCCTTTGCGGACCAATATCTTGCCAACGGTATGGGCGCTTATCTTCGGCCCGAGGATCTGGAGAGACTGCTTGCGGGCGAGGATGAAGTTCTGTCGGGCGGCTACGCTGATTACATCCAGAGGACTCTCCACCGCGTGATCCAGCTGCCTATCCATCGTGCTTGCTACGACCATCGTGAGCACATCACGGAGACCAACCCGATGGGCATGCACTCTCATGGAGACCTCGTGTTCTGGTGTCCCAAGGACGGTGCCATCGACCTCATGCCCCTTCGTGAACGATGGCGGCTGAGGCAACTCAATATGTGACGGTGAGCAAGTTCACGGTGCAATTACAGATGTGACACATTCTATGCGCAGGCCTTTGGCGTTGGTGAGTCGACCAAAAAGGTTTGATGTTTCCATCTCTTGCTTCCCCACATTCCTCTCTTTCCCCTTCGCTCACTTTTACAATACAGATTCACGCTTCTTGGCTCTGAGTACCACTCACGGAGAATGTAGATGTCTCATACCACCCGGCATTCGGTTGCTCGCTCTCATACATCAGATGCTGAACAGAGCCAACGTACCGTACGACTCCTCCGAGCTTCGACAGGCTCAGCAGTGCATCTTCGGCGCTCATTTGGCTCGCGGGACTCGGATTCTTCTGTATATTTCTTTCTCCAGCAGCATAACGACGTCTTGTCATCGACATCGTGAAACACGAATTGGACAAGCGACCAGGACGATTCCGCCACGCCAACTGCTGAGCACGCAAGAATGCCTTTGTAAGCTAACAAGGCATTGTGGTCTTTGCTGCTCTTTGTCGGGGCACAATAGCATTGTGGAGCAGCGCTGCGATATAAGTAACTGAACCGCAGGTAATGCCCACTTCCTCACCTACCCTTCCGAACTTCATCCTACTTTTCTCACCACTTTCCGCCGAATCCCGAAACCGTCCCAGACACGAACAGCTTGCACGACGTAGCAAGAACCGAGACCATGGCGTCAAACACGGATGCAGGTCCATCCGACATCGATCAACACAACGGCATGTTCTCAACCACAGCTATTGAGAGCGGGATAGGTAGCGCCCTCAGACCACATCACAAGATTTCGGTCCAGTATCCCTGCGAGAACCTTCTTCAGAACGGCGAGCAACTGACCATACTAACACCCAACTGCGAAGATGCCTACGAACCACTCCCATTGGTTCCAGACGACGATGTCCAAGCGAACTATCCTTGGCTGGGGTATGAGGACACGCACTTCACCCACTTACATCACATCGCTGATCAAAACTCCGCAGTGCCCAAGACGGACTCTCTGGAAGGCGACTTTGCGCCCACGGAGGACCTCACTCGAGACATGAATGCCTGCCTTCCTTACCTAGCCCTGACGGAGCTTCAGGTGGTGACGTACCGCACAACTGGCGTTGCTTTGGATGGTGTGACCAGGGTGCGCATTTCTCGCACGACAACGTTCGCTCACGGCGCTGGCAACACCACGGAACTTCCTGCTGCGGTCTATGAGACTTCTCTGAGTGACGTGTACTTCGACATCTTGCGCGCACCAGCTGTGCCCCAGTACTGGCAGGATATCGTCTCTCTGATCGAGCAGGTCAACAATCGCTGCATACGCCATGTCAAGCGCCGAGTCGGGGAGGCGCTGTACGCAGCCCTCTTTCCGAGCACTTCTTGGAGGGCCCCGAGATCCTTACCGGTTGCTGACAGCGTGGCAAAGCTCGCTGTGTGCCTCAACAAAGCAGAGCTCGATTCGTTCAACGAGAAATTGCCGCAGGATGAGAAGCTTGCTCAGTGTCCATCGTGCCTAGAGGACTTCGACATCGGAGACTCCGCGAGAGTGTTCATGCTACCTTGCTCGCACAAGCACTGCCTATGCGGAGAATGCATGGAGCAATGGGTAAAACAAAGCAGCCCACAACACGCTCGCTGCCCCCACTGCCGACGACAGATCGCTAGCCCGCAGTTCGTCTCCGAACTTGCTTCGATGACGCCAAACTACCTGAACATGAACGCCCCCTTCCGTTTCGACACACGCTACACCCGCTTCGAGAACGAGGAGAGATCTTGGGCAGACGTGGACCGGACGCTTGCGGAGTCTGATGAGACCTTCATCTTGGTTGATGCAGATATCCTGGTTGCTGCGTGGTACCGTGCCCTTGAGAGCTTCGACGAGAACGACGCCCTCTACCTCCGGCCCGGTGAAGCACCCGAAGCCAACCACTTCCAAGAAGCGTTTCTCGACGGCATCGAGGACTACCATGGCCAGACCATGCAGATGAAGGATTTGTTCCAGAGCCTACGCAAGAGCGTCCTGAGACGAATGCGGAACGAGTACCTGATGCACGGCATGCAGCACTACATGGACGAGACGAGCCTGCAGCATCTCCAACAGAACGAGGAGCTGGTCCCCTTGAGGCCAGGCTTCGGCTGGTGGATGGACAGAGTCCTCAACCGGGTGCTCATGTTCCAGGTCGTTCGTGCTTGTAACGAGTACCATGATCCTACTTCGCACTTCTTCCACTCCGAGTCGAACCCTGAGGGTTGGCATCATCATGGTGACAGGCACTTCTACGTCCAGAAGAAGGATGCGCCGGCTGTGGTGCGGTAGATGAGTCCGATGTGAGTGAATGAACGAATAGATTGACGATTTGGGTAGGTTGTTTTGATGGGCTCCACAGACTGATAGATTTTGCCCAGGTGTTCGGCGTTGGTAGGTATTTTGAAAGGTTTGTTTTTTATCACTTACTTGTTCCTTCTCCTCATATCTTTTCCTTTCTCCATACGTCCCTCAATCCACTTCCGTTCTTACGTCCAAGATGACCCTCATTACAGTCTGTATATCTCATACCGAAGAGCCAGCGATCTCACCGCCATGTGGACTTGGTGGCATTTGCTTTTGCGAGAGCTATCTGAGACAACCCGAAGCCTGAGGATCTAGACGTCCCGGGTGGCTGAACCTATATCACTTCTCGGTGGGGTAGAAGCGAAGAGGAGGAACTTTCACGATTGCTTTTTTCGAAGCCATCGTCAGGCAACTTGGCCTGCCTTTAGAAGCTGTAGAATCCTTTGTTACATGAAAGGAGCTTGCAAGATTGGAGTGGCCAGCCTCCAGACAGAATTTCAAACGAGGCTGTTACGCTAGTGAGTGAATCAAGCCCGTCCAGACGACGGTCGGTGGGAGCTCTGCTTAGATTCGGTCCTTTAACATGGCATTTTAGATAGGAGCTGACGCACGCCACTAGCGAGCTCACATGTCAAGCTACTCTTGACAGCAGGTGTCGTCGAGAAAGATGATAAACGGCCTGCCAAGGAGAGATTTGGATGCAGCTCGAGCAAACCATGCTGAAATCCCACAGGATGTTCTTGCCTCTACCTCGTCGTTCCAAACACCTTACTGGTTCTATCTTGTTAGTCCTCTTTCTATTCTTTGTCGTATACACATGGCGGCCACTCCTGGCGAGGAGCGATGTGCGTCCCACTGCTCGAGGAGTCGCCACTGCATTGGCACTATCCGAGCCATCTGCCTGGTTGAGAATTGCCAAACAGCCAGAGTTTCTGGAAGCACAATGGCCCGAGGAACGGAAGGGACAGCTCAAGCAACAGGCAGCGCTGGGTACCACACAATTTCCAACGACTGCCGCCCCAATCATACCCGTTGTCGTCTTCGCATTCAATCGAGGCGACCACCTACGTCGAACCATCGACTCCGTCTTGTCTTCAGCTTCGTACTCGCCCAGTCTCCATCCAATTTTCATCAGCCAGGACGGCGACGACTCAGCAGTAACAGAGGTCATAGAATCGTACGGCCAGAAAATCCACCATCTCAGGTATCACTGGCCAGGGAAACCAAAGAAGGAAGTTAAACTCCCTGCAGAATACCTCCAACCACCTTGGATTGAGCTACCCCCCGAATCGCGACCACCACCCATAACGCCCTACCTCAAGATCGCGGGCCACTACGAATTCGCCCTCACCGAAATGATGGATTACGTGGACGGCCACAACCGCTGGGATCGTCTCATCATGCTCGAAGATGACATGGACGTCGCACCAGATTTCTTCTCATACTTCCGCAAGATGTCTCCGTTCTTCGACACCGACCCCTCGCTGTACTGCGTCTCGGCCTGGAACGATCACGGCCAGAAACCCTTCGTGAGCGATGCCACTGCTCTCTATCGCACGGAATGCTTCCCAGGGCTCGGCTGGATGTGGTCACGAGAACGATGGAATGAGCTGAAAGATTGGATGCCGGGCTGGTGGGACGACTGGTTGCGGGAGCCGACACAGCGGAAAGGCAGGAGTTGTGTCTATCCGGAGGTCAGTCGTGTGTATACCTTTGGCGCGGAGGGGACGAGTACTGGATGGTTCTTTGCTCCGTGGTTGACCAGTATGCAACTGAACGAGGAGAATGTCGATTGGGATGCGGTGGATGTTGGGTATCTGCACCAGGATTTGTATGATGATCTGCTGAAAGACCAATTACGCTCGGCCATACGGATTGATGGTGTCGGGGAGGCCAAAAGAGCGATTGATCGTGATTTGGCTGGTCGTATGGACAGACCGCTGGATGTGGATGAAAGGTTGATCGAGTATGGTGATTTGGCGGATTTGACGTCGTTGATGATGACTGCTCGTCTGCTCTATGAGCACAAAGCTGGCGTTCCGAGGACGAGCTATCGAGGAGTTGTGCACTTTCGCTATCGCGGAATCAGGATATGGATGGTGCCCAAGAGCTTTGCACGGGGGCCGGGTTGATCTTTGCGCTCGATTATGATGCAGGTCGAGGATTGCTGGTGGAGCGTGAGAGCTTGCGTTGAGGTGTGACGCCAGGATGAGTTCGAGCAGCCAGCCAGCCATCAAGACAACGCTCAAAGCCGCAACGTGGGTTGATGGCTGGTTTTGGCTGGTTCGTCAGGAGTGCCAAACGGGAAGTCGAGAAAGCTGTTGGAGAACGGCGAGTGGTGATCCGAAGGCTCAGATGTGGAAGCTGCAAACAAGAAGTGAGTTATTACACGACCATCGCACTGCTGGCAAGAAGCCGGTAAACGGTACTACAACAACACAACAACTTCAGCTTGGGACACATCACAAAATACAGGATTGGACTCACGCCTGCCTAAGCAAAGCACCTGACCGCCAACGATCACAAAGCCTGTTTATCTCAAGACGCTCTCCGCAATTCAGTCCATCGTACTCCTCTTAGCAGCAACACCGTCTCAAGGCTACAGTCTCACCATACACACCTCCAGCGGTGGCATTCCAGACTTCCAACAAGGCTCGCCTGACGTCGACAACATCGACTGCTCGTCCAGTTCAAACCCCCGGGTCTCTCAAGTTCGAGTCCGGCGACGATGCCAGCGATGATGGGTTGCAGTGCTCTTGCTATGCTAGTCCGATGACAGGTAAGGATTGCACCAGCGATTACTTGGGCTTCGGCTGGGACGAAGGGTGTGCGAGTACGCTGTTCGCATCGGTCTGGGTGTATTGGAAGAGGTGGTTTAGCGTGAGTAAATTCTGCGACGAGGCAGTAGCACATGGGGCGCGGAAGTTACGGTGGTGATGATACACGACTGCCCAACGGACCAGCAAACAAAATGAGACCGTGCCGCAAGGTTAGGATGTCAACATATTTAAAAGTGGGAACTCCCTTCCCCAATTGCCAAAACAGCAAAGCTGGCAACCAAATCCATTCATTTCTACGCAACTCCGAAGCTCAAAATCTATCATGCCGAACCTACTACAGGCAGTAATGCTTTCTAATTTAGCAGCCACATCAGTCAACGCATGCGGCGTCAAAGTCTATACCTTCGGAGACTGCGTGGCCGAAAACCAGCAAGGAGAAACGATCGAGGGTCCACACAAGAATGGCCTGAAACAATGCATTCCAGCACAGAACGCAGGGTCGTTCAATTTCGACGGTGGGGTCGGGGGCACCTGCCGCTGTGCTGCCGTTCCATGGACTGGGAACGATTGCAAAGGAGAGAGGCTTGATTTTGCGCAGCAGAGGGGCTGCGGTAGTGGACTATTTGGGTCGTTGCTTGTACTTTGTGCCGGTCGTTGTTGATTGGTACCTTCCTCTCTGGTGGACCATTGCGAAGGATAGAATGAATAGTAGGCCGTTTGAATTTGTGGTCGAGACGAGGAGGCGCTTGTAGAATTTACCACGATCCCCGATATTCTATCGGCGGGTACTATTTCTGGGGAGTCTCGATGGGCATGGGTAGCCTAGCATTTGGTGTGAAAGATGTGTTAACCTTCGTTGAGGATCCAACGAGCGCGCCGGCTCCTTAAGGAGTGTCGACGTGAGAAACGCGCAGTTGGACGTCCATATTCAGATCGATGTTTGATATCACAGCGTCAAATCGCGCTTGAACGTTATCAATATCGATGTTGCTGTAGAGATTGTTGTCCAGGTGAGCGCGTCGAGTGACGTTGGCCTCAGGAGAGCATTGACCATGCGTTCAAGGTCGGACCCTGGCAGCTGCTGTCGTGGCCTATACCCGCTGATGCTAGGTAACCACTCTTGCTGCACTCTCCGTTGAACAACGACATACCACGGCGGCAGCAATGTCGTCCTTCCACTTGAACGTGCCCCGGGTGCTGGGAGATGTCTCCCACACCGCCTCGAAGCTGGTCCTCATCTGGGCCATCCACAGCAACAAGTCGGCGGAGGGAGTCTCACTCCTGACGCAGCTCCTCTACATTCTGGTCTTCATCACCAGATACCTCGACCTCTTCTGGGTGCCGCCGTCCTGGAGCATCTGGAACTTCGTCCTCAAGATCTTCTACATCACCTCATCCGCTTACATCGTCTTCCTCATGATGCGCGTCTACGCCAGGACTAAAGAGCGAGAATACGGCTGGAAATTGGCAATCTACTGCCTGGTTGGGTCTGCTGCCCTGGCCGCGCCCGTCTGCATTTTGTTCGAGCACTGGAAGAACGCTACGCCAGGCGAGGTACGCTGTGTCCTAACGATTCCGAAAGATCCGTGCTAATGTTTGGTCAAGGTGTTTTGGACCTTCAGCATCATCCTCGAGTCCGTCTGCGTCCTACCACAGCTCCTCCTGCTCCGCCAGACCACCGTTCCGACCGTCCTCGATTCCTACTACCTCGTCCTGCTTGGCTCCTACCGATTCTTCTACATCATCAACTGGATTGTCAAAGGCGTGGGCGACCCAACCTGGTACGACCCAACAAGCGTCATCTTTGGCATCCTCCAAACCGCCCTCTACCTCGACTTCGCATGGGTCTACTACACACGACAACGTGTCAAGCTTCGAGGAGGTGGCATCGTTGACAGCGACGACCTGAGCAAGAGCTTCCTCGTCAGACGATTTGTGGGACGCCCACGGACCAACAACGCTGGCGAAGACGACGAAGATATTGCAGACGAAGACGCTGCATTGGCAGGACAAGAGAGTGGAACGATCAGACCTTCGGGCAATCGCTGGGGCTCCCGCGGCGTCTCTGTGTCCGCCGACGATACTCTGCAAGAGCACCTCGATCGTGATGCACAGCCAAGATTCCAAGATCCGTCTGAATTTGAAGACATTGACGATGATGACGACGTCGACGCACCCCCTCCGCCCGCCAAAGATCAGAAGCAACAGTCAGCTCCAGGCACATCAACGCCCTCCTCCGAGGTCGAGAGCGAGTCAACAGAAGCTTGGTCAAGCGTCGCAAACGACAATGAAGCTGGTAATGGACGAACCACTTAGAACATGGACGGTCGATACTTACCACCTCATGACCCATCACCGAGTCTCAGCTCCGTGCGCTCGGAGTTGCAAATTTTCGACATGGAGATGACACCTCGCGAGAACGATAATGACAGAAACAAATCCCGTACCAAGATTGCTAGGCTGGACGTCAAAGTCGGTCGTAGAATGGATCCCAAACCCAAGGCCTCAAGCAGCAAGCGTCCAGCTCCACAGGCGGGCGCCAGATCGAAACCTCCCGACACACCTCTAAGTCACAGTCCAATCTTGTCGGAGCATGGCGTCTTCGACATGGACTTGTGAGACAGCATGGTACGAACAGAAGAAATTGTTCGGCCAGCACCGGACCCTGCGGCCTGGTAGCCATGACACTGAAGATTGGAATAAGGACGGAGAGGAACGGACCAAGAGCATGGGCAGGTCTACAAGACATCGAAATGAGGACGAAGAAGCAGATTGATGAAAGATATGAGATCCGCAGACAACACGAGAAAGCCGCAGTCATGGCGGAAGGCCTTCCAGCAGTTGTTACAAACGCATGGATGTAGCTCGTGGAAATCAAAATTGCTGCGAGCAATGGTTTGGCGGTACTCGATGCTCCATGGCTTCTTCTTCGTTGACAGACACTGACCTCGAGCTCCTCGCATCTCGGATCAACTTTCAACAGCAACGGACCAGGCCCACTTGAGCTCGGCGGGCATTGAACCAGGTTGCGGGGTTGTTTGGGGAAGGTGACGCATATCCAGTAAGCCTATTTCTGTTGGCTGTAGTTCATTCTCCTTTACCATTGCGATTGTTGACACTGCCATTCACCAACAGGTCTTTCATCAACATCTTCAACTCAGCCGAAATGGAGCCCTCCAACCTGGAGAAGCAGCGTCAACCAGAAGAGCCGCGATACCTCAACTTCAAACACTCCCAACCAGGCTCAGGACTGAACAGATACTCCTCGACCCTCACTCGCGAGCATGACTTCCCCGCCGCCCAGGCCATGCTGTACGCCGCCGGGGTCCCCAACGAACACGTGCTCAAAACGTACCCGCAAGTCGGCATAGCGAGCGTGTGGTGGGAGGGCAACCCCTGCAACATGCACCTGCTAGACATTGGCAAAGAGGCGAAGAAGTGCATTGAGAAGCAAGAGATGCTGGGGTGGCAGTACAACACTATTGGCGTGAGCGATGGGATAGCGATGGGAGGGGAGGGCATGCGGTTCAGTCTGCAGACGCGAGAAATCATCGCGGATAGCGTGGAGACCGTGACCTGTGCACAACACCACGATGCGTGTATTGCGATTCCGGGCTGTGACAAGAATATGCCTGGTGTGGTGATGGGCATGGCGAGACATAACCGCCCTAGTTTGATGATTTACGGCGGGTCGATTAACCCTGGCTATTCGAAATTATTGCAGAAACCTATCAATATCGCGAGCGTGTATGAGGCGCATGGGGGGTATTTGTATGATAGTCTGAAGAATCCCAGTGACCCGAGTCAGACGAAGGAGGATCTTCTGAATGATATCGAGAAGCACGCTTGTCCGACGCAGGGTGCTTGCGGCGGGATGTTCACGGCGAATACAATGGCGACGGCGATCGAGACGATGGGACTCACCGTGCCCGGATCCTCGTCCACGCCCGCGAGCAGTCCGGCGAAGATGCGGGAGTGCCAGAAAGCCGCGGAGGCGATCAAGATATGCATGGAGAAGGACATCAAGCCGCGGGATCTCATGACCAAGAAGGCGTTCGAGAATGCTCTGGTCATGATGATGGCGCTGGGAGGGTCGACGAATGGAGTGCTGCATTTGCTCGCCATGGCCGGCACGGCGGAGGTGCAGTTGGAGCTGAAAGATTTCCAGCGCATCAGTGGTAAAGTGCCCTTCATCGCGGATCTTGCGCCGAGTGGGAAGTACCTGATGGTGGATCTTTTCGAGATTGGAGGCATCCCCTCGGTGCAGAAGTTACTCATTGTCGCGGGGTTGCTGGATGGGAGTACGTTGACGGTCACGGGCAAGACGCTCGCGGAGAATGTCGAGAGCTGGCCGAGTTTGAAGCAGGGGCAGGAGATGATCAAAAGTTTGGAGAGTCCTATCAAGCCGAGCGGGCATATTGAGATTCTGTACGGGAACTTGGCGCCGAATGGGGCGGTGGCGAAGATTACGGGCAAGGAGGGGATGAAGTTTGTCGGGAAAGCGAAGGTGTTTAATAAAGAGCACGAGTTGGACGATGCGTTGAACAAGGGTCAAATCCCGCGAGGGGAGAATCTCGTGCTGGTTGTGAGATATGAAGGACCGAAAGGCGGTCCTGGCATGCCAGAGCAGTTGAAGGCAAGTGCCGCAATCATGGGCGCTGGACTCAAAAACGTCTCCTTGATCACGGACGGGCGGTATTCGGGTGCTTCGCATGGGTTCATCGTGGGACATATTTCTCCTGAAGCTGTGGTCGGTGGTCCTGTTGCGTTGGTGAAAGACGGGGATACGATTACGATTGATGCGGATAATAACCGGATTGATATGGATGTGAGTGATGAGGAGCTGAAGCAGAGGCTGAGCGAGTGGAAGCCGCCGAAGATGCCTGTTACGAGGGGTGTTTTGGCCAAGTATGCGAGGTTGGTGGGCGATGCGAGTACGGGTGCGATGACTGATCTGTTTTGATCAGAAGAATCGCACTTTTGTTGTTCTTCAGGCGTGTTTCTTGAACTCTGTTTCTGGTTTCCTGTGAGGCGTTTGTTGGCTGTTTCCCACAGCTCGGGTACCTTCTCGCTTGGCTGAACGCCTCCTTCCTCCAAGTAACGGCCGTGGCTTGATCGTACAGCTGCGAATTCCTGCGCATAGCTCGCAGCTTGGAGCTCAGTCTGATCTTCTTCTTGCGTCGAGGTGGAGGAGCCGGAGAAGGAAGGAGTTGATGTGCAGATAGCGTCGCCGAAGGACCATCAAGATCCGGGACCGTTAGGGTTTGGCTTGCCAGACGGCTTGAAGTCTTTCTTCCACATGGACTATCTGATACCGGCCAAGTGTGCGTTGTTGTCACTCCACGAACATCCGCAATCCATGCAATACCACTTCGGCACCGAGATCGTCGTTTCGCATGTTTCGACTTCCTTGGTTCATGAATGGAGTATGTGATTGCGACTTTGCAAAAATCCCGCATGTCGCCGGCGTAAGTCAAAACCACTTATTCCCTTTTGTCGATGTCCGATCCTCGCAAAGTTCGCTTGATGCGAATGCGTGAGTGATAGACACGAGAGATGCCTGCTTTCCAACTTGCCCGATTGACCTAGGGTTCATCGAGCATATGAACGAGAGCGCTTTCATCTTCCACACTTACAACCCTGGTTACGCTATCTGCGTATCCAAGCCCACTTTTCGTCGTAAGGTGGATTTTCGCATTCCAAATGCTGCGAAGGATTCGCGATTCCCTTGTTTGGCATTTGTTCGCGCCGTCGTTTCCTGCATCCTTGCTGGGCGGGGTGGTCTCCGTCTAGACGCCCACGACGAGGCTAATGGGTTGTAGGCAGGTAGGGTTGGATTTCACGCCTAGTCAGTAGTCTCGACTCTTCCACCCCCACGGTCTCGGATCTCGCGTCGAGCACACCAGACTGTGCAGCTTGGCGAAATGCAGTCTGGATGCTTATTGCCCGAGTGGTTGAGAGCGACGATTGCGAGGGATTGGCAGGAATGATTCGCCGGCAGATTGTTGAGTGGACTGACGATGAGACGCATGTCGAGCACCGAGGGATCGTGAATCGCCCAACAGGCAGTCGTTGACCTCACGTGGTGAGCATGCAGATGTCGATCACGGAAATGCAGCGTTGTGCTCCTTTGGGCGATCCTTCGCAACGTGGTCAGGGCAGGGAGCTGAAAGTGAGGCCGACGGTGTGGGGAGTCGTCGAAAGCCTCCTCATGAGCTCTAACGAGTAAAAGGTCGTGGTCGGCATGTCGATCGGTGTGTGCAATATATCGTTTTGGGGGCCTCGAGTCGGTCGGTCGTCAGCCGGGCAGACAGTCCCGCCGGCAGGGGACGACGAGGTGAAGCGGCAGCACCAGATGACACATGGCGAGCTCATGCAGCACACGTCGATGCCGCGTGCCCGCCGCGTGCCCTACCGCATTATGTCAGGCTTTAGAGTTCGGCACGGCGCCTCTACCGCTGCTCATCCTCTGCGCATCCTTCCCGGGCGGGCGTGGCTGCATCCTGCGCGCTGGGCGTGGCGGAGGGCGATGAGTGTGAGCCCTCAAGACTCCGGGCAGACTATCGAGCTAATTCCATGCAGCCTCTGGAACCCGCTGCCACTCGTTTGTCCTGCCCTGGCCCGACGCGTGCTTGCATCCTTCGACCAGGTTGGCCTCGCCTATGTCGACGGCACGCTTCCTGCGAACGCTCGATGGCGTTAGAGGACATTGGCTGTTAAAAAGAATGAGGACCAAGTGTTAATAGCATTAAATGTGAAGGATTGCCAGCAAATGTCAGCTAATTTGGTCCGCCATATCTAGATTGGGGCGTTGCGTCAGGCTTGATCCTGCATCGAGAAGCCGTGCCACCGCCAAGTCTCCAGGACAACTGTACACACATCACAACACGCACTCCCTCTTGGAACGCACGTACGACGCACCCATATCGCCCGCAACTGGATCACAGGACACCTGCGGCATCATCGGCAGGGATCGACAGAGTACACGTACGTGAACGAGCCGCACGTAGGCAACACCGGACACAATCAGCAGGCCCGAACATCCGTTCTACTGCCTATACGACTGCGAGCCTCCGATCATGCCGGACCTACCGGAAGAGTTGCTCCAACAAATCTTCGAAAACCTCCAGGTGTCTGGCCCGGTCGATTTCGTGGACGATCATCGCCTTCATCGACAGACATTGGCAGCGATATGCCGTGCCAGCAAACAGTGCTGCAGAATCGCCCAACCGATTCTCTTCCACACGGTGCATCTAGGCGAGTATCATGTACTCATTCGCTCGTTCTGGGAGCTCCTCGTGCAAAAGCCCCAACTCTCGAGACTTGTGCGATCACTGCACATTGATGAATGGGCCCATCCACGGCTCGAGCCTGAATACACTGAAGAACAAATCGCGTCCGAACTGGGTCAGGTGCGGTTGGAAGTTAGCCGGCCTCTTCAAGATTATGTCGAAAACGCAATGGCGCCTTTGCGCTCCATCTTGGGTCATACGTACGACACGGTGCTATCACGACAATTGGCAGGGATAGAAGATGGCATGCTGGTCTACCTGATCGCCCGCTGCCAGGAATTGAACTGCCTCGAACTTGTGGTGCCTCATCGGTTCCCTAATTATACCTGTGTTTACTCTGCATTGAAGCACATGGCCCAGCTGCCGGTCGCAGCTGATCCACCTCCAGATGTCACCAACAATCAGCAGCTCACTCGGTCTCTTTCACAGCTGAAGGAGCTGCAGATGCATCACTGGGATACCGAGAACGCTTTCGATGCTAGCGAGGCCATTCAATTCTGGACGTTCAGTTCGCTTGATGTGTTCCGAGGCAACATGATTGATTGCACCAGACACGATGGCCTGAGAGGAGCGCCTGCCTTGAGGGAGAACAACCTCAGAACATTGGTTTTGGACAACGCACTCATCGAAGCTGATGGTTTGCGTGAGATCCTTTCCCGTTGCCCAAAGGTCGAAGTCCTCTCTATCGCCTGGGGCTCTGCCTCTGTAGGGGAGTGCGTTGTCAATCACCAGCAGCTTGGCCAAGTCCTTCGGGATCTTCCCCAGTTATCGAAGGGTTTGAAAAAACTTGTCTTGGATCCACTCGAGGCACTCGACTACAACGAATCTCCTGAAGAGTTTCATGAGCCGCTGGGTAGTCTTAAATCTTTCCATTCACTGGAGTATTTGGCGCTGTCGCCCAAAGGTCTAGTCGGAGACGACGATGAAAATGGCGAGGATTATCCGAACTTTGCCAGCCTCCCCTTAACGGAAATGCTGCCAGAGTCGCTCCAAACGCTGGATGTTCGTGAACCACCAAATGTCCAGTACAGTGACGAGGCCTATGAAAACATGATGAAGGACATGATGCCTCTTGATACCGAGCTCTACGGTCTGATGAACGATACTAGATTCCGCAAGCTCCACACCATCAAAATGAACCGTCTCATCAATGAGAAAGAAATGTCTCCAGAAGACATCGGATGGAAACAGGTCGAGCTCAAGCAGACGTGGCTCGGAAGACATGACTACGCTTTGAACCGAGTTCATCAGCAACCCGCGGATCTCTGACGGAATATACGTCGCTGACCTTTTCACACAGACGATGGACATCTCACTTGCAGGTGCGGCCTGCGGCCTGCTGCCTCATACTCGACTACCCGTTCCAGCGTACGAGAATGGGGGTTTCGGCGCCGGAGTGGTCGATCACAAACCTTTGATGCGGTTGAGTAAGCCCTAGGCCGTGGCATCCTTCGTGGACGAGACCCTCGACCTTCGCATCAATCTTCGAACCCTCCCGCAAAGCCACACAAACAGAGATTAGCGTCTTTGAACTTATCTACGTACGCCCACTTGCGCACCCAAAATCTGACTTACAGTATCGTGCGAGCAGCGCAAGCCATTTCTTTCATTCCGCCCTATTCGTCGCATAATTCTCCAATCGAAGCGACAGAGGTAGTAACAAAGCCCTCTGCAAGTCATCAACAACCCCTACCTCCTTCCAAATCTATCCTGCATCACTGTCATCATACGCACTGCCACTTGTGACCAGCATATACCCGACGCGTGGCGGTGCCAAGCATCATGTCTAATCATCCAGGCCTTCCCAAGACTCCGTTCACGATTCACGGAGGATGCAACTGCAAAGCGGTCCGATACGAAATCGCTGTACCCGAGTTTCGCGAGCGACCCATCGCGCCATACCGGACTCCAGGCGGTGCGTGCCATGAATCGTCATCTAAGGCTGTACGAATGATATGGAATTGTCACTGACTGTATCTGCTGCGCCTACTGTACAGCCGACATTGGCGACGACAAGAGGATTCCTATGGCGGTCATTTGTCACTGCAACAACTGTCGTTCCGCCGCAGCGGGAATTCCCTCCATGGTGTTGATTACTGAGACCAAGACTGTTCGGGCATCGCTTGCAGCAAGAGACGAAGGCTTGCCCTTGGAAGGCCCGCTGTCCGCAGACGAACGGGACTATACTGCTGCGGGAGACTTGTTCGACTCGGACAACCTCAGCGGTTTGAAGTCCACTTTCTTAGGGCATTACAAGTCCTCGCCAGGGCGCAATCGCTGGTTCTGCCAACGATGCGGCACGCCTATTGGATACTCTATCGACAAAGAGGTGATTCCAGAGGAATGGGGCTGGCCCAATATGCTCGACATCTGGCTCGGCACGGTGGACAGGTACGTTGACATAACGTTGGCGGTGTGGGTCGGATCCCAGCGGGAATGGAGGAGGCTGACCTTTTCCTACGCGGTTCCAGATCAGACCTGGAGAAGGACTTCATGCGACCCGAGAGGGCTCTGTGGTGCGCAAAGGCGGTGCCCTGGGTCGCTGAGATGGCCAGGAATGGGAATGGTGGAATCGCCGAGCATCCTCTCACTAAGATCGACAAAGTCATGGCTGATGATATTTCGGCCGATATGGTGGAACTGAACGCGCTCAAGACGAAGAACGGGGGCACTGGAGTGTGAGGAAAGGGGAATGATGGACGTGTAGTCAAGCAGCCCGACCTTCGCGCTCTGCCCGACGGACGACCACTCGAGCCGGTGTGGTTACTACGCTGCTGTCGTCCGAGAGTCCATCGCAACTCATCACTCGTCCAGCGACAGACGCTCATATTTCACTTCCGGCCAGGACCCGTCTCACTCTCACTACCTAGTCGGGCAAGTGAACGAATCGTCGCGTGTCAAGTCTTGACATGTGTCGTCTCGTGGGAGGCAAGGTTGATGCATGCATGGCGATCTGCCCGCCCCCAAACGGGCGCCAGGATGCTCAAAATTAGCAGTCATTTCCCTCGCCCGCCAGCGAGCGCTAGCTCTACTGGGGATATTTATGGCACATTCGTGCTCTGCTTCGCGCGAGGATCTGCATCCTTCTTTCTCCAGCCGTCGGCTCCCAGAATAGCAGCAGCTCGACAGCCTGCCCGTCTTTGCCGCATCCTTCCACTCGATGCTTCAGCGTCCACCACTCGATCCTGCGGTTTCACCATGGTGCTTCTGGCAAGGCCGCACGCCGGCGACAGGTCACGTCAGTCACCGGTGGCCTGAACTCCACTGTCCACCACCAGACCCATCTCCCTCATGGCAGTGCTGCTTGATATGCCCCCGGCGCCGTCGGGAATGGGACAGCGCTCGTTCGTCTGGCCAGGCAGGGCATCCGTCGCGCGCTCTTGTGCCTCCACACCGTGCTTCGCCCAAGTCGCACGCCGCCAGCAAAGCCTCAATCCTGTCCTCGAGGGCGTCAGCCGGGGTCAGACAGCGCAAGAGAGCGAGGATCAGCGTCGCCGTCGATGCCCCAAGACGCTGTAGTGTCGGTGGATGCGTGTGGTCGTCGTCACTAGCGGCGGCTCCCATCTCACGTACAGACAGACGCAGATTGCTCCCTCGCTCGGGAGCGATTGCGCGCGCGCGCCAAGCCCAGCAGCGCAAGAGGGAAGTCAAAAAGACAGCTAATTTCAGGAATCTCATGTTAGCAAAATGAACCTAATGCGGCCGCTGGCGGCTAGGTACCTGGGGACCCTGTGTTGGCTCCCTGGCCGGCCAATCCGCCAGGCTGTTGCGGTTGATGCACAGGACAGCAGCTTATTCTTCCATGCGGCGTTCGCCAGTGTCGCGATCGTGCGGCTCCTGGGGCCCGCCCGCCCGTCTCAAAATAAGCCTGCCGTCTGTACCTAAGCCCTGGCGGCCGTCCGTGCTGCACCTGTGCCTATGCTTCCATCGCCCCAAGCCTGAACGCCAGGCGAATCTGCGCATCCTACTTATCCACCAACATGTCCGTCTCACCCAGCCATGGTGCTGGTTTGGTCTTCCACCTGCTGCTAGGCTTCCCGCGAGCCGACCTTCTGCTGCACGCAACAGCCCGATCTACAACCACAAGAACAGCAACAGCAACAACATCTCATCCTCCTCGGCTCTTCCGTTCCATGTCTCATTGCCACCAACACTCCCTCTTCCACTATCGATCATGAGCACCAGTCAGGTCTATCCAACGCTTCCTGGAACCATCGATCCAGAGCATATGGGTACCGACGCCACAGCCGGTATCGTTGGCAGCGAGTGGTATGCTCCTGGCCAGGTCAGTACTTCGATCGAACGTCGTCGTCGTCGATGTTCAACGATCGATCGTTTGTTGAGAGGATGTCGAGCTAACGTCATGACAGTATGCCTTTCATGATCCATACATCACTCCATACCCGTCATCGACAGTAGAGAGTCAACCATGGACTCAGTATGCCCGCGCATCTGTACCCGACATCCACCTCAGTCATGGCTACGCACCTCATCATCCACCCCCTCAACAATCACCGCCCATCCAACCACCCTTCAAGGACCCAGGACGACCTCGCAGTAGCCCAAGCACCTTTGGCCCTTCAGATATGCCGTGGACGACGACCGGACTGGGCATCGCATACACCATGTCAACAGCCGGCCAACCAACTCCCGTAACCTCAACATTCCCACCCAACGTCTTTCAAACCTACCCCACAGACGACCACTACAGCACAAGCCCACCCGAACTCAGACAAACCCAACCGCGGAGACCTTACGCCAGCATCGCGCCCAACCCAACAGGCCAAGGAACCAAACGCCCCCGCCGCGACGAAGACGAAGGCACCCAACAACCCGACCTCTCCTCCTCAGCTTCCAAACGGCGCAAACGCACCGCCTCGGTCGCCTCCAACGAACTCAACGATGACGACCGCTTCCTCGTCCAACTCAAGGAAGACGAAAACCTCCCCTGGAAGGACATCGCGAACCGCTTCCAATCCGAGAAAGGCCGCAACTTCCAGGTCGCCGCTCTCCAGATGCGCTACAAGCGATTGCGGGAGAAGTTTCGGGTGTGGGAGGATCAGGATGTGCAGGCTCTGAGGCTGGCGCATGAGTACTGGGAGAAGTACAAGTGGGAGATTATTAGTGCGAAGGTGAGATCTTCAATCCCCCTCTCCTAAACCCCCATCCACATAACTAACATCTTCCTCTCTAGATGCTCGACTACGGCATCGGCGAACGCTGGCCGGCACGGCACTGCACGCGCAAATGGCAAGAACTCGAAACCGGCAGCACAGCAACGACCGGCGGCGGCGGCATCGGAACCATCACATCGCTCATCACAACGACCGCACCAGGAGGCATGGGCACGCCCGCCTCGATCTCGCAATTCTCAAGCCCCGTCGAGGGTCCCGTACATTTCTCTTTCATGCCGCCGCAGCAGCACACGCCGGGCCCTCAGCATCCTCACCAGCAGCCATGACTATATGGCAGCGGTTCCGGCAGCAGTATAAGTCCTGAGGTGGGACGGGCTTTGCTCGCGCGGTCGTGAGTGGACGGGCCATCATATCAATTTTTCTCGCGGGAGTCGTTTTTCTTCTTCTTTCTGGATTACAGGCGTTTCATCACGAGAGAGCATGCTATATCGGCGTTTCGAACGGACCTGATTTTTTCGGCAAGGGGAGGTGTATTAAAACCTCCCCTTCCTCTTCATCCAACGGCGCATCAAACGGGCGAAATCTGGAGTTACTTACACGGCGGTTTGAACTCGACTTCATTCTGGATACATTCGCTTTCTACAATTGGGAGCTACGGCGGGCTTTCTGCATGATACCCAGTGATACCATTCGCTTTATCACTACATTCGACGACATTGTTCAAGAAGAAAAAGGGGGGTTCTTGCATACCGAGACCTCTGTACCATCACGACAGACAGACAGGAACTGGGGAAACGGGGCTTTTATTATTGGCGTTTTGTTAAGAGGGGATTTTGCATTGCATTGCATACTTTCGCATTATCAGATGCGATTTTATCTGTGGGGTTTTTGGGGACACAGCGCGAGAGTTTTTGGAGTGGAATGTCCTTTTTTCGTATTTCTTTTTTGGTCTTTCGATGCGATTCTGTACATACATTTTAGAGGATGGATCTTGCCTTTGCGGGCCTTGGTTTTTGAGAGGGAGATATGGGGGCTTTTGAGAGCTGATGAGCTACATGGTTTATGCTTTTGATTTTGGGTTGCGAACTCTTGTACAAAAGCGCGAGTGCTGGCTTTTGTTGTACTTGTATAGCAAAGAGAGAATACGCATTGCTCGACTTCCATCATCAATCAACCGCTGTTGCTCAGGGCGATACACTCCAACTCGACCGGAACGCCCTTTGGCAGCTCCTTGACGGCAACACAGGAGCGCGAAGGCTTGTGCTCGCCAAAGTACTTCTCGTAGACACCGTTCCTGACGACCACCGGCAAATGTCAGCGTGAGCTTTCGCAGAGCGAAACGGGAGGGTCTGGAGCGCAGTGGGCGAGGGATTCGTTGGGCTACTCACATCTCCGCAAAGTGCTCCATCGACGTGAGGAAGACGGTGACCTGGCAACACGCACGTGGTGGTCAGAACGTGGACTAGACTTTCGATCGTCCGGCGACGGTGGGTGTCGATCAATAAAGCATCCCCACGTGGAGGAGGACCTGTCGGATACCGAGGGTACCCTCCATCACGACGGCGACGCACGTGGGGAGGGCAGGGATGGTTCGATGTTGAGGATTGCGGACGACGTGCTGCAATGCAACGTACCTTGACCACGCGGCTGATGGAGCTGCCGGCAGCCTCGAGGATGTTCTTGAGACCCTCGCAGCAGGCGGTCGTCTTGTCGGCAATAGAGCCCTCGACAAGCTTGCCAGAGGCATCGGCTGGGATCTGGCCGCTTACGAAGATATGGGGGCCAGCTTGGATTGCTTGCGACTATATTGCGAACAAATCTTGGTCAGCGGATTGAATTTCCCAGCGCGAGGCCAATCGAAGCAAATGCAAGCAACGCTGTCCGTCTCTACGACCCAGCCAGCTTCTTCCTCGGAAGCACGGCACAGGCGTGTGTAGCAGAGGCGGTAATGATGGACCTTGCATAGATGAAGACCTCATATCTGCAAGCTGATGGAGGAGGTACCCACCGCAGTGGTGAGGAAAACGTGGCAGCCGCGGGCAAGCCATGATGAAAGAGACCAAAGACTTACATAAGAAGCGACAGCTGTGTACCCGCAGGAGACATGCCCGTCAGTTCAGGAACCGCACCCTAGGGCAGATCTGCGGTATCAGATTGTGTGCTGGACGTACGCTGCGCAGCCTTCGGCGTGCTGTCGTCTCATCAGCCCGCCGCTCAATATGGGCGTAATCGACACGCGCAAGTCGTGGGGATGGGAGTGGAGGAGTGCCATTCGCTCGCTCGCAATATGAGACTCATGCGCCGCTGCGTGCGTACCTGATTTGCTTGATCTCGGTCGTCATTTTGCGAGCTTGTCGTTGGGGGCTGAGGCCGCGGAGGGGGCCGGTAGTTTGATGAAGAGGGAGAAAGTTGGCTGTGATGGTGTTGATCACGACACGACTCGGGAATGGTCGGGCTGATATCCTCGCTGCCGTTCGAAGCATGTGCGGTGAATTAGAAGGGATCGTGGGTGTTTGCAAAGGCAGAGAGGGTCAAAGTTTTGTGGGAGCTTGTCAACAGCTCCAGGATCGCGCCGGCGGGAGGGGCGTTCGCTTGTGGCGGGGGAATGAACACTGCTAATTAGCTGTCAATAGTTTTGCCGCATTGGGAAGGAGTAACGCTGATGGATCGTATGGCTCGAAAAGGGCAGCTGTGTACTTTACGAGTCCGCGTGCGGCTGATGCGAGCACGAGAGTGTCGAAAACTCGCAGACTGTCGCCCTGCTAGGCAACGACAAAGATACAAACGCCATGGCCAAGACGAAGCATACGTTCGTAATATTCATCTCTCGCTTGGCATGGATTACATGGGGTGGCTGTATAGAACAGGTGAGATCGTAGACATCGTGGCTCATCACCTCTTGGCTCATCATCATATCTCTATCTCTTCTTCGTAAGCTCCTCTTCTGCCTTCTATACCATTGGCATATTCTTGGCCGTTTATGTCATCTTCCAGATCTTGGCCTCCATCCTCGCCGACCTCCTCGTCCAGATCCTCGATAGGATACGTAAGGATGGCTGCGATTCCTCCCAAGCCCTCGAGCTTCTTACCACTCTCGTGCATGCTGCTGAGTACCCTGACTTCACCACCTTGATCCTTCACATCGTCCACGACCTTGACCCACCGCTTCCTTGTCTGGATGTCTTGGCTGCGAAAGAGAGAGTTCGAGATCAGCAAGATTCCGCCGCCCTTTCCAACTGCGCCTCGCTCGACAGCCAGTTCGCATTCCTTTGGACCATACCAAGCTCGTGCGTCGTCTTGTCGCATCATCTCAAAGAAGCGATCCATGAGTTGGGTTTCTCGTGCGAACTTGGTATCACTGAGCTTGCTCGTGACGGCAGGACTGCTCAGAACTTCGCTCAAACTGTGCAGATGACCAGAGGCTGAGTGTGCCACTGTGATCTTCGGGACCAGTTGCTGCAATTGCTTGTTCGTACCGGCAGCTGCCTGCGTCTTGATGAATTGTTGAAAGCTGCTTGCCGTGAATCCTGGGCTCGCGAGCAGTAAGGGCTTTGGGTCTGAGAGGTCGATCTGCCGTAGTAATGAGTCGAACGTAGTCTGGTAAAACCTCTGCAGTGCCTTGTCATGGTCTGATGAGCCCGAGCGCTTCTTGGGGAGGTTCACTTCTATCCTCTGCCGCAGTATCGTCTGATGCTCTGTGATGAGACAGATGTTGGCCAGCCCCTCTTGCATGACTACTGCCCATAGCTGCGCCTTTGCATCCTGGTCTATCGCCTCTTTCAGGGTGTCCAACGCCACACTGTCCCATCCATCTGCTTTTTCAAGTGTGAAGTTCCGATGAAGCTCGAGATCGAGGGTGTGGAAGCTGCCGAGCTTGACGTGCTTGTTCTCTTCTGATACTTGTCCAGAGACATGTAGCTGCCCGGCCTGTGAGTCGAAGTCGAGTTTGGTGACTTTGATGGTGAGGTTCATGTGGACTCGCTCGCTGGATCGGCTGGACACAGACTCGGTGATGACTTTGCGGACTGCAGATGCGCGTAGTAGGTCGGTGGGTCGTATCAGGTTGTAGGCATGCCACTGCGCTTGTGATTAGCCTTTGCATCGTCGAGCCTCAGTCTGTTGAGACGGACTCGCTCACCATGTCCTCAGGCTCTTCGGGTAGCAGGGTCGCACTGCCCGCGCCCGTCGTGCGCTCGATGCTCTGTTTGATTAGCCTCATCTTCGAGAAGATACCAGCTCCAGAGCCAGTGTCAGGGTTGTAAAGGAGAGGGAGTGTGGTTGCTGAAGTCGAGTCTCGAGATTCAGTGGGGTGTCTACAAAAGCACAGACCATCTCAAACCTCAGTCACGGCATCTCCTGTCTCTCTTCACATGCACTTCAAAAATCACATGCACCTTCAACTACTTCCACTCGCCGGACGAACAAGTATGCAAGCTTTATATCCATACCAATCCGGTTCCGCCTCAATGCGAAATCCCAACCCCAGTCTCAGATAATAATTCTTCGCACTGCCCGACTGCAAAAAGATGGCAAGACGCTCCTCGTCTGCAATCTCACAAGCCCTTCGAACAAGCCTCTTTCCAATGCCTTGGCCTTTGTATGCATGATCAACAGCAAGAAGCTCCATCAGAAAGTGCCCAGCCTGCCTCTGCATGAGTTTCTCCTCGTACGTGACCATGCAGTCGATGCTTGGCTGCCACAATTCTTTACTGTGACTCTCGGTCCAGGGGTGCTTGGTCCAGAATCCACCGATGGGTTCTTTGGCATCCATACGTCGCAGACAGACGACGCCTATCACACTCGAGTCTGCCGTGTTGACGGCGATGATGGGATAGCAGGATGGATTGCCGATTTTCTCAGCGTAGACCTTGCCCCACCAGTCCCGCATTTCCACGGTGTCTGGGAGAGCTTTCTTGACGACATCGTTGACGGGGAAGAACGAACGAGGGAGGATGGTTTTCAGCGACTCATTGTCTGCGGATTTCGCCTCATGTATCTCGACTGCCATTCTCGTCTTCGTACAACACGCTATCATACATCGTCGAACAACACATCTTACAAATTCACCACCAGCCGCTGTGGACGCTCGGACCAAGCATGACGCACTAGCTCGAGCATTGTCTGCTTATGGCAACATTACAACCTCTCTCACTTCATCAACATCTACCTGTTTCCATCGACCATTGAGAGCTCTGTAGTGGCATGAGCTTCCTTCGTCGAAGTATTGCATTGAATTGTCATCTAGCTCCCGCTCGACGATCATTCTCTTCATCATCAGCTGCCGCCATGGCATTGAACATCAACTCGAAAGTGCGTTTGGCATCGGGACATGAGATTCCACTACTTGGATATGGTAAGTCAACAATCACGTCAAGCAGACTCTGAAGTCGAAAGATCGGTGCTGCCGTCAAGAATTGCTGCCGCCGCGTCTGTGTCATCTCTTGAGCCACCGTTCACATGGCGGCCAAGACTCACATGCAATCGAGCTAACGAAGTCTACAGGTGTGTACCAGACGTGAGTTCCATCACCATAGGTCCTTCCCAAGCTCACCTTCTGACCTCTTCAAGACCAGCAGATGTAGCAGAAGACGTAACAGATCACGCCATCAAGACTGGCTACCGCCATGTTGATTCGGCAACAGTCTATCGCAATGAGGTACTTCAAACCTGGGCTGAGGCTCTATGTTGAATATCACCCTGAGCCTGGGAAAATCAAGAATAAAATACATTCTGATGTTATTTCTCCCGCAGGAACCTTCCGCCAAAGGCATGCTCAAAGCTGGTATCCCACGAGACCAGCTCTACTTCACATCCAAAGTACCACCCAAGGAGATCAACTACGAGGCTGCCAAGAAGTGTGTCGATGAGAGCCTGAAGAAGACTGGACTGGACTACATTGACCTTTACCTACTGCACGCTCCTTACGGCGGCAAAGAAGGTAGATTGGGAGCGTGGAGAGCGCTTGTTGAGGCGGTCGATGCTGGCAAAGTCAAGTCGATTGGTGTGTCGAACTACGGCGTGCATCATCTTGACGAGCTGGAGCAGTGGCAGAAGGTACGCATGAAAATGTCCTGCAGTCTTGACCCCAATGCTGACGATTTCGTAGTCGCAACCCAAGGAGAAAGCTGGCATCCTCAGCGTCAACCAGATCGAACTCCACCCATGGCTCGCACGAGCTGATATCGTCGACTGGTGTGAGAAGCGCGGTGTCATCCTCGAAGCCTACTCGCCTCTCGTGAGAGCAACTCGCATGGACGATCCCCTTCTGACTCCCCTGATCAAGAAGTACAACAAAACGGGCTCACAGATCCTCCTTCGCTGGGGCCTACAAAAGGGCTTCGTGATCCTCCCCAAGAGCGTCACGAAGAGCCGCATCGAAGAGAACAAGGGACTCTACGACTTCGAGCTGAGCAAAGAAGACATGGAGAGCTTGAAGACGGACAAGTATGAGCCGTGCGCGTGGGACCCTACCAAGGCGCCTTTGAGTCAGTAGTCAGATGATTCTTTTGCGTGATGCCGCGACCTCGGAGTTGACGATGCTTTCCAGGCGGTGGGATGGCATGGCAGTTTGCGTATGGTCACGCTCGCAGCTATATCACGAGATTCACCAGCTAGAGCGGAGTGTCAGCTCATCACTCATCAGCGTCATTCCCACGTTCTGGCGTACTCCATCACGAACGCCGAGGTCGCTCATGTAGTAAACATTCACCGCCAAACGAGGCGCTTCTCTTATACCAAACAAGGACAATACCACCCTCGTCACCTTGACATCGTCGCTAGCAAAGGTGACATCCGCAACATAAGATCGTCTCGCGCGTGTGACCTGTTCAAATGTACACTGACGCCACCCCATCTTCAAAAGAAGGATGTCGACCGTCATTGGCGTCGGTTGTGATTGGTCGAAACCTCCATCGGCGTGACCTTGCAAAAACAGAGAAGACCGAAGATCTTGCTGCTCTCCACACTTCGCCAGCGGGTTTTTGCGGGGTGTGTATGTGGAGAGGAGAGTGTACCTTTGACCCGGGCGGTCGGGTTGCACGACAAGAAAAACGATATTTGCCGTGTTGTGTAAGAAGAGGCGTGCCAGCCACGCTGTTGCAACAACAACGCAGACGTCCGCACGAGACAGCGGAACGTCGCTTGAGACTCGTTCCTCGCACATTCGACGAGGATGTGCTTGTTGCTCGCTTTCGGCAGCCGATCAGACGACATCGAAGCATTCCATCGTCATGAGAAAATGCCCGGGCCGAGGTACATGTTGCTTGTACCGACGAGCCTACTTTGACAGGCTTATAGGGAGAGCTTTTCGGCTAGTAGCTGTATTTCGGCTTTACTTCTGCGTCAGGTGGTCTTGTGGTGAATCAGCGCCCTTGCGTTGTAGGTTGCTCTTACCGCTTGGAGAAGGTCGATGGGATCATCATCAGCTGCACAGCTTGCAGCCGAGCGGGCACAGCAGAGCAGCGGCGCTGGCCAAATGGCCGAAGAGCAAGAAGAGGCGTGTATTCTTTGGCTGGTACTTCTATTTCCCTTCGAATCTGAGATCATGGCAACGGCGTGCGACGTTGAATACGACAGATTTGGATGTTCCCCAGCCGTGCGGTTGTTCTTCATCTCAGTTGTGGCGCATCGTCGAAGAAGAACGACAACAAGGCGAGAGGGAGGATCGCCTGGCGCACGCCACGAAGGGTCAAGGGCTTGAGGAGACTTTCGGGTGCCTCCAGCCCGCACGAGTCTTATTCCTCCTGGGAACCAATCAAGCATCGTACCTGACGAGGCCACCTCCGTCATGGCGAACGGCCCTGCAGACCACCACCAGAGAGCTGCCTTTCTGCCGAAGCGAAAAAGAAGACCGACCTCATGATTCGAAAGGTTCGACTCCCCGTTGATCGACCTTCCCTCGTCGGGTAGAATCGACTGGACATCTCCTCGACACTCACCTTGCACCTCACGCGAGAATGCGGGGGCGAGTGGTCACAAGCAAACACTGCAAGGATGGTCAGTCGTGGCGTCCAGCGTGGAGGCAGGGCGAACGCCGTGCCGTGGCAGGCGGGCCAACTTCTCGCACTTCTCGTCCAGCGCAGCAAGGCGGAGAAAGAAGGTGGTGGTGTTGCTGCCGAGTAAACAGCTGCTGCTGGTGATCTTCGCCGTTGCAATGGCCGGCCGTTGCTGGGTTGCACTACTTACCAGCCCAGGTTGGTGCCCAGTACAAATAGGTCGGGGTTCGCCCTGCGAGGGTACCTTTAACGTCTCATTTCCAACCCACGCAAGTAGTATTATTTGCTGCTCTGATTCCGCACTCGCAATCGCGGTTCCCTCGTACCGCTGTTCAAGGCTCCTGGTAGAGCTTGTTGGGGACGACGACGATAAACATTCTTAGGCATTGCGTCCCTCTTGCTTGCTCCACCTTCATCCGCCTGCTTCTCTGAGAGACAATATGGGCGTCCTTCGATTTGCAGCAGCTGCGGTTGCACTGCTTGCGTCGGTTGGAGAGGCGGCTCCATCATCGCCGGTCTCTACTGTCAACAAGAGAGCCTTGAAGTTCGACTTTGGTGGCGAGAAGGTCCGCGGTGTCAATCTGGGCGGATGGTTTGGTGGGTTCTAGTCTTGCTTGAGGTTTGGATGTTGGAGCAGGAGGGTGCTGACGGCAAACAGTCCTGGAGCCCTGGATAACACCATCGATCTTCGAGAATGCTCCTGCGGCAGCAGTAGATGGTACGCCAAATAGCTGGGAGAGGATGAAGGAGACATGGCTTACCGTGAATAGAATATACCTTTTGCGAAAGCTTGGGCAAAGACGAGGCCAAGAGCCGCCTGGAAGCTCACTGGAGCTCCTTCTACACCGAGAACGACTTCGCCTTGATCAAGCAGTACGGCCTCAACATGGTCAGAATCCCAATTGGGTACTGGTCGATCACTCCTTTGGACGATCCATATGTGCAAGGCGCATACGAACACTTGAAGACGGCGGTCCAATGGGCGGGCAACCATGGTCTCAAGGTCATGATTGACCTGCACGGTGCTCCCAGATCTCAGAATGGCTTCGACAACTCTGGAAGGCGAGGCGCAATCGGCTGGACGCAAGGCGAGTCTGTCGAGAACACCAAGAAGGCGCTGAACAAGATTCGGGATGACTTCGCGAACAACGATGCAGTTGCGGCCATTGAGTTGCTGAACGAGCCCATGGGTCCACAGCTGAACATGGACACAGTCCGCCAGTTCTACTATGATGGCTGGGGCAACCTTCGAACCACCAACGTGGCTATCGTTTTCCATGACGCTTTCGAGGGCGTGACTTCCTGGAACGAATTCGGCGCCGGCATGGACAATCTTGTGCTCGACACGCACCACTACGAAGTCTTCGACAGCGGTGCGCTTTCCATGGGAATCAACGACCATATCAAGACCGCTTGCGATTTTGGCAACCAGATGGCCTCGAACAACAAGTGGACTATCGCTGGCGAGTGGTCTGGTGCCTCGACCGATTGCGCCAAGTGGTGAGTGATCATGTCCCATTGTAGCCACTGTCGCCAAACTGACTTGCATGCAGGCTGAACGGACGTGATGTCGGCGCAAGATACGACGGCTCCTTCAACAAGGACGGTCAAGGCTCCTATTACATCGGCGACTGTGCGCGCAAGTCCGTCGGCACCGTCGCAGGTCTGAACGAGGCTGAGCGCAACAATATCCAGAACTTCATCAAGGCGCAGATCGCAGCATTCGAGAAGGGCGCCGGCTGGATCTTCTGGACCTGGAAGAATGAAGCTGCGCCTGAGTGGCATTTCCAGAACTTGACTGAGGCCGGTTTGGTGCCGCAACCGTTGAGCTCCGCTGGTAAGTCTTTTCATTCTCTGTTCATGGTGGTCGTGTGGTACTGACGTCCGTCACAGCATCGAGCGGTATCTGCGGTTAAGCGCTTCGAGCTTGCGTTTCGTATTTCCTTCCTCTTCGGCCAGCATCATTTCGCCGATGCTGTGTACATACCGCTGCGACGAGACCATGAGATCAAGACCCATCTTGTAACACTATCGGTCGACGATTGTTTCCTCGAAAGTTCAATGATACCCTCGCTGCCAGTTGGCGCGTTCTGAAGCTGCTCGGCGGCATTTGGTGGAAGTCAAGATAAGGACGGTCGTGCAAACCCTGTGGAGGAGAGTCCGGGCAAAGCTGTATATAAGCTCGCTTTCAGCGAAGAAGGAAGATGTCCAACCATCTCTCGTATACTTGTACTACCTGTGCACTCGTCTATAGTTACTGTCGTGGCATCGATGATGAAACAGTCCAACGTCGATTCCTTACAGGTACGGTGGTACAACGCCTCGTGCTGAGTCGCTCCCCACGCTCCACCACGTGATGGTTGGAGAAAAACTGGGTCGAACACCAGATCTCGCCTTGTTCCTTGCATGATCAAGTTCGCATCACATGCGATTTCTTCCAGCCGTTCCTGGCACAGACTCTGCGCTCCTCGCATCCAGTGTTTCGAAACGTGACCTTGGGCGAGGTGCGAAATTGGAGGGGACCGCGCAGTGTTTGTTTGGCCGTGGGAAATAACCGAAATTGCAAGAGGAGCCGCCAAGGAGTCGCTGGTCGAGCTACGGCTGAGTCGGGAGTCGCTCTTCTGGAAATTTGACCTCACGCCACAGCGCGTTCTGTATGGACGGCGACGGCGACAGCGCGTGGTGAAATGGCCCAAACCGGTCTGGCAGCGATTTAGCACTATTGGAACTTGCCTCACACCGGTCAAGCTCGCTGGCCCGCCGCCTATTCGCCGAATGCCTAAGGACTCACACTGGCAAACGACCGCTCCGCCCCTGGCGCATCCCCTCGCCTGTGCCGCTGGGGGCGGTTGGGTATATGAGAAGCGCTGTCCTTGCTCAGCCTTGGACCTTGCTTCCTGCCTCTGCTGTTCTTTGACTTCGTAGCCGCTACTCCGCCGCCAGCACTCTTCAGAAGACGTTTCGTCTTCAGCCATTCGTTCCAGCCCACTCACTCATTAATCCAGCTTCAGTCACTCTTTGCCCCAGCAAACAAACCGCGGACCGGCATCCGAATTAAATTCAACTACAAACAACACAAATCACCGAAATGTCTGATTTCTCCATGTTCAGCCTCTTCACCGCGGGCCTTGCCTGCTTGGCGCCCCTCGCCGCCGCCTACACCCAGCCAAAGGGTGATGCGCCAGAGGTATGAACTTTGGATTTGCGCGATATCGACGCCGCGACTGACTTTGCGCGCAGGGCAACCCAATCTCTCAGCCAGGTCTCAACTCGATCGTCCCAGTCGGTGAGGGCTTCACCATCACCTGGGACCCAACCACCAAGGGCACCGTCACTCTCGTCCTCCTCAAGGGCCCCAGCTCCAACGCCGTCCCACAGTACCCGATCGTCGAGAAGACCGACAACGATGGCTCCTACGTCTGGACTCCTTCCAAGGACCTCGCTCCATCCGAGGGCGCTGAGGGCTACGGCATCCAGCTGATCGACGACGCCACCGGCCAGTACCAGTACACCACTCAGTTCGGCATCTCCAACCCCGACTACAAGGCAGGCAGCTCCAGCTCCTCTTCCCAGTCCTCCAAGCCCACCAAGTCCGCCCCATCGTACGGCCAGTCCAGCTCCTCCAAGTCCGCTCCCGCCTACGGCTCCAGCGAAGCTGCAGTCACCAAGACTGACGTCGTCACCGCTTACACCACCTACTGCCCCGAGGCCACCACCTTCGCGATCAACAACAAGACCTACAGCGTTTCGGAGGCCACCACCCTCACCCTCTCCATCACCAAGCCACATAGCGCCTCCAAGCCCGCCTCTGTCTGGGCCCCAGTCGGCACTGGCTCGTACAGCAAGCCCCACAACGTCACCATGGTCGCCCCAACTGGCTACGTGCCAACGACCATCGCGACCTCCGCTGCGACGTCCGCCGGCTACAGCGCACCTACCAAGCCTACCGAGTCCGTCCCAGCACCTTCGTACACCGGTGCTGCCTCCACCTTGGCGACCAGCTTCGCCGGCCTGGTCCTCGCGGCTGGTGCTGCCGTTTTCGCTCTGTAAGAGCATTTTGCATTCATGAAAGAGAAAAAGGAATTGGATACCCCCAAGGATGGTTCTCTGAGGTTGCTTTTTTACTTAACGAATCAGTCCAAAGCCTGCGTTGAAGCGCGACTTGTTGCTGAAAGACTGGCTTGCTATTCGTGTGTGTACAGTATGAAAGCGGGTTTTAACGCCTGAAATGACAGTCGTAATGTGAAGATTTTCTTTTTCGGAATCGAGTTCTTTCGTTCGCTTCAATTCCGTTTGCGTTCTTCCTTTGCGCCTGCCTGAAAAGGTTTGGAGAAGCTGCGAACGCTCTGGCGAGGAAACGGGGCAAGCACGAACACTCGAAAGTATGGCTGAGACGAACTTCCCACCGCACCAGATCCCACCATCTATTGGTCCACTTCGACAAGGAGCCTTTGAATGTCTCGGTCACACGCAGTATTGCTCGAAAATGCACCAAGAACCGGAATCGATATTACACTCGTTGAGCGACTTGCCATCAGCTGCATGTCGGAATGAGCACTCCGTCCGGACGAAGCAGCTTCACCTTAACTATCTTCTCAAAATCCGCACTCCAGGACGTTGCTGCTCCCATTAATGAATTTTCGTCGTCTGCCGGTCGAGAGGCCCTGGACTCTTGGACATTGATCTCTCTTAGTGGAAGGCATCTAACTGAAGGCTGGAGACGTTTCTATTCATCAACAGCTTTGTCACATGCCAAACAGTAGGTGAGGTCTGTGCGACGACACTCCGCAATGCTTGACTGCAGCTGCTAACCCAAAGCGGTACTGCATGGATGAAGATAGCTCTATCTTCGAGGAACTGTGCATCATCCCAGTGTATGGAGTCTACTTCAGCAACCCGATCACGTGCCATGACAGCTCCACCGCACAAACAGTCCATTTCGGGCAAAGTGATGCGGCAAATGTTGGCGCCCTGCCGGTAACATGATCGGATAGCAATTCCGGGCCCGATTCCGTCCACTGTTCGGAATAGCAGTCTAAACAAATGATAACAACCACTGCAGCCAGATCGCTGTCCCATTGCCTCTCGAAAAGCGCTTCCCTCGACTCCGACCGCGTCATGGCCGCCGGACAACCTTCATACATCATTGTCGGCGCTGGCGTTTTTGGAGTTTCCACGGCATTGCACCTTATCAAGAAGTATCCACAAGCATCAGTCACAATTGTTGATCGCGACCAACACGATGCCGACACTCGAGTGGCTGCCTCCTGGGACTGGAACAAGGTCGTACGTGCCGACTACGATGATGTAGTGTACTGCCAGATGGGTATTGAGGCGCAAGATGTATTCAAGAGCGACCCGCTCTGGAAACCATACTTCTTCGAGACTGGTATTTTTTGGACTTGCAGAGACGATTACGCTGATGCGGTCATTGGCAATTATCACAAGTTGGGAAGAAAGGCCGACTTGAAGTCCATCCCGGTCGAGGAAGCTAAGAAGCTACATGGCGGGGTCTTTGGGGATGCGGACTACAACGGTGTCAAGTCAGTTCTCATCAACAAGACCAGCGGCTGGGCTGCAGCAGGTGACTGTCTCAGAGCTGTCACTAAAGAGGCTCTGCGATTGGGCGTGAAGTACGTGGTGGCAGAAGTAGCAAGCCTGCTCTTCAATGAAGATGGCTCCTGTGGCGGCGTCAGGACGATTGGCGGCACGAACCTCGAAGCAACCCATACCATCCTCAGCACTGGAGCATACACGCCAAAGCTGCTCGAGCTCAGCGCCGAGGAGAGCGGTATCACAAGATTGCGAGCTGGAGACCGGATCGTGGCTGGCGGAATTACAACTGGCATGAAAGTCCTCGACGAAGAAGAGCTTCCAACATACGCTGCAATGCCCGTGGGTGTTCAAGGTTATACGCCCGAGCTGGGCCCATTCATTGGAAGCCTGCCACCGACAAAGGACAGGCAGTTGAAATGGTGGGGCCAGACCATTTTCAAGAATACGACAGAGGTGCTTCCTGGGCGACATGTTTCGGCGCCTCCCGAGCGGCCTGAGTACAATCAGTGGAAGATTTCAAAGAAACTGAAGAAAGACATTGAGCACGCACGAGACGTTTTCTATGGGACGAAGAGCAAGAGCTGGAAGATGGAGAAGCACAGGATATGCTGGTGAGAATACTACCATTGACGAGTGCGGACTTTACTTCATACTTCAGCGCTAACACTGCCATACAGGGACGCCTTCACCACGAGCTCTGACTTCATCATCTCACCACATGCAGCCGCTAAAGGCTTGTACGTGGCCACGTGTGGAAACTTCCACGGCTGGAAGTTCTTCCCCATAATCGGCAAATACGTGATGCAGATGCTCGAGGGCTCGCTGTCACCTGAACTTGCCGACAAATGGGCATGGGATCGCGAGAGGCCCGATCCCAAAGACTTCGCTGACTATCCAAGACATGAATTACGGGACTTCGAAGATACCCGCGCAAAGTTGTAAGACAGGGAAGACACTTGCATTGAGGGAACGGTAATCGGCATTTTGATATAGGATCCATGAACCTAGACAGGAGCCAGAACTTCACTTGACCACTCCTACCGACTCAACGTGGCACCTGGCTTGTTCATCGCGATGGCTTTATCTACCACAAGCGACTTGTCCTTATCTTCGGCATCTGTCCTAAACCCAAAATGACGAGCCTTTTCGAATGCTTCCAGGTCAGACGCAAGCATGGGAAGCCATAACCCTATGGGGGATGGCGGACCTTTGCCACCATGGGACGGCCCTTCTCCACCACGTAAAGGTCACTCCTCCTATGGCCACCAGATGCTAACGGACAGCCATCCCCCATGGGGCTATTGATTCATGCGACGATGCGATAATAAGGGCATCAACGAGATGTAGGTGATAAGACTGATATAACATGTGTAGTAGTGCTTGGTGCTCTCTCCTATCATAGCATCATCCCATCTCCTCGTGCCCTGAAGACATCGTCGTCTACAAGGAGCATCCTGCTCGATCACAGACCCCTAAGAAGCACAATAACTTCTGCCAAAGATGTCTGGCCTTCTCAGCTATCTCGGATACGGCGGGTCCTCGTCACCAACCCTTGAGGACAAATCTTCAACACGAGCATTGCCCTCGAGCTGGTACACATCGCAAGAGATGTACGAGCTGGAACGACGAGCGATCTTCTCAAAGCAATGGATGCTCACAACACATAAAGCGAGATTCACCAACGCCGGGGACTGGCTGACCTACGAAATTGCTGGCTTTGGATTCGTGCTCGTGAAGGACCGCCAGGGGAACATCAACGGCTTTCACAACGTCTGTAGACATAGAGGCTTCCCGGTCGTTACCGGCGAGAAAGGAACTTCGAAGATCTTTGCTTGCAAATATCATGGCTGGTCGTATGGCCTTAACGGGAAGCTGGCCAAAGCTCCTGGATATCAAGAACTCTCTGGTTTCGAGAAGGAACGCAATGGTCTGTTTCCGATCCATGTCAAGATCGATAAGAACGGGTTCGTATGGGTCAACCTCGACGGCAAGGAGACTCCAGAGATTTCGTGGGAGGAGAAGTACCGAGGGATCGATGAGCAAGAACGATACAAGAACCTCAACTTCGACGACTATGTCTACGATCACTCCTGGAATCAGGATGGGCCTTATAACTGGAAGATCTTGTCGGACAACTACAATGAGTGTTATCATTGTGCGACGACACATCCCGACATCCCTGAGGTGGCGGATCTACACTCGTATTCCGTCAAGACGGTCGGTAATGCCATCATCCACGACGGCGCAAGCACCGAGAAACAGATCAGAGAAGGCCTCAACGTCGCCGCTACATACTTCATGCCCAACGCCTCGATGAACGTATCGTAAGTACGCCCCAAAACCCCCAACTCCACCGACCACATCTAACCTCTCATCTCAGACCACACTTCTTCTTCATCCAACGCTTCGTCCCGTCCGGCCCGACCCAATCCTCCATGCGCTACGAAGTCTACCGCAACAAAAACTCCTCCGACGCCGACTTCACCCGCATCGACGCCATGTACAAACGCATCATGTCCGAGGACAAATTCCTCTGCGACCTGACGCAGAAGAACCTCAACGCGGGCATGTTCGTCAACGGCGAGCTGCACGGCCGGATGGAGAAAGGACCTCTCTACTTTCAGAATTTCATCCGCGAGGAGGTTATGGCGCATTGGAAGAGGGAGCAGGCGAGTAAAGGGGAGATTTGGCCGGCGAGACAGCAGATGCCGTCCACAGGGAAGGGGAAGGTCAGCCAGGCTGATCTTGCGTTTTGTTCCGGGTTGGCGTGTAGTCCGCAGAATCAGGAGGTGTTGGCTTGGTAATTGTCAATGAGGGGGTTTGAGGCATGATGGTCGGCGTTTTGTGGTTATTGTCTACGGTTGCGACCGACCTGATTCGTTGCTACGACTTGCATTTGGAGGAGTTTGATTGGAAGAAGGAAGGGGATGTCCGCCCACCTTCTTTGCTCCCTGAGGGCTGTAGTTAGTATTTACGATTTATGAATTCACATGGCTCTTTGACATTAGCCCCTACGAGTCAGTCGTAATCCATAGCTTTCACCGGTTTTCCGCGGGCGGCGACTCCTCACTTGACTCCACTGGCGACTTCGGCCGCTCCTTTGCCAGGCTCTGGCTCTGCAAGTACCCGCTTTGGGCATGCCGGCGTCAAGGTCTTAAGCCGCCCGTGTTACTCGTAGCCATCAGGGTGAACAATGCTGATGAGATTATGTGGATCCTGTACGGAAGACCGTGACAAGAAATTGGTATCGATTGAACACTCCGTCTGTGTGGGCTTTTGGGAACGAGTTGACCTTGCCAATGAGCGCCGTCTGATAACGCTTGCACACAAGAAATGTTTAACAGACTTGCCAAGGACATAGTGGACAGCGCTCTGAATCTACGAACGGAGTCTGGTATGGTTTATCTGCTTTTCAAATGTGAATCATGTCTTCCACGGCACACTAAGATACAACTGCACAGGAGTCTCGCACAGGGCTGGGATGCTGCGACAAGAACTTTTTTTCTGATCTTCTGGAGTCTTATCCCAACGAGTGATGCTCATAATGCTTCGAAACTTCTAGTAACGACGAGCCTGGTATCAAGGATAATGGTGAACGACCATCTTTGCCGTCCGAGCCTGACTGATAAGATAAGGGGTTGGTATCGTAGGGTCCTCGAGATAAGACCGACGCTTTCATTGGCTGTGGAATGGTCTGTAAGTCGAATCTAGCTCGGTCTCATCGCGATGGTCTCCCAGTGGAATTGACTTCCTGACATGGACTTCCCAGGCATTGCCGACAGACCATAGCCTTGTCAGGAGCGCTTGACCCGATTTGGGGCTCGTGCACGAGCGTATGTCGTGCAGCAGCCCTGGCCACTGAGCTCGGCGTTTTGCGGGGAAGGAGGGACGTGATGGACAAAAAAGGTCGTGTCACCCTGACGGACGACAGCCGCCAAACGAGACATACGATACAGTACCGCTTCTGTACTATCAGCAATCATGATCAAAATGAGAGCTCTCCACGAGCAATGGCATCGAGGAGCCTACTCAACTCCGTTCTCACAACCTACCAGACAGGACAATGGGTGAGATAGTCAACGAAGAATACGGCCTCGACGCCATCGATCTTCACCAACATGTCATCATTATTGGCGCTGGCATAGTCGGTGTCAATCTCGCTGATGAGCTGGTCTCGCGAGGATGGACAAACATTACAGTCGTCGAGCAAGGCCCTCTCAATCTCCCCGGCGGCTCGACGTCGCATGCGCCCGGCCTCGTTTTCCAGACGAATGCTTCTAAGGCGATGACCCTCTTCGCCAAGTATACAGTTGAGAAGCTATTGTCCGTCCAGAAAGATGGGCAATCGTGCTTCAACCAAGTCGGCGGACTCGAAATAGCCACGACGACGGAGCGCATGGAAGAGCTCAAGCGCAAGCATGGCTATGCATCTTCATGGGGTGTCGACGCCTCCCTTATATCTCGTGAGGAGTGCCTTGAGCGGTATCCGCATCTGAACAAAGACAATGATATGGTTTTGGGTGGCCTGCACATTCCCTCCGATGGACTAGCTTTAGCGGCACGAGCGGTCGACCTTCTCATCGAACGAACAGCAGCCGCCGGCGTCAAGTACCTGGGCATGACCACTGTCACCGACATCATCAAGACTAACGGCCGTGCAACAGGAGTAAAGATCAAGCCCAGCAAACCCGAAGGCGAGGAGACGACTCTCGAGTCCAACATCATCATCTCGTGTGCAGGATTCTGGGGTGTGGAGCTGGGTCAGATGGCAAACACGCCGATTCCCTTGCTCCCCTTGGCGCATCAATACGTCAAGACCACAGTCTGTCCCGTTCTTGCGGAGAAGAACCCCCAGACTTCAAGCAGCGACTCCCTTCCAATCCTGCGTTATCAGGATCAAGACCTTTACTATCGCGAGCACGGCGACTGTTACGGAATTGGCTACTATGGACATAAGCCAATGCCAGTAACTGCCTCCACTCTTCCACACGCAACAGAAGACTGCAACCACCAGAACATGCCATCGCGGTTAGCATTCACACTGGAAGACTTTGAGCCAGCCTGGAACTACAGCAAAGAATTTCTCCCCTGCCTCAAAGACACCGAGATTGCCGACGGCTTCAACGGAATCTTCAGCTTCACCCCCGATGGCGGTCCCATCCTCGGCCAGAGTCCACAGCTTGAAGGCTTCTGGGTTGCTGAAGCAGTCTGGGTTACTCATTCCGCAGGAGTAGCTCGCGCGATGGCAGAAGTGCTCACAACCGGGGTCTCAACTGTCGACCTTGGCGAATGCCTCCCCAGCAGGTTCGAGGACGTCCAGCTTGCACCAAGCTATGTGAAAGAGACCTCCGAGCAGAACTTCAACGAGGTCTACGATATATTGCACCCGCTGCAGCCTCGTGAGCGCCCATCTGTCCGAAACCTGCGCACTTCGCCGTTCTTCCCACGCCAGAAAGAGCTTGGAGCTATGTTTCTGGAAGCAGGTGCTTGGGAGCGGCCGATGTACTTTGAGTCAAATCGATACTGGCTACCGCTTTTGCCGGAGAAGTATAAGCCTCCTGTCAGGGATGCATGGAGCTCGAGATACTATAGCGAGGTCTCTGCAGTGGAGGCATGGAGGACAAGAGAGTCCGTGGCAATGTACGACATGACGCCGCTGAGAAGGCTGGAAGTCACTGGCCCTGGAGCCGTCGAGCTGCTTCAGAGCCTGTGCACTGGTGAAGTCGGACGGAAACCGGGTGCTGTGACGTACACCTTGATGTGCAATAGCGCCGGTGGCGTGAGGAGCGATATCACCGTGGCCAGGGTGGAGCAAGAATTGTTCCAAGTCGGCGTCAACGGACCAACAGATACAGCATATGTCCTGGGTGAAGCAAAGAAGCAGAGGAAGAAGGACCCCAGCAAGTGGGTCGATGTGAGAGACATCACTGGACACACATGCTGCATTGGTCTGTGGGGACCGAGGGCAAGAGACGTTGTGACGAAGGTCAGCTTGAATGATTGGTCAAACAAGGCCATGGGATATTTCCGAGTTAAGAAGATGCGTATCGGAGGCATATCCGTCACCGCCATGCGAGTCAGCTACGTTGGCGAGCTTGGTTGGGAACTATACACCAGTGCGGACACTGGCCTGAAGCTCTGGGACCTGCTCTGGACCGCCGGACAAGAATTCGGGATCATCGCCGGCGGCCGTGGAGCTTTCAACTCTTTGAGGCTGGAGAAGGGATACCGCGCTTGGGGCACCGACATGACGACCGAGCATGACCCCTACGAGGCTGGAGTTGGGTTTGCCATCAAGAAGGGCAAGACTGGATATGTTGGAGCTTCAGCACTCGAAGGCAGATCTGCAGAGACTGCGAGCAAGAAGCTGCGATGCTTGACGATTGATGACAAGTCTGTGGTGATGGGCAAGGAGCCTGTGTTTGTTGATGGCAAACCAGCTGGTTACGTTACCAGCGCGGCGTACGGCTTCACGATTGAGAAGTCCATTGCATATGCGTGGCTACCCAGCTCGGCGGAGGAAGAAAGTGCTGTCGAGATTGAGTACTTTGGGCAGAGATTACCGGCGACTGTCTCTGCTGAGCCGCTGTATGATCCTGAGAGCAAACGAGTGCGTGGGTCGTAGTGCGGAGAAGACGCCAGTCTCGGGATTATTGAATTTTTGCTGCATCTACCACACGAAGAGCGTTAATGTACTCGATCAAGAAGTAATGATCTGCTCTGACTTCCGGGGTTTGAGGCGACTGGATTTCATCTTCCTCGCCAAACACCGTTCCTCAGCATGTTCTTGAGGGTTTTATGAGTTCGGCACTTACGATTCTTTCACGCTTCGTCGTCAACTTCCTCTTCCGCCTCCGACCTCTTCGGGTCCCAAGGCGGCGAATCCTTCCACAGCACATACTGGCTCTCGCTCTTAATCAGATTCTCTTTGATCTTCTTCGCCAGCCTCCATTCCTCGGCACTGAACAAATCCCTATCCCAAGTCTTCACAATCGCGAGGATCGTCAACAGCAGCGCATCAGACTTCTTCGCTTCCGCTAGGATATACGGCCTCATGGCCTTCTGCACCCCTCGCTTGCTCCAGACGTAGACGTCTAGTCGATACTTCGCTCGAATGAGCCATCTCAGCTCCCGGATGCTCGTCGCGGAGGCTTTGCGCAGCCGTCGGGCGTTGGCGTCGTCGGCGTGAGGTGTGTCCCGGCGCTCGATGGGAGGACGATTGTTGGTGTTGTTGGGAAATGAATGAGACGTGGGTAACTCCACTCCGCGTTGGCCGGGTTCCAGTGTGTATTCGTTGCTCTCGATGACCCTTCCTGCGATTATGGCCGCTCGTCTCGCGTCTAGCTCAGCGGGCCCGGCATCCGTTACGACTTTAAGTACCGTTTCCGGATTGTGCGATGGCTTGGGCTGTTGAAATGTCGTCTCGTTGTTGTATCTTGGGTCTCTGTTGGGGTGGACGTCGAGCTTCTCGGCGAGGCGTGAAAGGAACCCCTTTCTCTTGATTGGCTTCATTTTCTGTGTCTTGCGAAGCTGCAATACGGTCAGAAGGTTTGGTGATAAAGTGCATGTGTTTGTGAACCACCTTCGAGGTGCCATGGGTTGGTTCCATGTACCGTGCGAGCGCATGTAAGCACACGATCTCCGCAGGCTCGCGCCCATCACTTGTAGTGCTCTCCCCCAGGACGAGCCTGGCTACGGCAATGTGAGGCGCCCACCGAAGGCAACTTGATCGACGAATTCATGGGAGCAACCTCATGCCGCTTGCTGGCCTGCCAATTTGATGCAGCCTCGCGGGAGGCCGCTCTACCGGGCGCAGTGTACACGTATCACGCTATCCTATGCTACAGATGCACCATGCCTCTTTCCGAACGCCTGGCTGGTACGACACACGATAAACTTTATTGACAGGGCATCGAACGAGAACGAGAGCCTTTCTTGTTCCTCAAGCCACCATGTCATGGCCAAGGTCCTACACTATCAATGACTGGAAAGATCAGAACTGGTCCCACGAGTCTGCCGATCTCCGCCTAGCCTTGGAGCTCGAGGGCTCGAGATTGATCTCGCAACGCCCGACTCGATCACCCTTGAGCAGCAGTTCTGCCTGGAGCAGACGATTGGAGAGCATCAAGCGCCACTTCAAAGGCCCTATTTCTGGCTTTCGGCGATACGCTCCCCAGTCCACATTGACGGTTCCCGCTCGTTGGACCTCTGGTCTTGGTCAGCAAACCGCGTGCTATTCCCGTGGGCTCCGTCTACGTACCATGTTGTCCCGTGTGCCAGTCTTCGGGCAGATCATCCCCCTTGTCGTCTGCTTCGTTGTCGCAGCTGTACAGTGACAGCGAATACCCGTGGTCGTGTCTGTGAGTGGGCTCCCAGAACGTTCTACTCTCTATCGGCAACGTCTGGTTCGAGAGGATTAGATCGCCCTTTTTGATGAGCCGGTGGAAGCGGCGTTGACTGCCAATGACGACGCCGTAACTCTTCGTAGCTGCTCTCATGAACGAGACGTCTTTGTGGCGTGCTGCAGAAATCGATGTCAGCGAATCAAGAAAACCCCAACGGGAACCCATGAACCACCTTTCTCACAGCCAAATATAACCCCGCCTTGCACTACTGCCGTCAAGCTACACATTGTCAGCTAGCAGGAATGCTGGTTCGAGTCCATGGTTTCAATCCAACATACGACTTAGCTGCATCAGGCCGTCTCAATTTCTTCTGTATTAGGTCAAGACTCTCCTGTAGCTCTTCTTGAAGATATGGAGAAGCCCCAAACCCGCCCACCAGGAAGATGTTCTGACACACATTAGCCATATCGTTTTGTAGTGGTGGAGCTATGATCCCTCTTTAGCCTCTCACCTTGATGCGACGCCCCTTGAGCCGGGCAGCCTCGTCGATTTGTGCCAGGATGAGTTCAATAACCGGGTTTACACACTTGTCCATCAGCAACTTCATTTCTTCCCTGCGATGTTTAGTCGAGATCATATCGGAGAGCGATCGCCACTAGCCATGTTATTGTCAGTTCCCCTTGATTCACTCGGCCGTGGTCAAGGCTGTCCAACGGCGGAGGCAAGTCAATCTTGATCGGCGCTCTTGTGTGATTCGAGAAAACAATCTTGTTGGAGCTGAAACGCTTGATGAGCTGCCTCATAGCCTCTGTCTCTGCTGTATGCGGACTGATTCGTTTCTGCTGGGCATTTGCAGGGTCTAGGTCGGCGTAGAGCTCTCTGCCCAGGACTTCATCCCTCAACCAAAGCTTGAATTCGGTGTCAATGAATGCCGAGCCACGTTTACAACCTGCTCTCGTCAGTGACGAGACAAAATCCAACCGATGTGATTACCTGTTGGCTCGGTCGCTCTCTCAAGCTCGAGGAGAGGTTTCACCTTCTTGACTTGATAAGCGACGGCATCGACTGTGCCACCGCCAGCGTCGCAAAGAATGAAGCAGTGATTCTCCTGAGAGTGATTCAGTACTAGAAAAGCCTACACGGACCTTCTCCAATTCACCTGCAAAAAGTCTGTTCCTTGATCTTTCAGATCTTGAGCTGTGAACAAGGCTGCGGCCTCGGGTTCAGATACCACCATGATATCCTTCAGCGTTGGGAGCTGCTCTGAGTTGAAGCCGGCTTTTGAGATGGCCTTGAACATAGAATTGTAACCGTGGTAAGTCCAAGGCTGCAGAGTGTCAGCGGAAGCTCAGAATAATGCCACAGTCCAAAGCCATACAACAGGGACGGTCACTACAAGGTCAATCTTCGTGTTGGTCACAATAATCTGCTCTTCGTTGATCGCCTGCCGTGTGCGTTTGAAGAGCCGCCACAAGTAGTCCGTGACCACTTCTTCTGGTGTATTGTACGTGAAATCTGGATGAGCTCCTGCGTCTCGTATGTGCTCAAACGCCAAGTAGTTTGTCCCCTTCAACACATACAAGGTCAGGTCAAGTTCGTCAAGCCGGCTGTCTTGTAGCTCGAGCTCAAGTTTCTGGTTGACCATTGTGACGGCACCTTCGCTGATGTCGGTACCCCATTGCTTCTCCCCGTTTCGCGGCTGGGAGTAGGAGATCACACTAGGCACCTTCTCGAGGTTACTCATTCTGGGTCCCCAATCCGAAATGACTTCTATATTCGCCAGATTCGCATGATGGGCATCTGTGGTTGTGATCGCGATTCCTAAATCACAATTAGCTGCAACATTCACTGCACCCTGCAGCAGCGAGGACTGCTTACCGCTGTACGTGGTTCCGAAATCTACTGCGATGACCAATCTGTTGCTCCGAACGGGATTCCGAGCAGGTCTTTCGGGTAGATTCTCCTGCTCTCGTGCAGGTGCAGGTGCAGGTGCAGGCTCTTGAGACTCAGGTATTGGTGATACAGGCCTTTCGTTCGAATGGCCTTGAGTCCCGGCGTTTCTCGCAACTCCCTGCCAAAAGTTCCCGTTGTGTGGTCTAATGGAGTGTCGACGGCGAGGATGAGGGCTTTGCGGCGTGTACGCAGGAGGTTCAGGTTCATCCGCGAGCAGGTTGCGATTGAGGTATTCGCTTCCCAAAGCGCCAACTCCTTGGGCAGCGTTATCGTTTGACATCGTGAGTTAGGAATGCCGACTTACGTTCGTACCGTCCTGCAAGGGTTTCAATGAATTAAGTTGCCGTTATATCAGCACGCAGCTTGATGTGGCATCGACGATCGTTGTCAAAGACGGCACAAGGCAACGAAAGGAAAGAAAGTTCCAGCCTTGCAGCTACCAGCCATTTGGCGCACTGCTGGCCTACGCCCCGACGCATGCACCTCGCCCCTCGCCCTCTCTTCCACCTTGTGCATGTGTGTAGATCTCTGAAAGCCCTCGACGCCTCAGAATCTGTGCGCTGGCCGCAAACTTCTACATTGAGTGATTTTGCAGCCTGAAGCCTGCAAAGATCATACGCAACTACTTCCATCTTCGATTCTACCTCGACAAGCCGTACAGGTCGGTGTGCCATCGAATTTTTAGGTCCTAGGCTCATCAACCTTGCATTCTTTATCCCATACGTACCGCTTCTAATGAAACTGATGACTGCGTCCATTTCGTCCATCCATGTCGCCCGATTTTCAAAGAGCCTTGGAATGGATTGCTGGGTTCGGAAGCAATAGAAAAGAGACTAGACATGGGAATACTGCGCAGAGGCATCCCCATTCCTCCAGAAGAGACACGTATGCTGAGGAGTGCCTGGATGCCTTCTGCTCGTCTTTGCCAACTCCAGAAGACGACAGGCAGGCCCGCGATTACGGAAGAATGAAACAGTGGGTCAGCGAGTTCATCCACAACACCCTCGTACCCTTTCGTCGTGAGATTAGCGAGCTGCAATCGGAACATTTGCAGACCATCAAAAGACTCGAGGACGAACGGGACAAGGCCAGCAGGAAATTCCAGCAGACGATCGAGGAAGAAAGAACGAAGTCCCAGCGCCTGGCGGCGAAACACGCCACGGAGCTGCAGAGCATCGGAAGAAAACACAGCGAGGAGCTGGCTACGCAGCAAAGGCGCTTTGAGCGCGACATTGACGATATTACCGCAAAACATACGGCGGAAACTCAAGGCCTCAAGCGAGACTACGACGTTACCAGGACGAGGCTGGAGAAAGAAGTCCAGAGCTTGAAAAACAGCCTTGTCGTATTGGAGACTACCGCCGAAGAAGAGAAGCAGAATTTGGCAGCGATGCATGATGCTGCCTTGGGCTCCCTTCGGACCCAGTTTGTCAATGACAAGAACCAACTGGAGCGAGAATACCAAGACCGCGAGGGGAGACTCGCATCTCAAATTGAGGAGCTCAACGCCGCTCTCCTGACACGAGACGACGAAATCTACACGGCGAAAATCCTGACCATCTCGGCGATTCCCCAGAAATCCGACGAGAAGCTCAGGGGGAGCTTCTCCGAGATCGTGAAAGCTGTAGACGATTTGAGCAGGCTGGCATGGAGACACGACCAACGTGCGTTTTCAGAGGCGGACTTGGCGAGGCTCCGGGGGCAGAGCAGTGATAGGCTTTTGAGGAAGGCGATTCTGCAAGATCTCGTGTGGTCGTGTCTGTATGACTTTCTGTTCGCAAGTCCATTTCGCATGCTCGGAGAGGAAGGGCTGCAGCTTGAGAAGGAATGGGCGAATCAAGGCGGCCAAGGTATTTCTTGTTAACTCATTTCCTTTCCTAGGGACCAGCTAACAAGAGACCAGGTGCACCATCCGACCACAGTATGTACATTTGCCCAATTCCTGGGGCCCAGACCGAGCGATGGCGGTATATGACCTTGTACCAGTGCCGGCAAGTCCTGGTCACCCCTAAGATATTCGAGTGGGACGCACGCGCTCGTGTCAAGAACGGCTTTGGCGAGACACAGGACAAGTTGACAAAGAGCATCATCGCACTGATAGGTGAGATTGCGGGAACGACACCAGAATCGAGCCAAGCGGTGGACAGCATCGCAAAGAAAGCCTCAAGAATGTGGCTGGACTTTGGAATGCAGCGATGTCGCATTGTCGTCGATTTGACCGGGTCCGGAAACCGGGTGCCCGCTGAGAGGCTTACGCTGATCCGACAAGGCGGGTTGACGTTGACGGCATCGGCGAGAGTTGGGAGGTTTGGGAACATGAAAGGAGCTGACCTGGGCATGTTTACGGTTATCGGAGGTTGCGAGGGTGAAGTCTTCCAGACGGTATAAGGTGCGAGGAATCAGTGGGCAGGCGAAACCCTTTCTTCTTCCAGCTGCCCAACTTGCTCCTCGAGAGTGCTCATGTCGACGTCGTTTGTCAACATGTGTCTTGCTTCCAGTCTGCCTTGTCGTCTAGATCCCAGGAAAGGACCGGAGTCCTCAATAGAGTTGGTCCCGCGGGCTTTTTTCTCTTCTTCGAGGGACTTTCGTGAGGGTGACGTTGTTTCGTGCGCCGAGCTCTCATTATGGCAAGGGGAAACTGCCGTTCCTTCAAGTGTGATGTCGATCACACAGACGGCTTCTTCCATAATTTCTTCCTTTCTAGCTGATATGCTCGCGGGGGCGGGGCCTTCGAATGGAACAATTTGTTGGGTGAAATGAGACGACTCGATGCTGTCTGCGGGGATGTGGTAAAGGAGGACATCTCCTCCCGGCTCCTCGGTAGCGGTCGCCCAACGTTCACAGTCTCTCGCACTAAGCCCGTGTCGTGTATACGCAATGGCGATAACATGCTGTATTTTGTGAGAGACGTTAGAGATGCAAAGGATTGACTTGAAGATCATAGTGATAGCAAACCGAGATTTGAGACGTCGCCAGGTGATGTATCCCCAAAATTCGCCGCGTGAGCTCTGCATTACGCCCGAATCTTCATTCCAATTGCGACGGGGATGAGCCTCGCTGATCCAGAACGCACTGGAGAAGCTGACAGCCTCCCGGAACCAGAGACTGGATGATGCAGTGGTACGAGGTAACTCAACGTCTAAGGCATGGTCTGCGAGGATACACGTTCTGGGCTCCAGCACTTCCGAATTTGAATCAGGGATAACTCGCCGCAATGATCGAGAGAGCGCGTGGCGAGGAACGCTGATGGATTTGGTGACATTACTGTTGGCTTCGACTTCAGTGTGCTTGATGGTCAATGCCAGCCGGCCCCTGAAGTCATCGCAGTACCTGCAATTGAAGACCAAGAACTTGCCTTCGCGCGTGGATGTCTCGCAAAGCTCAATACGAAGCCCAGAATTGGTGAACTCAAACGGACTCTTCGTGGCAGACTTCACTGTGACAATCTTCCCAGCATCGCGGAAGTGGCCAGGGTTCGGGGCAAGGATATTGAAGTTGTCGAGATGCGAATGTGGCGAGGACCACAGAAATATCGAGTGATCCTCGGAGGACTTTATGATCTCTTGCTGCAGTCGTGCGAAGGCTTTCTCGCCTTCTCCGTAAAGAAGCGGCATGTTGATGTCGAACAGTCCGAGCAACGAATAAGCCCTGTCCTCGGGTCGAGTTGTCTCGCGATGAGCGGCCCAGGACATTCGCTGGGCTCCACTGTACTTTCCAAGGACGCCAGAACTTCGAAGTACCGGCAGGTGAATCCCTGTGATTTCGGCTAAGCAAATTGCCAAGTCGTGTTTGGAACCTATTTGCCGCCAGTGTGTAGAAAAGAAGAGGACTTTGCTTGGGGCAATGAGCTCTTGTAAAGTCCATCCACGCGTGAACCACCGGCTCTTCGCGAGCCAATCTGGAGCAACGTCGAAATTCTCTGCGCGAGTAGTCGTGACATCAGACAGGTAGACGTAGCAGGCTGTGCTTCTGGTGTAGTATCTGAACATTGAGTTGATAGCCTCAGACAGCTCTGCGCTGCTTTTCTTATCAATGCAGCAAGTGTCGACCCAAGCATATGAAAGGCCATCCTCGAGCGCTTGTGTGCAGGTAAGACGTATCTTTTCAAAGCCACGTAATCGTCGAGCAGCCTCAAGGTCCTGTATCTGCTGAAATGATACCTCTTCATTGCCCCAGGTATGCGAGAGAATGGCATATCCAGTGGCCTCGTGAAAGAATTTCAGGCGATATGTTTTCGCATCGAGAAGCCACATGGCTTGTTTCGCGTCGGCTTATGGCAGCGACAGTGGAGTTGAGACTGTAACGGAAGCTGTCGATGGCGAAGCGTAAGCTGCTAGATGGACTTTGCTTGTGTCTGCAGGTAGCTGATGTTGCTGCGCCTCCTCACTCAGCCTCGTCTATGCTGTGCGACTTGAGTCCGAATCTGCTCGAGGTAGCTGTCTCGCCACTTAGAGAGTCTTTCAGATAGACACCGCCCTTTCCAGTAGCCTGGGAATCCGCAGACATGCTAGTCCATGGCTTTAAGGATTAACTGGCCATGTGGCAATAATGACAAACGGAGCAACGAAGCTGCCAGGCTGGCCGGTGGCCTTTGTGAGCTGCAATAGGAAAGCAAGATGCGGTTAAGGTGAGGCCGCTGGAAGCGACTTCGCCGTCGAAGCCTCGGAAGGGTGTGAGAGTCCAGACTTGCTTACAGCACTGCCTTCGACAGCTTTTCTTTCAAGAAGTTGTATTCCTCTCGAATTCCAGGCCGATGTTGGTAGGAAGTCAGTAGAACAGAGAAAACGAGGAGAGATCGTGCTGTTCTGGCCTCTCGGTGGCTGCACCTCCCCGCCAAGTGTCACCTGGACTGGACGTCTGCTGGGTACACGCCAAAGTCGAAGGAGCGCGTAGATGGCGATAACTGTTGTTGAACAGAGTCAATGAGCTGAGCAAAAAACGAAAATGCCAGATTGGCCACGATCATGAATGCATCAATTGTCATCATACAGAGTTCTCAGAAAGGCATTCAACCTTCCCCATTCTGTTGCTCCCAAACGCCTTTTGGAAGGACGCCGACCTTGCCCATGCTTTCGATTCATTGAATCCAGTGAGGAACCTCTCTAGCTGTACAACTTCTTCTCAACGTTGCTCATGCCATGAACGTTGCCCTCCGCCTGCGCGCTCGCCGTCCTGAACTCGAATCGCACATCGCCGCTTCGCACACCAGCCTGCAGGATTTCTAGGCTGTCAATGCCAACGTCTTGAAGGGAGTGCTGCACACCGGCCATGAGGTAGGGGAGGAACTTGGTAACGCTGCCGCGGTCAAGCACCGATCCAGAGACACCCTGGGCGACGAGCAGCTTGTCGCCCTCTGAGAAGTAGCGTGCGGTACCGGCGTTCTTTGCAGTGTTGTTGGACTTGTCGCCCGCACCGCCTGCCTTCTTGTCCTCCATTGCATCGATAGAGCCCATACCGCGGTAGGTCTTGCGAAGCTGGCCGTCTGGACCAACAACGTAAGCACCTGGAGACTCAGTAGTGGCGGCCAGGAGACCACCCATCATGACCGTGCTGGCACCAAGAGCGAGGGCCTTGACGATGTGACCCACGTTCTGGATGCCTCCATCGGCAATGCATGGAATGCCGAACTTGGATGCGAACTCGGTGACCTTGTAGACAGCTGTGGCCTGAGGGCGGCCGACAGCCATGACTTCCTGGGTGATACAGGCAGAGCCAGCACCCATACCGATACGGAGACCGTCCACGCCAGCGAGGATCAGGCCAGCCGCTTGATCGCGAGTGACGACGTTGCCGCCGATGACTTGCACGCCAGGGAAGTTCTTCTTGATCCAGCGGATCATCTCGATCTGGTACATGGAGTTACCTTGGCTGGAGTCCAAGATGACCACGTCCAGGCCAGCTTCGACGAGTGCCGCCAAACGCTCCTTATCATTCTCCCTCGTTCCAATAGCTGCGGCTGAAAGCAGCTGTTTTGTGCCAGGAACCTTGGTCGCGAGCGGGTAGTTCAAGTTCTTCATCAAGTCACTCCTGCTGAGCAAGCTGACCAGGTTGCCTTGCTTGTCCACGATTGGGAGCTTTCCCTTCTTACTCTTGCTGAGGATGCTGTTTGCCTCCTGCAGGCTGATGCCTTCGTTGGCGGTGACGAGGTCGGTCGACATGATCTCGGTGACTGGTGAGGCGGCATTGGAGTGGAATTGAGTGTCGCGGGGTGTGACGATACCGAGAAGCTTGCTGCGAAGGCTGCCGGTTTCTGTGTACCATCGTCAGTCCACCGAAAGTCGGAATTACAGGTTGAAAGTAGTAAGAAGAGTTGGGGTAGATCAGAGGGTTATTGTCTCCACAGCACTTCGAGCACGTTGGCAGGAAGTATGCGGTTGAACGAAAGTTAATATTGTGTTTAGCATCACGAAAGTGCAGGTGTGAAATGAAGGAAAGGATATTCTTACGAGTGACGGGGAAGCCTCCAAAGCCCCACTGCTCTTTCAAGGCAATTGCCTCGGCGACTGTGGTCTTGGGTGAAATGACGACTGGATCTGTGATGAAGCCGTTCTCGAATCTCTTCACCTTCCTAATCATCTCGGCCTGCTCTTCGACAGAGCAGTTGTGGTGGACCACACCGACACCGCCCAGCAATGCCATATGGATGGCCATGTTGTGCTCGGTGACTGTGTCCATGGGCGAAGAGGTGAAAGGCGTCTTGAGGGTGATGTTGCGGGTCAACTTGGAGGTGAGATCCACGACGCTGGCTGGGAATCCGATGTAGCCAGGAAGAAGGAGGAAGTCGTTGTATGTGAGGCCTCCCATCTTCTCCTCGTTCATGAGGTCCTTGACGTCGATGCCATCCTTGGGCCCGTACGTCTTGAGCAATTCGAGTGCTTTGCTGGCGTCCTCGACCTTGGAGATCTCAGTACAAACGCCACAATATCATACGATGCGTTCATGATATGAGGTATAGTAGAGCGGCATGGTTGAACCCACCTTCTCAGTCTGCTCATGGCCATTTGCGACACCGCTCATCTTGGTGACCTCGGACTGCGGCTTCTTGAGGTGGACGCCGTCGATGTCGCCGTTGACTCCGTTCATGATGTCGTGGTCGCGGTGCGTGTCTGGAGGCTGGTTATTAGCGAAAAGACAGTCACGCGATCAAGAGTCAAGACTTACCCAAGGGAAAAAAGAGAGCAAGAGGAGCGACTCGAATTTGTTCAGATGCTGCTGCAGGGTTCAGCAGACGCGCTAGCGCTAGCTTTCGCTTGTCGGCTGATCCCGCTGCGGGCAACGCACGGATCATTGTTTACTGTCGCGACGCTCTGGTGGGACCAAACATCGACCTGCCATGTGCGACGAGGCCGCTCTTTCCCAACCAGCCACGACATTCCTCTCGGCAGAATCGATCTTCACTCTTCGCTCGCTGAAATGCCATGCGTTAAAAGCACGTGAAATTGAAAAGCGGCAATGACGAAGCGAGCGAACCGCGCCTTCCTCGCATAGCAACGGCCCCAACAGCAGGTGCACCCGACTCATACGCACCTACACCTTCCTCAACTGCCATCCCGAGTCTCTTCGGAGCAGGCGCAGACACCATGCCTTCCTACTCGCAATTTCAATCCCCGACCTCGCCGCCGCATAACCGGTTCCGCGATCACAGCCCGACCAAGTCGTCGCCGCTGCGCCATACCATTTCCACGCGATCAAACAACAGCGAGACCGATCACTCCTCACTACCGAGTCGGCAAGGCACGCTCAGCAGCAATGCCAGCTCTGGATACAGTCTGCCGAGCTTCAGCGACTATGAATCCGGCAACGATCCATTCGTGACGAGGACGGGTACGAAGCGAGAGCGATCCGAGTCGCCGGTCAAGAAGAGCGCAGCATTCGCAAAGTGGGAGCAGCGAGAACAGGCGGAGCAGCAGCAGGCAGTACGGACGCCGATGAGGATGGACGTGTCGCCTAACAAGGTGCACGACGACGATTGGCGGACTGGCATTGGCCGCAGCGAGAGTAGAGCAGCGCTGAAGCCGGTAGCACAGAATGCCTCCCTGGAGAAGCCTCTATCAATGCCTACATTACACAAACGATCCGAGTCGAAGGAGAACATAAGTCATAGACCGCCCAGTCGAGACAACTCTCTCCAAACAACGCCAAAACCACCGTCGCACACGAAATCCAAATCGGTCTCCTTTACCGATGACCTTGTCATTTCGCCCACTTCACCAGAGCCGAAATCACCAAAGTCGCCTGGTCATGGCCGAGGGAACAGCATCGGAACTTTATCCCGCTCAGACTCGATGCGCGCAAGTACGAGACCGAGACCCAGAGGCCACATGCGATTCGGATCGACCGACAGTCCGGCGCAAAAGCTCGATGGCGGCGATTTCGATCAACTGCAGAAGTCTTCGACGCCCCAACTACGCCATCTTAGTAAATTGGCTGCTGAGAACGGATCAACAGAGGACTTGAACGTACATTCGGCTGAAGAGCAAGTCACTGGCTTGTTTGGCAGGCGGAGATTGCAGCGATCACAGTCGATCAAGCAAGCCACCAAGACACAATCTCAGTTCTCATCGCAATATGCCAGCACAAAATGGATGGACCTTCAGCGGAAGCACTTGCAAGCGTATGAATACCTCTGTCACATTGGAGAAGCCCGGGCCTGGATAGAAGACGTTTTGGATCCCACGAAATTGCCTCCCATCGTACAGCTGGAAGAAGGACTAAGAGACGGTGTTACTCTTGCAGAAGTTGTAGTCCGTCTGGCACCTCAACTACCACCCGAACAGCAGAAGGCTCTTGGATCACAGCGAATATGGCGATCTGCACCTCTATCGTTTCGACATTCTGACAACATTGCACTCTTCTTCCGTTTCCTGGCCGAAATCGAACTACCGGAACTGTTTCGATTCGAGCTGATCGATCTGTACGAGAAGAAGAACATCCCCAAGGTCATTTACTGCATTCACGCCCTGTCGTGGCTTCTTTTTCGAAAGGGCATCGTAGAGTTCCGAATCGGCAACCTGGTTGGCCAGCTCCAGTTCGAAGAACACGAGCTGGAGGAAACGCAAAAGGGCATCGATCGGAGTGGTGTGCAGATGCCAAACTTTGGTGGTATGCGAGAAGCTATGCAAGTTGAAGAGGAGCCTCCGCCCCCAGAACCTACACCTGATGATCTCCTCGCCGAACAGGAAGAGATGATAGTGGACTTGCAGACTCAAATACGGGGTGCCTTGATCCGCATTCGTCTGGGAAATGTGATGCAAGATCTTTGGGATGCCGAGGAGCAAATCGCGCTCTTTCAAGCCGCGGCCAGGGGTGGGTTTGCTCGCGAGGTCTTCGACTTTAGATACGCCATGGACTCATCGACTCGAAAATTCCAATCTGCAGCCAAGGCATTCCTCATACGAAGACAATTGCACCAGAAGAAGGCTGTCTGGCGAGACAACAAGGATGCTATTGTGAAGGTGCAAAGTCTCTGGAGAGGCAGACAGCAGAGAGCACAGACAAAGCAGATCCAAACCCAGTTGCGATCGCATCGTCATGGATTGAGAGATCTCCAGTCCGCCATCCGAGCGGCACTTGGGCGATGGAGAGCCGGCGATCTTTGGCACGAGACCAGAGACGAGAAGACAGAGGCTACCGTGATGGAGTTCCAAGCCAACGCCAGGGGTGCCATCGAAAGACTGCGGATAGGCGCGATCATGAATCGACTATGGGACGTCGAGGAAGAGATTGTTCACCTGCAATCCCTGATCCGGGGAGCACAGTTGCGAAAGGAAACGGCGAGCCAACAAGTTGCTGCACGACAGACTGCAGTACATGTTGTCAAGTTACAAGCAGCTGTGCGTGGATTGATCCACAGAAAACAGCAGAAGCAGCAACATGGCGAATGGAAGATGCACGAACCAGCCATCGTACAGACACAGGCGCTTACCAGAGGTCTTCTGGAGCGTTTGCGGCAGGCACGTACAATGGGTGCTCTTCAGGGCCGAGAGTCCACCATCATCAAGTTCCAGACTCTGCTACGGGCACGAGCCGCTCGATCGCTGCACCTGGACACCAAGGACGAGTTGGCCTCCCATCACGACAAGTTCTCAACCCTCCAAGCTCTCGCCCGTGGATCAACAGCTCGTCTGCAAGTCGCAAATACACGCTCGGAGTTACAAAAGCACGACAGCGGCGTACGCACAGTGCAATCATTTGCTCGGGCAATGTTGCAGCGGAAGAGCATCGGCGAAAAGTTGGCTGCATTGGAAGAGCAAGAAGACAACCTGACGAACCTGCAGTCCATGGCCAGAGCATACATCGAGCGCCAACGAATCTTCGAACAGCTTGTTGAGATGGAGAAGGAGGAGACCAGCATTGCTGACGTTCAAGCCCTCGCTCGTGCCATGCTTCTTCGCAGTCAGATTGGCACTTTGCTGGCTGGTCTAGAGGAGCATGAAGAGGCGATAGTCGAACTACAAGCAGCGCTACGAGGCTTTATCGTTCGGAAAAGCTTCTCAGAAAAGCGGAAGCACTACCGCGAGAACATGCAAAAGGTCATCAAACTCCAGTCTTTCGTACGAGCGAAGCAGCAAGGCGAGAGCTACAAGAGCTTGGTGAACGGAAAGAACCCTCCGCTGCCTGTGGTGCGTCGCCATCTTCACCTGTTGACCGACTCAAATCTAGAATTTGAGGGCGAGATCGAGGCAGAGCGTCTGCGCAGACAAGTCGTTGAGAGTGTGCGTCGAAACGAGCTCGTTGAGAGCTATGTCGAAGGCTTGGACGTCAAGATTGCCTTACTGGTCAAGAACAAGATCACACTGGACGAAGTCGTGAAGCATCAAAAGCACTTTGGTGGATCAGCCTCGCAGCTACTTCGGTCAGGAAACACACTTGGCACTGCTTCTGGGCTGGACCTGAAAGCGCTGAACAAGAACTCACGCAAGAAGCTGACCGGGTATGAAGAGCTGTTTTTCGTTCTGCAGACGCAACCTCAGTACATGGCCAAAGTCCTTGGGGTGCTCACGAACCGCGGCCTAGCAGAAAAGGAAGGCAAGAACTTCGAACGGCTTGTTATGACGCTCTTCGGATATGCACAGAAGAGTCGAGAGGAGTACTACTTACTCAAGGTGCTTGCGACGAGCTGCCAGCAGACAATTTCACGTTGCCAGAGCATCGAGGACTACATGCGAAACCAGAACAGCACATTCCAGCAGCGACTGGTCCTTAACTATGTCAGATCGCCAAAGGAGAGAGCATACTTGAAGACTCTGTTCGGCAATATGGTCAGGAATGGCATTTGTGGCCAGGACCATCTTGATCTGGAGAGCGACCCGCTCCAAATCTACAGAGCAATCCTCAACAACGAAGAGCTCTCCACCGGACAGCCTTCTCAGCGACCACGAGACTTGCCGCGAGAAGTTGTAATTCGTCAAGAAGATGTACGTCCGAGATACGTCGAGCATCTCGAAGACCTGCGGGATCTCGGAGACGGTTTCTTCTTGACCTTGGAAGAGTCGCTCCATCGCATGCCATACGTCATTCGATATCTGGCTGCCGAACAGCATCGTGCTCTGTGCGCACAGTTCCCTCGTGAGGACCCTGGCCATTTGGCAATGCTTGTTGGCGCTTGGCTGTGGAGGACATACCTCCTTCCTGCGTTGAGAGAGCCAGAGATGTGGGGAGTGGTAGATCGGGGCCTTAGTCCCATTCACAAGCGTAACCTCAGCCAGGTCATCACCATCCTTGGCCAGGTCACAGCCGCTGGTCGTTTATTCGGGGCCGACAACTTGTATCTGCAACCTCTCAACAACTGGATCACAGAGTCGCTTGATCGATGGCAGGAGTGCCTGCAGCATCTTTTCGAGATCCCAACGCCGGAAGAACAGTACGATGCGGACCAGTTCAGCGATCTGTACTCGCGGACGAAGCCGATACTCTACATCAAGCTGGCCGACATCTTCACCATCCACAGCATGATCGCCGACAACCTTGCTGCAGTGGCACCAAGCCGGGATGATCCGATCAAGGAGATTCTCACCGATCTGGGCACTGCAAAGAGCAACGAGAGCGACTTGGGCGGCGCATCAAATGGTGGCGAGATTACATTGACGCTTAAATCCAGGTTCACTGTGCAAGAAGACCCGAATGCAGAATGGAGGCAGTTGTTCACAGCCACGAAGAGACTGGTGCTGTACATCATCAGAGTGCAGTCTGGCTCAAATTTGATGGAGATCTTGCTAAGGCCGATATCACACGAAGATGCAGACCGGTGGATCTCTCTCGTTCAAGAAGAGCTTGCGGAGAAGGATCGCGATCGAAAACCCGGCCACAAGCGGACTCCCTCAGCATTTGATCCGAGAGGCTCCATGCGTTCTGGCAGAGCGCAATCTGTGTATTCGGAGGCTCCATCGACATTTTCGGAGGATCGACGAGATCTGCTGGACCTTCAAGGCATGACATATGCTGAACTCAAGTCGACTGCGCTTGAGAACATCATCCAACTCGAGCAACCACACATTCCGCCGCAGTTCCGCGTCAGCAGGCACAACAACTACCAGGAGGTCCTCAACGCCTTGGCAGCAGACATCAGACAGAAGCATCGCCGGCGGCTAGAGCGACAGCGAGACACCGAGTCGACCCGCACGACCCTCGCCCAACTTGACTCCAAAGCAGCCTTCCTCGAAGATCAACTCAAGTCCTACAACGACTACATCGAGCAATGCCTTCACACCCTAGCCAACAAGAAGGGCTCGAAACACAAATTCATCATGCCCTTCACGAAGCAATGGTCTCACGAACGCGAGCTCGAAAAGGCCGGCCGCCAACCCAAATTCGGCTCCTACAAGTACTCCGCCCGCCAACTCGCGGACAAGGGCGTCCTCCTCAGCTGGCAGGGCTACTCACAAGAGCATTGGAGTAACCTAAACGTCGTCATCAGCTCCGACGAAGTCGGCGTCTTCCACCTCGAAGCCAGCTCAGGCAGCATGATGCTTCCAGGAGCAAGCGCGAACGTGCTGTTGGACGACCTTCTCCAAGCACAGTACGACAACAAGAACGCCATCCCGGTCTTCGAGGAGATGAGCGGTGATGGAGCCAAGCTGGCGGTGAATTTGTTGCTGCATTTGCTTTTCAAGAAGTTCTATCGCGATGAGTAGAAGAAGATGAGAGTGACGCTTTTTATATGCATTATGGATGGAGTTGAAAGATGCGGGCTGGGTTGGGTTGGGAAAGATGAGGATGTTGCTGGTTGTTTTTTGCGAGGTGTTGTTTTGGTGTTTGTTCTTTTTGGGAACGTTGGGAGGGAAAGCATTACGTGGATTGGATTGGACGAAGTATATATTATCAATGTTTATACATATCCCTCTGGTTTCTTGACGTGTTTGATGACTTGCATTGTGAAGTAATGGAATACGGAAAGGGGTAGTGAAGCTTAGGTCGTGGTACAGTTTGAGGAAGAGCGAAAGGCGAACACAGAGACACAATGAGCAGCTACGTGAGGAGCGGTCATCGACGAAGACATTATTTGGGATTCAGGTATCTCTCAGCACAGCATGAACCTCCTACCAGACTGACGAGCCCATCGCAGCCCATCCATCCGTCCCTCCGTCCAAACCAGCAGCACACCACACCACACCCCCTCCCTCCCCATTCCCTTCCCCTTTCACTCCCACGCCCCCTTCCACCCCAACGCCCACCCCATCTCCCACACATTCTCCTCCATCGTACCGCTCGTCTCCACCTTCACCAACCGCACCGCATACCGATTCAGCACCTCCCTGGTCGTCTTCTCCATAAACTCCCTGTACCGCTTCTCGAAGACCGCCTCGGAGTCGGTGGCGGCGCGGCGCCGGGTCGGGAAGCGGGTTTTGCAGATTTGCTTGGGGCAGCTGAGGGAGATGACGCGGGCGGGTTTGGGGAGGGAGTTGGCCTGGTTGGGGGAGGGGGTTAGTTAGTTGGGTTTGGGGTTTGGTGGGTTTGTCTCGGGGGATGAAGGGGGGACTGGGGCTTTGGTTGTGGTGCGGGTGGCGGCGATGGGGATGATCTGCGAGGGATGGGGATGATAGAGGAAAGACTTACAGCGAGTAGTTGCTCGAAATGCCACGCAGACGCCTCGTCTCTCGGGAACCCATCGATCAAGAACGTCTCATGGCCATTATCGATCTCCACGCCAATCTTATGCCACACGATAGCGACGACCGTCTCCGCCGGCACGAGCTCGTGCGCGTACAGGTACGCCTTGAGTTCCTGCCTCGTCAATCCGCCGAGTGCCTCGCCACTGGCGCCCGTGATGCTCTCGTCGTACGTGCACAGGAAGCGGAGCCAGTCGCCGACGGAGAGGTGGTAGCTGACGAGCTTGCCCACGAGGGCGTGCGCGAGGGTGCCTTTGCCGCTGCCCGGGGGGCCGAGCATGAGGGTGATGTTGATGGGGGTGTACTTGGTGATGGGTCGTTCCATTGCCGGGCGCGGTGGTGAGTCCGCGGGCGGCGATGGCGAGGGCGGTGGACTGTATGTGGGAGAAGGAGGTGGGTTTCCGTTGAGCCATGGGATTAAATACCACAGCGCTGGAACATAGGAATTCCATATCGACAGGGGAGGGGGCCACGATACGTCGCTCATCTTCGTTTAGTGTTCTGGTGCGATGGTGGTGGTGTTGTTGTAGGTGAAGCCAAAGCTCGTCTTTGAAGTGACACAAACGCCGTCTTGTTTGTGCGGCGTGGAAGCCTTAGGCTGGCGTCTTCTCCCAGAGACTGTCTCGGTCCAAGCTACCAGTGAAGGGCTTTGTGAGTTTGTCAAGCGAAGATCTTTGGAGATGCCGTGGGTTGTTCTAGCAAGCACCGCCGCGTTGCTCAGATATAACGTTCGATCGAGGCTTCAGTGCGACGTAGCACCTTTGATCCACGTCCAAGATGGGTTTCCTCATCTCCCTCCTCGACCCTCTCATTGGCAAGATTATCTTGACAGCCCTAATCGGCGGGATCCTAGCCTATGTGTTTCTCATTCGACATCTTCCAACCAACAAGTCGCTCCTTCCCCAACACGACCCCAACGCCCTCGTCCCCCTCTCCGTCAACTTCCACTTCACCCGCCGATGCAACAAGACCTGCGTCTTCTGCTTCCACACCGAGAAGACCAGCCACGTCGCCCCCCTCGAAGACATGAAGCGTGGTCTCCACCTCCTCGCAGAAGCCGGCATGAAGAAGATAAATTTCGCCGGCGGCGAGCCGTTCCTATACCCCAAGTTGCTCGGCCAGCTCTGCCAGTACTGCAAGGAGGAGCTGAAGTTGGAGTCTGTATCTATCATCTCGAACGGCACGAAGATCGATCGGAAGTGGTTGGTGGAGAATGGGAAGTATGTCGATGTCCTGGGTGTTAGTTGTGACAGTTTCGACGAGGAAACGAATATCAGGATCGGTCGTGGCACCGGCGACAACGTCAAGAAGCTATTCGAGATCCGCGATTGGTGCCGCGAGCTGGGCATCAAATTCAAGCTGAACACGGTCGTCTTACTGTGGAACTGGGAAGAGGACATGTCCGATACCATCAAGGATCTGGATCCCTTCCGCTGGAAAGTCTTCCAAGTCCTGCCCGTGGAAGGCGAGAACGACGCCCCTGAACAGGAGACAGACCTCGACAAGCGCAAGCGCAACGCCAACAAGGTGCTGATCTCCGACGAGCAGTTCGAGGCTTTCTGCGACAGGCACAAGCATCTGCCATGCTTCGTGCCCGAGTCGAACCAGCTGATGGCGTCGAGCTACCTGATTGTGGACGAGTATCTCCGTTTCTTGGATAAGGGCAGTGGGAAGGAGACGGCTTCTGAGAGTCTTCTGAGAGTTGGGGTTCAGGAGGCGATGGGGCAGGTAAGGTGGGATCAGAAGGCGTATGAGGAGAGTGGGGCTGTGTATGAGTGGAGCAAGAGGGCTGGTGATGAAGGATGCGATGGCGGGTTGTCGAAGAAGTTGGAGTGGTGAAGGTGTCAGGCTGGCACTATTTGTTGAAAATGCAGGTGGATTTGGAAGGCAGAGAAGAAGGGGTGTTCGCCTGGATCGAGGATACCATCTCCGTAGATAGATCGAGTGCAAGTTGGTCTTCAAGCCTTTCCATAGCATAGACGGTGCCAAACTTCTCGAGTGAATGGACAGTTTAGTGATGGGCTGTTCTGCCAGTGACGGCCGGTGAATATGCACAGCGCCATAAGATGCGTTTCCTGTCTAACAACACCCGTTGTGAAGGCGCATAACTTTGCTGCGCTTGGTTCCCGCTCTTTCGTTTGCACACCTCCCGCTTCCATCTTTATTGGCAACAAACACATCAAGATCAAAAGCGCACACAAGATCTGAGTGCAACCTTTCCACATCAACCAACCAACCAACCAACCAACCAACCCACCACAAAAGATGTACGCAAAATCCGCTCTCCAGTACGCCGCACGCGCTGCACGCGTGGCCTCGTTCATGTCCAGCTCTCCACCAGCCCATCTCTTCGAGCACACGAAGCGCTTCTCGACGACCGCGCCAACCTCCCCCGCCGTCGCACATCTGGAAGTCGAGCGCAAGTTCAACTGCAACCCTGTTCTCGGCCTCCTCCTCGAGACGTCAGACGCACAAGCAAAGGGTCGCATCACCCCTTTCGCCGCCATCGCCCAGAACTCGCCGCTGAAGTTCGCTCGCCAGCCAGACGAGATGATCGTCGACCAATATTTCGACTACGAGGGCAAGCTGTCGGCCAACAACATCTGGGTCCGCCAACGCACCGTCAATCCCACGTCGTTCCAGACGGGTGCCGATGATTCTGGATGGGAAGCCAAAGTCCGAGTCGGCGGCGATTACCAGAATTCGGAGTTCGAGGAAGTCTGTGGGAAGGACGATGTCATGAAATTGGTCGGTCGCTTTGTTCCCAAGATTCAAGCCACCATGAACATGGGTACAAGCCGCAAGAGCTGGGTTGCATCAGAATGCAGTCCTCAAGATGGCGATCGTCTTCCACGGCAAGTCTTGGTGGTGATCGACGAGGCCATGGAGACGATGTGGCCCATCAAGATGAACCCAGGCGAGGAGGCGAAGAACTTCAAGCACAGCGTCGGCGAGGTGGAACTGACTCGATCGATCGAGCTCACCGGAGATGACGAGGCAGACCAGGACCTGAAGATGAGGATGACTGGACAGATGAGCGAGGAGTTGAAGGCGTGGATGGAGCGCCATGAGGAGCTGTTTCCGACAGATCCAGCGCCTCAAGGAAAGCTCACGGCCTTCTACGCCTGGAAGGATATGGCGGAGGTTCAGAGGGCGGCCTGGATGAGATTGGTCGGACCGTTCTGAGTTTGAAATTCATCTTCGAAAGGTCCTGGCCGAGTTGAATGTCGGGTGTTCTATTGCATGGCTTGGTCGGTCGGAATGTACTGGGGATGCTGGGCAAAGATGGTACTCGTTGATTGACCTGACAGAGACAGGTCCGCCGCGCTGTAGCTCGACTGGCATGGTAACATGTTCCATTACACTCCTCTCATTCCATGTCCCCACTTTTCCTTTCCCATGCTACGACCCCCTGTACGTTGTATAACTCCAAGGCCCCAGCAACAACGGCACATGATAATGCTCCTCCTCCCTCTTCGCCGCAAACCTCAACTCGACTTCCGGCCAGAAAGTATTACCCCTCCCAAAATACGCCTCCGTATCAAACGTCAAACTCCACACCATCTGCTCTCCATCTGCCAACTCCGCTTTTACGCTCTTGACGACCTCGTTGATATCTACGGAGGACGTCCATGCGGGAACCCGTCCGTCGCTGTTGGTCGTCGCTGTCCAGCGCACGGTGGCAGCGTGAAATGGTGATACGAGCTTCAGCTTGACTGAGATGTTCGCTCCGGGCTTGCCGGTGATGGTGTCGAGGACGTGGCAGGTGATGAAGGGGCGTTGGGACATGGTGGTGCTCGTGAGGTGGTTCTTGAGGGATGAGAGGCGGTCTGCGGCTCGCTTCTTCTCTGGTGTATCGTTTGTGACTGTGGGCATGAGGATACGTTGAAGGTCAGGACGTGAAGGAGATATCGAAGGAGAAGTGAATTAAAGAACTCTTACATCTTGGTGCTGGTGATGGGATGTCGTCGGCCAGCTCCGTCTTTTCGGGCCCGAGCGTTGCTGGACTTCACCTCCCCTTGCTGGAGAGCTTGCTCAATCTATCTTACAAACTCTTCTTCTTATCTTGGCCAGTACCTTGTGGTATTCATGTGGTCGTCATTGGGCGTGAGAGGGACGCTGTGTACGGCGAGAGAGGGTCGTACGCTGTCGTTCATGTGAAAACGCCCATTGCTGACCGCCTGCCTTCTTCGCCCTTTTGCAAAAGCTAACTGACAAGGAGCAGAGTATTTCTACGCGAGAGCCCTTGCGGACGGCAATATGCTGTGAGGTAATGGCTTTATTTCATCCCTCTATCTCCTTGCTGATACCTGTTTCTGACTTTCCGATATCTGCTTGCGATCCCTGGACGGGCAATCAATGATGTGGATGGCCGGTGTATCTCGCGCCTACTTCTTCAAATTCACTCCCAGACCATGCGCCGCTGCGCCCGCAACTTTCCTCGCCGAAGGCCGCTTATCCAAGCGATCATCCGTAAGGTCCCTCACCATGCTCTGAAGCGCTGAGCTGTACCTGTTGCCGCAAGGCTTCGGAGACGCAAGGGCTGGCCGATGAGGCGCTTTGATGAGCAAGCAGATCGCCTGAATCGTACCTCCGAGCATCCATATGTCCGTCTTCGTGCCATACCCTTTCTTAGCGATGCCCTCAGGTGGATACCATCCTGGAGTACCACAAGGCTGGCCACGCTCACGCTCTCCTCCGTTCTGGATATCCGAGAATGTGACGGCACAGCCGAAGTCTGCCAACACTATGCGGCGTTGGCCATTCTCCATGCGGTCGCTGGAAAGGAAAATGTTCTGGGGTTTGAGGTCGAGGTGGGCGATGGTATCCCAATCTGGGTCTGGCTGGTCCCGCTCGACGTCTTTCACACCAGTGTGCATGAAAGGGAGTGCCTTGGCGACACTCAATAGGACATGCCAAACTCCAGCTTCGCTGAAATGATGTCCATGGGATTCGATTTCCGCAATTCGAGCATCCAGTGCTCCTCCATCACAATACTCGAGGATAATACTGCAGATACCGTTCGCTTTGACCTCATACTCCACGAGCTTGTTGAGATTTGGATGACCTCTAACTGCCTTCAAGGTCTGGACCTCCGCTTCGGTTCGCTTTCGGTATATCCCATCCGTGCGTACTTGCTTCTCGATGTACAGCCTGCCGTCGTCTTTGCTTCGAATGAGGCTGATGGATTCCGACATGCCGCCAGGAATGAGTGACTTGATCTTCTCGTATTTGGCTCGTGGTTGACCTGGAATTTGGTGCCTTCGACCCGGAGCTTGCTCTCCTCGACCAGCTTGCTTGCGCTCTGCTCGTGATGGGTCAAATACTTGACCAATACCTGGACTTCCTGCTTGTGGCATTTGATAACGAGGAGGGATGCCGAAAGGAAACTGCATGCCCTGTGGAGATGCTCCTAGGATTGGTGGGAGGCCGAAAGGTCCTTGGCCCATAGGATATGGATGCACACCAGGCATCCCCATTCCGGGCATTCCCAGATCAGGCTCTCGAACTTCCATGAGTGTTTGTGGAAACCCGTTTGCTGCTTGGCGCCGTCGCCGCATCCTAGGAACACCAACCTCATCGAAGTCGATCATGCCCGGGCCACCAAAGCCGCCCATACCACCGAAAGGCGGGCCGAACATCTTGGATTCGAGTCGAGGCTGAAATATCAACAGAAGGGTGTTGCTATGCGTCGACCTACCGCCAGTCTGCACGGCGCTGGAAGTCCGCCTCTATCTCGTCGCTGTGTATAGTGCTCGTCCTCGAGTGTATGAAATGTCGCACGGAGAGGCATGATGGAAGTTGAGAAGCAAGCCTGGAAGCGGATCTGTGCTATTCATTCGCGACTCCTATTGTCGTTCCCATTCACTAGATCTGGACATGTGATTCTTGGATATTGACCACTACGACCGAAGAGTACCTACACAGTAAAGGAGCAGAATTACCTACCGTTAGTCCGGCGTTGCCTGGATCTACAAGAGGAAGCATTGGTTACATTCAACAGCCTGAACAATTGACTTATGTCCTCTGGCTGCGTGTCTTTGGCTCCTGTATGCCGGTAAAGGTATGTTTCGTTGTTCTACAGAAGAGCCAGCAAATCTCCAAAGTAGCATGTGTCAGAAGTTCTAACTGATGTCTATCAATACTCTTGCGACAATGGTGATAGTCGAATTCGTACGACGAAGATGTTGTTCTTGTTCGGTCTCGCTATCTGTCTTCGCTTTCGCGCGCGTCCCGGCGGTCGTGAATGTTTCATCTTGCCCGATTAGTGGTAGATTATGTCATCCTGGCGGCCTTGATTCGCCGTGCAGATCAGAGTCACGGCCGAACCTCATGACGCCACCCGAGAATCTAGACAACATGCCTAAACTTTGTACGAGAGGAGCTGAACAGTCACCCTGACCGTACGAAGGCAACAACACCCTACTTACCAGCCCCAGAGAACCCGCGGAACCTCGATGAACCCACAACCAGGACCTTGTCAGCGGAGGAACACGGACTGGAAGATATTGTAACAATCTGAACATGTCCCCAAGCATATCGGGAGCCTCCTCGCGCCAGCCGCAAACGGGACTCCATTTGGCGTGTCGAGAGTGCCAAAGGAAGAAGATTAAATGCGACCGGACCTATCCGTGCGGGCAATGCAGTCGGTCAGGCTTGTCCTGCGTTTCCTCAACCCGTAAGCCTCGTGCCAAGGCTGGCACCAAAGGCGATGCAGAACTGCGGCAGAGGATAGCGAAGCTGGAGAAACTGGTCGAGAGCTTTCAAGGAGACGACGGCAAAGATGAAGCGAGCAGTGCGTCGCCTATGGCAATGGCGCCGTCACCCGGTGCTATCCCTGATCCTAATCTCATATCTTCATCAAATCTCGTCGCGGAGCCACGAGACTCACGAAGTCCCAGCAGTCAAAGCGAGACGTCGTCGCCGTATACGAACAAATACGTCGCCGGAACTTTCTGGTCCTCGCTGACTTCAGAAGTTAAAGCCCTGGCGGATGCTTTTGAAGAGGATAATCTTCAGAGCGACGATGAGAGCGGAAGTCCAGATAACACCCCAAGCTCTGGAGCTCCATACGCGCTTGATGGGTCAACAAGCGTGACCAGCAGCTACGAGCTCATTTTCTGTCCGCCTGGAGTTTTATACGTAATGCCTGGCGCATTGAACGAACCAGACCCGAAGATGGCAGCACATCTCTTTGCAACCTACCTCGCCTACGTCGAGTCGGTTCAAAAACTCCTTCACATACCAACCATACGACCTTTCTTGGAGGAAGGCAAACCGTATCTCAACAGACCCGCAGATGCGCCTTGCAACAAAGCCCTCAGAGCTGCCATTTACTTTTCTGGCGTCAATGCATGTACAAACGAGGAGTGCATGGAGTTCGCCGGTAAAGGTCGTGACCAATTGGCGCAAGAGTTCCGAAGAATGGTAGATGTGGCCTTGTATCAGGCTGATCCGCTGAACACCACAGAGATCGCTACTCTACAAGCCCTTACACTCTATGTCGTAAGTCTGGAGGCAGTCGAATGTTAGTGGCACAATCTAATTGTTTACAGGCTTCTATTCGCGTGCTAGACTCGAGCAGACGGGCATGGTCTATGGTGGGGCTGTTAGTCCGAATCGCCCGTGCTATGAGCATACATAGAGAACTGGCGGGAGAGACTGCTTTTATCGCAGAACAAAGACGGCGTCTGTGGTACAACATCGTATTCCTGGACTGTTTCGCCTCCGTCGATCGAGGCACAGAAGCGGCTATCCACGCAGACACATTCAACCGCCAACTACCTCACAACGTCAACGATGCAGATTTCAACGAAGATACACCAGTGATCACCAGCCGCGAGGGCGAAGTCACGGAGTGTACAATGGCACTGGTCGCACAAGAAGGCTCTATTACCGCGCTACACCTGGCATTGGCTGAAGAATCCCCTGGAGGTATTACCTGGCAGAAACGACTTGAGATGGCATACGCATACCAGCGCACGGTCAACGAAAAGTACTTGAAGTACTGCGACGCCACAAATCCACTCCATCAACCGATCATAGGGACCGGAGTCGCGGCAATCAACTCGATGCTACTGCGAGCTGTCCGCCCTGTGCAGCATTCTCCTGCAAGTCCGCCCCCTCGAGTTGACAGCCCATGGGTTATGCAACTCGCTCTCAACATCTTGCGACATCAGCAGGAGCTCTGGGAATACATTATACAATCTCGATGGAGGCGAATGCCCTGGGTGCCGTGGCATGCCATGGCCGTAGCGTTGGCTGGAATCTGCTCCATGGAGAACAACAAAATGGCCGATGAAGCGTGGGACCTCTGCGAGAAGGCCATGACGCAGTACGTGAATGACGTGGCAGATGCCTCGAACGGAGGCCTCTGGCGACCCATTCAGAAGCTGTACAAGAAGGCGAAAGCCTCCAGGGAACGGCAGCAAAGAGCCGCGACGGCTGCTCATCAACCTACAATGAACGAGATATCCTGGGATCCGGATATCCTGAACCAGCCCATCACGTCGGATCCTTCGATTACTATGGGCATTACGACCGAACCGTTCTCTGTGCCTGCACCGAATTCGACGTTTGACTTTCCGCCTGAGATGCAGGCGGCGCTGCCGAATGATAATAGTTGGCTTGATTGGGAAGCGATTTTGAAGGATATGGATGAGATCAAGGCGGATGACATGCAATGGCTACAGCATGGCCCGATTCTCTGATCTGATGCTGTTGAGCATGACTTGGAATGTTTGTGAGATAGATCATACCTGAATCGACAGACTCTGCTCACTTGTTGATAGTGAAGGGGTCTTTCCCGCTTAAGTTTGTTTTTGAGTGAATTGAAAGCAAACAGCGCACTTCAAGCCCACCTCCACCCCTTTGCACAGATCCCACCTCACACACAACACGCCCTCACAAATCCGCAACGAAACCTCACTTTCTCTACAAATCATACAATCATCCCCGCTCCTCCACAACCTACCAAGCCACCAAACAATGTCTGGAGAGCAGAGACGACTGGCTACTTACGAGGAGGATGAATTTTGGCACGAATTCGCCGGCAGGTACTACTTGCTCACCCAAGGCGAGATCCGGGGCATCATTCCCCTCGACGTAGAGCCAGAGCCGGAGCCGCGCACATACGTGGACATTTTCAGCGACAGTTTCTGGAAGCTGGTGTTCGCTCTGGTGGCGCTGAAGATTGCGTTTTGGGTGTGGGATTTGCTCCTCTGGGTGGCGTTGGAGGCTTGAGAAAAGGGGTGGCTATCCCACGAACAACACGAAAGACCGAGGGCAGGGTCAAGAGATGAGTTGATGGGAACAGGACGTCGCGTTGGAGATAATATGTAAGAATCTCGATGTCCCACCTCGCCTTCACTGCTGACAATGGCCTCCCAGACCACCACCACCTCACACCTTCTCCACCCTCACCTTCTCCGTATGCACACTCGACACACGCTCACCGACCTTCCCCTCCGTCACATCCGCAATCCTCAAATGCTTCTCCTGAGCCTCTGAAATAAGCGCATCGAGCTTCGAATGGCCTGGCTTGGTCTTCCACGGCTTGGGACCTCCTGGAGCGAACATCTCTTCGATTTCTTCGAGCGTTTTGTTGCTGGTCTCGGGGTATGTGAAGTAGAAGTGGAGGGCGGCGAGGAAGCATAAGACACCGAAGACGATGAAGAGGCCGTATTTGATGTTGATGAAGCTGGGAGATGGTCTGTCAGAGGAGCTTGATGACTGATGGCAAGAGATGGGCTTACCCAGGTGGAATGTAAAGACCAAGGGCGAAATTGAACTATCAGCATGGGTCAGTCAATGGGCTATCATTGCACGACGTACACTTACCAGCCAGTTGCCATTCGCAGCGATACCCATACCCGTAGCTCTCGTTTCCAACGACCAAATCTCAGCAGCATAGACCCAGCACACAGGCGCCAGCGTCAAAGCATAAATGATGATGAGCAAGTAGCAGAACGCAATGACAGTATAAGCTGGCGATCCAGTCACTCTGATCAAAACATTGGGATTGCCATCGACACCCCCCGGAACAATCTCCCCAGTCGACAGGACACCACCCACAACGAAGTGACAGATACCCATGGCGATGGCTCCGTATATCAGCAGCAGTCGACGACCAGTCTTGTCGATGTAGAAGAACATGACGGTGGTGAAGATGATAAAGAGAGCGTATTGAACTCCCGATGCGATAAGGTTGATGTTGCCGCTCAGGTTGGCCATTTGGAAGATGTAGACGACGTACTGATCACACCGTCAGCAGATCCTTGACTGCAAGCATCTTCAGATACATACGTAAGTCATCACATTCGCACCACTATTCTGCTGCCACATCTGCACAGTGAAGCCAGCCAGCGTGCGCTTCCACATGCCGCTGTACACGAATCGTCGCCAGCCTTTTAGCGCAGCACGCTCGGCAGCAAGTGTCATCGTGATCTCCTCCCATTCAGCAACGACGAGAGGGTCATCGACATTACCACTAGCTTGGATCCTGGCCAGGATGTCGATGGCTTCTGCACCGCGGTCTTTCTTTGCAAGCCAACGTGGTGACTCGGGAAGGAAAGGTAGGCCAACGATGAGGAAGAAGCATGGTACGAATTGGATTCCCCAGGCTGTGCGGAAGGAGGCTGAACCGGGGATGAAGCTGCAGCCGTAGCCGATGAAGTACCTATCACCTTGTATCAGATCCAGAGGGTGAAGTATCAGCTCGTCGGGGACTTACATGATCAGGATGCCCCATTCTGGTCAAGAACACATCAGTCCTCGCTCTCAGTTCACCTGAAATTCTCTGCTCACCGATAGCAAGCTGCTGGATAATAATCAAAGCCCCACGCTTCTCCTTCTTCGCAATCTCCGCAATATACACCGGGACTTGCGAACTCGTAATCCCAACACAAACACCATTCAGCACTCTCCCCGCAATCAACGTCCCATACCCAGTAACACCAGCCTGCATCGCCGTCCCAGCAAGCCACCACAGACAAGCAAAGCCAATGGAGTTCCTCCGACCTATCCAGTCAGAGACGGGACCCGCGATGATGGAGCCGAAGACCGAGCCGGCGGCGAGTGAGGACCCGATGGCGCCCTGCCGGATCCCTGCGGGCGTGTCGAAGAAGTTGTTGTATTGCTCGGTGCCGATTATGGCGGACATGGAGGAGATGTCGAAGCCGAAGAGCATGCCGCCTATGGTGGCTACGCAGGCTACGAAGTAGGTGTTGTAGATCTTGGGGAGGTTGAACATGGTGGGTTGATGGGGTGACTGCTGTCGCAGTCGAGTGGAAGACAGATCAGCGGCTGAGGACGGACCAGCAGGGAAAAGCCGATGTTCAACTTCCAGATGTTGAGAGTCAGAACAACATATATCTACTCCTCGCTTCCCTGAATCTCAGCTCTTGGTCCCCAAACCAACGCCAAGCGAGCATCTTCCTTGCCTCCGTGTGGTGAACACGTTCTCAAACCTTTCGCACCAATCGCATCTCAATGACTCAGGCTAATATCGCTCTTGGGCACAACCTTGGCCGTGCTTGAGTCGTGAAGTGACAACCGATCAGAATTTCCACCAGTGAAAGGTATGCTAAGGACCGAAGGTCGACTTGGACGAGGCTGTACCCCAGGGCACGGCACTTGGCGGGCTTGGGGACGGCTGCAGCTTTGCGGTGACTCCACGTTGGTCGGGCTGGGGATCTCGACTGACCGCTTGCCCAGCTACTCGGTCACCGCTGGTGAGGTCTTTCTACGTTATTCTCAGTCAGCCATCGAAAACTATTAGGCCCATCTCCTGCCTATCTTGGCCTCTGAGATGTGTCGTTGGCTGTCGACGCCGTGGAGAAGAGCCGACTTGCGCTGGAAAGAGCCAGTTGCAGACGAGAGATGGCAGTGTCACATTGGCGTGCTGTATGTTCGGGAAGGCCAGAGGCCAAGCAGAAGATAACATTGACAGCTGAGGGTAGCAGTTCATGACGCTTAAATACAGTAAAGTAAAGCTGCTCAATACAACAAGGGAGAAGCCTGGTCCACGGCCGATTGTGCCAATACCTGATGCAACCCGGAATGCCTCTGGGCCAGGCAGATGGCTCAACATACCTTAGAACTATTTGGCGTCAGTCGATCTAGCTTGCTGCGCACCTGGTGCACATGCGTAGAATACCGTCTGCAGGAGCAAATAGCTTCCAAGATGAGGATCTTACGGTAGTGGGAAGGTATGTGGCTTCCTTAGCATGTGGAATGGTTCGTTTGCATGTGACGCTTTGTCCCTGGCGTTCCTTTGCTGAATGCCACATTCGACGACCATGCTCCGCCAACGCAAAGGCTCCGGATTAAGACATGCTGGAAGTACAGCTATGGTCGCTAGGGAGGGTTGGTGGGTTCGGCCTTGGTCTCGATTTTCAGAGACGACTTTATGGATCCGTCTTGGCTCGTTGAAGTTATTCCTAACCACCATCGCTTACACAAGGGGTACAAGCCCGCAGAGCGTCGCTTACCTAGAGATAACATGAGGCTGGCTGTGGCGAACAGAGCTGCTGTACATTGAGTATGGTCATGCCTAATTTGCTCGTGATCGTATCAAAGCGAAGCTCAGGTGGAAATGTTCTGATCGCTCGTTCAATAGGTATACCTGAAGTCGTCCTAGGATCGAAGAGTCAGCATCGAGATTGAACCAGAGCGGTGAGTGATGTATATAGAACCTACCTTTGCACCCTCGATAGCGAACTCCCCACGATCGGCTTTGGTATTGGCGAAGTAGAAGTACGTATCCAATACTCCAACGGTCGCAATGATGATCAAGCAGGCGGCCATACATGCCCAGAGTCCAGGAAGATACTCAGGAGAGTCCTGGCTCCTACAAACGTGTGAGTAAGCCAAGAGCGAGAAAGTTCATTTTTCGCCTCCCACTTACCTAAATACCAAGCTCCCAGCAATGCCGCCGATGCCACCAAACCCAACGAGAGTTGCACTGCAGAACGCACGCTTCCATTGGCCTCGGATGTTGTTGCCTTGGTAAGACATGCATTGGGGAATGTTGGCATTCGCGCCTGCGCAGGTGAAGAAGACACCGAAGTATCGAACGCCGAGGCTGTCGACCCAGCCCATCATGGCGAGGCCGATGATGCAAAGCACTGCATTGAAGACGAGGAGAGGTCCTCTCACATGGTACTGGAAGTCGTCAGAAAAGTATGCTCGAAGAGGGTCGTGTGTTGTACCTTGTCGCCAATCCAGCCGGTGATGTACATCACAATGCCGGCAAAGGCGTAGGGAGGCGTGACAAGACATTGCGCAGCGCCCACGCTGAAGCCCATGCCTGTTGAAGTCAGCCTTCTGCACAAGAATGATGTCTTCGACGGTCATACCTTCGCGAAGAATGATCGGTAAGAAAAACGCCAGCGCATATGTGACTGTCGTCAAGCAGCAAAAGATCAAAGCGAAACCCCAGACTTTGGGGTCGAGGCCAGGCCGCAGAAACTTGACGAGCGAGAAAGGCTCCGTCGTTGTATCAGCACGATCTTTCTCGACTCTGGCAATGACGAATGCCACTTCTCGCTCGTTCAAGAAGCCCCAGCATTTGTCAGGTCTGTCGTCGGGGAAGGGCACCAAGAAGAAGTATCCTACGATTGCGACTAAGACGGTGATCTGCGAGAGTCAGCATCCGCACCACTTGTAAAACGTGTAGTTGCATACGATGCCTTCCATGATGAACTGCACAGCCAGATTAGCCTATGCTTGCCGGATCGATGTATATAACACTTACAATCCATCTCCAACCACCCAGATCTGCCAAGCCATCCATCTGCATAAGACCGTATGCCAGGATACCAGCGCAGGCTGAGGCGAACATGCCAAGGATGTAAAAGTATGCGTATCGCTTGCCCATTTCATCTGTTCAATTGCTCTGTTAGCGGGAGAGCCGATTGGCTTCCATTCATGTAGGTTTCACTTACATCGCAAATACCACGTGCTCAACAAGTAGACGCACGCCGGGAAGAAGCCGGCTTCGAACAGTCCCAGTATCACTCTCAGTCCTGCGAGAGTGTCCCAGGTCTTGACGAAACCCATGCCGATCATCACGCATCCCCACATGAAAGTGATGGAAGAGAGGAACCTGCGAGGGCCGATCTTCTTGCAAGCGACCGTGGCGGGTGGCTGAAAGATCACATAGGATATGAAGAACACCAGCGTTATGATGGACTGCAAATCGTCAGTCGAGGCGTGCAGTTGAAGTCTTGAGCGAGTCATACATATCTGAACCCGATCAATCTCAATTCGGTGGTCATTCCAGCGATTGCAGCTGCAGACAGATTTGTTCGATCCCTACATCGTGGTTAGCTAGGACGACAAGGGAACTGTTTTACACTCACATCAAACTGATACAGTACATTACGCCAACGGTGATGATGAGTCGGCGGTCGATGCGGTGGAGGATTTTCCTCTGTTCGGCAGGCGAGAACTCCAGCTGACTCTCTGAGTCGACAGGGGACTTGTCACGATCCATTTTGGTGTTTTCGACCTGCTCGACACCGTACACGTCTTTGTCGTCCTGATGAAGTCCTGCCATTGTGGTTAAGATTCTGTTGAGAATTGCAACCCGTGTCCTTGCAATGGCGAAAGGTCGGCAACCCAGAGAAAATAGATCAGGAGAGCAACCGAGAGCAAGCACTCTTTTGAACTAACATCCTGGCAGACTGCCATCTCTTCCTCGGTGCGATTTCTCTCCTTGGCGACACGACACCCACCTGCATCGCCAACCAGCGGTCGCGCACGCGACATACGAAACTACCGTGACGCAAACCGCAGAGATTGCATACGGACAGCCCGCTATTTCGCTGGGCGTTTGGAGAACAAAGGCGGGGAGACCAGCGGGGAATGCAGAATATCCTGGGCTGCCAAGGAGGGGCGTTCCTGGGCGAGATTCGGCTGCGGATAGCACAGGATGTGCGAGCGACCATCCACGTGTGCGTCGTAGATCTTCGGTTGACAGGCGTGTTTGTGCAAGGTGTACTTGTGGGCGGTCACGCGGGAAACGCATGTTCCGGAGGGAAGACTGTTTAAGGAGAAGGCCTCCTTGGCGATGCAAGGAGGTCGATAGGCTGGGCCGGAGTTACGTATGTGAAATAGAGGCACTATTGCCGCCCTCTTGCGGTTGAGAACGAAACCGAAACACAGTCGCCGGAGAGCAGAGCTCGACTTTGAATGGTGTCTTGAACTGAGTGGAATCCAAAACTCACTCGAAAAGGCCGCAAACAATTCTCACTGGAGATGAGGTGAAGTCTCTGAGGTAGCCAGATTAAGTTGAAGTATAATGCGTGGTCTATGCCGATCGAGCATGTTTTCCAGACCCTGGTAAGCGATTGGTAGCTGCTCGAGTCATCAATCTGCCTGGATGACCTGGCTGTCAGAGTTGTACATCTTGAATGATTATTATTGCCGGGCATGTATTGGTAAGCTCTCGTTCAGTGTCTCAGGCCCGCTTCAATCATCCTCATTGTCCGATGTTTGGCTTCTTGTCTCGTCCTCTCGGAAGATGGCGCTAGAGTCGTCGCTGTACATTTCGCAGAAAGCGTGAGTATCGTTCAAGTGCTGGGTTCGATCCAGCAAAGAGTGTTCGAGGTAGTAAGAGCGATGCTCTGCCAACCTCTCAATCTCGTCATAGCAACTCCAGTCAATGTCGCAGAGCTTGCCTTCCAAGACAAGCGTCCTAAACGAGGTTTGACTGGACCATACGCAGAGTCGACATCGTCAAACCTTGCACCGACTGGCCACAGACAAGACCTCAGATGGAGGGAGTTCTTCAATGCTGTGAATAGAACTTGTCTGTAGGCATTGAAAGTGCAAAGTGAAGATCCTCTCTTCACGGGCCCGAGTCGTCGTCCTCCTCAATCAGGTCATCCTGACCTTCACCTTCAGACTCGTCCTCTTCCAACTCAATCTCGCCATCGCTATCCTCCTCACTCTCGCCTTCACTTTCGTCCTCACTCTGACTCAGTCCCACGCTGACGCAGTCGTCGAAGAATCTCGAATTCGGACTGATATATTCCGGGTACACAGCAGGATCCCAGCCGTTGCGGTCCATATATTCAGACCAATGATTAGGACTTGAGAGACTTGGATACTTGGCCTTGCCGCGATGAACTGCGAGCCTCTCTCGGCCTTGCTGTAGAATGTATCCGTCCCATTTGATGTCAAAAAGCTTGCCTTCCATGATGTTGCTTGTGACTTTCTCGATCTTTTCACCGTGATCGGAATGCGGCAGCAGTGCCCTGTACAAGATTGTCGTCAAACGAAGAGAGCCTGCCATGGGTGGATATGTGATCTTCTGATATCTCATGCAGCAGCTGCGGTCGACACAAGACTGGGGCCCGCCCCATCCGTCATCTCGCAGCCATACTCTTCGAACCTCCATCTCTGCGATGTCCACCTGTGCGCGAATAAGCCCTCGCACATGAACCAGTCGTCCCTGTAGCCTGGTTGGACATCCATAAGCATGGCAGAGTCATCCGCGATGTGAGTGCCGGGTACTCCGCCTCCATCTTCCAGCCCAAGCTCTTCGTCGAAGTCATTCGATCCGAGAAAGAATCGCGCATTCCGCAACCGAGGATGATGTCTCACCTCCGTCCACAAATCCCACAACTCAGGCGGGTTATCAAAGTAAAACACAAGTCGGCGTTCATAGCTCTTCTTCCAAATCACCTTCACTTCAGCGCTGAAACAACATTTCAAGATGATATACTCACAGTCCAGCATCTTTCCCAGTAAGCGTCCTTCATCATCAAGTTAAGAGCTTGCTAATGCCTAGAGTAACCTGTATCATACCCGAGTTCCAGCATGTCGTGGCGATCTCCGTCGTTTGGGAACCTTCCAATCAGCTCCATGGCCAAAGCTGACATCGATTTCTCTCCTAACCATACTACAGTCTCCACGGCGTTGCTGTAAATGTCCCTCATAAGATACACTTGATTGGCACGCTCCTGTCTGTCCTCTTGATTGATACAAATCGCATCGATCCACGCAACGCACGGCCGGTCTTTGCCCCGCAGCCGCTTCAGCGCAACGTATAGATTCGTTGTGACCCTGAAAGGTTGGGCATCGAGGAGTATCGTACACTAGAAGAGCTTCTGTCCCCAGACATAGGAGAGTGCTGTGTATATTGGTTTGTCGGCCAAATTCACAGTCGACAATTCATTCGATTTTCGCTGATGTGTCTGAGTTGGGCTTCACTGTGACAAGACGGATTTGCTTCCTGTCACTGTCGAGACGAGCATAAGGTGAGGGAGAAGGAGGTGACCACATCGTGCCTGTTCGGATCTGTGAAGTGAGTTTGTCGCAGCAGGTGTGCGTTAAACGAGCTTTAATAGGACGCAGCGAGTCGGTGTTTGGCGTTCGCGATCTCGACAGTGGCGCTATGGACCGCCTTCAGCTGTCTCCATTCTGTGCGATGATAGCGTTCGCAGTGTGGCCACGGCTGTCCTGTTGTGGCTGTATGGCTGTGCTAGACATGAGAGGCTGTGTGCATGTACTTGAGTACCTGACTGATTAAGCTTCAGGAATCGCCTTCTTTCCATGGACATTATCTCTACTGCAACAAACCCCTGGACATCTACACCAGCCGGTAGAAACATGGAGATGGATCGTGAGATAGACGAGATGTTGGTGACGTGGCTCAGGACGATGGTGGGAAGAAGAGGCTACAAAGTTGCAGTAGAAAGCTCAGCCGCAGTGGGGCCCAGGCCTCATGGTTGCCTGAGGCACAGCATTGTTCCCAAGGCCAGAGCGTGCGATAGACGTTTCTCTTTTGCCTTGCCCTCTCGTGAACCGTCTCATAATCTCCAAACCCCCTCCATCAAAGCCTATACCTAAACCCCTTATTCTTCAAATCCGTCACATCAGCAAACGCAATATCCCTCCCCCTCTCCCCGCCTCCCTCCCGCACAAACCGATCTCTCCTCCGATTAACCGCCGTATAATAAAACCACAACAAAACCGTAAACCCAATCGCCGCCGCACAAGTCACAATAATCGTAATCTTCGCGGGGACATACCCAGGCGCATCCTGTCCTCGAAACGTCAGGGGTCCGATGATGTTGCCTAAGCAGAAGGCCATGAGCAGGATGGCGTTCATGGTGACTTTCTTCGTGTGGCCGGCGTAGTTTGCGGAGACCCAGGAGTAGAGCAGCGGGAGGGAGGCGCCGATGACGTTGGTGAGGTAGTTGCCTATTAACTTGCCGGCTTTGTTGGTGTCCGGCAGGAAGGCCATCATGGCGCCGCCGAGGATGCCTGGGATGAGCAGGGCGACGACTTGGACTCCGCGCTGGTTGTACTTGCCTGCGAGGTAGGTTGAGCAGAGGATCGCGACGATGGAGACGCCGCCGGAGGGGATGGAGAGGAGGGCGGTTTGTTTGGAGTCATAGCCGAAGTTCTTGATGATGGTTGCTTGAAAGCTGGAGACGGCGCCGTTGGGGACGGAGGAGGAGGTGCAGATTAATGCGAGGAGCCAGGTTTGAGGGTCCATGAAGCATTCAGCGACTTGGGCCGGTTTGAAGTGGATGTTCTCGATTCCCGTCTGGTTCTCTCGGAGACGCTCAATGGCCCAGACTTTCTCTTCATGCGAGAGGCGGGATTTCATCGGGTTGTCAGGCAGGATGAAGAAGACGAGGATGCCGACACAGCAGGTTACGAGGCCGACGGTGAGGAACATGATTTGCCAGGAGTAGAAGGTGCGGTTGGTGACGTGCTGGAAGCCGAAGGAGATGAGGCTGCCGAAGATGGTTCCGGTGCCTGTGCCGAGATACCAGAAGCCGACTCGTGGTGGTTGCTCGTTGCGTTTGTACCACATGGAAGTGATGAGGATGAGGGAGGGTGCGACAGCTGACTCGAAGACGCCGAGGAGGACTCTGGTTGTGACGAGAGCGCCGTAGTTCTTGCAAGCACTGGTTACTGTCACAATGACGCCCCAGAGAAAGACCATCGCCCCGAGATACTTCGCAGTCGGAAGCCGCTGCATCGCATATCCATGTGGGAACTCGAAGGCTAGGTACGAAACATAGAAGATAAGGGCCAGGTTGCTGAACTGATCCTTCGTCATGTTCGTGTCCTCTTTCAGACCCATAACGTTGGCGTAGTTGATGAGCGTCTTGTCAAGGTACTGAAGACAGTAACAGCACCACATCAACGGCACAATCATCCAGTCGATCTTTCGGCGGAGTTTTCTTTCATCCTCAGGTGTCATCTCTCGAACGCTGCCTTCCTCATGGCGAAGGAAGTCCAGCGCGGCATCTGCATTCTTGACATCTTTGATCTCGCCGATTTCGACATCGCTGAGGGCAGGCGAGGTCGATGCCGCGATATCCTTCTCTTTAGGTGTGTCCGTCATCTTGGAACGTCTAGCTTGGATATTATGATACTGGAAGTACGCTGAGCAAAGACAACCAAAAGAGAAAATCCCTCAGACCGCATCCCTAGAAATAAAGAAAGATACAACACCTTCAATTCAGACCGCCGCACAGTGGCAAACCAGGATACTGCAGAATCCGCAACATCGAAGCGTCACTTCTCCCCCATCGCATAGATAGCGACAGCTTCCTTTAGCTTGCCATTGGCCGTGCGTGCAGTCTCCTGTATCGACGGTATCAGACAACAGACAATGTCTGTGAAAGAAGCCCGATCTGTCTGACTTGATTGTGTTCTCTTTAGAGCCTGCTTCGCCTATCAAGCCCGTTCGGGAAGGTGCGAAGCGTCCGGGCAGGAATGATAAGGGCGTCGGCCCAGCAAGGTGGCCAGCTATCTGCCGCATTTGTGTTTCGAAGATGTTCAGGTACATACCGCCTTCGCATTCAATTCTGTCGGAGTAGTTCGCACCTATGTCTTCGAGGCTGGACATGAAATTCAAATTCGCACCATTGGCGACAGAAAGAATGTTGTGACTTTCGGCATAATTCAACTGAGCCGCGGCTTTCTGGGACTTATTGTCTGTTGAAATACCCTCAGGGATGGTGTCTAAAGAGTCGTGAAGTGCCGAATGCAACGCAATAGTCGTAAATCCTCAGCAATCATCAGCAGACGTCACAAATCAACCAACCTAAACTCACCTCATCTCAGACTTCCCTCTGACCTACACCCCCTCCACCCCCAGCACCCCCAGCACCCCCGCAACCCCCTTAAACCCCTCCCCGCCCACCCCCCCATCAACAACCACATCCTCAATCCCCGTCCCCCTCAACCCAGGACTCTTCTCCTCCCCCTCCCTCACCACATAAACCGTCTGAAACCCCACACCCTTCGCGCCCCTCAAATCCCCCAAATGCGCCGCCACCAGCGCACACTCCTCTGGCCTCACCCCCAGCCGTTCCGCCGCACCCAGATAAACCCCCGGATGCGGCTTGTACGCGTGCGGGGGGAAGAGGTCGGCGGAGAAGGTGTGTTGGAAAGGGATGCGGGAGTGGGTGACGAGGGAGGTTATGAGGGCGTTGTAGGTGTTCGATAAGGTTGCTGTTGTGAATTTTTTGTTTAGCTGTTCGAGGCCCGGGATTGTGTCGGGCCAGGCGGGGAGGCGGTGCCAGATTTTTGCTAGGTGCTGGAGTTGAGGGGGCGTGAAGAGGGAGCCGGGGAGGACGGTTTTGTTGGCGTCGGAGGCAGAAGGAGAGAGGAGGATAAGACCCCCCTGGGCGAGGAGCGTTGGGAGGAGGGCGATGCGCTGGGCGTCGACGGCGGGCCAGTCGACGGTGGCGTGCTGGGCGATGAGACTGGATTTGTAGGTTTCGTTTTGGGCGTTCCATTCCTGTTTTCACTGCCTCGTCAGCAAATGCTGTTGTTCTCGTCATGGGGATGTTGGGAACGTACCACGCCGAAGGCATCCCAATCTTCCCACGTCTACAAGCAGCAAAAGTCAGCATCTCCTCTCCCTTCTCCCTCACCCTCCATTCTGAAAGTTAAAGAAACATACCATCCCCTCCGCCTTCCTCCTCACCTCCTCATCAATCCCCTCCCCCGCCTTCAGCGCCTCTTTCGTAGCATTGTACAACTCATCAGCCACAGGTTTCCTCTGTTGGACACAAGTCCCAAAGACATCGAAGAAAAGCACCTTGATTCCCGGACGGATCGCGCTTTGACTACTCATCGTGAAGCGTGTAGACGGATGAGTCAAAAATGTTGCTACGTAGATAGTAGATAGCACGCCAATGGGTACCATGTGGATTCATATATTTCTTGGCCAGGTTGAAAGATCATCCGTGTGTTGATGGCGGGAAATGACCTCCCACGGCAAAACGACGCAGTGTACATACGTAAGTAGTGAAGCTATTCGAGCTTGCTCAGCTTGCTCAGCTATTCCCGCCAGCCCATTGGTTTCTATACTACTCTCTAGGCAGCCGTTCCAGTCGGCAATCCGCCGTGCCTCGTACGAAGCGGCGTCTTGGGACCGATCGATACTGGAAACGGAGTACACAGGGCGAATTTTGAAGATTGCGCGAGGACATTGATGGAAAATCGCAACGCAAGCTATGCAAGCTGTACAGTAGTAAAGACGCTCTAAATTACACCATCAGCAGATTCGCTATCGGAACGCCCATGCTTTCGAACCAGTATCTTCGCTTGACACCCAGTCCGCCTTTGAGCGCCACCTTCTTCCCCTTGCCGTTGCCGACGTTTTGCTTTCTTGCTTCTGCCAGCTTTCCGTTCTCGTCGAAGTTGCCGAGGGCGCTGCTGACTTTCTTCAGCGCGGCTGTGGTCTCTCGCGTGCCATCGACCATCACCATCGCGATGGGGTGGCGACGCTCAAACCCGTTGGGTGTAAGTTGCGGTTGGTCCAGGAGTGGTCGGATGAGTCCACCTCGGTTGTTTGGATGATCGTCGAAGTCATCTTCTTCCGGTGATTTCGCCTCCGGCACGCTGACTATAATGACCAGCTGGAGCGAGTCCCACGACGGAGCAAACGAAGGTATGTTGGCGAGCTTGTCGTTGAAACTACACCCTCCACGTTGTATGACCAGAACTTGATTGTGCTTGGCGATGCTCGAGGGGAGACGATACTCACAGAGAGTGTCGGACAAGTAGAAAATCGAGCTGTAGGGTACCTTGCCCGTGGTGGCTGTGAGTGGAACGATATCGCCGTCCATGAACGCCGGTAAAGGAGCAGCGCCAGCACCGGTTGGTAGAATCGCTGGGACGAAGAACCTCGTCAGGATGGGATTACCGTTGGCATCGAGCCGAGGAGCTGGAAGGTCAGAGGTGTCATCATCAGAACCACCATCCGAGCCAGGTAGCAGGCTTGAGAGTATTGCATCGAACTCATCCCAGAGCATGTCGAGCGTTCCATTTTCAGAGACCTCGATTTCTTTGGGAACCTCTCCATCTTTGCCCTCCGGCAGAATCGGCACGTCCAGCACGAGATCGACCATTTCCAGATCCTTGACTCTCGTAAAATGTGGATCCGCAGGACTGACTCCTTGCAGTGCTTTGTCAGAAAGAAGCACTTTCTCGTCTCGACCCAGAGCCCAGTTGGCGATACCTTGAATGCGGAATTCTTGGCCAATGACAACTTCCTGAATCATCACACCATTGTCATCCGGCAGTAGGAGGCTTTTGGGCTCCTGGATCATGTTGAGACGCAGATTCGAAAGCGAGTTGATGAGAATTCCATCAACTATCTTCTGTAATGCACCGAGTGGAATCAAACCCTTCTCGGCCTCTAGCGTGTTCGCTCCCAAATTCGGAAACGTCAGGGTACTAATTATCGGACTCGCAATCGGCGAGCTGGTGCCATTCACGGGTATCAGATCTTGAGGCAAAGTCCATGGATAGAAGGTGTAATTGGTAGGACTGCGGATGTCGGCGAACGAGATTGCGGGCCCATCTGGTGACGTTTCTTTCAGAACTGATGATCGAGCTGGCGTGACCGGAACCAGTTGAAGTTGAGCTAGTGCAGCGGCGTGAAACAAATCGTGTCGGCTGGCGGTGTTGCTCACGGTCAATGGCAGCAATTTTGGAGGAGCGTCGCAAACTCCTGGCAAGGGACCGTCCAGAGCTTCAAGCGCACGAATGTTCTGCTTGATGTGGTGGTTGAATGGCATGTACCTGAAAGCATCAGGTATCACCAAGGGGTGCCCCTCGGTTGTGAAGACCACCGGCTTGTCCAGCCTGTTCAAAGGATGATCTTTGTTGAAAAGCAGATATAAGTATTTCGCAGTCTCGCCCAGGAAGAAGCTTTCCATGCGATCACGTTGCTCGCCGGTGAGGACGTCACCAAGATCTGCCCAGCCGCACTTGGTCCAGCACCGTCGTCTGATGTCTCGCAAGGCCATCTCGCCTACGTGGAGATAGTAAGGATCCTGGGTTGCCTGGTAAAGATGAAATGTGCTCTCAATAAACTCCGGCCGTCCTGCCCAATGCTTGAAGTTGGGGTCAATGTATGAGTTTGCGGCATGCCATCTTTCCGGCAAGGCGCTGTATCTAGTCCAAAGTGCACTGTACAAGAGATGAGATTCGATGGCTTCGTCCAGCTCACCCGCGAGGACAAGCAAGCCGGGGTAGTATGCAGAAAGATTGTCAACCCAACCATATCGTGCAGCACCAGTGGTCAGGTCGACTTGTCCGTAGTACGGGTGCTTCTCGGTCTGCTTGTTGCGTAAGATGTGGCGTTTCACTGCTGTATGGGCCCGCTCCCAGACCTGGAGGAAGCTGTCGGGTGCGTCTGTTTCGTAGATGCTGGCGTTGTATGGTAGATTTGATAAAAGGATGTACGACTTTAGCGAATACTCGTAGAAGGAGTCGATGCCTGCTCCGATTCCAGACAGTGGAGGGATGGTCCATTGCCCATTCTCAGCGTCGATGCCATTGCCAAGGAGGTCGATGGAAGAGCGTCGATTCCAAATCGCCCAGAACGCACGTTTGGCCAGATTCTCAAATCGCATGTCTCCTGTCAGGCGGCTGAGAGCGCTGAACTCCAACACAAGGCTTCCCGCGCCAGCTGCGCAATTTTCGGTGATCTCACGCGGGTCGGTAGATGTGCCGTCCAAACGACAGAAACCTGATTCGGCATCCTGGTAAAAGGGGATTCCAGTTCGAAGGTTGACTCTTGGGTAGGGTATATCTGTGGCAGTGCTGAATGCTGGGAGCAGTCGTTTCGCCAAGTCGTAAGCCAGATACAGTAGCTGGCCGTTATAGACAAAGCCGTTCTTCCATTTGATGCCTGGGTTCTTCCCACCCCTCCACTCTGGCTTGTATCCCTTGATTGGCAGCTCACCCAGGGCGAATAGATGAGCTGATATGAGGCCGCCGACGCCTCTGATATTCGTCTCAAAGACTTGAACCTTGCTGTTCAGATCGAACCCACACGCTCTCTTGCCGCATCGTTTCCCCTCGGTGCCATCGCCGTAAAGCTCCACCAAACCCTTGACGCCGTCTTGGAAATCGCGCAATGGATCTCGCTTGTCCTTCTTATCCTTCTCGCCCGAAGCAAGGATTGCGAGTGTCGAAAGGGAATCGATGAGGGTGAGGCTGTAGTTGCCGAGGACATCGTTCAGACCAATATCAGCCGGGTTTTCGCGATTTCTCGTTTGCGGTTCGCAGGAGATCGGCTTCAATTCGTCCTCAGGGTAGGCATGTGACATGTAGTTGTCAAAGCCATGGTAAAACAGATCTTTGGTATCCCGTCTGACAAATACATCAATACCACCGTGCGCACGTGCTCTTGGATTGAGAAGCTCACCTCAGGTCTGTGATCTGGTCATCGGTCATGCAAGCTCCTCCCGTCGCCCACAGCGCAACGAGCAGCGCATAGACCAACATGGGCCATAATGGTGTCGTCGCCGTCGTTGTTGTTGTCGCGGCCGAGGGTCGGGGCCAGGCGATCAGGTGCATCTGCGGACATTTCACTCCAGGCGCATTGGCGGTGGTTGCTGCAGTGAGTCAGACGTCCCAGAATAGGCGAAACATGAGTGCAATCAGCGGCGGGCGAGTGGGAGGAGGGTGTTGGTGCAGCGACGGGGACACAGCTGGCCGCGGGAATGGGCGAGCTGGCATCATCGCCGCGGGAGTTTGCCAAGAAAGTCAAAAGTTGCTGGCCCGGCTTGCTTCGAGATGGGCTGCAGCAGGAATCATTAAATCTGCATTGAACGTCAAATACATCGAGACTCGGCTGAAATCCCCAGTGCTGAGTCTGATGAACCCCCAATAGAGCTGCTGTAGACTCGAGCACGCATCTGTCCCTGCAGCACACCGCCAGCGAGATGCTGCCCCGAGCAGCGCTGCGGACCATCAAACCCTCCTCCCTCCACACGCCGAGTATACGCAATGGCGCATCGATAGCTGCGGCAGCGTCACTGCGACTGCGCGCATACGCCTCTTCCAGCTCGAAACCCCCGCGACCGCCGCCCGCGCAGTCATCGAGTCCGCGAACCGCCAAGCCGCCCCCGCCCAAAGACTTCAAGAGTGCGACAGGCGCGGCGAGACAGACATCGCCGGGGACGAGCGTGCCGAAGGACCAGACATGGAAGCCGCAGGATGGCATCAAGCTGGGAGGGCCGGCAGCTGCGACCCTGAGTGACGCTGGCCCGGCAAGAGCGACTACGGGGGCTGCTTCACCCGTGGAACGCGCGAGGCCGGACGATGGCTCCATCAGGACGGAGACGCCGCTGGAGGGTGATGCGCCTGCCACGCAAGAGCCCATTGCGCAGCGAGTGGATGCAGACGAGCCCGTGGCGGGGAGTGTGAGAGACCAGGCGCAGGACAAGATCGCCGAGTCAGAGCAGCAACAGCAGCCGCCAGAGTCTGCAGCACAGCCCACTGGGCCTCTGCCAGATTTACGGCAGGGTATTCCCTCTACCTTCGATCTGGAGTTTGGGCAGGCCAAGGCACGGGCAGCGAGGGAGGATGCCGCTCAAGCAGAATCCTCATCATCAACGCCATCACAGGAGGAGAAGCTGGACCTGACTGGTGCTCCGAAGGAGGAAGGCCAGCGACAGAAGGAGAGGGATGAGCGAGAATATGAGCGATCGGCGTATGAAACTTCCATCGACCGGAAGCGCGCACAGTGGGCCAACTACCTGTATGCGTCCTTCGTCTTCGTTGTTTCGCTGGGTGGCTTCTATTTGGCTCGCCCATTCTCCAAGAGTGATGAGATCCCTCAGGGACTCGAACCAGGCGATGCAGATGGATGGGCTCCCGGCAAGATGTACGCTCGTGTGCGAGCACGCATTGGCAGTCAGACTGGATACTACACTGAGCCTGCCTTCCCCAAGCTCCTGCCTGAGGTACCAGAATCACAGCGACCACCATTCACCCTCGTCCTCAGTCTGGAAGACCTAATGATCCACACTACATGGGATCGCCAAAACGGCTACCGGACTGCCAAGCGTCCTGGCATCGACTACTTCATCCGCTATCTGTCCCAATACTACGAGATCGTCCTCTTTACCTCGGTCCCACGAGCTATTGCCGACCCTGTCGTCGCCAAACTCGACCCATACCACTTCATCATGTGGCCGCTGGGCCGTGAAGCCACCAAGTACGAGAACGGCGAATACGTCAAGGATCTGTCCTACCTCAACCGACCGCTCGAGAAGACTCTTATCGTTGACACCCACGCTCCTCACGTCAAGAACCAGCCAGAGAATGCCATCATCCTGCCCAAGTGGAGTGGCGACCCCAAGGACCCACATACCAAAGATCTCGTAGCACTCATTCCGTTCCTAGAGTACGTAGCGACCATGGGAATCGATGATGTGCGGACTGTCCTGAAGTCCTTCGAGGGCAAATCAATTCCTGAGGAGTTCGCTCGCCGAGAGAACGAAGCCCGCAAGAGATTCAACGAGGCGTTGGCCGAAGAACGAAAGCGGAAACCAAAGTTCTCTCTCGGATCAATCGCTGGTGCTATGGGCGTCAAGGGCGGAGGGTCCATGGGAGGTGGCATGGTTCTCGCAGACGGTCAGAGCGTTGCCGAAGGCCTTGCGCAAGGCAAAATGCTATCAGACCAAATCCGCGAGCAGGGCCAGAAACAGTACGAGTTCATCGAAAAGCAAATCCGTGAGAACGGCGAGCAATGGCTGAAGGATGAAGCGGAAGAACAGAAGAAGATGATCGATGCGCAGATGAAGGACATGAAGCAAGGCGCTCTGAGCTGGTTCGGTGGCGGTGGAGGTGGAAAGAAGGAGTGAAAGACCTCCAAACCGTGAGACTCTTCACTCTTCCATGGCGAGCGTGTTGACTTGTGTAGTGTAGATTGAACCTACGTTGCTGCTTACATGCATCGAGCGAGGTATGGAGCAGGGCCAAAAAGGCGTAGCAGCAAGCATTGTATTATATGGCGTCGGCGGTCGCTTGAACTACTGCTGTAAACTGAACAAATCATCAAGTTCCAGACCACATTCATCCTATTCTGCAGGCGGTAATCTTTGCGATGCCCTCGATCGTCATACCTCGCAAACTCGATCGTGCCGAATTGGGTATATGCCTCGAGCTGGGACTCGAGAGCTGAACCACTCTCGGAGACTTTTAGTCAGCTCTGCGCTGACTGTGCTTAGGACCAAACCAGGGCAACAACATTGACTCCCTGAACTCTCAGCAGCAAAGAAGCCAAACTATCACCCAAGAACACTCTCACTCGCTCACACCATCCCGCTCACTATTCAACCCTCCCCAATCATCTTCCACCCCCAACGACAAATGCAAATGTCTCCCAAACCCCTCCCCCAGCGCATCGCCCGAGTCTACATGCTCCTCCAAGCCGCCAACAACATCCTCTTCGGAGCCTACTGCGTCCTGGCTCCTGCATCCTTCGGCGACCTCGCGGGTGGGGAGTTTGCTGTTTCGCCAAGTGGGACGCTGAGGGCTGTTGGTGAGTTCCTCCCCCTCCCCTCCCTCCCCTCTCCACATCGATACTAACAACCCCTCCAGGTCTCGGCATGTTCGGCGTCGGCGTCTACAGTTTCGCAGGCGCTTGGACAGACGACAAGAGATTCTTTTGGCTTACGCTGGGGTTGAGAGCGGTTTTTGCGGTGGTGATGCTGGGTGTGAGGGAGAGGTGGGGCGTTGTGGGCTATGAGGTTTTGACGGTGGGGATGGCGGGGGTGGCGGGGTTTTGGTAAGATAGGAGTGGGGATGGGTGGTGGATGGGGTGATGGGGTGGCGTTTGGTCTGGTCGGAGGGGTTTGTTTTGCAGAGGATGCGTTGCTATCGCAAGAGATCTGCGCGGGAGAGGCCTACCGTTCATGGAGAGTCGACGGACATGCGGCAAATGGTGAAATGCCACTTCGAGAAGTTATGTTCAGTTGAAGAGTCGACGTTAAAGCATGGTACACGGACCACCTCCAAGAAAAGACTTCTCGCACAATGCTCGACACCCAATGGCACGAATAAATATGTACTGATGCTCAAGAGCGTATAAATTGGCGCAGAATATCCTCGACGACCACCCTAACCCCAGCCTGATCCCTTTTCAATCAATATTTGATTGCGTCCTAATCAAATATTAGTTGGCGAGCAGCCTCGTCCAAAAGCGCGATCAAACGTCTTATCGACTGAAGCTGGTATTTCTGAGACTGCATAACTTGATTTCGATTGTTTGCAGTTTGCAAATTTCGTGATACGATTTTTAGTTCACACGACCTTTTCAGGAGGTGAGGTGAAAGTAGAGTCGCCAAGATAAGCGGTGCGAGCCGGGTACGAAAGGATGCGGAGCACACGTGAGACCTCACCTCGTGGCGGCTGGGGACTTCATCTTCGGAATACTGCATCCCGATCTTTCCATCATGCGCCGAAACGAGATCCGATGCATCCAGCATGCTGGCGATCTTGGTGCGACTCAAGACGATGTACGGCGACCACCGAAGCGACGGAGAATGGGAGAGCGTAAGTGGGAGAGGAGACGGTGATTGCGAGGTTATTGTCGCTGTTAGACACCTTTGCTCATCATTCTTGACAGATCTATACCTTCTCCGATGCAGCTCATATGGGTCGATGCCCCCGAAGATGGCGAAAAGTGCGAAGACGAAGATTCCCGGTCCTGCTCTCAATCCACCGATCTTACCAGCGTCTACCAGTTGCCACAGCAGAGCGAACTCACGATCCACATCCCGCAGTGCTCTGAGTCCTCCCTTCGAGGCGAGCTAGTCGATATATTCGCCAAGATGAATCTCACGCACTCATGGTATGCCTTCGTCCCGTCGTATATCGGGCAGCACGATTACCTAGACGCTGCGACGAGAGCTATCATCAAGGTTCAGAAGCAGAAAGGAAGCTCGAGTACGTCGGATCCTGGAGTCGAGGAGTATCTCTATGCGATCAATGCACTGCGACGAAATCTGGACGAGTCGGACGCTACGCTGGTCACCATCGCCTTGCTCTGTCTCTACGAATCTACTGTACGTCGAAGGATTGGACCATGTATATCTCACAGAAGAGGTATAACAGCTATAGCCACAGCTCGAGGAGTGTCGAGAAAGAGTAGTAGTGTCGCCCGGGCTGTGTTGTATGGCAATTGGACCCAGGACTTCCGGACTTGCGTTGCTGAAGGCGTGCCGTCTCCATTTGAGGAGGCTGAATGGGTGACGGCGGGACCAGCGTATCGAACAGAAGATCTCCTACCTGGGGTATCAAGACTGAGAGATCTGGCACAAAAGACGTACATTCGACTCCCGAGACTGATCGCCATGGCGAGAAGGCTTCGCGAAACACCTCCTGAGCTCTTCGACCGAGAAGCATTAGATCAAGCCACAACCCTCGCGATCCAACTAAACGACCTCCAAGACACAGACGCAGAATCTCAACTCCTCCACCGCGTCCACGTCTACCAAACAAAAGACTACCACACCGGCGCGATCGTGCCCTACTCCCTGCGCTTCAAGACAATGGACGAGTTCAACGCGTCTCTCCTCTACTGGGGCGCCCGCCTAACAGTCATCAACCTCTGCACCCTCCTCTCCCGCATGGAGCAAACCAGCAACAAACTCTGGACGTCCGCCCCCTCCGCCCACTACGGCGACCTAGCCACGCACAAGCACCGCACGATCATCAACATCATGATGTCCTGGGAGTTCACCTACGAGAATGGACTGACGCTCGGCTCGCCCGCGATGACTCAAGCTGCGCTTGCGGTGTGGTATGTTTTTCAGGAGGATGTCTCGTTCAATGGGATGTCGACTAGGGTGATCAAGGAGTGGTTGAGAGAAGTGTTCCAGCAGAGTGTGGCGGGATGGCCGAGTAATTCGACGTTTGATACAGCGCAGTTGGACGAGGTGAGTGAGACCTTTGTGGGTGGGCCGGTGAGCGGGTTTTTGAAGGGGATATATAACTAGGGGAGAACCATATACGTGCCACCATCCCCAATACTAACGGCCGTACTGAATGCATACGTTCTAGATTGATGTCATGGATATATGAAGACACCAACCAGTATCACCTCTCAGCCCTTCGGACACTTGCCTTGCGCAACTCACACGAGCGCCTAGCTGAACGCGCCCAGCCTCCATCAAGGTACTCTTCTTTGCCCACACCTCGACTCACAGTTGGCGTCTCATCTGCCAGCGTCACCTCCATGCGGCCGACCGCTGACCTGCTTCAAACTGCGCTATTCTACAGCCATTCCACTCCCTCGGCACCGCACCAACGCCAGCAACACCGGAGATCCGATCCTGTTTTCTAGCAAGAAGTTAGGCAACGCCTCCACAGACCCTCTCAGCGGCTACCTTGGTGACGAAGATGCAAAAAACTTGCGTAAGAGCGAGGAACACTCGGAAGATGAGAACCAGGAGGACTCGGAATGATCGAGACGTACTTTCCTAAAGCGCTAATTTAGCGTGAGCTTTACTACGCCACGCAGCACGCCAGGTAGAACAACAAATCCTCCTTCCCTTCTCCCATTTCTCTTGAATATCCCAAAATTGTCCACACCACCAACGACACCGACACAAACACCAACAACAACAACAGAAACAACGGGGTGGGATCCCCTCGACCTCCTCGCGCACGGCACCTGCGCGCCGCGCTCCTCTGTGCCCCTCGACAACATCCCCTTCCTCCACGCCCTCGCCCACGGCCACCACCGCCTCGTCGGCCTCACCTCCAATGGTGACGTCTTCCAAGCCCGCTTGGCCGGCCTCGACGCAGAGAACGTCTACTTCCGCGATGTGCGCGTGCGCTCTGTGGACGGCGACGTCCAGCGCCTCGACGGGGAGGCGTGGGCGCGCGACGAGCTGGTGCGCTTGACGGTTGGGCTGGGGGAGTGGGATGCGGCGCAGGCGGGTATGTTGGTTTGGCGGTGGGGGGATAATGACTTCAGGGGTAGGGGTTTGGGCCGCGATGTGTGAGTCATGTTTTGGGACGATAATCGTGTTTGGAGGGTGCCCTCCGGCGCGATTCCGGGTTAAAAACTAGCTCTCGCGAGTGTGCTTCCACTTGAGCGTAGTGTAGGGGTCTAGTACCTGTCGTCAGGATGAGGAAGCTAAGACAAGTACGAGGATGGTGTTGGTGTGGTTGAAAGGTACGTTGAAGACACTTATTGGAGCCTCTGAACTTTACTGATTCCGCTTCTCTTCGTCGTGGACGATCAACAACTCTTGCAGACGGTCCGCATTTCTTGCTCAATCTTACCATCGTCTACTGGCAGCGGCTGAACATCGACTGGCAGCATACGTTTTCGACTCACCGATGCGCCGCACGACAAGCCAGCTTCCGCCCTCACCAACGTTTGTTCCTCCTCGTCGTCCTAGTCCTCGTCGACTAGCAAGAAGTTGAAAGATTACAAGCTCGCCATGGGCTCCACAAGACCGTATTCAGGGAGGCGCAATTTATCCGGCTCATCAGCAACGAGGTCGACACCAACGGCATTAGCTTTTTCCACCTGTCAAAAGGAGCTGCCACCCAATCTTCGGACTCAGAGAACGAGAGGGATGGGGTCTGGAAGTGTTTGTCTTGATTTTGGTGTTGATGATTCTCGCCGTTCATCTTGGGACGTCGCCAACCAACAATATCGACTTTGGGCACTTGCGTTTCAAAGGGGAAAGGGGGAACAGCGGATCAGGAAGATGAGAACAATGGAATGGCGCACATATCATACACAACTCCTATTCTCATGCTCCTCCAGTAGACCTGTTGGCATCAGCGATGAGCTGAGGTCAATGTCCGTCGTTTGATGTAGCAAACAACTGGAGAGCGCTTCAGCCACGCATGCTACGAGACGATGATGAGATATGGATACGAATTGGGCAACTCAAGCCGACCACCCTGGATCCTGATGAGGCACGATAGAAGAAGCGTGAACAAGCACGGCATCTTCGAGTTATCAAGTACACAATCAATAGATTGGTTGGAATCTGCTGCTTTTCCTCGGGAACGGCTCAAGGCTGGCTAGGCTTTTTGTTCATAGAAATCGGAATCGATGCCTTATACTTTGGATGCAACAGAGCTATTCATCGCATGAATGAGTTGAAAAAAAACATTAAAAATACTTCTTAGCCACGCACAGTCTGCACTGCAACGCTTCCGCCCTTACAGTCCTGCAAGAATCCCTTCAAGCAAATGCGCATACCCGTGCATCTTGATGACAATATAGTCGAATGAATACTCTGCGTTCTATCCAGCTAGCCACGCTGTCCATACACCTGCCCTTCGCCTTCTTGCGTTGCGGCAACCACTGCACCCTCCCGCCCTCCCGATGTTTGCTGGACCCCTGAGCCGAACGCCAAGCCCAAACAGAGCGCGTCGGCTGGGTGACGCGCCCACGATCAAAAAGCCCGCTTCTTCTCCTCCAACTCTCTTCTTCTTTTGATCTTCAGTTAGTGTGTCTGTTCAACGGTACAGCAGCACTGCAGCAGATCTGTCCGCCCAGGGCCTTTGGGCCCACCCATGGTCGGCATAGGTCTATTCTTTGTACCAAGAGTAATGGGGCCAAGCTCTCGCATTGTTGATATCTCTTCAATAGCTTTTGACTCGTGAGAGCGGGCCCAACAACCCTTCAGATAGACTGACACTTTGCAATGCAGATCTTCACCAAACCACCTTCTTCACACGCCGTCATCTTCCTCCCCGCCCACATCTTCCTCCTCGCCGACATCTTCCTCCCCGCCGACATTTCCCTCCTCGCCGACATGTTCCTCCTCGCCGACATGTCCCTCCCCGCCGACATGTCCCTCCCGCCGTCTCCTTCAAAGACACGCTTCGCAACAACGACGGTGCAACTGTTCCCATCTGGCCGAGCCACTGCGCTCCCTTCAATGACCAGCATGATTGAACTTTCACCAAGATCAACGGGCCTTGCCCTCTGAACGTCGAGGTCGCTTCTATGGCCTTCGACGTGCGAACACTATGCCGACAACCTTTCAGATAGACTGACACCCTGCAATGCAGCTTTTCCCCAACCGAAACTCCTCACACGCTCACATCAGCTTCGCCACATCGTCGCCCGAATAGCAAAATTTCGCAGCAGATTCAACGGTGCAACAATCGTCGTCTGGCCGAGCTTTCCAGCTCTTCTTCGTGGCTAGTTGACTTTGCACGACACCAAGATCGATGGGTGTTGCTTCTGCATTGTTGAAGTCTTCGTGGCTTTCGACAATGCGAGCATGCCCGACAACCTCGAGGGAAACAGCTTGGCGGCGATTGGCCGTCTCCACCATCGTCTGCACGTTCTGTCGCCCTGCAAACGAGGTAAATTACGGTGCGACAGGAGACCCATCCGGCTGAGCTTTCGGGCTCCTCTACGTGGCCGGTATGGATTCACGTTGCACCAAGATCAAAGGACTTACATTAAACTGTCGAAGCTTTCTCAATGCTGTTGGCCGTCCAACTAAAGTCCAATAAACGTTTCAAAAAGGCAGGCTCGTTGTATCGATTGTACCTGGCGCTGATTTGTTGGCCTCTCTGCTTTTCCTGCACATCGCCCGCCGCCATGCTCTCCACTACTCAATGCAGGCGCTTCAACACTTCAGCTAGATCAGCACCTTAGATAGATCGATCAATTTGACAGTGCTTCTTCGTTGGCCGTGAAATCTTCTCCTTCCCCTGAATCAAATCGTTGCCATGCTCGTTCTCCAAAGACGGCAGCTCCAAACGCTGTAAAACATCACCCCTCGTGTTGGGCATAAAGAATGACGACATCGTGGTGCAAGAATAATTGATGCACCGCTAAAGAGAAAAAAATAGGCAACGAAACGTCCGCTCGCTGCGGCTAGCAATCACCTCATGAATGACTACGTTGGACAGGCTGTACAAAATCTCACATAGATCAATAGTTGCGGTTTCAGAAGTCGCCCCTTGGGCCGCTCAAGCATTGGCGTAAGATGAAACGATATCTCGACCCCGAACCTCCGATTGGGGTCGGAATGCGCACGGATAAGGTCTCATACTTGCCTTATTGCCTTCCATGTCAAAGCAGCCACTCAACATTACGAAGGCGTTTGCGAGATGGTGGAGAAGGAGTAGTTTTAGGTGAAGAAAGGATTGTTTCTCTTTTGCCGTTGATTGATGCGCTCTGCCTACATAGCCTGTCCAAACAGGACACGATCGATTCAAAGAGAAATTCCACACCAACGGGGAAACGAAAAAAAAAAATTCTCCGCGTTTCGAACGCGCGCCCTCAGGGTCTTGATTCTGAATCTGTGAAGCTGTTAGCCAATCTGTTCTGTGACCACCGTACCATACCCTGAAGCGCGGTAACCTCAAGGCATGGCTTAGGATTGGAGGATACTTTTTTCACTCACCCTATAGGCCCTCATTCTTGCAACAACCCAGGCCACTTGCGGGGTTGTGCGCTGCAATACTCATACTGGCGTGCGCCTCAGGCACGCACTGGCGAGATGTTTAAACCCGCCTTTTGAGCTTCAACTTCGTCTTCCTTCCTCGCATGAAGCGAACTCACTTTGCACCCCTTGCGGGTGCTGGCATCATAGTTATGTGTCCGTCTTATTCTTCATCGTGATCCTGACGATCTTCATTGGTACCTAGATTAACTTGTACACCGCTGTGGCTCCCTACCCAGTCTTTTCCCATGACTTGAGGCGGATGGCGCAATTTGGTGGCCTACATTTCTCTATATAGCTGCGTCGTGTGTGTGTAAACGTAATGCAATCGTATGTCATGTCCATCCTGCTGTTGATCTCATCCGTTGTGTCTTCCGACACCATGGTTTTCGTCCTCGTCCTCGTCGCGTTTCACCTTGGTGTTCGTGCGTCCAAATCGCGCCCGTGGCTCGCCTAGACATTCCGACGACGCACGTGTACGCTGCCCATTGTCAGGACGCCTTCAAAGATCTTGGTCCGCAGGCCTGTATCGGAATGTCATGCACTCGCTCCCCAAGGCGGGCCATCGCCATACGTGTCGTCGAGGCAGCAGCTCCAGCCTGGGCGAAGAGGCATGGATGGAGGCGGCGTTTGACACAACCATAAGCTCGAGGAGAGTACTATAAATCACAACACGGAGACTTAACTGTGGAAGCGATAGCTGACATTCTCATAGCATCGCTCGGCAGCGACCCCCTGACGAGTAGCCTACCCAAGCATCAAAGACCCAAACACCGCCTCATCACCCGGCCCAGCACCCTCGCCGCCGTAGCAGGACGATCGAGATCAAGTCTTGCCTCGAAACTTGCCTACCATAGCAGCCACCTCCTTCTCGACATGTGGGTTTCTATTCTTCAGCCTCTCACAGAATGCTAGAGATCGGCAGTTGATCAGCAACAGTTTGGATATCTGTTCCTGCCAGGACCCGCCCTGAAGTTGAAAAAGAGACGGAACAAACGTTGAATCAGTACCAACACGGACAAAGACCTGGACTACTTTCGGCTTTGGCAGTGGCCCAGGCGGCATGCGCCATACTGCGGAGTGACGAGCCTTGCCGATCCTCACCAGGAGCTGTCTTGCCGGCGAGGTACAGCTTTCTTCGATACGATATCCTCCAGAGATCTTCGCTGGCGATGTGACTGAGTACAAGAGAGAGGCTTGGGGTCCGATGAAAGACTTAGGGTAGATCGCTGCAGTCAGATTTGGTCTGGCAGTCGATCATGTTGGAGCAGGCAAGCACTGCCGGGCAAGAGCGAGACAATATCTCAAGGCCACTCTGATACAAGTGGTATCGTATACAAGAATGAACCCCGTTTATGATTGCTCTGATGAGCAACGCATTGCCCCGAATCCGATTTCAAGACTTCTATGCTCCGAGGGCTGCATCGAATTGTGCCGATCCAGCGATGGTGAAGGTTGCAATGATCGTGGAGGGGTTCTGGGAAGTTCAGGTAGGATATTTGGATTGTCTGATAGGCGGTGTGACCAGGAAGATGCGGAACCGGCATACCTTCGAGGAGAAGACCCATGCACCAAAGACAGACGGATGCATACCTCAATCCAGATCAGCGTGTCAAGAAGATCGAAAGATGGTCCATTTGATCAGACCAGCATAGATAAGGAGTGAAGACTCCCGAGAAAAGAGCCTTAGATATCTGCTGGACGGATTCGTATCTCGGTATAGATCTGTCGGTCAGATCGATGAGTGATCGGTGAGATTCGTCCGGTCGAGACCGTCACAAAGCTGCGGGCTAAAGGTTAGTCAACACGGGATAGAAGGTGTCGTATCTTGATATCCATCCGGCAATCGTACACATGCACCAACGAACTCGTGGCGCCGTGGGATGGAGGTCAGCGGAGAATGTGACGGAAAGGTAAGGTATGAGAGACGACACATACTCATCCGCTGAACGATCATATATCTCGGTAGATATGAGACTGTCAAGGAGGTGGAGAAAAGTTCAATGACTGCGTCTGATGTGGTCTGTGGGGAAAAGCGCCAAGCGATTGCTGTCGACATCCATGAGGGAATGACTATTCACCAACCGGATCGAGTTACATCTCGGTCTGGGTCTGACTGTCAAACAGAGGGATGGATGATATGGTGCCTCCGTCTGAGGTAGAGAGTGAGAGATTGTTGCGGGAATGCATGAAAAGAGAATGTGAAGTCGGCAGGAGAGAAGAGCCACCCACAGGCGGCAGAAATGCGTGATGGCATTTGACAAGAAAACATATTCAGCACTTCCAGTGCTCCCGGCGCCCACAGTCTCCTCACTCCTCATCCTCATCCTCCACCTCCTCCGCCACGGCCTCCAGCCTCTCCTTCAACTCCCCCACGCGACTCAACTTCCCCTTGAGGTACTGCCTCACCAGCGCCAGCAGCTCCTCGTCCCCATCCACTTGGCAGAGAAAGTCCACCTTCCTCATGGTCTTGGCCGCAAGGCCATCCTCGTTGGCGACCGCGTCGACTGCGGCCGTCAACACACGCTCCACCACCAGGTTGGTGGTGGGGGTGACGAGGGAGGCGGCCTCGCCGAGTAACTCGGGCTTGCCCTCGCGCAGGAGGAGAAGAATCTCTTCGGCGGTGGTGGTGGTGGTGGCTGGTGCCATTTCTGCGGTGAGGGGCCAGATGGGGGCGCTAGTGGTGTGGTGGTGATGGTGCGGTGGTGGTGCGGTTGGTGATTGTGAGGTTTGTGTTGATTGTGTGAGCTGTTCTTGCCTATTGGCTTGTGATGTGATGATTGTGCGCTGGAGTTGAGGTTGCGTTTGAGTTGGTGAAATTGTAAGAGCGCTGTTGCTGGAGGAAATTGGGCTCGCGTGGAAGTGGGCTTGCGGCAGAATTCTGCCGCACTTCATGCCCACACCAAAGGCGGTGAAGGCACTCATCCATCTGAGATTGATCAAAACATCCCTAGATCTCTACAAGATACCATCATATCTATATCTATATTGATGCCACAATCGGTCCAAAATCTGTGGAGATCGGGATAAGATCTGACATTCAGCCTGCGCTCACGTACTCCACATGCAGGGCAACCATACGAGCACCTGTCATACCCTACACTCGCCTCTATGCCTTCTACATAGCGCATAGCTAACATTACAACACAGAGATAGTATACGGGCCGAGTCTTGAATTTTCGTCAATGGGAATATTCACCTACATGTGTCCCACATGTTTCTTCGCGCTAGGGAAAGCTTGTTTCTCTTCCTCTCGCTTGAAGCGGACTCTGGACTTCAAATCTTACAACAAGCCCATCATCACGCTTCTGCACATCCAAATTTCTCACGCAAGCCTCGACCACTATTTCCATCCGGTATTGATCCTCCATGCGAAATTTCGACTTGCGCTTTGCTAATATTGAGTGTACAAGCACCTGAGATCGAGGCGCCGCAATGCCACCAGTGTTGGTCATGGACGCCACCACCGCCCTCACCATCTACGGTTTCTTGATGCGAATGCTGCGCGACCTGACACCGGAGGTGTTGAAGATGGTATTTGAAGCGTTTGTACGCAGCTTTGGCAACAACGGCATTCGCATCCAACCCGATATGCAGCGTGCCAACGCAGCCGTCGCTGGACCAGACTTCGTGAGGCAGCAGAATGGGCAGACTGTTCTCTACTACAACAAACAGCGGTACTGGATGCATCCAGCCCTTGACGTTGTACACGTTCTAGCAGCCTCTCTCAACGTACCCCTGAACTCCGCGCTCTCGCACCCCTCCGGTCGTTTGAAGCCCAATAGACGCAATATATTGTGCAGATTCTTCTGCTACATGACTTGGGCGGCCATCACGAACACGAGCGTCACGTACATCCTACCGACCGTCCATCGATTGACCGCCCCGCCATCTCCCAATCGACTGCACAGGCTTGTGTGGGTGAACATCTTGATCCACAAGTCGTACTACGATCATTTCTCCAGCCAACGTGCGCAGACCGAGCTGCATTGGCTCGAAAACAATACTCAAGGGCTGGCGAACCATGCGCCGACGTTGAGGCATCTGAGAGTGCGCATCGAAGACAAGAACACTCTCGAGGACCAACAGCGCCGGCTTGTCAGAAACGGCCAGCCGATTTCGATCAACGAGGAGATCATGATCGTCTTTTGCGGTATGAGCATTCTCAAAGGCAAGCAAAGTCTTAGTGCGAGGTACCTGTTCCCAAACTCTGATGAGATGGAAAAGGAACGTGCAGACCTAGAGGGCATTGCGGAGGGAACTGGTCGGAAACAAGTTGATGGAACGAAGGTGGGAGTGCGGCATGGTGAGGAAAAGCAGGGCTTCGTGGAAGTAACATTGAAATGATCGTTGGGTACGGGAGACAATCGCCAGACATCGCGGAAGGGTAGCGTAGCAGATGTGTGTTCACCGTTCTTGCACGCACACTATCTACCACCCGTCAGATTCTTCTGGAAGCAGTTGGTGAGTCAGAGACGAGAATGCCGTATTGTGTTTATTCACTTGCGTTCCAATTCACGTTGTCATTGTCAGGCATTCACTCAACCTCCCCTATTGCGCCGAGAGAAAGCCATTGTCACAGAATCTTAATCTCCTTCTTTCTCGACAATTCTTCTCTTTTCTCCGTTAAATATACAGATTCCAAGCCAACGACAAGCTGTACCAGCCTTCTGTCAAGAACAGAGATCAAATCAATGTGAGTATACCCATCATATACACCAAACTGTAGCCCTTGAAGAGGCTGACTAGCTCCGCAGCAAAGAAAACCCTAATATCGCCCACAATGGCCGACAAGCGCGATACCGCAAAAGATTCCTAGAAACTCCCAACCGACCGTGCCGTCGACAAGGTCCGTAGCTCGTGGGCCGCCGTCAAAGCGCTGGCGAAGAAGGCCAAGAACCACTGGCAGATGAGGCCAGGGGAGTCTCGCCGGGACTCACAGCTCCCAGCTGACAATCGTAAGTGCCTTCACCTCCCGTCTAATCCCCCAAACTCCTACAAGATCTTGCCAATGAGTACTGTACTGATACCTATGTGCAGCACACGAGAACTGGGATGGAACCGATCCTGAAGTGTCGCTGGAGGACGTGAGGCAGGGATGCCCGAGCCCGAAGGATGAAGAAGGAGAGCAGGGCAAGAAGGCCTCTTGAACATTTGGCATGGTATCCCCTGTATTCATTCTGATACCTTCAACATGAGACAGTTGCCGTTAGCTTGGAAAGCATCGCTGCAATGGGGAAACTCGACTTTTTGCAGATACCAGATTTGCATTCAGCCTCGCCTCAGCTCGCTTGGACAGCCATTCTTTGCATTGACTGGGGGTCCCTGCCGTTGAAATCATGCGGAGCCGATATACTCCCGCCCAGCAATATCTTCAGAGGCAAATATCGAGCCAGAGCAAGACGCTCAGAAGGTAGCTCTGAGTCGTGGGCTTGCACGTTCACCATTCGCAATAGGCTTCAGCATCGTTGTAGATTCCACATTGATTTGCAGCGATGGCAGTTCAAGCAGTTCGTACTGACGTTGTCCTTGCTCATCCACATCTTTGTTCGCTGAATCTCCATCCCGCCTTTGTCAACTCAGCTATCGCTCTCTTGACCCGTCCAATGCACTCCTCCACAAGACCACCAGATCATACATATGACAGCAGCTTCTGTGTTCTGGACGTCCGTTATACGAGCTGACAGCTCAAGGTCATTGCGTGTGGCAGCCACCGCCCAGTCCAGGGATTGTAGAAGTTCCAGCTCCAGAAGGTTGTCCAAGTACTTGCTTCACACTCAGTATGGTGCTCCTCACAGCCAAAGCTGGAGGTTGTGAGGGGTCGCTCCGGCTCTGCACTGGTGTTCAGGAAGTGCGCACATCTCAAGAAGACTCCTCGTTGCGAGATTCTCCGCTGCAGGTCCTGCTGTCTGTCGCCGATCTATAGCTACCACCACTCTCCTCGGCCGCACGCTCCATGTATCCCACAAGTCGACTCGCAGCTGGACCGCCCGCGGACCTGTGGCCGCTGTGAGACTGCTGACGACCCTGATGTTGAGAGTGGTGGCCTGGCCGCTGTGGCGAATGGTCTGGGCTTCTGCTGTCTCCCCGCGTAGGACCAGGCATTACCTCCTGGAGGTCGATTGCTCCGTTGGTTTGCAGGTGATGGAGCGGCGTGCTCGCAACAATTCTCCTGAGGACTTTTCATCTGTAACTCTAGTATCCCCGGACTCAGCGAGCGTCTCAGATGCCGATCGAAACAGCTTCGTGAATTGGTCGCTCTCGAACCGCTCTGAGGCAGCCGCCGGCGAAGACGCTGGATATGTTGCATTCGCCATCGCTCCATCCCGTCCAAATCCGTTGATACCAGTCGTCTGATCTTTCCTCGTCTTTGATGTGGCATGCCCAACTCCACTGGTGCTACTCTTGTTGCTGCTCCTCCTCTTCGAAGTCATCTTGCCCAACGCCACCGCTCATTCTTCTTTCTTTATGCCTCCTCTTTAAAATCGTTTTGCCCGACTGTCAGCCTGCTAGTTCTGATGCCCATGGCGCTCCTCCTCTTCGGCGCCTCACTGTCCAATGCTCCGATGCTCCTGCGCTTGCCACTCCGCGTCTTCGATGCCGCCTTGCCCAATGCTGCAAACGCTGCTTCGTTCAATGATCTTCTTCGATATTGTGAGGGTTTTGCAACGAGGTGCACGGGCGAAGATGCGCCTTGATGGTCGTGTCTGCCGTCGGCATGCGGTTCGATCGGTGTATCTTGTGATTGCATTCGGTTGCCTTTGTCAGGCTCTCTTGCCTGTGCTGCATTTCGACCATCGTCTGATCATAGAGTTGTCAACTTCTGCTTCATGATGTCTACTGCACCCGTCGCACAGCAAGTCGTAGTGAGGGACCTTTCGCCGTGCGATGCCGGCGACTGATTTTGGACTGCGTTTCGAAAAGGAGTTTGTCAACGAGCTCAACTGAGGGTATGGATCTTGATCATCGCTTTGGTATTAACGATGTTTCAGTTCGAGAACAGTTGCAGATCTCGCAATTCTGACCGCCGGAAAGACGTCTTCGTGACGCGTCGAGGTTTGAGGAGAGATACCATCTGCACCCCTTCGAATAGCTGCCACTACATTTTCCTGGGAAACAAGAACATCAGCGCCTCTCACGATGGGGTCGAACAGTCTATCATAACTGTTCGAGTTCGAACTTGAGTTGATTTGCGCCAGCCAGTTATTGATTTTGTGGTGGACGAGAACTTCAAGGGCGGGGCCAGCAATCAAACTAAACTTTCAAATCAAGTTTTCAATCCAAGTTTAGGCAGAATCAAGAAGATGGCAGTCAGAGAACAGAGGAATTCTTCTTCACAGCCAAGCAAATAAATGCTTGAAGATGATGAAAAAAAAAGATAGAGCCAACGAAATTGCTGCCAATCAGCCAATGGCAAGATGAATGATGCGGCTCTTGAGGCCCTGTGAAATGTTAGTGGTGACGCTTCTGCAAAAAGGTGACATAGGAGAATCCGGAGGTGCTCGACAGCAGCAGCGAGCAGGAGCAGCAGCGAGCAGAGCAGAGCAGAGCAGATCTGCCACAAAAAATGTCAGCGAACAAAGGAGGTTGGGGAAGGGAAGGGGAAGGGGAATGAGGCAGTCTTGGTTCACCCTTTCGGGCTACTAACACCGCACACCACGAGAAGGTGCTGCCTCAGCGTGCGGCACCTACACATGTTAGCAAACGGGGGGCGCTGCAGCAGCAGCGAGCAGCAGCGAGCAGAGCGGAGCGGAGCAGAATCTACGGAGAAGTCACGTTAGCGTGCAGCATCACTTGTTATGGTGGGTGGATGAGGGGAACTTAGCTGTGAGGCAGTCTTGGTTTCACCCGCAGGCTACTAAACACCGCACACCACGAGAAGGTGCTGCCTGTCGTGCGGCACCTACACATGTCAGTATCCAGGGGCGCGGCAGCAGCAGCGAGCAGAGCAGAGCAGAATCTACGGAGAAGTCACGTTAGTGTGCAGCATCATTTGTCATGGTGAGTGGATGGGGGCAACTTAGCTGGTCGATGTGGGTTGGTGGTTGACGGTCGGCTGTAGGAGGTGGAGGTGAAGGTGATGAGGTGATGAGGTGGTGAGGTGATGGGTGAGGAGGTGATGGGTGAGGAGGTGATGGATGATGGATGACGGATGATGGATGATGGATGATGGATGAGGTTGAAGTTGAAGTTGGTTCGTGGTGGTGGTGTGATTGTAAAGAAGATGGAGCAAGTGGAAAAATCGAAGCTTATAAAGGGTAAGCCCCAGAACTACGGCGGGCGTTCTGAGCACTACAGCTGTGCAATAAGGTCCGGTGACGGCGAGGTGAGGTCATGGGGGTGAAGGCGGGGGCAGGAGAGGGCAGCGAGGGGTCTCGGGGGTGCGGGGGTTGAGTACTGGGTGCTGGGAGGACGAGCAGAAGGCACGAAGACGATATTTACTTCACCGTACGACAGTTCATATTGCTATTTCACGAACCAAGTCTCTTTCTTAGTCCTCAACACGCGACGTGCTATATAGAGTCGATCTGGCAACAATCCATCCACCATTGCAAGCGGCGGCGAGAGGCCATTGAGTCCTGATGAAGTCCATGCGCCCTCACGGGCCCTACTATACAAAACTCTTTGAGCGTTGCTGATACCGTATGTGGCAGATCGCGTTCTCGTTGATAGCAACACTGTCACATCCATAAGAAATCGCGACAAGGGAATTACCCAAGTCACGCAACGCTCCGACTGACGACACCACCTGGTCTTCCTCCTCCTCCTCTGGTCTTCCTCCTCACCCACTCAAACCAGCGTGTCGCGCCACCAGCTATACGCGTCTTCTGTATAAGCCCCTTTCAGCAGGACGTGCCTGAGCCTGGGAGCGGCGACATCATCTAGCGATGGATGAAAGACGGCAGAATCTTCGTCAGAGCTCGGCACGACAATGCACAATAACGACCGTCAACAACAACAGGACTATACAACCCTTCAGACGCTGATGGCAGTCAGTCAGTCCATATCCGCCACCGTTCGACCCAAGCCAAACCAAGGGAGCAAAGTCACTGCAACGGCTACTATGACTCCTCAGACGACGCGTCTCAACTCCTGAAAATGACAAAACAAGGCCCTGCCCTTTGTAAAAGGAGAGTACGAACGAAGAAAAGAGCTTGGAAATATGCGGCAAGAGCGACCAGCAAACACCTTCTGCACCTTCCGCCGGCATCTTTGTCGGGGTTCTGCCATCAATGAACTTCTTCGACCATACACCAGCAACGGCAGCATCCCAGCCTGAGACAGCTCTCAACAGAGGCCAATAGCGGCACGATCTTGCAAAGGTTCGCAAGATGTTTGCTCGCTGAGGGAAGCTGGTGTAGCAGGTCGAACACACTGCAGGCCATCGAGATAGCTTCTGGGGCTGAGGAACCAAAACGACCAGTTCACAGCGCTCGATGCATCAGGTCAAGGGCGACGTTATATTGGGTGTCTCAGGGACGTCCGAAATAGGACGAGCAAGTCAGCACAAGCATCTGGCAGCTTACCTGAGCCCCAAGATCAAGACCAAGCAAAGCACCCCCATTGCTCCTGAGCAGTTACAAGACATACATCCAAGACCGCAGGCCAGCAACGTCTGGCAACTGAAGGGGTCTGGCGAGACCTTCACGTCAGAGCGCCAGCCAACAGATGGCAAGCAACCCCATACCTCTACATGATTTCAGCAGGAGACAACGTCGAGACTGTTCTGGACGAGAACGCTCGTGCCCATGCCGCCATAAATCTCGACCATGGAGCAGCCTCATCCGCCAGACAACCCTTCCTTTCGACGAGCACAGCACCACTCGCCGCAACTGCAACAATTGATGCCACATCCGAGTCTTGACGACGGGATACAAGAGGAGGTGCATGGAGGGGCTAACAAGATGCGATGTACATCAAGACAACACAAAACACTGGGCTGGAGCCACAGAGTAAGATGGGCCTGGAAGACCGAGGAAGAGACGCCATGCCAGGCTATGAGCAGGGATTGGTTTGGTCGATAAAGGACAAACATTTGGCGAAGCAGGAAGAGATTTGTGGTTTGGTCAACATCAGGAAAGTAGGATTACGACAAGAAGCTCAGATCTGTCGTTGTATAGTTCTCGTATCCTTGCTCAGCTGCCTGAGCTGAGTCATAGAATTTCCGAACAGCCTGCAAGCATTGAGCGTAGCCAATCTTTGATTCAGGACCTGCATACCGAGATAATATACGGTCACTTGTAGTTGGAAGAATGGATAAATTGGTTCAAAGGAACGAGTTGAATCAGAATAACGAAGTGAAGAGAAACTGTGAGTCTTCTCTATCAATCTCCATGGCTCCCTTGCTTCCCTGCCATATCGGCATGAACAAGCTCAGACACCATGGACTCAGTACCCGGGGCTGACAGCAACATCTCAGCTCCCAATATCCATTGTCCTCATCGTGTGCTTTGCCTCCGCTCCGTACTTCTGCCACATTTTAACCTGCTCCTCCTTCCAGAGTCCATCCTTTCCCAGATTCTACCTGTTCACAGCATCGAGTCTCTGAGAAACGGCTTTCTGCTGCTACTCACGGTCAGTTACTATGCTTTGAAAGGTATCACATCGCTCGTGCGCACCTTATGGCTGCCCAATCGAAAGATCTTGAGTGAAGAGAGCCGACCGCAACGCCCAAATGACCGTGTCGTCGAGTAGCTTCTTGAACCACACATTCTTGCAGATGACAGCCTCGACAAGGACGCGACGCCGTCCCATAGTCTCGCGCAAGCCGAGACGTCGAGCTCTGCCGCGAGAGCGGGTGTGCAGCAGTGAGATGGTGTTTGCCCAATCCGTCTTGTTGTTGAGCTTCGCCATGTTCTCCACCTCACGCAGGACCAGCATGAGACGCGCCTTAGCTGGGATTGCGAGTGAGACGGTCACGCCAGCCGCTGCTCTCTCCAAGAGGTCTTTGACGCCGGCGACGTCTTCTTCGTGCCTGTCGGCCCAGTCGTGTCTCTCCTTGTAGAGAGCACGGTCCTGGGGGTGACGTTGACCATGGCGGTGATTGCTGGTGAAAGCTGGCTTGAGGGAGGTGGAGTGTGTGTAGACGAATGTGTGATGCTGGTTGCGATCTTTCTGAGTGATGTAGTTCCCGAATTTTAGATCTGTGGGCTTGCTTGGCTACACGGGAGCGGCCTGCTGTGAATGTTTGAGATGAGTACGTCCTCTCCGAGTTTCCCGTCCAATTCAGACCTAGTCGTCGGCCAGTGCGATCATACAGCGGGTATACAAGGGCTTGTCCAACAGGGCCAGAGACCGCTTCCAAATGTTATTCTCATTGAGTGCTCGCAGGCTTCGACTTTGGAGATCTATCTTCGTTGGTAGAACGATATGTGTGCAGCCGTTCTGGGATGGCTCCAAAACTTGAGCGGTCGTGCCCAGCGTTTCATCTTGCGTTGAAGATCCAAGACTCTTCCTTTATTACTCTTTTTCGTATCTGTCATCTTCCTCGGGGTGCTTTGATTTCTGATGTGTGGGCATGGGCAGGCGTTGGCAGCTCCTGATCATCATTATTAGCCCACAACCTGCTCTCGCTCTGAGATGTAGCCTCGTTACGCCTTGGTCCAGACTACGTTGAATCGTAGATGATTTGATCTTGCCCAGTCAATAACATATCAGGCGTGCCATCGTTCGTTGACGAGAGCGAGCTTTCACGTTCCTTCCTCGTTGAGCGTGGCGCTAGCCAAGCCGCTAAAGTTCCTGCGCGGCTTGCAAAATTGTTGATGCTGCCTCAAGCCTTTCCTCGCCATCCATCATCCAACATCAACAACATCTCGTTTGTTCATCACCTCCTGCGGAATCAACCCAGCGCCTTGGACACACTTCCGCTTCGCACGCTGCTGGGTCGGTACTGCAACATGGTAATTTTGATAACGTCGCCTCCACACAGAGTCCAGGATGCTAATGCGACGAGCAGACACAACCACCACTCGGCGGCTACTGGAATCGACAAGTAGCTGTGCCAGCAAGTTACCAGCAACCCAAACTTGCCATCAAAATCAAAAGGTACGGAAGTACACGGTGGAGACAGGACAGGGCGACACACTCCTATCCCTGCGTGTTCAGCTCTTTCGCGATTACGTGGGTTGTGGGAGTACTCGCTCAGCGTTACCTGTCAGCACCTGAGAGCGTCCGATGACGGTCAATGAGCCTGGCGCGGCAGTAATTTCTTCGGATTTTGCTGACCGTGCGAAAAATCAATGCAGGTACCTTGCACCTTGAGCTTGACGATGACATGGCCACGACCGCCCGAGGCCGCGACTACAGACACTTTTACGGCTACTACGATACCTGGCATAGGCACTTCGACACCGAGTGTTTTCGACAGCGTTCTGCACAGGGAAGTTGGATTGCAAGAGATATAGGGTATGGGAGCATGTTCGGCCAAGTGCGATGATGCTTGATCGAAGTGGGAGAGATGTAGCACTTTTGGAACGATCATGTATTCATCCCCCAGAGCTCCTGTTCATGTTTTAATGATCCTGCCTGAGATATGACATGATACCGTCAAACGATGGGCAATGGTCTCTGCAGTTGATTGAAGCAGTTTGCTCTGTTGAGTGGGATGCTGTTATCTTGAACATGCCCAACGACCTCCCTCCATACCTATCACGGCCCTGGCACACTGAAAGCCCCCGAATGCTCGCCATCAACAGGACTCTCGTCACCGCAGAGGCCCATGCCACCCAAGAACCGTACCAGCTCGCTTATCATCGACAAGTCAACGCTCTTGCCTCACCGCCTTGGAGATGAACTGGACGTTGTCAGTGACCTTGTCCCAAGCCCCACGCGCAAGCTGTGCAATCCACCTCGACCATGTCGAAGTCTTCTTCTTGCGCAGAGCTCTAATCTTCGCCTCACGCGCCTCGGCATTTCTCTCTCCCCTGCTCTGCTCGCGGTCTACGGCTCGCCTCTCTATACGATTTCCGACTCGACGTATGTCTGCGCCGCGATTGATCTTCTTCCAGGAAAATTCCATCTCCGTTTGCATCTTGGCCTTGCAGTTGTTGTGGGCTTGAACTTGGTTGGTTTTGTGGTTGTTTAGCGCTTGCGATTGATTTTCGGATGGGCCGTGGGTTGTGGGCTTTGATGATTGGTAAGGTGAGTTCTTGGGTGAGTGGTGAAGTGCTGAGGTGTGGAAGAAGCGGTGGCAAACCTCCAGCACATGTCCTTTCAATCAGCGGGCCTCAAAGGCTAACAAACATGTTCAGGCTTCTTCGATCCCGCCTGCTTTCCGCCAATCCACGCAACAGACCACAACAACAGAGTATCTTCTACGACTTTCGGGCGGAAATACAATCGAGAAAAACATAGGAACTCAACTCCAGCTGCAGGTCACTACCACATCTGGGCTTGAGAGTGGGCGCCCGTAAGTACAGAGAGCAGACCGACATCGACTGCGTTGGTATCGTGCCATTGTCAAGTCCTGGCAAGCATCACATAATCATCACCTGCGCTCAGTTCCGATCTATACTTCATCCTTCTCGATACGCTCCGCTACCTCATTCTCCTTCGAGGCAGCACCGGGCCGTGAGCAAATGAGAGGTTGCAGCCTGAGCGCAGATCAGAGAGCCACGGAGAGCTTCATCAATCAGGGTAGAAAGAGATGCTGCGCTGCGCTGTCAAGGTTTCAACATCATGAAGGCCGTATGGCGGTGGTCCAGCGCAAAAGGAGGCTTCACGCCTGACTGTATCCACAATCGGCCCGCCGGATCTTCTGACGATCGAATGGCCTCCAGATCTCGAACAGCGCTTCTCAGACGCTTTCAAAGATCTCTGTTGTCTTGGCCAACTAACAAAGTCTGCGCCTGTCGCTCGTCCTACACACATCTTTCATCAACGGCGAGCCTCGCCTCAAGAGAAAACGCAACTGCTGAGCGGGGCTTCGAGAAGTGGAGATGGAGACAACGAGGACAGCAAGGATGCAGACCGGGAAGTAGACCCAAGTCAATCATCAGTAGCCATGACTTCAACAAGATCATATGGACATCAAGAGCAAAGGGCAAATCTACCAGACACTTCTTGGTATTTCAGAGATCGAAGATGAGGCAGGAGAGCGTTTCCTTGGAGATGTGGAGGAATCTTGTGATGGATGGAGGCACTCTCTTCTCTGCCAGATGCCGTGCTCGGTCAATAGTAAGCAGCACAGTTGAATTGAGATCCCCTTCGTGGAAACGATCAGCTATTCTATCACAGCCTGGTCACAGCACCTTCTCGTCATCAACGTTCTTCCTCAGCTTGACTTCGACCATATGCAAACCTCTTCCTCTCACTCTGGTCAAGTAAAAGTTCAGTGATGTTGATGGCAGCCAAAGTGTAGTCAAGATAGGACGTCGAGAGTTCCGACGCTGTAGGACCGTAGCACTAGAGCGCAAAGCTTGTGTCAACCACAACAACAACGGAGGCTGAACTGCGGATCGATGGGATAGGAGCATGTTACCTTGTGACGATGAAGATGTTGCAATTGCCAAAGTCTGATTTCGCTATCACTATGCTTCCGTGGTCCCAGTCCACTTCCCGTGCACCAGGCATGTAACAGAAAGACTCCAGCCCCTGCCCGAGGGCAAGAGACTGATGGCCCCCTCTTACGAGCCTGATAGTGGCCCCACCCATGACCTGTAAGTATACTCCCTCCTCTGCAGAGTCCACGTCATGGTACTCCAGGATCTCAGAATACCTGGCGGCTTCATCAGTCTCGAGAAGCGACTCCTGTCATTGTGTTATCGTGCTCATACATCATGATCTTCCAGGTATCAACCGGCACTGCTGCCCTCTCTTTCCAATCGCCGAGTCCACGTTATGGTAGTCCAGGATCTCCGAGTCTGTGTCTTGCTGTCAGTGCAAGCCTGAGTAGACGAGCTGGGCTCTGACGAAGCTTGTGGGGTATATTGAGATGCGGGAGAGGGTGAGCCAGTGGGCCGCACGAGGGGACGTGAGGAGATGAATGGAAGGTGGAGCATTTGGGTAGGGCATCTGAGAAAGAGTCAGCTCAGAGTCAGGACAGAGTCAGCCAGTTCAGAGGTGGATGCTTCGACGATGGGGTACGCAGCAGGTAAGGTGATGAGGAGGATGATATTGGGGATACGAACTCTCACACTTTGGATGAACGAAAGACGTTCTGCAAATGCATATCTTGAGCAGAGAAAGCCCAAAAGCTGGCAAGGACGTGGTGATCGCCGTCTTCGACGAACTCGTCTCGTTGGTGCCGTTGCTGTTATTGCTGGTGGCCTAGGCCAGTATGTGTTGTGATTGTGTGGGTTTGGCATTTTGAGTGTGTTGTTGTGGTGAGTTGGGAGAAGTTCACGAGGGAAGGGAAGAGAGCAGCGGAGCACAGCGTTCGACCGCAGCACGGCCATGCCACAACAATGCAAGAGGGAAGGATCACTTTGCAAAGACCATGATTGATCCCCAAGAATGCAGTAATGACCATGGCATGTAAGAGGCTACTGCATGCTCTCTCCAAGGTGGGAAATGGGAGAGACCCTAGGGAACTACGACCCCCTGAGTCGCTCGACTGTGAATGAACGCTGCCTCCCCTTCCCTTCACTCTGGCATTGACATCTGAAGATGAGATACTGCACATGTTCCTTCACTGCGCCATTCAATTGACTGTAGGCTACAATATCACTGTAGGTCGAAAGTGAAGTAAATTGGTGAGTCTTCGGTCTCGCTTCGGGGCCTCACATGCAGCGTTTGCACCCATCTATTTAAGCCGACCTTCTGCTCGTGATTCTTACAAACTCGCACGCACGATTAAAAACCAATTTTACCACACAAGTGCGCATAGCAACCTCTCTTCCTCTCCCTCTCTCTCGTGGCAACGCCACTCAATCAAACACAGTATGTTATATTCAACTGCACGTCCTTTCACTTGACTGACGCGACTTAGCACATCATCACAAGCACCACCACCACCACCACAACCACCACACGGCCACCATCCGCGCCGCCATCACCAGCAGCATGGACGCGTGGAGTTTGCTTGGCGCCGCGCAGCAAGAGCTCGCAGAGAAGAAGGAGGACAAGACGCGCCTCAACAACACCATCACGAGCCTCCAGAGCCAGGTCACAGGCCTGGGGCAGCAGAACGCGGTCCAAGAAGACCGCATCGAAAAGCTCGAGCACGACAACGTGCGCAAGGAGGGGGCCATCCAGGCCAAGCACGCGACGATGTGTGCGGCCGGGAACGCGTCGCTGGTCGCTCGCGACCATGTCACCGTCCTGGTGGAGGAGAATGAGCGCCTCAAGGGGGTGCTGGACGCTGAGCGCAAGGCTCACGAGGCCACCAAGACCCGTGAGGGCGAACTCGAGCTGGCCTTGCAGGCCGAGCTCGCCAAGAAGAAGGCGCCATGATGGGCGCACGTGCTGGATCCTTTGTCGGAGAGTGAGCGAGCGAGTGAGGGTCTTGGGCAGGCACAAGCCTGCATATGACAGGCAGCATTTTTTTTGTCAATGAAAACTCTGTTCGCGGCCAGTGAGGCCATCCGCTCGCATCTTGCGGTCACGTGCCATTCATTTCATTTCAGTTGCTCGTCCATTCTAGCTCACTTCTCTCATCCAACTCTCCAGTCCGAGTCCCATAACCAAGATGTGGCTCGAGTCTTCTATTGCTTGGTCGATGGAAAACGCCCGGAGATAGACGACATATTCGATATATGTCGTTTCGAAAGCAATGGCTTTCTGCTAGGGGATTTAGCATATTGCTTACACATGGATAGCTTTTATGCAGATACATGATTGGATCAGCACATTTCCTATGACAGGCAACCCGGAGAGTGACATCCGCCCGACCCCAGCGCATAGCAACCAAAAAGCTAACCCTCAGCAAGTCCGGGATCTCATTCCGGCCTAAAGTTCAGCTGGTCGGGAGCCGCGGGTTGCGTTCTCGTATCAGCGGAACAATGCCTAATTTACGGGATCTGCTACCCATGTCCAAGCTCGACAAAATCATAACCGGACAGGTGTCTACCAGGGTTTTTGTTCCGCCGTTCTGTGCTTCGAGCAGGGAATATTGCTAATCAAGACAGCTTTATTGCCTGGCTTCGCCGAGCTGAATCTATCCGGTGCAAGGAAGCTATAAACTTACGAGCTCTTGCTCACAAACCATCCGCTCGATATCCTGACCTGTGGGGACTTGGAGAAAGATCCAGAACACCATCGGCCTCAAGTTATATACCACTTCGCTCGACCAACTGTACCGCAAGGACCTGCCATCATCAAACGTCTTCCGACGCAAGAATTCAACAATGGCTCCCACCATCAAGCTCTACTACTTCCCAATGGCCTGCAGCCTGGCGCCCCACCTCATCCTCGAAGACTCCGGCCTCACCTACGAATCCGTCAAGCTCAACTTCCGCGACCCAGCCGCCAAAGAAGAGTACACCAAGACCGTCAACCTCAAAGGCCAGGTCCCAGCCCTCTCAATCGACGGCGAGGTCATCACAGAGATCCCCGCCATCCTCACCGCCATTTCGCAGCTGGCCCCCGAGAAGAAGTACACCGGCGACAGTCCCAAGGATGTGGTGCGTTTCTACGAGTGGATTGGGTATCTCGGCAGCGCGGTGCATGCGAAGGCTTTCGGAGCGGTGTTTGCGCCGTATAAGGTGACGGACGACAGCAGTGCGCAGGAAGGTGTCAAGGCCAAGGGCAAGGAGAACTCTCGTGCGGCGCTAGCTTTTATTGAGAAGAATCTGGCTGGGATCAAGACCAAGTTTGCTTTGGGCGACCATTTGACGGGCGTGGATGCTTATCTTGCGGTGTTTGTGAACTGGGCGAAATTCCATGAGACGTGGGATGAGAAGGCTTATCCTAGCTATAATGCGCTGTTTGGGAGAATCACGGAGTTGGATTCGTACAAGAGGGTGCTGCAGCACAATGCTTTGTGAGATTACCCTTTGAGATGGATGGCGAGAATGATTTCGATGCCGAGCGGAGCGCTATGAGGAAGTCCGCACTGCGGCTTAAAAGATGTACTTGTTCTCGTATGCAAAGACAGAATGGGAATCGTATTCAAACACACATCTCAATTTCTTACAACCTGCTCTGAATCAACTTCGGTGTGTCGGCCAGAGCGTACTCAACCACAGCCTTCTTGCTCATGACCTTCCTCGCCTCCTCCATCGTACATGTCTTCGCCGAAGTAGCTGGGTTGTACTTCCAGTTCGTGCCCTTGATGGCCTCCTCATCTGTCAACTTCTTGTTGTCTCGGCCGTCAGCACGCTTGTATACGTTGATGACTACGCATCCACCGAGACCCAAGTTGTGTTGCAGGGCAACCTTGGAGTCGACGTGTCGGTTGTTGGCCCAGCCACGGAGTTGCCAGGTGAGTTCAGCGCACTGGGAGAGGCCAGTTGCTCCGAGAGGGTGACCCTTGGAGATGAGACCGCCAGATGGGTTGATGATGGGGCCTTTGCCGCCGTAGGTAATGTCTCCACGGCGGACCATCTCGTGAGCCTTGCCCTTCTCCGAGAAGCCAAGGCCTTCGAGCAGAATAAGCTCGTTGGCGGAGAAGCAGTCATGGAGTTCGCACACATCGATGTCCTTGGCCGTTACGCCGGCCTCCTTGTAGGCCATGGCGGAGGCGTTGGCTGTCATGCCGTAGCCGACCAGGTCCATGGCAGACTTCGAGTATAGCGTAGTATCATCGGTCTGGAGTTGCTGGCCAGCCATGAGGATTGCTTGAGACTTAAGGTGTGGCTTTGAGTTGAGGAAGCGCTCTGAGACAATGACCGCTGCTCCGGAGCCATCGCTCGTCGGCGAACATTGCAGCTTGGTCAACGGAAAATGAATCATCGGTGCGTCGGCAATGTCCTTGTGACTGTATTCTTGTTGGAATTGAGCATATGGGTTCTTGGTAGAGTGTGCGTGGCTGACTCGGCCAATCTCTGCGAAGTCGTCTGCGGTGGCGCCGTACCTGTTTGTCAATGTTAGCGGCCGAGAGAGCGGTAGAGACTACACTCTTCCATACTTCTCCATATACTCTCTGCCAGCATTGGCAAAGTACTGCGCATTCTGTGGGCTATCATGCTTGCCAAACTGATCCTCCATCATCTTCGTCGCAAGTCCCATAGGAGCTGGTCGATCCGAGAATCCACCCTTGATGGGACCAGACTGCATCTGCTCAAAGCCAACGACCAAGATACAGTCTGCAGCGCCAGCTCGAATCATCGTCCTGGCCATATGTAGTCCAGTCGATCCAGTGGCACAGGCGTTGTTGGTGTTGTAGACAGGGATGCCCGTCATGCCGAACTGGTAAAATACTCGCTGGCCACTGCAAGTCGGTCCAAAGCAGAAACATGCCACGCCGAGTTCGACATCGTCGTATGTAATCTGAGCATCCAGCATAGCTTTCGCTCCGGCTTCGAACCCCATCTCGACATAGGACCGGGTCTGGCGGGGCTTAATGAACTTGGTGAGGCCGACGCCCAAAACGTAGGCATTCTGCTGGGGCTTCTTGATCTCCATTTTGTTGCTGTCTTTCCGGATTCTGTTGAATATTTCTGGATGAAACGAGTACTATTATGGTGGTGCTGAGTCGTCGGGAATGACAAGCCCCAAGAGTGAGACAGCTACATCAGGTGACCTCGGTAATACGTCCCCGCTTGAGGGAACAAGGTTTACGGCCGAGGTCAGGGAGGTGAAGGAAGCAAGGAGAGTAATCTGGCAGAGTGCACATGCGTGGAAATAAAAGCGAGCAGGATGTCTCTCAACGCTATCCGATGCGAAGGCCGCTGTGTGATGAAATGTTTGGGGAACGCACTCCTGTACAATGTCAGACTTCATGTACATTTGTCGACTGCATTGATACCACCGAGTACGCTGGACAGGAATTTGGAGAATATCTCTATTGTAGGGCAAGAGCTTTGGGGTTTCTACTTTCTTGGAACCATCCCCGGTATCGTCAAATAGTCCAAGGCTTCTTCTCTCCTTCTTGTCAACCTCAAGATCTTGCCATTGACTCTCCCTCCGCCAGCAACGTCCGCCAATCTCAAGACCCTTTCCGCAGAGTCATCCAGCAGCATCAATAGCCAAGTCCTCTCTTCTTCGTGCTCATCCATACGTACCAGGACTCAACGACACCACTGACGAACAGGCGGCCGCTTTCAGTCACGTCGAAGCAGAAAAGAACCGAATCGAGGTCTCTTGCTTTGACCGAAACCCCCAAGAGGGGCTCACAGCTTCGCGTGGGCCTCAACTCGGTCCTCCTCTGCGTCGACGTGATTGAAAACGGCCACCTGTTCGTCAGTGGTGTCGTTGAGCTCTGTACTACAGTCACCATCCGTCGGCTCCTTGGTACCCACACCGGCACATACAGCTTCCTAGAACGACCCGGCAATACGAGGTTGACGGCTCACGAAGTCGCTCTCCCTCTCTTCAACCCTTGGTAACGCCCTCCTCGAATTGTTGATGGTGTTGAAGCGAAGCCAAGAGGACAGTAGCTCTCATGAGGTCTGGCCGTGGAGGAGAACATCGTTGACGACGCGGTGGGCAGGCGCCAGTTGGCAATATGTGGAACGACTTCTGTTTTCGGGTTGAGTGGGCCGTCGGGTCAATGCTTGGATTTAGGTATTTGAATCACATCAGTGCGTTTGCTAGGTTGAGAAAGTCTGAGGTTTCTTACCATGATTGCGTGATGCAGTTCAAGCCTGAGCGTGCGTGCGGATGGCGGTGTTCGTTCCTTGACGATGAAGTGCTGGAGGGAGCGGACAGACTTGTGCTGATGTTGGTGATGATGTCCAGCTGGCACTACGCGTGAAGCAGGTGATGGATAACAGCGGCCTGGGTTGAAGTCAGCGCCCAATCTCGGCATTCAGGATACATAAGGCCAGGGACATACCAAGATATGCATTTGTCGTCGTCGGAGATGTGGGGCTTGTCGCGCCAGGTGTCGTGTGTGAAGTAGTGGTTGAACTCGTCTTGTTGGACTTTGAAGAGCCTTGGATCGGTAGGCAGCAGCTCTGCCAGACCGTGTGGAGATGGAGCCGTCGATGTCGGACATTTGAAGCTTGAAAGGGCGCTCAGCGCGCTCTTGGCCAGCGAGCTCGATGTTGGCGTGCTGCCGGATGTTGGAGAGGGTTGGCGTGTCCGCGCCGGAGTGGCTGGCCAAGGAGGGGGTTCGTGTTCCGGTCGACGTTCATGGATGATGGATGATGGAACAAGCCTGCTGTGCCTGCGAGCAAGATGAATGATGGCTTGTTTGTTGTTGTGGATTGGAAGAAGAAGGAAGAAGGAAGCAAAGCAAGTTCAGGGGCCTTGACGCGCTTGAGCTATGACCTCCTTCAACTTCACCACCGCCTTCCAAGCCCTCCAATAGCCGTCATTCTCACTCTGATCAGGCGCTTCGATTGGCCTTAGGCAAAGAGAATCGGCATCGGCATACCGAAACATCTTCCCTCGTCCTTTCCCTCCGCCGCAGCGCCTTCAACAGTAACCAAGCAACCTCCTCCTCGACGGCACAGTCACCCATCACCCAGCAGCAATGGACGCAGACCACCGCCGCGCCAGCCTCGCGCGCTCCCTCATAGTCCTCCAACACCGCTACCTCATCATGTTCATCAAGCCCATCATCCGCCAAGTCCGCGAGCTCGTCCTCGCCAGCGCTCGACAAAGCCCAGTAGAGTACCTCGACCGGATCCTGGAAGCAGCACGCACCATCGCAAACAACCAGCAACGACCAGCCACGGCTCGCATCTTTGCGTTGCTGAAATTGTGGGCATGGCGCGACTGGATGATCAGAACACAGCTCATCTGGGCCGTGGTGTTTGACCATCCACTTCTGCAGCAAGACTTCAACGAGGGGCTCGTTTTCTTGATCGAAAGCATTGGTCCGCTATACCAGCCCTGGAGGTGAGGGCCGCGAGTACAAGCGCCGCAAGAGCCAAATGGAGGGACAGGGCGAAGCGCAGTTCGCATCATACCAGAGTCCAGCCGTGGGAGCCAAAGGCAAGGTTCCAGAAGCTGGTGCCCTTCAAGCCAGACTACAAGCCGGAGAACATTTTCAGCAAAGTCAAGGAGACAGGCAAGTACACGACATCCAAAAGGTCTGCGAGTACTCCGAGCTCATCTTTCAGGCACTTCAGACAGCTTCACCGGCCAAAACAACCTCGAATGGAGCGAGAGTCTTTGCGATTTCGTGACAGTTCGAGACGGACGCTCGCCGAACCACTGGTCTCCATTCACCAAGAATGCCACCGCTCGCCGTTCCCACTCCACCAGCGAGCATCAACAGCTTTCGCAAGTCTCGAATGCGCTGGGAGTCCAGACTTGGTAGACGATGAAGTCTCGGCAGGTGCAAATTGCAGCAGGAGCATACGAGACAGCAAAGACGGCCTCGAAGGACGTCAGCTATGGTCGAACGACAAGCAAGCCGGCGTCAACTTCAACGAAAGTGGCGAACAACAGCTGGATCAGGGGCACGACTCTTGTCTGAGACATACACGGCATCACGCAGCTGAGCTCCACTCATCATCGAAATCGCTACTGATTGGCAATGGCATACACCTCTCCGCTACATCATTCAATCAAGGTCAATCTTCTTCATCTCCAAGTCATAATCGAGGTCGTCACCAGCATTCGTCGTATCGGGCGCCGACTTCGTCCGTACATCCTCTCGTCGTGGCTGGCTGACATGGCCAGTAGCTTCGAGTTCCTTATCGTCAATCTCTACGCCGTTGCCAGCCTCGCCTTCCAGCTCGTCGTCGTCATCGATGAATCCGCCTCGCTCTTCATCCCAGCCTTCGATGTCTCTCAAGAGACGGACATACTGTTCTGGAACAAGACCCTGCTCGCCTGTCTGCGGATTCTCTGCCACCAACCAACCCTGGCCATGTCGGTATGCTACAAGGATCGTCTGGCCCTCAGTGAGTCGCAGCTCATTGTCATTCTCCGGCTCGAAACTGTACAGCGCCAGCGAAGGACCAGCAAACAGCTCCTCGTCTTCAGGACCAAGGCTCTCCCTCTGTGGTGAATGATTAGATGGCTCGGCATCCAGCGGCAAGTCACTATCTGGGTCGATGGTCTGCGAGGCATGAAAGCTTCGATTCGGCAGCGTCGTCGCAAAATGCGAGTCCCTCCTAGGTTCTCCGTTCTCGACAAATCCACGACTCTGCCGCAACGCATCTCGCCCTGCCGGATCGTAATTCTGCGAGCCCGCGAGCAATGACGGATCTGAGTCCCGGCTCATGCGATGTCCGCTTTCCCGCCTCCTGCCGCGCTCATAGTTGGGGATATCGGCGAAGGACCTGCTCTTGCGATGCTTGCTTTTCCTGAAGGACGTCTCGCCCTCTTCCCACTCATCACCACCACTGCTGAAGCTTGTGCTCGGCAAAGGCTCCATCTCCTGTTCTGGATCGCCGTATAACAGCCCATCGCCTCCCCAAGGTCCTGCACTCCACGCTCCTCTTCCTGTTGTGGCGCTGCCCTCAGCCGAGTCTGATGCCCTCCGCCCTGCATTCCATTCTGAGCCCGGCGTACTTGCGCCTGAAGGGTCTTCTGGTGGACCACCAAAGTGCATGGGATGGAAGGTCGGATATGCGAAGTCTCGGACCAGCGCATACGACAAGCTCGACTGAAACGGCGGGAATGAGGTCGAGTGCGGTCGTGACCGGGAGGTTCGTTTCGAGTACGACGACATTCTGCTCTCGGCATACGAAAGTATGCGCTCGCGTGGCTGTGGTCGCTGCGAGTCGGTCGTGCGCTCGTGCGGTTCGTCGGCTTCTGATGAGACGGCGAATGAGGGAGGCGCACTGCTGGTATCGGTCGAAGAAGGCGCCGCCATGACCTCTGCTGCCATGCCCGGCGGCGATGATGCTCGTGTGCTGCTTCCGCGCTCACACCCACTCCACAAGATCGAGCCTGTTTATTAAACGACAGCAGTGTTGCGCGCCTTGGTGTGTCGCTAGTCCAGGCCAGCTGAAATGAACCGATCCGCCTGCAAATGATCTCCAGGACGCCCTGCGGCACGCCGCAATGCTATTACCAACACCGCAGTCCCAGAGTCACGACACTCGAGCAGGCACGATGCAGCAGCTGTCGGAGGAGGGAGAGTCAGGTGAAGTGAGACGAGAGACTGTTCGCTGCCGGGAGCCGCCGCGCTCTGGTCTGGTCTCTCGCGACTTGGGCGCTGCGCTCTGCTGCCAAACCAGACCAAACCAAACTCAACCCAGCAAGCAGCAGATGGGTGAGAATACCTTTAGGGTTTGGGCTATTAATAGCGGCCAGCTCTCCTCGTGTGCGTGAAAGATGGCGGGGCGAGCGGACGCAACCGAATGGGTCCCAAGCGTTAACGGTAATCCGCCCTATGCCGGGAACGATAATAAGTTCCAGAAGAACTGCAAAGTCTTGGATATATGATGAACGAAACGGAGCACGTTTGATATCAAGGAGAAGAGACTTGAGAAAGCTCTTCCTTTTCGTCACCCAGCTGCTAAATCCGGACCCTGTCGACTGCCAAACTGGCCGTATCCTTGTCTTCGGCCAACCGCAGAGCTGCAGCTGTTCGATGTCGCGCGGCTGTTTGCCCACACAGGCGCTCAGGCCATCGTTTCATCTCTTTCCACGCCATGCCCCTTTTGACTTTGAAACGAGGCGTTGTAGCTGCCACCAAATCTCCACCTTTCGACGACCACGTTCGGATCCTCCAGGCTTCTGCGTTGACCAAGTGCGGTAGACTGTTGGCTTGGCTGGGTTAGCGACAACAAGAAGACCAGGGAATGGACAATTCATGATTCTCAGGATCATTCACTTCATCAACCTCGCTACCATGCCTCCTCCATCAGACGCAGACGCAGACGCAGAAGCAGACCCATCGTCCCACAGCATCCTGAAACACCGCCTAGAAGACTTCTTGCAGAAACGGCAGCCGCCTAAGACGTTCTGCCCGTCCGAGGTCGCAAGGGCGCTGACCGCCAGCGAACTGTCAGATCTCGGTTTCGACACCTGGCGGGACGCCATGCCGGCTGTCCGTCAGCTCGCGTGGGAGCTGCGGGCGCAGGGTGAGTGCGAGGTGCTGCAGAAGGGCGAATGCGTTGGTGAGGATGTGGAGTTGGAAGATATTAGGGGTCCGGTGAGGATTCGGAGGATGTGAGAGCTGGGAGTATGGTTGATTTTATCTGGATCACGAGAATTCACATGATCGACGCTTTGGTCTCGACCTAAGTACCGAATCACAGACACAAATGTTCCGATGGCTGAGGCAAGGGAGACTGCGCTGGATACAGCTACCTGGTTCAAGCAATATCAACTCTCCGAGTCGGAACTGGCTGCAGCTCTACAACACCTTCGGCTAGAGAACAACGCTCGAAAGATGCGTCCAAAATGTACGACAGCTGCATTGAAGAGGCAGTCTTACCTCGTCTGCATAATCTGCATGAGATGCACAACATCAGCTGCTTCTGCACGCTACGTTCTGTTCTGGTCTCTTGCAGACGACGGCTAGTTTCGTGCCCGTGCAGCATGCTACCGCAGGCCGTCGAGGACCCAGTCCGGCAGACTTTCGTCTTCACTTCGTATCGGTTGCGAGCCATCGGCATGTCCATTCACCTGAGCCTTTGGATCTGAGTCTCCAGGACGTCGCCATATCAACTTTCCCGCTGGATGAGTCGGCAAGGGCTCCGTCTGTCCGGGCGCCTCGTTAAGATTCTCCCTGTAGGTGCCACCTGGAACCTTATACTCATCCCAAAACAGACCACGCTTTTGTAGTTCTGGCACCAAAAGCTCGACGGCATCCTCGAAAGTTTGCGGCATGAGGGCGTACGCCTGGTGATGATTGTCAGCGGGGCCAAGAATCCACTCTTCACGAAACTTACGATATTGAACCCGTCAACACCACCCTCTCTCACCCACCTCTCCATCTCATCCGCCACCTTCTCTGACGTACCCACGCAGGTGGCACCCAGCCCTCCAACCATGATGTGCTCAGCAAGAGACTTCTTCGTCCACTTGCCGCCTGGGACATACTGTGCGCTCGCCAACAAGCCCTCGATGTACGATCGGATTGCATTGCTCTCCACATACCGCAGTTCCTCATCATCGCCGTATGGAGCCATGTCTACGCCTGTCCATCCACCGAAAAGGGCCAACGCACCTTCGTACGAGCCATACTGAATGTAGTCGTTATACTTCGCTTCGGCTTCTTCTTGGGTCCGTCCGAGCACGGGACAAAACTTGGCCAGGACTTTGATGTCTGATGGATTCCTTCCCAACTCAGCTCCTTTCTGGCGAATCTCGGCGACAGACTTCGCCACCGCATTGGGCGAATGCTGGGAAACGAAGATCGCCTCAGCATGCTTCGCCGCGAAAGCCTTACCAGCCTTTGACGTCCCAGCTTGCATGATGATCGGTGTTCGTTGCGGTGACGGCTGGCAGAAGTGCGGGCCAGGTACCGTGTAATACTTGCCGTTATGATTGATCTCACGCACGAGCGACGGATCCGTATAGACGCCAGCCTTTCGATCCAGCTTCACAGCGTCGCTACGCCACAACGAGTTCCAGAGCTTGTAGACCACATCCATATACTCCTCGGCCATGGCATATCGCTCATCATGCTCCGGTTGCGAAGCGCCGTTCGTAAGGTTCCTTGCGGCAGAGTCGAGATACCCAGTAACGACATTCCAGCCTACCCTATCCTACACTGATCAGCCAAATCTCCCCTTAAATTCACACCCTCGGCCGCAACTCACCGCCCCCCAGTCAAATGATCAACCGTACTCATCCTCCTCGCAAGATGATACGGCTGCTCATAACTCGTCGTTACCGTAACCCCAAACCCCAAGCTGCTCGTGACGGCCGCCATCGCCGGCACGACACTCAGCGGCTCATTCACCGGCCACTGCGCGCCACTCCGAATCGCCGGCTCGAGGTTCTTGGGCCCGCCGTACACGTCGTAGCCGCCGAGCACGTCGGCGATGAACATTCCCTGGAAGTGCCCTTTTTCGAGGAGCTGCGCGAAGGACGTCCAGTGGGAGAGCGTGTTGAAGGAGGAAGAGCGGTCTTGCGGGTGCCGCCAGAGGCCCGGGGATTGGTGCCCGGAGCCTGTGAAGTGTGAGTTGGCTGGTCTCTGGAGATTCTGCTATTTGATGTGGGAGCTTACACATTTCTACAAAGGCATTGAGGATGAGTTTCTTCTTCGGAGACTCGGTGGTGACCTCATTGCTGTTGACATGGCTGGTGCCGTTCTGGGTCGGGCGGTCTTCATGGTGAGTGCCATTTGGGACGGGAGTTCCATTGATTCGAGCCATTGAGAAATGTGAGATGAATGATTGAAAAGTCTAGACGGAGGTCGTCATTGCAGGTCGAGATGCGAGCTCGGCAAGAGCTTGGCCGAAGGATTGCGTGCTCTCCTCTTCTTGCTTCTCGCGATCGAGGACTGCCCTTTACCATCAACTTACACGACACCTTACGCTCGCTTTGGATAGGGGAACATAATTTGCAGACTCTTGCATTCGACTCAAGACTATGCGTCTGTAAGGGCTTGAAAAAATCCCGCACCGCCAGGCTGGCCGATCGGGTTGACAGCCAGCCGTTCAAACCTCGCCTCTAGATCATAGCGCTCCGTGCCATCCTCGTCGATGATCAGGTCCTGGCCAATAAATAGCACGGCATCCTCTGCCGTCATGTCCACGGAAAATGTCATAAAATCTTCTTTGTCTTTCCAGTGCGTAACTGCCGCCAAAGACTTCCAGGTGTGCCTGCCCACGAGGAAGCCTTGACCTACTACATCAAAGTTGTTCTCAGGCCTATGTCGAAGAACAAGGAAGATTTGTTCGTTGTGGCGAAATATCTCTGGATATGCGAGGACATCGTCGACCTGGGTTTCGTGGCCGGCGAAACCGACGACCTGACTTCCTACAGCCAAAGGCTTGAGGTCGCTTTCAGGATGGGACTGGTAGTGGTCTTCCAGCATGCCCTTTATCGAGCCCGGAATTTGGCTTTCATCCAACCTATCACCAGGCGTTCCTAGCGAAATACCTTTACCTGGAAGTTCGTCCTCCCCTTTGCTCGTACGCAGTTGGATGCCGGTGAAGTACGCCCATTTCATGAGCTTGCGGTTGGTGCAAGTCCTGGCGCCTTGTTGACTGCGTTGTCGCAGTTGCCGCATTGCTTCGTTTCCGGCGAAAACCTCCAAGGGGACCAGGGTTTTTCTCGTAGCCCTCAGATCTCCAATGCGCTCTAGAACGTCGATGGCAAGCTGCACAACCGTTTTGTCGTAGTCGGGCAACAAGGGCGCATCGCTCACAGACCAGTCTATGAAACCGAGCAGGCCATAGACTCTATCACGCGGATCATTGCACAGCCGGTCGCTAGCCAAGTCCAAAGCTCCCTCAATGTCGAGGGTAGCAAGCCTCCTATCAGACCAGAGATCGGCTATCCATTTCTTCCAGTACCGGAGCCATTGCTGGACTTGGTCCCCAAGGATGGACGGTGCTGATGGAAAGTTTCCCATTTCCCTCAACTCCAGTAGCAGGTACACTCCTAGCCATGACATGGTAGAGGAGCCACAGAGCACTTGCAGTTTGCGGTCGGCTGCTGCGACTTCCTGAAGAATCCAAAGTCGAGTCCAGTACGGCCGGTCCATAAAGCTCATCAACGCATTTCGCAATCTGATGGTCTCCTCTTTCTGGAGCGCCTCAATACACCGCGTCCAGTGCTTATGGTACCATGGCCCCAGTACGACATGGTTCAGCTGATAAACATCTTTACCCTCCTCCAGTGCCGCGGCCATGACAGCGTTCTCCATTTCCGTGGCAATCGCAACGACCTTCTCGCTCCCGTTTTCATGCGGCCCAATACACACCAAAACAAGAGACGCTCCAACGAAGATATCCTTCATCATAGCCACTTGATCCTGCTTCTCGTCGCTGTCGCGCTGGTTGATGCAAATGGAATCCAGCCAAATGTATCCTTCAGGATCCCTCGCTCGGGCTTGACAGCGCGTGATAGCAGGTCCTCCGAACGTGATAAGGTCTGCCGTTGACTAGAAGTTCTCTCGATTCAACAGGTCCCCATGTGTAGGAGACGGCCTTGTAGTCCGGCGTATGGCCAACAAACCAAGGCGATAAAGCCAGCTCTAGAGGATCATCCTCACGCTGGCAGGGCAGGAATCGCAACAACCGGAGCTGCTGCTTCGGGTTGACCAGCGGGTCATGCTGAAACTCGCGCGCAGACTCTCGCGGAAAGGTCGAATTCGATTCAAATGTCAGCTTTCTTCGCTTCGACCTAGGGGCCATGCCTGGTTCCGGGAAGTCGCAAAGGTGAGGAAAAGCGAACGTCGAGGCTGGGGATGCGGTATCATATTTGGTGGTAGCTGATACATGCATGTAAGCTGCGCCACCGCAACAGAAAGGGGGCTGAGCGAGGCGATGAGGCACGAAGCTGTTCGCTTCTACAAGATCAGGCAAACACACACAAGATTTGCTGATCGCAATAACACAGACACAGACATGACTGCTGTCGTTGAGCTACGGTGAAGGCATCTCTTCCCATAAGCAAGTACTCCTGGATCCTTTCAGACGGTCGTCTGGCGTGTACAGTAAACGAGTTGATTGGCAACGGGCATGCAATCAGTGATTGTCCCAAGGTCACTGAACCCATATCTGATGTCAAGGCGAGAGGCCAGTTTGCTGCGAAGATCCGAAGGGCAGATGCTGAGTAGGCAAAGTCGTCGACGGGGAGGGCACGAGCGGATCTCAGAAAAAGCACCACACGATGCAGTTCACGTTCAATCGTTCCCTGAATTCCGCACAATCTTCAAAGTAAATCACAAACCAACATCCCTACTTCCTCCCCCACCCCCCCTCGCCCTCCAATTCCGCCCTCACCCCCTCACTCCCCGGCGCCTCCACAAGCAGTCCACTCTCATGCCCCACCGGCAGCGTATGCAACTCCTGCACCCCCAAAGCCCCCCACTTCGCCGTCCCGCCATCCACCTCCGACCTCATCGCCGGCGACTCCATCTCCGCCAGCCCGGGGGACTCCATCTCCGCGAGCCCAGGGGAGTCGACTTCGAAGATGGGTTTCTTCGCGGCGGCTTCGTGGATGGTGGTGGAGGAGGGGAGTTCGGAGGTTCGGTGGGACTGCTTGTTGTCCGGGGGTTCTGAGGGTTTTTCGGTGTCGAGGTCAGGAGAAGATTTTTGTTGGCGGCGTTTGCGGAAGACGAAGAACCATATTGCGAGACCGATGATGGCGACGCCGGCCACTGCGCCGACTACGATGCCGCCTATTGCTCCGCCGCTGAGGCCACCTGAAGCTTCTGGCGTGCTTGTGGGCGATGGTGTGGCAGTCTCTGTTGGCTGCTGGATGGCAACGAGGTGCGTTGTGTCCATGTTGTCAAAACTGGCCCTCGCAACCGTGAAATTACTCCTCTCGAAGTCGGCTATCAGATACGCCTCCTGAAGAAACGTGCGGCCGATCGTATATTGCGTATCGTTCGCCGCTCTTCGAATGGGGAAGTAATTCGTTGCATTCTCGTAGAACGGATAGCTGGCCTGCAAGTCGAGAGCGGCATACGGAAGCTCAATACTCACGCTGTCCGTTGCGCTGCCGGTCGTACTGGCGCCGAGCACGAAGGTGATGGTCGGGTTGAGGTCCAGCATCTGGCTGCGCATGGTATCATTGATGAGGAACAAGTCCGTCTCATTGTCATAAGTCAAGCCAAATGCAGAGACGAAGGCATCGATGCTGTCGTCCGGTAGCCACATGTGGGGGACGGAAGAGTCGATGAAGTGGTATATCGCAGTCGGTAGCAGATTCACAGTCCCATCGAGAGTATTCGCGGCCAGTATCCTCTGCACGCCAACCTGCAAAGGCCGCGAGTTATCCCCGTTCATAGCCATCGAAATTCCAGGAGCCTCGAACCGGTTCGTGTCATAGCCGCCCAGCGTGAGCGACGCAGAGCTCTGATTTCGATGATGTGCACCTGCCGTGTATGCGAAAGAGTGGCTGGCAATCGTGCTCTCGTTCACCAAATTACTAAGATAGCTCGGAATAGGATAGTTGAAAGTCGTGAAATTGATCGGCTTGGGTCCCAGACCGACCTGTCCAAGCCACCAGTCCGGATCAGCAATACCAGCGACGACTTGCTGCGTCAAGTTGGGTGAATCGCTCGAGTTGCCCCAGACGACTGTATCGAAGCCGTACAATCCATTCCCGCCATAGCCAAGATCCTCCTCCTGCGCGTTGAGCTCGAAGATGCCGTTGCTCGTCCATGTTGAGCTGTCATCCGTGGTAAAGCCTGAGCTGTTCACGCCGTTGACAGGCAAGGCACCTCGAAGGTATCCGCAGTATCCAGTGTCGTCCGGTGAGATCGAGGTGCAGCCATCTGGGACGGGTATCCAAAGTTCTTGTCCTGCTGTTGAAGGCAGCACCCGAAAGTCTTGCGCCGGTGTGCCCACTTGAACCACGAAGGTATTCCACAGCCCGTCGTTCCCGTCCCAGAAGGACGAAGGTGCCCACGATATAGGAGCAGGTATATTGCTGGCGGCCATGGCTGACGAATTTCCTCTGATCTTCCGGGCCAGAAGTATCCTTATTGCAGCACCATCTCTTCCAGACTCTTCAAAGCTGGTATTCCGACTCTCAATTATCCCAACGTTTCCCAGCTCTTGCAAAACGTAGTATCCTGATTGAAAACGCCAACAGTGAGAAAGAAGAGAAGATACTCCACCTACCTCTCGCTTGCCTACTTCCCCATCTTCAGCCTTCAGCTGCCAATGCTGCTAAAGCCGCAACCGAAGCGTGTTGTCACACAAGTCTAAGAGAAAAGAGGATGCAGACCCTTGTGCCTTGCAGAAGTGCTGGTGGACGAGCGGAGATGATTGGGTGCCATCGGGTCGAATCCCTGTGCATGTGTCTGCATTTAGGCTCTTGGCTTCGACCAGGGGTTATGGTGTTGCTGCGCCATGAGTCGTGCTTGTGATGCTTGGGTTTTGAAGGCTATGATCAATCGCATGAGGGACAGTATCGGCACTGTAAAGGCGAAGACTGTGCTGAAAGGTTGGGGTCAGCTATGTCTGTTCTCAGGGTAACATTGATTCCATCGGTGGCCGAAAGAGCTGAGGAGAAAACTCCGATGAATGTCCTTCACGGCATCAGGTCGAACGATTGCATAGGGTATCTGTTGTCATCCTAGCCTTCCTTAATAGTATTCATATCACTCTGAACATATCCCATCTTCCGTGACCCATACCTCACTGCAGCGGCGGGAACTTCCTCAAGAAACTGTCCACATCGTCAGCAAACATCCCACAACACCTCAAACAACACAGGAATAGGTATACTCACTGGCTCGGACACTCATAGCCCCCCGGATTATTCTGCAAATACAACTGATGATACTTCTCCGCATCCCACCACTCCGCCGCCGGCAAAATCTCCGTCACAACCCCGCCCTTCCACCACTGCTCGTTCGCCTTCTTCGTCACCTCCTCCGCAATCGCCTTCTGCTCGTCGTCGTGGTAGAAAATCCCCGAGCGGTACTGCGACCCGACGTCCGGGCCCTGCCGGTTCGACGTCGTCGGGTCGTGCATGCGGTAGAAGTATTCGAGGAGCGTGCGGTACGAGACTTGGGTCGGGTCGAAGACGATTTGGCAGGCTTCGGCGTCTACAGAATCCCCTTCGTGTCAGCTTTTATCTCCTTCTTCATGATACTATCTCAGCACTTATAATGACTTACGCCCCGTCCTTCCCGAACAAACAGCCCTATAACTCGGATTCTTCGAATCGCCGCCAATATACCCCACTCTCGCATCCAATAGTCCCTTTCCGCCAAAATCGTGTCGGTACATGTGTTCGATGCCCCAGAAACATCCCGCGGCGAGGGTGGCTTTCTGCGCGCCTTCTGGGATGGTCATGGTGCTGGCGCCGCTGGTCTCGGGGTTGAAGTGCATGGTGGAGGAGGAGAAGGGGCGCATGAGGCGCTGGAGGAGCGAGGCCATGGTGTAGGCGCTGAGGAGGCCGGTGAGGAGGAGGGCGATTTGGGTGGTGGGTTTCAGTTTGGGTAGTGGTGACCTCGTGAGGTGGATGTTGTTGATGGTATGGTTGTTGGGGAGAGAAGGTGAGAAGTGATGAGGGAGATGTTCTGAACAATCTGAAGCTCGAGCTTGAGGAGGCTTTTGATGTCATCGACTTTCCCGCCTTCGCCACTTTGCGCGCCCATCAATGATTCCAAACTGCTCGATTTCACATGGATATCACTGCCACTGAGATATTAGTATTTGGAATGGAGATGACAGTTTCACAGCCTCCAAAATGGTCAGAGCCATGCATTGAATCGTTCGCCCTGCCTATACATGGAAGAAGACGCCTCCAACTGGTGACCGCCCTGCCTCGGGGTTCTGTCCATCGCTAAAAACATGCATGCTGCGCTAGGAAACCAACTCTGAATACAGGAAAGAAAGCAGACAAGATTCGCTCGCTCAGCCAAAGCTTCTTCAAGGGTATCATCTGTTGTGGTAAAGGGTATCGATCGCTTTTGGCGTTTCTCTCCAAATCACATGTCGCCTCCTCCTCTTCTTCGCTTACATCACCGAACATTTGTTGTCTGACTTGGTCATCCAGGTCATCATGCTCTTCGTCTCCATCACGCTGCTGCCCTCGAGCATCTCGCCGTTGGGATGGCTTGGGGAGAAGGGATCCGGCTTCTTGCTCTTTTTGAAGAAGCCGAGTTTCTTCGCTTTGGCGGTGCTGGCGAAGGCGCTCCTACCTGCCAAACTGCTCTTGCGGGAATGTCCTCTCATACTTCCACTCGTTCGCAGAGCTGGAGTGGAGGCCGCTGGTGGATGCCACGCCGTGATAGGATGGGCGACCGTGCCGGCCTTGACGGTGTTCGGCCGGAATGGAACATGGTCAGGTGGCTGAGAAGGCGGGAAAAGAGAAGCAGATGCGATGGCATTTGCATTCGCGGCTGCCGCACTGCGGAATGCTTGCATGTGCGGAGGCATTCGTCGTCCGCCAGCCGATGAGGGTGCACTCGTAGTTCCAGGCATGGTCGCAAATGAGCCGGCAGAGCTAGGCGCTCGATGTGGAGGTAGATGGCCCGGGGGATTGAGCAGTGAGGTGGAATAGCGGTATGGGTTGCCGGCCGGCTGTCCAAAAGGAGGCCCCTGGCGAGGTGACGACCCGACGGGCGAAATGACATCCCAAGGCTCTTCTCCCTGATTGCTGCTCGTCGACGATGGCGGCAATCTCTCATTCCTCCACACAGCGATCGGATCTGGAACACCTCGACCGGGAATTGGGCTGACATTATTCCAGTCACCAACGAGTTTCGGTGGCGGTCCATTCGCAATGGCATTGCTGTACGCTCGCTGCAGGCTTCGTGGCAATGAAGCTACCGATTCGAATGCTTCAGGCTGCTCTGGTGACCGAAAGGAAGCGTATGTGCCAGTTCCCGGCGTGGACCCAATGGAGTCGAATGTACCCGTTCTCTGTGGTCCAGTGGGAGCAAAGCTGCTCGACGCTGGTTCTGACTGTGGTATTGAGCTCGGTGTCGACACTGGGCTTTGCATAACCATCCCTCCCCGAGGTCGCTCGAGCATCGTTTCTCTCGTGGCCGAGCTAGCCTGAGCATTCGCAGCTCGGAATGCAAGGTCAGCGCTGAAATGCTCTCCAACATCAGCCGGTGCAGTCTGTGGTACCGACGAGCTGGCACTCGCAACACCGTTGCTGTTGGGGTTTGCTACCACTGTTGGCTTCTCCGGGTTGAAGACTTTGGGCCCGTCCAGACCAGCCATTGCACGATATCTGCTAGGCAGCGGCGCATTTGGCTCTTCTGTGTATTCGGGGAGTGGTAAAAAGTTGCCACTGCTCTCCACGCTCACTCGCTCCTGGTTGCGCTCTTCGATCGTCTGGAATCGATGTCTCTGAGCATTCGATGCTGCTCGTTGAAGTGAAGCCTGTGATCTGGGCGCCCCTTGAATGTATGGTTCCTCTAGCACCACGTCGGCCTGCTCATTGCTTTCCACCAAATCTGGCAGGCTCCTCGCACCTTCAGACTGCATGCTCCCAATCGACATCATACTGCTTCGATTTCGATGAGCTCCGAAGTTGCTCAACGCCGGACTGGCACTCCGCATATCTCGCCGACCATATGTAGTTGCCGCTCGCCCCAAAGCTGCTGGTCGATGGCTCAAGCCTCCGCCCTTGCTTTGGTTGACTGTCCGCCTACGGACAATCGCAACCTGGTCAGCGACATCCACCTGCTCCTCTTCCAGCAGCTGTGGTGGGCTCTTGCCGAGCGTCAAGGTGAAAGTTTGACCTGGCTGACCGGCGAATTGTGGATCAAAGTCGAAGAGAATGATTCTGCCACCTTCGATATCTTCCACACTCTCCTCGCTGATTCCAGATTCCGTGACTCCGCCTGGGCTGGTCACAATGAGTCGACCTTTGACCTGTGTTTGGTTGTTCAAAGGGGCTGGTAAGGACGAGGAGCTGTAAACCCACCGCACTTCACTGAAGGGACAGCCATATCCTTCATCAAGCTCGTGGTCTATACTGTGTGCCTCGACTGAGGTTGTCTCTTCGCCATCGGCTTTGTGCGGGACAATGTAAAGCCGAATGGTCCTGTCGTTCACGATCATCGCTACCGTATCGCCATGCTCGTCAATCGCTGGGCAGCTGTGGATCGCTGCGCCCAGGCCACCGCATGTCGATAAGGGTGGCGAGATGACGACTGGGAAGTCGATGTTGCCGTATTGCAGGTCGCTGACGTTCAAGATCCCGAACGTGTCTTCCACGCCATTCCATGCAAACAGTCGCTCGTTGCAGGTCTTTCTATCTTCTCGCATGAACGTGGCGTGGCTGCTGTTCCGAATGTTATCCGGGTGCAGTAGCTCAGAGCACCACGCTTCTTTGAGCTCTTCGTGTGTTGGTGTGTTGTTGGGTAATGATGGAAAGACTGGTACCTGCACCACGACTGTGGAAGAGACGTTGATTCGTGTGGTGGTCCCAAGTAAGGTAGAGCCATCATCTGAGAAGCACAGCCGGTCCATCTTGGTTGATCTGACTGCCCGCCGATCTGTTGGCAGGGCCTCGGGCGCCAGTGAGAATATCTCCACTCCTCCTTCGTAAGCTGCGGCCAGTAGTCCTCCAGTAGGAGCCAGTGCGATACAACTCGAGGGGAAGTCGAGCTTGATCGTTCGTATTCTCCTCAGATGTAGTCCCAGATCGTAGACGTTCACGGTGTGGTCATCGGCCAGGACTGCCATAACATTGGCCTCGTCTATCAGTTCCACCGCCAATGGTCTCCTCTTCAGTGCAAAGTCCTGACTTATTCCCACCGGCAGAGCATTCGTCTGCAACACATACAGCCTTGAACTGTTGAAAGCTGCTATCCTCCTGCCGCCTGGCGATATTGAAAACCCAAATGCTTCTCCCGTGGGAAAGCCTGCCGAAGCTGTTGCAACATTGGACACCAGCTTGATGATATGTATCCGCGGACGATTGGGCTCGTCATCTTGTACGCTCTGCCAGCTATATCTCACTCGCTCTTTATTGTGTGGTATTTGGGTGGTGCTGACCCACGATGATCTCGTCGACGTTCTGCGATGAGGTGGTGTATGCATGGGCCCTTTGGCGATCGAGCTTCGATGGTTGGCGCCGTTGATGGTCGGCGTCGGTGTGGTGTTCCCATTCACGTGCGGCGGGGTGTTGCGGTGTTGCTGCCCTTGCCTCGACTCCGGCGACTCTGTGCCGAAAGGGATGGGTGTGGCGACGTCTCGCGATTCGTTGACGTCGTCTTCCTCTTCCGTTTCACGCCCATGGATCTCGCTGTGCACGAGATGTCGACGCTGCTGATGTGATTCAGGCTGTTGTTGGTCTGGCACTTCCCTGTCGTTTGAGGGCGAGGATGCATGCTCTTCCCTGACTGGCGAGACTTCGGGCTCCGTTTCGCATTGCGGAGAGGCCAAGTCTCGATGATGCTGCACCGCCATGTGTGACGGCGACGACAGCGATGGCTGCTCGGGCGGTGATGGGAGGTGGTGCTGCACTGACGACGCTGTGTTCTGTTCGTGCTCCAGGTCGTCATCGTCCTCGTCGATGTCACTCACATCGTCGTGGTAGTCCATGTACGTTACTCCATTCATGTACCCTGAAATCTCCTCGGGCTTTCGCAGCACCGCGCTCTCCTCGACCTGCTCATCTTGAATCTCTACAGCTCCATGCTGCTCCACGCTCTTCCCAACATCGAAGCCGTGCTCTGGTGTCGGGGGAGAGGGCAGCGGCCAGTCTGGGCGGTCGTGTAGGCCCGTCCCATCCAGCTCCTGCATATCTCTCATGCTGCGGCGCCGCTCGTCGGCATCGATGCGGTCGCGAGTCGAGTTCCAGCGCGCGATCAGGTTGCTGTGGTGCCGCGCCGTGTGGGAAGAAGAGAACGTTGAAACGGGCATAGTGATGCAATGCGCCCCGTGCTGTGAGGATCCGAAACAGGCAGACCGTATGCAAGATCCCCACTGGCGGCCCAGGCTCTGCAACTCAATTCCGCGCGAGATCAATCGGTTTGGCCTCGTGGCGTGCTCATCGATACAGTACAGTACCGTGCCGCTGGCGTGTGGGCTGCTCAGGCTTTACGATGACAGCGGCAGCACGGCGACACAGCAATACCAAGCTCTACGCTGACAGCAGGCACTTCTGGACAGGCGTTGTGCAGACGTTTGTTTGCGGGCAGCCTCATCATCCTGAGGGCGGCAGAGGAGCCGTTGACCAGCACCGCAGCGTCCACACGCAGCTCTCGCCGTGCAGACAAGCAGGAAAATGCACACGAGAGGCGACCCGCGAAGGCGAATTGGCTGGCGAATGGGCGCGGTCCAGCTCAGCTGCGTTGACTTTTGCCTCTGCACGCCTAGGGAGCTGCCGCAGAGTTTCTGCAGAGCCGCACGAACGATTCGGATTTGATTGATCGCACGAGACGGACAAATGCTACCACACCTATCATTGCAATCACGTTTCCAGCTTGATCATTCCAAACGCCATCACAAACATCACAGAAACGTCGAACACACCCCGACCTTCGAGACCAGCAAACGTCGGCGACCACGTTGCATCCGTACAGGGGCTTGATCCACCCGAGAACCGTGGAGGATCTCCCGAGCGCAAGGTTCGTCCAGCGGCCCGCTATAATTAGATCTGTGGAGTTGAGATGAAGCTTATCCGGATGCCCTCAGCCAGTGTCATGAGAAAGACAATAAAAAGGGACGGAAGCCTTCGTTCAGTTCATCTCGATCCAGCAAGACTCTTCCAACTCAGGGGAAGAAACAATGGCCATACGACAAGCCATCGACGAGAGGTGTGCAATTGGCAGAAAGAAACGCAGTCGTCACAAAAGCAGATCCCTCGCTCTCACAACTAAGCGAGCAAGACCGTCTGACTGCGATATGGCGATCAGTGGCCAATAGCATCCGCAAAGCTCGGTATGTTCTCTGATCATCTGCGATGCGCTGACCAGGAGTTTGCAGCACTTGTCGAGGTGAAGTCACTAAAGTCCGCCGGCTCCATGGACTACCAAGATGCCGCTGGAAGCCATCGAGAACGACTACTCTATCTGAAACCGAGGGCGAATGACTTCCGAAAGTCGGACTTCGGCATCGTCTTCGTATTCAACATACTCTACTTATGCGAGAAGCGTCGCAGCCTGCCCAACTCGGTGAAGCGGTGAATGTCAAGAACGGACATACAGAATTCTGATGATTTTTCCACCAACGCTCTGCCAATACTTATCCCCTTGAGATCACAGCTCTCCAAGACGACCCAGCATTGGCCCTAGACGCTCACGATGCAAGAACCTCGTGTGGCTCCGTCCCAACTGCCACCGGCTCAGGCCCATCTTCCAGAGCATAAGAGATCAGATCTTGCCGAATATTCTTCGCCGCAAAGCCAACCACATCAAAGAAGACTGTCATTCCTTGCTCTACCCAAGCCTTGTCGCCCTAATACCCGCTGTTAGTCTCATCCTTTCGGGTGGGTGACAACACGTCAATGTTCGCTGGACTCACCTTGATATCTGCGACGTTGAACACCAAGCTGCATCTTCTGCTCGCTGAGACGATGTAGCCAGACTTGGCAGAGTGGTCGAACGACTTGATGGTGCCTTTGTGTGTCATTGCTGCTCTGCTGGACTCCAGGGAGCTTCGTCCAAATTCAAGGGCAGGATGATCTCCGTTGACGTGAGAAGTAGGCTGGGGCGATGACTTCTCGCCCAAGATCCAGCCTATATACTCCGCGAATGGAGAGCTGAAGGGCAGATATAGCTGCAAAGCAACGAGAACGTCCTTCACGTTTGTCCGAGCAAATCCGTATGATCTGCAGCTTGTTACGGTTTTCAGCAACTCCATCCTCGAAGTCATGCTGTGTGGGCAGCATACTGTTGTAGCTTTCGCCTCACGCATGTTGCACGACCGCTGGGCGTTGCGCCGTTGACGGCGAATGTGCGACAAGACGGCAGCATTAGTCTGTACAGCTGAGTGGTCGGTGAGAAAAGAGAATTTGGCCCAGCAACCATTGGCAACACCGATGTTCCAACTCCCTTCATGGCAATCGCAATGCTCTGGAGATGGAAATAGTCAAACTGCTCTTTGTCTTGAGAGGTTTGTGGACGAGTGCGCTAAAGAAAGGTGTGCTATCCACGCTTCTCTCTTGCATACATGTAATTTTCTCAGCTTGCACCCTACCCCTTGCCCCTTTCACTCTACCCTCTCTTCCACAATTATCCCCATTCCCATCAACGAAGCCGACTGCTTTTGATCGGACCGAACCCAACCCTCTGCTTAAACAACACCTCCTGGAGAGACATCTATCAGCACTCCTCCCCCAACCTCACAGCCCCCTAACACCCTGGTCCCTAACACATACCTACTAACAGATATCAAAATCCGCCGGGCTCCACAAACACTTTTCCTCAACGCAAGTAACGCAAGGCCCAAAACATAACAAGTCGGCATCGCAGCTTTTATGTTGCTCGATCATGCCGCGTGGGGTTGCAGCCACGAGGGCGGCGAAGAGGGTGGTCAGAAATAGGGCGAGCTGCATGGTGGCGTTGGCTTGGTGGTGATGTTGATGGAGTGGAGCTTGATGGGTATGGAGCGAGATGATCTGAGAAGATGAGACAGTTGAGGAGAGAATGAGGTTGTTGGTATTTATATTGACAGAATGACATTCTTCGTGCCTCTGGAAAACTTGTCTTCTAGGTTACGAGGTGATTCTGTGCTCTGTTACTGTAGCTGGCAAATTCAGGATTCATGCTCGCGGGATGGTGAGTGTTCCCTTATGATTCGAACGATGGCCGCGTCGAAGAGCCGGATATACTTGGTAAACTTGGTTGATGCAGAACATTGGACTCTCATCCGGAATGTGACCTTGTCAAGCCTTGGCATGTACTCTTCATGCCCGGAGCCGCCCTCTCAGACTCCTACACTCTCGATCTCCTTCACTTGTGCAAGCGCTTGACCCACCCCTTCCATCTCGGCCAGCATCCCATCTTCTTCGCCAGTCAGTGCCGTCCCAACAGAGCTTTCGAAGAGAGGACACTTACACAAACCGCAAATCCAACCATCGCTCTACGGCCAACAGGCATTCAAGCACTGATAAGCGATACACACAAGGCACGGGTCGTCGCCGCACTGATCCAGGTGACTAGTATGCGAGCAAGGTTCAGGTCCCTGTCGTGGGTCCAGGGGCAAAGCCACAGCAATAGTCGCCAAGGTAGCAACCAGGAAGAGAGCTGTTATTCGCATCGTTCTTGTTGTGATCTCGACGGGAGGGGCCAAGGTGCAGCGAAGGGCGGATTTTTTTGCGCGGGACAGCGAGGTGGTCTGCTGCGCTTTTGTACACGTTCCGGGGACCTGGGTTGCACTCATCAGGTTGATGTACAGAGTGGGAGTGACAAATCTGGGTTACTGGCGTGGCGAGAGATCCAGGTTGATTCGGCCTCAAGCAGGGTGCTTGTTGTACGGTAACAGCAAGTTCTCTCTATGGATCGGTATATCGCGAAAGTTGGTTGATAACTCGATCTCAGTCTCACAGACAAGTACGGCAGAGCATCTTCCGCGGTTCCATCGCAGCGCCGCCAACCTTCCCATCCACCTCCTGCTCTCCCCTTCTCCTTTTCAATACAACTTTAAACCCCTAGTAGATAGTCAGTCTCCACCCAAAAGCCATCCCACATCAACATAAATCGGGACCTATTCGCAAGGCTCACAACCCCTACTTCGACGACGGCGGCGGGTCTATCGGTGGAAACCAACAAGGCTTTGTGGTCGGGTAGTGACGACGTTTGCTAATATGACGACGAGGACTGTAGCGAGTTTCGTTGCGATTGCTCTCTGGGTCGGCGTGTTGGTCGTTGGCGTGGAGTTGTAGGGATGGTTATTTGCGGTGGATGTCGGGATGGCTGCTGTTATCTTGTATCCTTGCCGCACTCTCGATATACACTCGGGCTCTTGAGGTGACGGGAGCGAGTGTCGATTGCTGGCTTGCTGTGACAAACCTGGGTTACAAGCCCGACGAGAAAAGGCAGCTCGACACGGCCTCAAACAAGCGGCCCGTTGCACCGTAACGGCAAATCCGTCGACCTTTCTAGGACAATTGGAAGCTCGTCTCCGATGTTTGCTAGGACCTGTCTAGAGTTTGTAACAGCTTGTTCGCGGCAGGCTGCGGGTATGTCGGTAGAGCATCTCGGCAAACAAGGTTTTAGTGCGGCAGGAGTGTGTATTGGGGCCCGCGAGGACTGTCCAGTCGTAGTCGGCGTTGCCGTGTATTCATTGAATCCGCACATGCTCGACCTTCGAGCACTTCGCCAGCACCTCAAAAGAAGCAGTAATATGCACCGCAACCGGCACCCTCTCAGCAAACTCCCCACCTCTCTCTGTGAGTATGGCAGGAACAAGATTCTTGAAGTATGAGTCCGAGTCAATGAACAAAATCACCTGGAAAGACTTGTTGTCATCTTGCTGGGCCAGCCAGAAGGGATCGTCGACATGTACCACACCAATCTCCTTATTCTCTCCAGATTCGTGCTTGCAGAGCAAGTTGGCTGTATTCGATCCGTCCCAGGACGAGCTCTCGAGGGAGCAGGTGATCGTCGGAGCGAAGATGTGCAAAGTCACACACTTTGGCGAGGTCGAACTGTCACGAGCTTGTGACTCCCTGAGCATGCTCTCGATGTCGAAACCATCATCACTCTTCCTGCGAAGAACGAGATTGTGCCTGCCGAAACTTTCCAAACTCCACAGCTTCACACTAACGTGCGGCGGTTCGTTCATCTGAGCACCAACATGAGCGATGGGGCCTGTCCATCCCACCCAACTCCAGCTGGGTAGCTTGGTCGATCCCGCGGCGTCGTGAAGGTTGCGCTTCGGGAACGGGTGGCCTGCAGGCACTGTCCAGAGGAGAGCAGTCCCAAACCAGTCTGATGGAAGAGCGCAGAGCATGCCGTTGAGTTCCTCATTCTTCGTCTTCGCGCAGAAGCGCTGGAAAATGCCTCTGAACGCATCAAATCTGTCGCCAGCGACGGTCATGTTGCGCCGGCTGTAGTCAGTGACCGCACTACAGTACAGAGTCCATCCAAATGGCGTCAGATTCATCGATAGGTGGAACAAGCTTGCCGCGCTGAAGAGCAAAGAGTGTGTATGTTGGATTTGGTAGGCTTCCCTCAAAACACCATTGGCACATTGCATAATCACTTCGTCTTCGAAGAAGAAAATGCATCGCTTCGAGAGGAGTCGTTCTTGGAACGTCCAGGCTCTCGAGCTCCACTTGCAGCTTTCGACCAAGCCTTCCAATTGGGGTCTCGACGGTAGCAACGAGAAAGCGTTGTGCTGCGACTTCATCCTCTGTGGAGCCTCAGCTCGTCGTGAGCTTGGGTATAACGCCGATATACCAATGCTCGAATCCTCGGCGGAAGCTGCCACGATCGTTGCGTAAGCGTTGCGATAGATGGAACCCATATGAGCGACTATGTCATGTTTCTCGTCGAGATTATTCTGGTCGATACAAAGTGTATCAACCCACAGGTACTGTTCACCCAGCCGTTCGACCAAAAGCATTGCATCATGGACTGTTCGCGGAAGACTGTCAGAAAGGTCGACAGAGAGCAGATTCGAGGCATGATAGCTAGCCATCGTCGGTCCCCAAATGTAGGAAAGGGCAAAGTACCGAGGGGTGCGTCGTAACGAGACGACCTTGTTGGCCTTGACATCGATGAGGCGGAACCGGCCCTTGGCCTGGAGCCTCTCGAACTCGGCGTGGATGTCAGCTTCGCTGGTCGTCCTTTCCAGAACGTGTGCTGTATGGCAGTCATCGCAGGTCTTCAACCATTCTTTCAGTTCTGTTGGTTCCAAACATGCTCGCACAGGCCAGCGCACACCACTCGTGATGGTCTCTTTCGTCTGCGTATCTCTGATGTCTCCCACAAGGTCCAGAGACACCGTAGAGTACCACTGATCACTCCCATAACGAGTCACTGATGAACTCTCCAGCCCAATGATGACTGAATTGTAATGTATGTCGCTCTCCGCCATGCTTCGGTAAAAGCGAATCGAGTAATTCAGCGAAGACTCAACAATATCATTATGAACGTCGAGATGTGGATTCGCCTTCGACAGCTGCTCTGTGATCAGCGAGCAAAACGGGCACCACCAGTTGCGGAAGGCCTGTCGTATTGATCCCATCGGCTGTTTGGCCCGTGATTTGAAGAGTTGCCCAAAGTCGATGCTTCCACATGTGCCACATAGCTCCTTGGAGCGTGAGACTCGATTTGACTGATCGCCATTGCTTGGTGTTACCGGAGTGATGATGCTCTGTGGCTCCTTGCTGAGGTTTCGAGTATACAATGTGCCGAGGGACGCCATATCTGCGTGGTTGTGGTGAAGGGCAGCGCTATCGTACAGGGTCCCACTGAAGGCGAGAAAGGCAAGTCTCGTTTAGTATCAACTCCATTGGTCCCGGTGATGCGTGAAGTGTCGGTTGTCGATGTCCTAGAGGTTCGCTCTATGTTCCTAAAGGATAAGGGATTTGTCCACTCGGCGATTTGAGGTGGGAAGCTTCAGCCGCAGGTGGGTCGATCCAGGCTCGAAACGGAAGGCGTGTACAGGTGTGACTTGGTGCGACGGCATCGTGTTGGGGGTCAAATATGTATTCGTGCAGTATCTGGTCAGGAGTGCATAGTGACGTAGTCTAAAAAGCAACTTTTTGCCGTTTCAATGTACATCCCATGTCGTACCTCATCCCTCGTAAGTCGTCTAACCGCTCCATATGTACAAGTACGCCATGCCCTAAAGATCAGATCAGTATCCACGAACCTGAGGAATAGAACAGTCAAGGCACGACTGTCGGTAATCAAATAGGCCCATCTTTCGCATCATACACGAAACCAACGATCTTCCTCCCTACTTTCCTCGGCGGCGGAATAACAACGTGATCACAGCTTCCCTTGTTCTGCGCGGTGATGGCCTCAGCCAGCTCTCGCATCACCTTGGTCATCTCTCTATGACCAGCCATCAGCTCTCGAACCTGGCTTGATGTAGCTTCCAACCTCTTATCGAAGCCTGCGGTATCGATCTTGACCTTGTCTTCTGTCGCTTTCGAACGATTCGTGATGGACTTCACGGCGTTGGCGTTCTGCTCAGTTACAGATTGAATCTTGCTGAGATGCGAGGTCAGAGCTGAGAGAATGAACTTGGGGTCACCCGAGCCCGGACTGGCCTCACGAGTCGTGTTGTTCACTTTCTCCAAGCTCCGGTGTATGCGATTCAATCGCTCGGTGAGAGGTGTGAAGTCGATCGAGGCTTGGCCTGAAGGCGGGTCTCGCTGCCTCTGTTCCTCGATCGCAGCCTTGACCTGCTTCGCGTTCGAGTCAGTGGCTTCTCGTATCGCTTCCAGGTGGTCCGCCAGAGGTCCGAAGTCGATAGCCCGAGGAACGTCTGCGCTGTTCTCCTGAATGGCTACCCGAATATCATCTAGCCGTTGTGTAAGAGAAGAAAAGTCGATGTCCTTAAGTTGAGCATTTATGACCGTCGTAAAAAGCTCAGCGTTTCGATCCGTGGCCGAGTGGATTGCCTGCAGGTGCTCTAGGAGAGGATGGTGCTGCCCCTCGATGGCCTCTCTCACTGCTTCCATGTGATCGGCCAATGGTGTGAAGTCAAGCTCACCATTGGTCTGCTCAATAGCCTCGCGTGTACCGTTCTGGCCCTCAATAAGCTGCGTAAGCTGGTCCTGCAATGGCGATAGATCGATCGTTGGCGACATCTGTTTGTTGACCGAATCTTTCATAGCGAGCTGAGTATCTGCGATGTCCTTAAGATGTTTCGAATGCGTTTCAAGATGGCCCGTAAGCGGCTGGAAGTTGATGGCAGGCTTGCTTTGCGTTACCGCTTTTCGTAAAGCGCCCTGCGCATCGAGGAGCTGTTGCAGCCACTGCGCATTATCTTTTGCACTTGCATCAAGCCCTTCGAGGTGTTTTGTCAACGGTGAAAGATCTACTCCCCGTCCGCTATGCGCTTGCAAGGCCTGCTTCGCTTCAGTCTGTGCGTCGAGGATTTGCTCCAAGATCTTGTTGCTACTCTTCGTGCTTGTCTGTACGGCCTCAAGCTGTCTGACGAACGAGCTGGAGTCCACCACAGAATGCAGCTTGTCTCTGTCGGCAATCTCCTTGGCGTGCTTGTTGCCTTCCTCGATGGCGTTGTAAATCTGCTCCAGGTGTTCGCCGAGAGGAGCAAGGTTGGCGTGTGGTTGCTGATCCGCTCCACCAGGTATTGGAGAATTGCCTCCTTCGCCTTCGCCGCTCGCAAAGCCCACCAGAGCTTGCATATGTGAGCTCTGCTGCTCGATTGCGCCGTGAATCTTCTGCAGGTGTTCAGTCAACGGCGCGAGATCGACTTGTTGCTGGTTGGAGCCTGATGCCCAGAAAGGAGTCCTTGGGGCGTCTGATTCTGGTAGTGAACCTTCCTCCAACAGATTCTTGATCAACGCTGAGTTTGCCTCCACGGCCTCTTGCATCTTCTGGAGCCTATCGGTCAATGGCGAAAAGTCAATCGTAGGCGTCTTCTCCTCCGACGTCCGGGCACTGTCCTTTCGTTCAGTCACGGATTGCTCCATCATGTTTTGTATGCGATCCAAATGCGATGATAGCTGTGACATGTCCAGGTAGTCTGCCCTTTGCTTCGAATTCACATCTTCCAGCGCCTTGCTGAGCTTTTGTTCATTTTCGAACTGCCTCTTCGACATGTTTTCCATGTGTTCCATGTTCCTCGTCAGGAGATCCGTCATACGACCAAAATGACCTGACAGCTCACTCATGTCGAAGTATCCGTTTCCGCTGTTGTTGCTCCCCTGTCCAGGCTCTTGGTCTTGCTTCTCGGCTAGTTCTTTCACTCCTTCAGTATTCTTCTCCATGGCTTCCATCATCTTCTCGAAATGCTCTTCGAGCCTTGTCACATCATTGCGCATATCCTTGACCTCTTTTCTGGCCTGGCCAAGCTCAGGGCTTGCGACTGTAGATGCAGAGCCGCCCATCATATTCCCATGCGCATCTTGAACTGGTATGATTCCTTGCGCCGCACCACCCAGGCCGTTCGATTGTGCTTCGCCGAAGGAGATGTACATCCATTTCGTCTTTAAATGCTCGAATGCTGGATGTCGCCAGGCTTTCTCAAGGAGGTCGTCGGTCTTGAAGGAGAACAATTGCGGACCAGGTCGTATACAATCGGGGAAATGCGCTTGTATGAGCAGCCACCATTCGTTGGCGACGGAGGCAGAGGCGAAGGTGAGGAGATAGCGGGAGCGCACCTCGTCGCCCTGTAGATGGTATGGGTCAGCAAAGTAACCAAAGCCTTACTCTAACGGTTTCAGACCTTTCGCGCATATGCGTAGAACAAGTTGCCATCGGGACCTTGACTCATATTCGTTGGATAGGAGCCTTGCGACAGAGGTCTCTGTTTCGGCGACGGTCGGTCTGACTTTGAACTGCCGGATCTCGTTGGCGTCGACGGCGCTGAGCCATCACCCTCCGACTGGGTGTACTGTCCGTTTGGAAGAGTCTTCAGGTTGCCTGTCGTACGCCGGCGCTTGGGCGACATCCATGACATGTCCGGCATGGTCGTGGTCGTGGTCGCGAGGGCTGTGAGCCTAAAAGCTGGCCGTGTAGCTTACCGTGGTCGCTCAAGGGGCTAGGAGATGCGATCGATAGTTCTACCTTCGAAGATATACAGCATATGTAGCATTGCGTGTCGATACCATGTTGGAACAAAGCAGGATGACAGGCGGTGATGGTGTTGTGGCCGACAGGGAACGGTACTTGATGTGTGGGTGGAGTGACGTACATACGATCTGCAGCGTGAGGCTGGAGCTTCATCTCCGTTGCCCATGAAGCGGTGCGTATACTTCTGTACTTGCTGCTCGATTGTCTTCCTTGTCGATATCATCGGAATACCGAGACATGGTCATGGAGAAAGAGAATATGAAGTCCCAATGCCCACGAGGCCGACGCAAGGAGCCATCGGAACGCTTGAGAACGCCGTCGAGGACAGGTTCTTCCGGACCTGAGTCCGTACCAATCATTGGTGCTTGACCGGCTCCCCCAACTTCTTCGTCTCAACTTCAACTGCTCATCGACAATTGTTCTCTTTGAGCATACCTTTGGGCTCTCACCAAACCCAACCTGCATCGCTGCATGACCGAAGAGAACGCAGAGAGCTTTTCGTCAGATCACCCAAGGCGAGCGGCAAGAGGCTCATTCGATCATTGAACAGAACTCCTAGATCCGTTTTAAGGGTGCGCTTCAAGCTGGAATCTGATGTCGAAGGATGCTGGTCTGTCTGAACGTAGCGTTTCGAGGCACAACGGCTGCAACTTCCTGACTGTTTTGGTTGTGATGCAGCAGGCAGCACGCGAATGGAGCAGACATATCAGAGATGCCAATGTACAGCAGAATGGATATCGAGGATCAATATCAGCGACTGTGGCCTGCCTGTACCCCTTGTGGTCAATACCCAACGAGAGGCCAAAAAACCCCGAAAAATTGGCCGCTTGTACGTTCGAATGCCTATTCCTCTGGGAATGAGTGATAGCAGATCTGAAGGTAAAATGAAAATTTGCGTTCCACATGCAAGAGAAGGACCCTGGATTGACGCAGTATCCTGGTGACTATTCGCTCCATGTCCAAAACGATAGCAAAAAGAATCGAATGATAAGCGTTAACGGCCAGGCAGCATTTTGCAGATTCGAACCCGGGGTATCCAGAATTGCAAAAATTGAATCAAGTGAAGTGAGTGAATTTGCACATGAAGCTAAAGAAAGCAGAAAGAATGTTAGCGACTATACCAAATCAGCATTTGTTTTCATTAGGCTCCAGGCTCGAGGTATGGCGATTGGCGAGGCGACGGCTGGGCGGGCATTGGCTGGTTTTGAATTGTTGGAGGAGGTGGTGTTCATTGTACATATATAACTTAAATGCGCCTCGAAGACACATGGGAATGATGTTGGGCTTAGGGGATAGCGTTCTGGCCTGGTGTGACTGGTACAGGGCCTTTGATCCGCAGAACTGCTCGTAAGGAGCTTCTTGTCTGTTTTCTGCGTCTACTTACGCATTCGACTGATATGCACCGTGTGATGAGAGAAAAACGATTGACTGAACGTAGTCGCTCTATATCAACGATATGGTATCTAGCCTCCTTGGGCCTATGTATCCCTCCAAGCACAACGCTCGATGTGTGACCGCTTCGTCTTCGGAGTATAACAACAGGCTGAACCAGTCAAAGAGGCAGAAGGAAGAATGTGTCATGTACCAATAAGACATCTCTGCCGCTCTTCAAATATCATAGGGGCCAGAAGATGTTGCCTGGGGCTTTGTGTACCGTAGCAGACGTGGGCGGCGTCGGGGACATTGCTGAAAAGGCGGGCTTGGTTGTTGCTGGCATGAGCATCATGCAGTTGCAAGGCGATCACGATGTTGGACAGTCCTCCTTACTAGAGCGGTGGATCCCTAGATCTGTATGGAAACAATCGACTCGTGGTAGTGATCTAACGATGGAAGCAAGAGCAGCAGCGACAGGTCGGCGACTCGTCGATGCAGTCATGAGTGCGTTCGTGAAGTCGTTGAGCTAAGAATACAGGTAGGGATGTTGCAAAAGAGCCACCACGGCGCCTGATATGAAGAGCCTTATGAGATCGAAGTCTCAGCGCACGACTGCCCTCTGGTAAACGTGGTGTTGGCTTTTGTCAAGTATTGGTGTTGGTAGCAGTAGCAGTAGCTGGACGCTAGGCCCTGTGCCTTCTCGACTTCGTTTGCTCAACTTCGTCTTCTTCACAACACCCACTTGCAAAGTCAGACCTTATCACGCCTGAGCTGCAAGATGAATCACAGCATCATCACATCAACGACATCATCCACGACACCTTCAGCTGAGGAGGCAACGTCTTCAATGCACTCCCAACGAACGGAGCGTAGGCACATCACCCACCTGCCATCGCCGCTGTCTCGCGACGAGCAACCGATGCCAACGAAGCAGCTGGCTGCCCTGGTACGACCATCCAACACAGCTCCATCTGCTTGCTTGGGCTGACCTCCTAATCTAGATCTCAGTATCGAAGTAAGACAGTGGAAGCAGTGCAGATAAGACAGTCTCACATCAACACCGAACCGACCGACCGATGCTTTCCAGCACTACAATACCACACTACTGAGCGATCCACACAATTCCGCTTGAGAGATTGGCCTCGAGCTCAAGGACGGATGAAAGAAGATGGAGCGACATGCGGTTTTGGCTTTCACATTCAGCTTGTCATGAGAGCGCTTTCAGACGCCGTACTCACTCACGACGATGCAAGCATCCTTGCCGAAGCGCGGACCTCACGTGCTTGCTGTTCTTTTCAGCATGGGTCCAAGTACCCTCTGACCGTGCCCCACACCCCGTCTCTAACCGACGCAGCACTTCGTGCCGTCGAGATAGAGGCGACGAAGTCGAACATCATCCTGAAGAAATGCGAATTGCTCGTCCCGGGCAAGCACCACGACCTGCAAATCGCAGCCAAGTGTTTCGAAGACACCTGGACGAAGCTTCGTGTGTTCGAGAAGTTCGAGGAGGGCTTCGAGACGCTTTGCTACCTCGACGCCGACATGATGTGTTCAAGAACATGGACACGGTCTTCGACAGCGCCAGCGGACTGTGAAAGAGAGTTGTCTTGGCCTCTCTGAGCACTGCTCAGCGAGGCGCGTTTCGGCACTTGTTGCGATTTCCCACACAAAATGGTCTGGCACGCACCCGCACGGTGCTGCCAGAAGCTGGCGGATAGCACCCAGCTTCCGGTGCCAGACTTCATCGCACCTCGCCCAGCACTTAAGCAGCGCTACGTCTCAGCCGGCAGTATTGCGAAGCTGGCTGACCCGAAGAAATCGAAGGCTTCAAGCTGCCGGAAGCCGCAGATCCGGGCATGTACATGAAGAAGGAGGAGTTGATGAAGCGACTGGCAGACGGCGAGTTTGGCACGCCTCCTCGTTCCAGCACGAATACCGACAGTGTTCCTCGATCCAGTTATAACGCAGCAATCGCGAGCAGCAACAGCAGCAGCGTTCGCGCGTCCAACGACGTCGTCGATGAGCAAGGCGGGATGTGCGATAGATCAACCAGCAACACCAGCGCCAGGGGCCTCAAGCGGCTGTTCAAGAGAAATGACAGCATCACAGAGTAAGCTTGGTGGAGGGGGGAAGCGCGGAAGAGGCTGATGTTTGTAAATACATGAAAAACACTTGACACCCGGTAGAGCAGGAAATGTGCCTGCGTGAACGAAGTTTCTCTCGTCATAGTCAGTCGTTGAAACAGGAGGACAACATGAGCCCCCTTTCCAACTTCACAGCTGTCGACCTACCCCTGACTCGCTGCCCGGGTAGGACATTATCCAACTCCACTTCCACGGTAACTACAGCGTTTTCTGCACCCATCCCCACAAGATCCACCCCGACCACGACATCAACAAGTCATAGAAGCACTGGGTGGGCGAATGGAAAACGGGGATGATATCAGCTAAACCGACCTCGAGGGACCAGCCCTTCGAAGTGGCATTTATTCCATCAACTCCGCCTACCACTTGAACAACGCCTTGAGCTTATCTCTCCAATCCCTGGTATAGACCCGCCCAGAAACAGGACAACGACCCCCAAAGTACCTCAGCACATCCTCTCTCGACGGAGACCACACCACACCTTCATCCCTGAAAGCGTCGCGCTCCTCCCTCGCAGCAGCCGCCCTCACCAGAGAAACACCCTCCACGCCCGCATACTCAAGCGCCCTCTCCACCTCAAACGCCATCCTCTGCCACGCCATCCCATGCCCCGACGCACCCCACTCCTCCCAGCACGCATCATGCCCTCGACACGCATACTGCACCCAAAACGCATGCAGCGCCTCATGCGCAATGAACACGAGAAGCTTCACCGCATAGCGCTCCGGGCTGATGTTGCCATCGTACGCGTTGGTCACGTTGATGCGGATTTCGTCCCCCTCGGGCTCGGTACAGCCGTTCACGTTGCGCGGGAAGCCGGCTTCCCAGTGGATGCGGGCGTTGGCGAGGGCGCCGAAAAAGAAGAGGTCGCTCACGAGGGCGAGGCATTCGACGAGGAGGCGGCTGCTCAGGGGCGTCTGGTGCGCTTGCGCCGAGGCCAGCTCGCGCGCAAAGGCCTCTAGCCAGAGATGGAGGCTTCTCACTTCCGCAGCTGTCTCTGCGAGCCAGCGGTGCTTGGAGCCCTTGATGGGCGAGGTGATGGCTTGGACGATGGCTTTGGGCGAGTGGAAGCTTGGGTGAAGTGAGGTTGTTGTGGGCTTATTGCCCAGGGGAATGTGGCCTGCCATTGTGATGTTGTTCTCGTGCAGAGGGGAGGAAGGGGAGGGGGATGAACCTACAGTTTTGATCGTAGGTCGAGAATCTCACCTGTGATTGAATTGGACGGCTATTGTGTGAATGGATAGTATGCTCACCTGGGCGGGTTCGAGGAGGGCATTGAAGGACAATAGCTATATCACCCAGAAGGAGATCCCCGGACTTTCGCCAGGGTCAATCGTGTCAGCGAGCATGTCACCAGCGTGGTCGGCGCATCAGTTCGTGGGATATCCGCATTAAACATCGTAGAGTCGTTATGGAAGCGGCACTCACTCCTCGAGCCTGGCGCGAGCTGCTTTCCGCTGTCCCGCTTGCAATCTGATACCCTCGAAAACCTCGCCCACCTAGGCCTGAGCTTCGACTGCTCATGAGACTCCTTCTAAATGCCGTCTTCAACGTTTGCCTCACGAGGATTCTCGCTCGTTAAACGTGCTCGTCTTTTAGATACCAGAAGACAAGATCTCCTCACCCGCGAGGGCGATCGATGATCTCGAGGCTGGCAAATGTGATGGACGCCGAAGGCTGGTCCACAGAAACGCAGATTCCAGATAAGACATCGTCTCCTAGGACATCCGTCTCAATTATCCGAACCAGTGCCGTGCTCACTCCTCCTCGTTCTCATCCAACATCCAATAACCACCAATCTCCTTGAAAGTCTCCTGGAAGCCTGGCACGATCTCATCCAGCGGTCTCGGCTCCACCTTCGAAAAGTGCGTGCACGAAGCCGGCAAAGTGCCTTCAGGCTTGTTGTCCATATAATCAAAGTTATCGAAGCCGATCTCAGTTGTGGTGAGTTCCGCAAATTCATGGTCGTACGGGCTACGCTTGTATGCTTGAAATACTCCTCCATGCTCTTCCAGCTGCATCTTCATGACGGGCTTCGGGATCGTTTTGAGCAAGCCGCCGTGCAGGAAAGCGACTCGTCCGTCGTCGGGGTGGTGCTGGGCGAAAGTGTGGCCGCAGTAGAAGCCATTGCTGTTGTTCGTGCCGACGCTCGTGACCCATCTCGAGGGCCTGCCATACTTCGTTTTCAGGGCGTGCCATGCGAAGCGGTAGCAGTCTTTGTCGCCGAGCATCCAGCTCTGGAATCTGCCCTCATTCTCCGGACTATCCATGAACCACGCGGCGAGTTGCAGGTGATAGAAGAATTTGCGCTTGTTGATGAGCAGCTGGCCGCTCTCTTGCTCGAATTCGTCCATTCGGCAGCGGGTGTTTGTGATCGGCCATATTGGGTTGTTCGTTCTAGTGCGGGAGATGTCCGGCCAGAAGATGGTGCCGTACTCCTTGTATGTCGCAGATTCGTATAATTCGTCTGGGTCAATAACTGGTATGTTGTCTGAATCCAGAAGCAAGGGTTCTGCAAACCGGGAGTTCACCATGGCTGCCGTCTTGAGCTGGAAATGCACTCCAAACATCGGATTGAAGCGAGTCTCCTTGATATTGTGGGATCCAGACAAGTCGTTGAAGAAAATCGAGGGCCATATCTCCTTCAGCTCTTCTTGCGACTCAGATGACATCTCGTAGTCGAAGTAATGGATCTCCACAGGTAGCCTCGTGCCTAGTCGCTTCAACTGCCGGAGAAGGACCTTCACTCTCTTCAGACTTTTGCCATTCCCACCAACAATGACGATGCCACGCCCCTCAAAGTTGCCTGCAGCTTCGCTCCAAGGTACCAGCTTCGCATTCACGGCGTGCTGCCACTGACTCCTCCATGGACTGAGGTCTTTGTCTTTCATATCCTTTAGGACCCAGGTTAGGTCCAAGAACCATCCAGAACTCTCTCCGAAATTGAAATCGACATCATCATCTTTGGACCAAGTGCATGTAGACTTCGCCTGCCTCATCAACATGGGCTTCAGGCTGGTGATGTTCTTGAAGTGCGGCAAGAAGTCGTCTGCATTCTCGAACTTGTGGGCATCTTGAATGATGCGTATCTCAGATCCAGACTTGGCCATGTATTGTTCATCGTTCGGCCTTCGGAAATCTGACCGATGATACGAGAAGGCCGAAAGTGCTAGAATCACCAGAGCGGCGACTGTAACAACGCGGTATGTCGGCTTTGGCAACTTGGCAGGAATGCCAGACTGCATGTTCGTCCATCGTCCCTCACGCAGTGCATTCCGCCAGGACGAAGCCATACTTGCGGGGTGTGAGGAGTGACAGGAGACCGCTGTCGACGAGAAAGTGAACGAGCATGATTTTGGACATGGCTGGAATCTTGAGTTTGGGGGTTTGGTGTCCGTTGAAGCATCACATGCGCCGTTCCCCAGACGTTGCAACTTGCCGGCCGAGGCTGCAAGCCAAGGTTTAATAGTCTCCATCCCACGAATCCAAACGTCTCCTTCGGTACGACTTGCAATTGGAGACCTGTTGCATTGACTTTATCGGGACTGGGGTATGCATCAGCCGGCGTGGAGTACATAATCCGGCTTCCGGTGGAGAAGGAGAGGAGAAGGAGGAGAAGGAGGCGGAGTAGTTCTAAGAGGAGGAACAAGACGAATGGACACAGCGATCTCCACGAGCACCCTGGCACCTGCAAAACATCAGCTTTCGACTCTCCAAACAGTCGCGAGACTCAAAGTCTCCTGGTCGCCCAGAACCGTACGACATGGCAGGCACTCCTGCTGCTCCCTCGCCTTTCTTGAAGCCTCCTCCATGAGCAGCACCGAATCGATTCGCGAAACAGCCAGAATACCATTCGCTCTTGAGGACAACCATCCATGTCTAGATACGAGAAGCTGCGCACAATGCATTGACGCCGAAAGTCACAATGGCTTCACGCAAATGCCTATCCATGTTCGCCATCTCCAGTCGTAGCCTCCTTTTGGCGAATGGACCTGGATCTTCCGAGTAGCAGGCGATGATTGACCGTCCAGAGGACCTTGTCGAGTGCGATAGCAGGATTTCATCAGTTGAATGGCCACTGCTTTTCGCCGACTGCGTGTGGCACCGGGGCCATTTCGACATTCGGCACTTGCAACTTGACACTTGCAACCTGACACTTGCAACTTGAATGGCTTCCAGCATCTGCTGAACGGCGATACACAACATGGTATACCAAGAGGAAAAAGACGGCGAGATTTGATAGCACATGCATGCGCTTCTAGGATACAACACAAGCCTGCCCCTGACACACTTTCTCGGAGCCTCGAACTTCCTGCCTGAGACCTGCCAGACGGTTTGCCATCTCCCTCATACAATGGCCTTGGACGAAGAACATCGTGCAAGAAGCTGCAGAACCGACTCCACATACGGATGGCAGACAAGAGGACTGAGGCAACAGACAGCCAGAGGGCGCGATCACAGCTAAGCTTATGGTCAGGCATATGTGCCGGAAAGAGACACGGCACTTGAGAAAAAGCTCGTATTGCTCGCATTTACACATTGGTTCCTGATCGACACCTGTCACCTGGTTATGGCTAGAATGAAGCATTCGTTGCTTTTTGGCTTCAGGCTTACAGACGGACCGAGGCTCGAAAGGGTCGATCCATTCGAAGACTACGAAGTCGTCATGCCAAACTGTACAAATGATATTGGACGACTTGATTGCCTTCTACAATCACGGAACCAGACTGTGATTTCCCTGGGACAACCATGGGTTGGAAACACATCGTTGCAGCCGCCAACTGCCTCAGCCTTGCGGCCGCTCATCCCTCGCCGGTTATCGAACGAAGAGATTTCATCGGAAGCGTTGTCTCAGGCCTAGGAGCAGATGCAACGAACGTCGCCAAAGTCGCATCAGCCTTTCTGGATGGCGTCGAAGCCACCGTACCAACTGCAACAATCTCAACCTTCCCGCAAGCAACCTCCGCCCTCACCAACGTCTTCACAAAAGGAAGAAACTTCCTCGATACAATCCCTTCCCTCATCGAAGCCGGATTCGACCCCAACGACATCCCTTCGATCATCGAAGGCTACTCCCCGGCCGACAACTCCATCAACAACATTGACCCACCACCAAACAAGAAAATCTACCCAGAGTCCTCCCCTTCTGACCCAGCCTACTCCCTCCCAGAGTCCACCCTCCTCGGCAGCATCCACATCCCCAACACCTTCACCTACGGCACCAAACCCCCCGTCATCCTCTTCCCCGGTACCGGAGTCCCCGGCGGAATAACCTTCGCATACACCTACGCCCGCCTCTTGGCTAAACTCCCCTACGCCGACCCCCTCTGGCTCAACATCCCCGATTCCAGCCTCAACGACGCCCAGCTCACCGCCGAGCACGCCGCCTACGCCATCAACTACATCGCATCCCTCACCTCCCACAACGTAACAATCATAACCTTCTCCCAAGGCTCCCTCAACCTCCAATGGGCACTCACATTCTTCCCCTCCACCCGCCCCTTAACGAACCAACTCATCGCCCTCTCCCCCGACTACCACGGCACCGTCAACGCCGCGCTCATCTGTCCGACCTTCCCAAACCTCGGCTGCACGCCCTCTGTCCTACAACAATTCCCCTCCTCAAACTTCATCTCCACCCTCTTCGCCCACGGCGGAGCCTCGGCATACATCCCCACGACCTCCATCCGCTCCGCCACAGACCAGATCGTACAGCCGCAAACCGGCCCAAACCCCTCCGGCGTCCTGCAAGATGAACGAAATGTCGGCGTGACGAATTACCTCGTGCAGGAGGTCTGTCCTGCTTCGCCCGCGGGGACTCTGGTCACGCACGAAGGGATTCTGTATAACTCCATCGCGTACGCACTCACGCTCGATGCTCTGCAGCACGGACGCCCCGCGCAGCTCAGTCGAGTGGAAGATCTAGGCAAAATCTGCGCGGAGATCGTAGCGGAGGGGATGAGTCTGGCAGATCTTGTAGCTACCGAAGGATCGTTCGCGGTGTTCTTTGGGAATTTCCTGGCGTATACGCCGCGGACGAGTGTAGAGCCGAAGGTGATGGGGTATGCTGTTTGAAAGTGCGTAGTAGTTACGAGGGCAGAAAAAAACTATGTATAAACGAAGTAACAAGAATCGACTCGCTTTTTTCTCGCTCTCTCTCTCGCTGTCATTACTTCGTAGACTCTTCCTTCCTTTTTGTTTGGCCGTCTCCGATGATGATAATGATGATGTACATGCCTGCCTCCCAGTCCCAAAAATCAATAAAGCATTCCTTGCCCGCTGTCTTCTCGTCCATCAAGACATTAAGAGTCTGTTCAAACTCATTTCCTTGTTCGTGCCCCTAAGTGCCGTGGGTGTGATACTACTACTACTACTACTACTACTACTACTACTACTACTACTACTCCATGCAACGCCTTCGCTAAGATTTCAACTTCAAAACCAATATCTAACAATCATTCTCTTGTCCCGCTTCTTGCATTCCTACTGCGGCGGCGACTGGCCAAAGTACTCCGCACTGCTCGCCTGCATGGCAGCGTTGGCCCCAATACTGTTTCGGCTGATGCTGTCGGCGGCGCGGTGGTGCGAGACTGAGTGGTGGGAGTGGCCTGTTGGTGGACCATTCTCTGCTGTGGGCGAGTCGACGGGGCTGCGCATCAGGTCCGGTGAAGTACCGTTGGAGTCGAACCCTTCGAAGACGTTCTCGGTCGTGGGTTGGTAGCGCTGGGCGGCTACCTCTTGTGACAGGGTTCGACGAGAGGATCGGCGGGGAACGGTTGGTGCTGGGTGGAGCGGCCCTCTCGTGGCTGGGGCTGCTTGGCTGCGCTGTGAAGACTGGCGAGAGTGGTTCCATTCGAGGTTATCAACAGCACGAAGCCAGTCCGATCCGCCACGGGTGGTGTTGCTCGCATAGGCGTTGTTGGTGGCGGCACGAGATGCTGCCGTTGCCGTGGAGTTGAATCGTGACGGCAAGTCGATGCCGCCGACAGTCGAGATCGGATCCAGAGATGGCACTGGCTGGTCGGAGTAGCGAGTAATATTGACCTCCTCCTCAGGATAGTGTGACGATTCCCGACTGTTGACACTCTCTTCGCTGACACGACGGACAGCAGGCATGAGACCCATTGACGCTCGATGCTCAGTGCTAATAGGCTCGAGAACGGGATGATCCAGCGGAACCGTCTCACTGTCTGGTCTTACTCTTGCAGCACCACCTCCTTCATTGCCCGAACCAAATCCAAAGTCGAATCCAGTAGTTGGCGGACGTTGAGCGAGATCATCAGTTGGAGTATCTGAACGATCACGATCAATGGATCTCTCGGCACCGGCGCTGGCTTGCATCTCTCCCTGAGATGTTTCCGGAGAGTCACGATATGGCTCTTCGTGCATCACAGGGCTTTGCTGCAGCTCGAGAGCCTCGGGAGGCCCGCCTGCTTGTTGCGTCCCTGGAGGCATGCGCGATGATCGGACCACTTCAAATCCCTTGCTCTGATCTTTCTTACCCTTCACGCCAAACACAACCCGTGAGAACCAGCTCTGTGCAGTCGATGCCGGTCCGGTGGGGTCGGCAGGACCAGTCTTCAGCTTCCGCGAAGGCTCATCACTGAGAGGTGGGCCACGGTAGTATTGATCGACTTCTCGGACGGCATAATCGGTTCGAGGACCATTGTCGTCTCCAGAATCCATTCGCCCACGAATGTACGCAGGTGCTGGCGAGCCATGCATGCCGGTACTATCGTAGCTGCTCTCTCTCGCATGACCTGGCGAGTCTTGGTACGGTACATCGTACGTACTTCTAGTCTGTGTGCCTGGCACATTCTGGGCAGTCTCCATCGTCGGTCTCCGTCGTGGAGGTCGGTAATACGTTGGATCAGCATCTGCTCCACCAGCAGCTGTAACGGCAGGCTTTCCATTTGCGCCAGTTCCTGTTGTCATCGAGGCAAGATTCTCTGAGCCGGGATCAGGTGAGTTGACCACTTCGCCCGCGCTCGAGAAGTTCTCAAAACCGCTCATCCTATTGAGAAGTTGTTGACTGCTGCCGGACATGCTCCTAGATCGCCCGCCGTAGTTCGCACTCCTGTCTTGGCCGTTCGAGACGCGAAGGATAGCCGCATTGCTCATCATACTATTACGATCGGGCTCCGGTCGGTCTGGACGCTTCTTCAACATACGCCAGCTCAGGATACTACCCCGAACTGCGCCGTTCTGTGCGTCACTACCGGCACCGAGCGAGCGCGCAATGACTTCGATGAGAGTCTGTGCTGAGTTGAGGAAGAAACCGAAGATGAGCACGCAGGCGTGGAGGAGTAGGATAACATAGCCGATCCAGCCTCTTGGGGGCTCAGTGATTCCAAGCGTTGGCACGAATGCGATCATGAGCAGGACGGCGATGAGACGCACGAGTGCGAAAGTAATGTGGTAGAAGTTCATGCTGGTTTTCCCACGGAATGGTCGAAGTCCGAGAAGTGTCAAGATCAGGATAACTTCGCAGACAGCCAGAATAATGATCTGCGCAATGCCACTTGGCTGTACCGCTCCTATGGCGACTCCCCTCATGAAGGTGATCAAGACCGGCACGAGGGCAAATGTCGCCGCATCATCGCTGTAGGTGTTGTAAACTGGTCCGTAAAGCAGTACCGTCGGCATCTCGTCGAACAACAGAGTCCTAGGCTTTGTCGTCCAGACCATACGCAAGATCCAGGCTGCACAGACCATCATTATCACCAACAACACCACCGCGCATGCTATGACGCTGGCTGGTGAGTGGGTGGATACGACGAGTTGGAACAGACTCAGGGCCACAATCGGAAGGATGAAGAAATTGAGCAACAGGCGAAAGATGTTGCCAACAGTAAAGGGCACATTCTTCTGGCGCAAATCCTCTTCCGTGGTATGGGTGGCCATGCGGTAGACCCAGCGACCGAAGAATCCAAGCTGGCATAAAAGCACAACCACTGCGGCTATGACCAGCAGCCAGACTGCCATGCAGGCCCAGATATCCGATGCCTCGCTCATCCCCACCAGCTGGCTCATCGTGGTCAAGCCGTAGGTAGCATTGGTAGCATAGAGCCCATCCACAAGACTTTGTGTGCCATTTCCCCCACTGACAAAGCTCTCATTGAAGAGCAGCGTAGACCAGCTGGCCTGGCTGACTGCTGGCTGGAAGAAGCCAGGATAGTTCAGTGTCAGACTGCCCGTGAGGACAATAAACTGAATGTATTGCAGGCAGTCGCCGAAGCCCGGTGTGACCAATCTCAACAAGTCCTCGTCTCTTCCATAATTGCTGCTCCACCGAAAGATATCGGAGCTGCCCCATGGCGACCAGATGGCCGCGGCCAATGTAGCGACACCCTTGAGAATCAGAATCGCCGCAGGTAACCACGTGAGCAAGCCAGATATATTCGTGCCCAGGTCAGGCGTAATCATTGCACTGACGCATGCCACCGTCGGTCCATCTCCTGAAATGATATGAACGGTAGAGGCGATCGTGGAGAATGAATATGAGCTGCCGAAATCGTGGGTGACGAAGAAGGCGGGGAGGTCGTAGGGATCGCTGCGATTTGCGCTGAAGTATGGGCCCAGTGGACAGGAGCCATTGACGAGAGTACCGCAAAATGCCTCGCCGCCGTTATCATACGCAGTGAACGTCAAGACGGTGTAGTCGGCCGTCAAGGTCGCCAGCTTGGCTCCACCGCTTCCCTCGTTCGTGATCTTGCCCAACGCAGACTGATTGTCCCGCCATAAGGGAGAGTCTGGTGGCGGGTAGTCTCCAGTAAACTGCTGGCCAGACACATTTCCGTATATTGTGAGGCTCAGATTGTGCGTGGAGTCCTGAATGAAGGTGGCGTCGACGAAGTATGGCGTGAACTGCAGCCGCGGTGGGTTGGTATCCGTATAGCTGCTAGGCAAGCAATTCTCAAAGGTGACGAATGCACCTTGGACTGAGGCGAATAGCGATTGTAGGGCGAGGAACAAGGCCAGGGCAAGCCAGCCGCCGCTGGAGAGCGCCTTGATCATGGTGTGAGCATCGAGGGAGGCGTCAGGTGCGCATTTGGTGGATGTTGGCGTTCGTATAGCGTCGACGGCGAGGTGAATGGATCGAAGGGGGTAGGCGCGGGCGATAGGTGGTCGAAGGGTGGTAGCTACCTGGTCAGTCAAGCAGCATTAGTCCAGAAGGCGCCAGCGAGGGTCTGGCAGCGATGGGGCAAGTGTCCGGTGTCCAGGAACGACAGTCCGCAGCGCGATATCGTACACTCCCGCAGCAAACCCAGAGAGACGCAGCCAAAACACTGCAATGGGTGGTGACGACGATATTTGGGCGAGTTTTGGTGAACGGTTGTTGCTGACTTAGTTTGTTGCGTGTCCACCGGCGAGCCACGGCAAACCGCCAGCACCGTCAAAACCTCCCACGCGCTAAAGGAGCTGCAGCAAAAGGCTAAATCAATATATAAATGGCCATATCCCGGGCGCAATCAACCTTGGCGCGCCCATTTGGCTGGGTCCATCAAAGCTGACCACAAAAGATCAATCAGTCCCACCGTTTCGCTGCCCTCTTCATTGCGTGCCTTGCAGACGCTGTACGACGTCCGGTCGATGTCTGATGCGCCCACATTATCGTGTGGACGACAATCCGCGCTATACCTGGAGCTCTCCTTATACTGCACAGCCCCCTCGCCAATACGACCCTCAACAAATCGTATTCGGACCATCCACACGCCGTGCACGCCAGTCGATTAATGCATACAAAAATACACGCCTCCGCGCCATCAACAAACAAGTGCTCGTTCGCTGCTTCAAATACCTGTATATCTCCAACACCAGATCGACGTCGACAAGGTTCATCGCAGGTCGGACTGCCGTTTCGAGAAACATTCCATGCAGAACAGCTTCAACCTTGTCGCCGGGTTTCAACTATTCCGGAGAGATCGTGGCTGTGCGATCCGAAATGCCGTGCAGGTGGATCCCACGTGATATCAGAAAGGAGATAAATGCTTGGACGAAGACAGATCGAAAAGGTGCCTCTTTCTCAGATGCAAATTCCCCAGCTGGATTGCAAAGTCTGGTTTGTTGCCTGTACATGATACAAGCAGGATATCGGGCAGCCGAGCCCGGGGCGAATGCTTTCAAGGATCCGTCTCACAGGTTATGGAACTGGAGACGAAATCAACTAAACGACCGACGAAGTGCAATTCTATGAAGCGTCCAGAATGACGGCAAGTAAGTTATCAAATATCTCCTTTTCGCCTATTTGTTCCAATCGTGAGGAATCGGACCGGCGAATGCAAGCAACAGAGGCCAGACGTTACATCCCGAACGAGGCAGAGACAGACACCCACCACCACACAGCAATAAGGACAGACGATGTCGCCTCTACGAAAGCATCAAAAATGATTCTCCCTTCTCCATGTGCCCACCAAAACGCCAGACCCAGTCGCCTACGATCCTCCACATGTCAGCAATGCACATCCCTAATTCGCAATCCCCTGCTCTGATCTGGGGTCATCCTCGCCCTGCCGAAGTTTGCATCTTACCAACACACAACAAGCTTTGCTTGACAGGCTGGTACCTGAAGTCAATGGCATGCGGACCCGACACCGAAATTATCTGCTCTGACACCTGGAGACTTGGTCACTTGGTACTTGAATTCGCCGGCGACGAGGGACCGACTTAAGAATGGCGAATCCATTACGGATGGACGCTGCTGGTGTACGAGAAATCATTTTGGCGATCCTTCGAGGAGCATTGGTTGGTCAACATGGCTGGACTCTTGGGCGCACTCGGTAGTGCTCTACAACCCGTCGGCGATGCTTTAGGGAGTACGGTCGGCGCTCTTACGGATACCGTCGATCAAACAGTGGGAACGCTCGGAAACACCGTCGATCAAATCGGAAGCACAGCGAACGGAGTCCTAGGGGGCATCGGCATCGACCAAGCAAGAGGGCCTTTCCAGCAATGCATCGCGCAAGCACTCTCCGGCGACTCTGGCCGTTTCGCATTCCCAACGGACCTCCTCTTCGATTTGACCGATCTGCATCTGTACAACCTCGACCATCCGCTAACGCCTGCGGCCATTACGTATCCGAATAATGTGCAAGAAGTGTCGAGCATTGTGGTGTGTGCGAGCCAGTACGGTGTTGCGGTTCAGGGCAGGAGTGGAGGGCATTCGTACGATAACAACGGTAAGAGATAGACAATCTGCCAGAGCTTCCCCACATGACTGAATATTGGAGAAACCAGGCCTCGGTGGCATGGACGGCTCCTGCTCGATCGACTTCCGAAACATGAAGGACTTCCGCTACAACGAGGGAGATCGGACTGTGACTTTTGGTCCTGGAAATCTGCTGCGAGATCTGGACCGACAACTTGCGCTCATCGATCGGGTCATGGCGTATGGAGTGGTTGGAGAGATCGGGACAGGAGGGCATATGACTATCGGAGGACTAGGTCCACTTTCGCGACTACTGGGAACTGTTCGCTCAGACCCGAGGACGTTTGATCAAGATCCGATTCTGACTTTCTGCAGGCTACCGACCAGATCGTTTCCGTACAATGCGTCCTCGCAAATGGCCAAATTGTACAAGCCAATGCATACGAAAACCCGGATCTCTTCTTTGCCATCAGGGGTGCTGCCTGGTCCTTCGCTCTCGTCACAGAGTTCACGATGATTACATCTCCAGCACCCAGCCAAGTCGTCAGCTACCAGTACAATATCACAATCGCCCCTGGCAACGCAGCGGTTCTGGCAGACACTTTCAAGTCGTGGCAGCGCTTCATCAGCAACCCCGCCTTGTCCAGACTGTTTGCGTCCACGTTGACGTTGACGAATGATGTGCTGATCTTCTCTGGGACTTACTTTGGCGATGAAGCTTCGTTCAACCAGCTGAATATCGAAGTTGATGTGCTTGGTGTGGCGATTGGGCTCGGCATTACAAGCCGAGTCGTCACGACTGTCGTCCATGACTTAGTCGACTTGGTGACCGATCTGGTCGGTGCCATCCCAGCACACTTCTACAGCAAAAGCCTAAAGCAAGTTCACCCTGTCCACCAAAACATGGCATATTCTGACCACCCTCACAGAGTAACACCCCAAACGCTCTGGTCCGACGCCGCCGTCGATGCCATCTTCCAATACATCGAAAGCACGCCAAAAGGCACGCCCCTCTACTTCCTCGTCTGGGACCTCAACGGCGGCGCCATCTCCGATGTCCCGCCAACTTCCACAGCCTACTGGCATCGCGACGCTGTCTATTTCCTCCAAAGCTACGTAATCGACCTGCTCGGACCCGTCGCCCCAACCTCCTACGCCTTCCTCAACGGCCTTAACGCCTTCATCCAGCAGGTCGTTCCAGGCATCGACGACAGCGCATACCCAGGGTACGTGGACGACCAACTGCCGGATTATCTGACGGCTTATTGGGGCGGGAATGTGGAGAAGTTGGTGAGTGTGAAGGGGAGGTATGATCCGGGGAATGTGTTTCGGAATTCCCAGAGTGTGCCGAGTCCGTATGGTGGACGGCAGGGGGCGGCGCTTTTGCCTGAGGGGACGCCAAGGGGGAATTTGGGGCCGCTAACGGGAATTTTGAAGGAGAAGAGGGGGCATGAGGGGGTGGATCCGAGACGGGCGCATCGGATATGAGGTTGAAGGTAGCAGGAAGCATGGAAATTGACAGATTTTGTGTTGGAAAGTTCAGGCTCGCCCATAGGTTAACACGACTCATAGTTCTATCGATGCCTATTCTTGCCCCATCGAAGACGAGGTATCCCCAAAATTCTACGTCCATCCATGCCATCCTACCTCTTTTTGGCCTAAAGGTAATCTATCAAACGAAAGAGAGACACTGCTACAGCTTCCAGAACAGCGGGCGCGATCTCGCCAGAGGCACGCTGACGAACTTCCGCTACCCTCTTCGTGTTCGAGCGAACAACCTCCTCGAAAGCAGCCCGATGCTTCTCATGGAAATACTCCACATCAGCAAGCGTGAGGAAGCACCCCTGATTCTCGATTTCTTTGTTTAACGAGCGCCCGAAACCAGTATTCACATCCGTCAGGAGCGCTTTGTGTGCATATCCTTCCACATGGCTCGCGATGCGCGCCCCGGCGCTCGTGCGACGGCTCAACTTGAATTGAATTGAATGGACCCACTCGTCATGTGACTGCCAAGCTGGCTCTATAAGAGACTGGCTGCTTCTACTCCTTGGACAACACTCAATGAATTGACTTACCACGACGTCGCGCTTCAAATACGGATGGAAGGCGCCGGCTTAAAGAGACCTCATACGCAACGAAGAAACATCGACCCTTATAGAGACTAAGAGATCGCTCTACGCCGAATCAGATGTCTAGGGCGCCGCCTAGGGAATTCTATAGATGATGCGGTTGAAGATGTGCATGATTCACTTCATCTGTGCGCGGGTTGGCGTGGTCGAGGGCTGTCCGGGATTGTAGAGTCTTTGCTTCACTTCGTGCCATTCTGTGAGTGCGCCTTGTACGCTAGAGTATGTTTCGAGCTTTATCGCTTTTATGTGGTCCGCTACGGATGGATGCGATCTGGAGCGGGTGGTGTTGTGAGCGCTGAAGCAGCCTTACTTTTCCGTTGTACAGGATTTCAGGGGTTGAGTGATAGCCCTTAACTTCAATCTTGCGAAGGTACTCTTTGCTGAAGAAAGATGTCATATCTCCGAACGTTGCGATAGTCTCAAAGGTGTCGGGCCTTCGTTAGATGGCCCGGATGAAGGATACACATTGGGGATAGACATAGGAAAGAGCATGAGCACCAGAAACTTCGCTTATTTGCTGCTGGTCACTCGCTTCTCACAACGACATCGGGGGCGTTCAATCGCCATTGCATGATCTTTGTTCTCTTGAAAGGCTTCAATAAGTGCAGGCTTCCAAGACCTCACTATGCCCAACAATGGTATGAGCGACTATCCCGTCGAGCGCATGCCACAGCCTGATGTGGATGTGAGAACTCATCTTTCTTGCTGGTGCAATTTTCCCGCCATGCTCAGCTTGGACCATACCATCCTCGAACATGGTTAGCATTTCAGGAGCGAGCTCCAAAAATGGGCGATCTGACATCGATGTTCATCCACACGTGAAAGTACATGTGCAGTGCGTGTGCAGCTTTCACGCCAAGAGTGACATTAGCTAGCTTCGAGCTAGCGTTCGGCGAATCAGAATTCGAAGGGCTGGACGAAGCCTGTCAGCTACGATGCTTTTCCCGAGCAAGGCTGCCTGATCGCCATCGCGGCCTTAGGTCATGCCCTCGTTGTACTCTTAGCCTACGTGTACCTTCCTTCCGTTAGTATCAATCAGCAAGCGCAACATGTACTGATTTCGAACTTGGGAACGAATCCAAAAAATAATGTAGCCGTTCTCGAAGTCCTATGTGCGGCATCACATATCGCCAAGATGGCAAACATCGAAAAGTGGGACCCAACGGCGAATGCATTCGACAATGAGCCGCTGCTTCGCAGCCAGAGATCCGAACGAAACAGGCCAAGTAAAGGCTGTGAAAGTTGCCGTCGTCGCAAGGTCAAGGTGCGTCAGGTACTTACTTTAGTGATTGAGTGCAAAGCTGATGCCTGATTGAACAGTGTGATGCAAACCGTCCTACGTGCTCAAGATGTCACGATCGCGGACTGAACTGCAAATACCGAGACTACACTCTTCAGATCTTTCGAGATGAGACCGGCAGAGCCGCGAGTAGAGTCCAGGAGCGCATGCTGGCAAAGCAGCATGAGCGCGGATGTTCTGCTTTGACAGTCGACGATGGAGCGCTCAGACAGCCACTTCCATCTGTACAGGAGCTGGCTATCGCGAGGTTCTTCCATGACTTTATTCTCGACGGCTCTGCGAGTTCTGGGCATTCTCGTCCGAACGCAGGATACCTCGCTCGGATACCTGGCATGTATCGACGCTGCGAGGCTGAATCATCCTTTGCGCTGGCATTATCTGCGGCGGCGAATGCCAATTTCTGGAGACGCCACATGTCACCTCAGGCCAAGTCTAACAGTCTGAAGGATTGCAGCAAGGCTTTGCAGCAGCTACGGACAGATCTAGAGCATGGGAGTAGTCTACACGAGATCGCTGATTTGCTCACGGCTTCGTCTCTGCTCGCCATTTATCAGCTTATAGCCACCCGAGATGTCTCTCAGCGAACATCTTGGACAGCACATGTGAACGGAGCGGTGGCGTTGCTGGGTTCCGAGGAACGGGACAATACAGAGTTGTACAGTTTGTCGGGAGTTCTGCAGCCGATCGTCTCTCAAATGCTCATGGACTGTCTAGTCATGGGCAGACATCCAAAGCACCCCCTGGACAGATGTACGTCTGTCATGGAACTTTGGAGCCCATCAGCGATGCTCTTCACATTCATGTACCGGACCGCCGAATTGTGCGCAACTGGGCTGGATGGTTACTCGGCAGACGCCTTTGATCCCACACAACAGACTCGTCCCGTCGACATCTTCCTCGAAAAATGCCAGGCTTTGGATGAGGAGATGTCAAGCTGGATGGACTCCAGGAGCGATCTCGAGCCGGTAGTCATCCTACCAAATACCAAGCAGAACGTCCCAGCACCGCTTTGGAGCTTGTTCGCGGGCACTGGCGCACCGAGAAATTTGCATCTTTGCCCGGACATGGACCAGACTCACCAGTGGCACCTCTACAGGGCTTGCCGACTCACAGTCCTGCGTGCAATGATGAGCGCCATCCGCACCGGAATGGCCCTGGCTGCGACGGATGCCATAATGTCCAGCTACGAGCTCCGCCGTGACCTGGTCCATTCACGTACGGCCGTGCTTGTGGACGACCTGCTGTCTGCAGTGTTCTCCTCGCTGGTGGTCCCTGTCCCCGGGAAGGCAAAGCCGGAATCCATGACAGACCTCGAAGGGTTCGAGCCTTCCAGATCCTCTGGCCGTTGCACGCCGCAGGCACCTGTTTGAAGATCATGGGTCGACACTATCCAGGCGGTTCTGAGGAGCCCGAGTGGATTCGAACTTTGTTCCGTTGCATCAGGGACGACTTTGGTATCCAGTCCGCTAACAACTTTCTTCAGGTCAACGGAGGCTGAGATCATTCCATCGAAGATCAGTACATGGGAGCTGGAAATATCCCAAGCTTGACCTGAAGCAATCCGCAGCTGCTGCCCGACTAGGGATGGCGGCTGATCCTTCGAAGTCCGTATATGTACGCTCCTCACGCCGGTTCTGGAGCGTCTACCTCCTACAAGACAAGCAAAGTCGATGCAGAGGGAGGAGGAAGCGAGGAAACGGAGGAGGAGGCCAAGGACAGCAAGCAGGAAAGCTTCTCTTGATCCAGCTCGGTCGATATCACTCCGTGAGTCCGGTGGTGCTGCAATTGATCTTCTGAGATGACGATGTATTTGGTTCCACAACTGGATATCGAGGCGCCAGTGTAACGCATCTGATCAGCAGAGTCGAGGAAGAGTCAATCCAACAAAATAATAGCCCTGTTCAGCCTGGCGGACCAACCGACTCCGTAAAGTCTTAGAAGCGAGACCGTTAAGTGCGTATCTCCTAACTTCATATCAAAGCCTGCTCACAGGGTTGCGTAATTCCACTTCTTGAATATGGCGGGCGACTTTATGGTTGCTGGTGGGCGATACAGGTTTGCAGGCGGAGATGGAAGTTTTGGCCGGCGTAGAGGGACTTTTTGGCCGGCGGAGACGCAGATCTGGCAGGCGGCCACTGCCAAGACGTGACATTCGTTAGCGTCTTGTGGTTTCTGACGAATCATAGCTCTTGTTCCTACATCGACCTCTCATTCCTAGGTCCCACGTATCCAGTTGGCGGATGATTGGTATACGCGAGCCTCATTCTCCCATCCACAAGCTGCATTCGACGGGGGAAACAACATCGTCACACAGGATGCGCTCCCCTTGCCATATTCTGTGAAGATTTCAAGACATTCGTTAGCGTGGTGAACAGATTAGCCAATGGATATCTTTCTGTCGTGTGACAATTGTGAGATCTTGATGGGGGAGTATTCAAGTTGGCTTTCGGTATGCCTCCTGGTCCAGATACAGTTGCTGCATTCGGCCTGGCTGTACGCTCGGCTTTGCTTCGTTGCGTGGTTGGTGGTCCTGGAACGTCGCTGCTCAGATGGCGACTGGATTCGAGCTCGATGCGCTCAAAAGCCCGTAATCTGAAAGTACAATGTCGTTATCAGGTACCTCGCGTCTCCTCAAACCCACGACCGGCTCCACGTGTTGGATGAATTTGATAAGTCCAGGATCCGAAGTTCAGGCGGAACGGTATGGCGCTTTTGGCAAAAGAGGAAGGCCGACGCTCACGTCGTACGGCGGCAGAAAGGGCCATGGACAGATGGGGAAGAACGTGGGGTTTGTTGAAAGTCCCGTGGGTATCATACTCGTCCGAACGCTTCGACTCTATAGCATGGAAGCAACTTTTCCGCCCAATCCCCAAACTCTGCAGACTGTGACGCCGTTGTTGAGAGGAATGCCAAAGACTTGGTCGCCACGACTTGTAACTCCTTTCCATCGACTATCAGAGTCGCTCGCATGTATCCTTTGTTGTTTTGCTGGTAGTCGACGGTCTTCCAATCAAATTGCCACCCCAGTTGCATCTCGTTGGTATAATTAGTCGTCGTAGATCATGAGTTGAGAGCAGCGTCTTGACCGCTGAAGAGAGTATGGACTGGAGCATTGAGCTTGTCTCTGCCCTTGAGGAAGTCGAGCTCCATCATGAAGATGTATCCGAGGAGCTTCCCGCCGAGCTTTTGGACGAGATTGCCAGCTGCGGCTGCAGTGCCACCTGTAGGATATCCAGTTAGCCATGGGTTTCATACCTCCGTGATAAAGTCCATGTCCTCACCAGTCGCAATGATATCGTCCACAATGACCACCTTTTGCCCAGGCTTGATAGCGTCGCTCTGCATCTGGAACACATCCTCGCCATATTCTTTCTTGAACGTCTCGGTAACGCACTCGCCAGGCAACTTGCCCTTCTTCCTCACCGGCACGAAGCCAGCGCCCAGTCGCAGTGCCAAAGTCGGGCCGAACAGGAACCCTCTACTCTCGAGGCCGACGACAACATCGATGCCGCTCTTTTCGCCGGTCGTGGTGCCAAAGACAGAGGCGACTTGGAGCTCGAGGGCGGTGATGAGGCTGCTGAAGAGGTCGTGCGAGGCGAAGAGGGGCATGATGTCTTCAAAGAGAATGCCGGGCTCGGGGAAGTCGGGGAACTGGCGCAGGCCGTTTTGCAGCTTTACTTTAAGACGGGCGAGTTCGGCGGGACTGGAGGAAGCGGCGGCGGCGACTCCTCCTTGGGCGGCATGATGGGAGGGCGCGGTGGTCGGGTCTGGGGCTGTGGAGGAGGGGTGGGACGCCGTGGCCGGTGGTTGTTGGGTGGCAGTCGGATCAGCAGAAGGGTGGAGCTGCTGCGGCTGCTGGGAGGTGTGGGAGGAAGAGGACATGGTGCAGAGAGGGGGGAGAGGGAGAAGAAGTAGGAGTGACGAGGGCAGGCCGACCGACGTTGGGCAGCGCTGAGGACTGACTGCGAGTGATCTGAGATTGTCGGGTGCGTGCGTGCGTGTGTGTGCCAGCACGGACCGGCGAGGGAGTTTCTGACTGAGTGACTGATCGAGTGATACGACCGGGCCAGTCGACCCGCCACGCCCCTGCTCAATCAATATGGCTAATCAATTGGCGTGCGGGTTGATGGAGGGCGGTGGGCAAACAAAGATATGGCGGTCGGACGACGTCCACGTGTAGGCGTGGGATGGGCAGAAGCTCGCAGTCGAAATCCATCCGTAATTTTTTAGCGGCAGCCTGCATCTGCGTCTGCGTCCGACCTGCAGCAGCAGCCCGCCGCCGCCGCCAACAGTCCACTCCTGCCACCTACAGTACTAGTCCTCCTCCTGCGCTGTTTCCGCCCATCGGACGCCAGCCTTGCTCTGTCCTCACTCCTACACCTTCTCTCCCGAGGGTAGTTCGTACTGACTCTATTGGACCCTGCCCGGCGCCACACTCTGCTATCCCCCCAAACCTCGGTCCTCCCGGCGAACGCTGCAGCTGCATGCACAGCAAGGAACACCGCTGCAACGCTCAACTCTGGCCTGCCACAGTGGATCCCCCGCGGCCTTCCAGAATTTTTCCACGCAGCTTGGCAATGGGCCAGATATGCTTTGGACGGCGAGGGATTGGACTAGACGCGGCGTCACAGACATCTGTACACCCAACGCCAACTTGTGGGGGGTGACTTCGGGTGCGGCGGACTACACATTGACTCTTCTGCAGTGCGGATGATGCGATGGGAGCAGTGGTGTGCTCGCCGCTGCTGAGAGGGATGGTGAGCTTCTCCGGTTGGGACAGCTCTCTGCGAATCTTTCCACCGCCCTAAAGCCCCAACACATGCAGAGCGGCAGCCACCGATGTGTGCCTGGCATATGACTGAGGATCCAAGACACGCAATGCTCGTGATGATTCAGTCGCACCATCCACCCGTGGAGCCGGCTCATATTGAAGACACTGCTGCATCACAACCATGCACAAGTCTCTCCCTTCTCGCCTCGCTCTTTGTTCCGTTTCAAACATCGCACCCACCCGCTCGAGCAGGCTGGCACAATCGATAATGCGACACATCATGAGCGGTGTCGTCCAGGATCAACAACCTTGATGATCGCTGCGATTCGTGGGGTCTTTGCTGCCGTGCAACCTCCACCTGTCTTCAACATCGCGGGGGGACGCTGTCACACTGTGGCTTCTTTGTTCTGCTCTCCCGCTCGTTACACAATCACACTAATGATCAATTTCAAATCTTGGCAACATCTGAATCACAGTGGCACAGGCGGAGATTCGAGTCGATTCGACTTGCACGATACATTTCCGACTCCTCGCGCCAGAACGCTATCACAAACAGATGTCCAACTGATCAACAGGCCCAATGGACTGTATCAACAGCAGAGGCAAAGATTCGACATGTTGCACAAACTCATCTGGACACCTCAACCCCTCCCAACCATACCCGGCTGATGCTCCGTGAAGCCTTTATTTCCCGCGTTGGGTCTTCTTTCAGCAGCACAAGATCGGCTCGTTTGCCCTCCTCAATCACACCTCTGTCCTCGAGACCAAAGTATTTTGCCGGCAAGGACGTCGCCGCTTCCAATACCTCGACATTCGACAAGCCCGCTGCCACCAGCAATTCCAATTCTCGGTGCATCGACTCGCCGTGCGGTACGTCGAAGATGGACTTCCCTTCCTCATGACAATCTGTTCCCGCTAGAATCGGCACGCCGGCGTGGTAAAGCGTGGCGATTGAGGCTTCAGCATTGGCGTATGTGTGCTTCCCATGCCCGTTCCTCTTGTTTTTGACGATCGCATGAAGGGTCTTCGGCTTCAGCAACATTGGAGCAACATCGCTCATCGGAAGGTCCTTGCTCGTCTCCTTCATCATACACAATGTCGGCACGGAGATGACATTCTTGGCCAGCATCCTCTCCGCCATGCCCGTATCCACGGCCTTGTCGAGCGACAGATGAGTAACTATATCCACGCCTGCCTCCAGAGCCATATTGAAGGGCGCATATGATGCAGCGTGCGCCACCACCTTCTTTTGGTGTTTATGCGCTTCAGCAACAACCGCATTCATCGTCTTCTGATCTGGCCCAGGCACGTCGGCAATGATCTTGATATAGTCCGACCCTTCGACGACTCGCTTCCGCACCCACTCCGCCACCTCTTCAGGTTTGACGTGCAGCGATTCTGGTGGCAGTGGCAGCACGCAGCTATGGACACTGCCGGCTTTCGACAGTGGCACTCCTGCGGTCTTGATCTCTGGCATTCCAGGATAACTTCGCATCTGTGGTATCCTTTCAGCAGGGTACATTGCCATGTCGAGCACGGTCGTCACCCCATGGTGCAGCAGTTTCTGGAGATGAGCTTCTTTGAGGACGTGGACGTGCGAGTCGATCAGGCCTGGTATAAGAACGCCTCCTGCGCCGTCGATGGTCTGGTCTGGATTCGACGCATCGCTGCCGATGAGGTCGCCGTCAATCACGACGGTTGTGAGGTCTGTGATGCCAGAGTTCTTGAAAACACGAACATTCTCAATAACCGTCTTCTGTCCTCGAGACATGATGTCGCTGAAGAATGTCTCGTCCAAGGTAAGGACTTTCGCTACTTTCATACATCTCTTATACCAGCTTCCATTCCATTTCACACCCCTCGTCATCCGTGGCTTAGAACACAGAAACACCGACACGCCGACATTGCATCTTTACTGCGTCCCGCACTCGTCCCACACCTCGAAAGGATCGCCGTGCGTCGTTCTGCGGATTTAGGGTCGGAATCGGCATGGTTTCCAGCTTTTTCGCCCTGCCGATCCCGGTCCGCGTAGAAAGCCCTTCGCCGAGTGCACGTTACATTTTTGGGGGTCTTATTTTCATACGGGAACGAACAATCCGCTGGGAGTTTTGCTCTTCGTTCTGATGGCCTTGTTTGGAACCTGGAGCACGTGTTGTGGGTGGAGGATGAGGTGGATGTGATGTTTGAATGGACTTTCATTTCTTTCGTCTTTGTTGATCTCGCGTCGTTCTTTTTTTCGAGACTCATGGCGAGAGGGGAACCGTTTTGCTGATGCATTCAGGCTTACTTTCGGGGCTTTGATCACGGTTAGCGACTTGTAGACGCAACATTACCATCCGCTGGGCGACGCTGGAGTCGGCGGCTCTCTTCAAACCAGATGTGAGCAATGATCCGGGCGAGAGAAGACATCGCCACGAATGGCCCAGGGGGCACAGCGAACTCGCTACATATCTAAGCATTGGAGTTTGAACACGAACCACTCTCCTGTCACCAGGGAGGTCATGCCAGGAAAACGGAGCTGAAGTGAATAAAACATTGGAGATTGAACAGGAGTAAATTATTGGATAAGTCGAACCTGACTATTCCTTTGCTCAAATCGCCCTCCAACCGTCAAAACATCCTCATCGCTCTCAACCCCACACCCTTCGCCTCGCCATCCACACCTCACACCCGCTCCGCCCTCCCACGCACCACTACCACCACCACCACCCTCCCCCTCTCCCTCATCAAATCATAAGCGGCTGCGGCTCCCCCGGCTTAGCATCATACGCAATCCTCCCACTCGGCAAAAAGAAAAACGCCACACCCCTCCCCCCGCGACTGCGAGGATAATGATGCGTGCCAGGCCCGGGACTCGTCCAACCCGCACCCCTCCAGTTCTGCCCCTCCGGCAACCCCTCCAGCTGGAACGTCGGGTCGACGGGCACGACGCAGTTGATTTCGCCGTACGGGTGTTTGTGGTATTGCCCGCTGTAGGGCTCTTGGCTGTCGAAGTAGACCGCGGTGAGGGACATCCAGAGGTTGCTGGGGGAGGGGAGCATTATCTGTGTGTGGGAGGTGGGTTAGTGGAGGGGAGGGGTTGGGGGAAGGGGAGGTGTAAAAACGTACCTTCCCACGACGATATTTCGGCCCATCGAGTTCACCCGTCGCTACCCAGCCTTCTTCGAGGCCTTGCTTGATGAGCGTGCAGAAGTCTTCGTAGTACTCGTTGCCGGGGCCGTAGTCTCTATTCAGGCGGATTTCGAGGTCTTTGCCGGGGGTACTGTACGCCATCAGAGATTTGATATGACGGAGGTGAGGGTGAGGGTGGTGAGATGGATTTACAAGTTCTGGACTTCTTTCAGGAATTCGAGGGATCTCTGCGCGAGTTTCTGCGCGGTGGGGTGCGTTTCGAGCTCGACGCCGTTGGGCGAGCCGTCGTGGCCTGCGGGGGCGGACATGTCAACTGGATATTCTGATGTTGGAGTCTTCTCTCAAGCAGAATGCCCGGTACGAAAGATAGCAGTCCAGTCATGAAAAGGACTCTGCCCTCTTATACCAGCGGGCCTTACCTGCATCACACTCCCCACAATGCCGCAGCCCATTCACGTATTCCGGGTGATTACTCCCCATGCTCGACGTCCAAGCAAAGCATTAGTTGTCGTTGGTAAGTGTCTGAGGAGAGCACGAGTGAGAGGTGGGTGAGGGGTAAGCCGATTGGAGCTGGGTTAGCTGAGCTGCTGACTGAGTGGTGAGTTGTAGGTAAAGCAATCCGGCCGAAGACCGGGCGAGGGTGCTTGAACTTTGTAGGAGGGGAATGGGACTGGTTTTGGAGATGGTGTTGGTAGGGTTTGCCGTTTAAATGGTGAGGGTTCGATATGGAAAGGGAAGCTGGACAGCGAGAGTTGGTAGTGTTGCTGGGGACGTCAGACGGCAGACATTGTCGGCTGTGCGGTGAACCGGGTGAGATGCTCGGTATTTTCGACAGCTGTGTTCGATTCGTGTCGTACCTTGAAGTACATCCCTTCAACCTGGAAAGTCGGATCCAAGATGTCCTGTCGCAAACACACCAGTGCCTTCGAAGAACTTCCTAGCCTCGTCCATCAATCTCGCCGGCGCATGGAACGACAAGCCCGACTTGCCATCTTTCTCCCTCCATGTGTAGTACGCCTCCCCACGCTTATACTGCTTCTTGATGACAGGCACTTTCCCAGCCAGCGTATCCCACCAGAACTGTCCGACCTTCTCCAAGAACGGCTCCGCATCCGCAGAATGCGTTTGATGACCTGCTGCCAGCTTGACCCTTTTCGCAACCTGGCACCAGCCGTCATCGTCTTCTTTTTCGGCTCGGGCGGCTGATCTTGCATTTTCTCCTCGCACGAGATACTGGACTTTGTGCATTGCGAACGCCCACTCGACGAAGCTGCCCTCTGCTGGAAATTCAATCGCCATGCCATCCTCACCTTCTTCGTATAGGCTGTCTCCAACGTAGACGTGCATTTCGTCGTGATCATACCACGCGAGCTCATCTTGAGTATGGCCGGGTGTGTGGATGAAGGTCATGCCAAGATCGATAGGCTTCCGGGCTTGCACGGTGTAATCGTCGTTATGGTGCTGGATGGGACACTGGAGCCTCTCCCACGCCTGCGCCCAATGTGTGACTTGGTAGTAAGGCGCCACTTTGTCGATGTACTTGAAGAGCCCATGCGCTTCCAGATCCGATTCGATGAAGTCCTTGCCCGCGGCAGATGCTATGATCTCGGTCCTGCCGCCTTCCAGAAACTGTGAGATGCCGCCGATGTGATCATAGTGGCAATGCGTGCAGATAATGTAGTATTGTCGATGACCTCCTGGATTGAGCGGCTTCTTGCTGTTGCTCTTGATTGGGAAGTTCTCCAAGTAGTCTCGAAGATGGGTGAAGTCGGCTGGAACATGTTCAGTCGTCGTGGATTGACAGGGCGCATAGTTGTGACTGACCGTTCTTGCTCTTCGCACTGGGCTCATCGCAACCCGTGTCTGAGAGGACTATGATGGGTGCCTTCGGATGGATCTTGACGTAGATGAATGGATGCTCTCTGAATGCATCATCTTCGACTACCAGGAAAGTTGACTTGTTAATGCGTTCAGTCTTGAAAGACGCAGTCTGCTTCGAGTTCACCACTGCCATCTCGTCTCTTCTTCTTGTCGTATGGAAGTTATCCCAGCTTGGCCGGCGTTGTGAAATGCTTCTCGCCTGTCCTGTGGAGCTCCGTGGGTCCCAAAGAAGGCGTTATTATGCGGCCGGAATGTGTTGCAAGGCTAGACCGCTTGTGAGGAGAACGGCGAGCCATGATGGTCTGCTGCACGTTGTGGTGACCAATATGATGGCTGGACGAAAGGATGGCGAAGGTTCAAGGAGGCAGGAAACAGCGGAGGCTGCCCCAAGCCAGCGCCAGCTCACTGATGGGCTCCAGCTTATCAGACGCTAACGCATGTCCTTTTTTTCTGACGATGACTTTCACGGTCCCCCGCTTCCCAGCTGTAATTGGTCTTTTTTCTACCCAAGCTAACGAATGTCATGTCTTGGCGGACTCAGTGGCCGCCCGTTGGGATACGTACCGCTCTTCACTCCGTCTTCCTTGCCTCAACTTCACCAGAACCATCCGCCACAGCTATGGATACCGATCAATCGTCCCAGCTCTACGGCGGAGAGCCAATTCGATCTTCAATGCTCTCCAAGCGCAAAGACAGCACGAACAGAACCCATGCCATCATCTCCTACGACGCCGCCAGCAGTGCTTGCTGCAGCTTCCACTCGATCGACAACCAGGACACAAAGTAACATCCAGCACTGAACAGGAGCGAAATCGAAAAGCAGATGGCCGTGTTGCTCTCATCTCCCCGGCTCGTGGACTCCCGAGCTGCAGTGTAGACAGCGATCGCCAATCCGACGACCACGAAAACAATGCTATTGCCGAGCAGTATCGTCGGAATCTGCCACGAAGTATGTACCCAGAAGCCGACATCAGTAGCACTGGGGCTGGAGGAAGAGCGCCCTAGCAGCACTTGACGGATGATGTCGTTGCTCTTTGGATGGATGGTCACTCTGTTCAAAGCAATGGATTGCTGGCATGCGATACCACGGCCGATGAGACAGTGCAGCAGAGCGCATAGCATAGCAACTTTACATGTCCATGCTGGAATCGGAAACCATTGCCATGAGAGAAGCGCTGCGACGAGTGATGCGACAAGAGCACTCTGGAATCCATCAGCTAATGCTCGAACAGTAACGACATGTACTACTCACTGCAATCATGATCGACGCCAGTTCATCGTGCTTTGCTTCGATGAAACGACGTAACATGACTTCTTGTTCATCTTTGGTGGCATTCTGGAGCGGTACGGCCAGGCCCTGGGAGATACTGGAAGGTGAGAAGCCTACGATGATGGCTTTTCGGCCCAACGTTATGGACTACGACTTGTCAGACCGTCTTGGAATCTACATATGCTCGAAACCTACGGCGAGAGCCAGCTGCTTTAGCTTATTCATCGTTGCCTCCGCCACAGTTTTCATGCCTTCCGTTTCCTGCCCAACCGACTGGCCAAGATTCAGATCTCTGGAAGCATGGACGCAGCTTCGTCCAAATATGCGCATGTTACAGTCGTAAGAAGACGAGCTGAAGAAACCGAAGCAGCTACCCAACCCCTGCTCGATGCTGTGCAACCACCCTGAGCCGCCTCTCGACCAGGCCAAGCACATCAGCTAAAGAGTCACCCACCAGCACCTGACTCTAAGCGATGTGTCTGCCTCCAAAGGCCGCCCTCGCTTCGCTACAAGGCTGCGAGCTGATGGGCTATCGGCCTTCAGTCTCCAATCGAGCTTGTGGTCGACTATGCAGCCCGTAACGTGTGTCTCAGCTACATGCTTGCAAGTGCCAGTCGGGCGTGGGCTGGAGGTGAATACTGCGAAGCCACCAGGCTGTGCCCACACCCAAGGCGTTTGCAAAGCCGCAGCTACCCTAGCATGTTGGGAGATCCGAAGTTCTTAAAAGTTTGTGGTTTCCCACAATTTGAAACTTATTCTGATCGGAGCTGCATACCACTAAGAAAGGACGGGCACCTTCCACTTCTTCAACTTGATTTGAGGTGACTGTCGAGACACAAGATATGTAGCATGACAGAACGTGCGATTTGGATCTTCGCTACCCTAGCCGGGCATAAGGGCACGCATCCGGGCAACAGCTCTCACATCTCAGCTCCCTTTCAGGTCTTCAGCGCTGGCTTTCATCACTGGGGCATCTTTGTTGCTGATGAACTTGGCGATCCCAGCAGGCCCAAGGACGAGAAGAAGTCATACCTGGGCAGATTCGCCAGCAACAACAGTGCTTCCAACGACAACAGCCATGCCATCCAGGGAACCTTCTTCGAACTGACAAGGGCCCGCGACAGAGACATCGATACCCTCACGAGGACCAGAGATGTTCGCGAACGGGAGGAGCGAGACAACGCCAAGTGGATCACTTTCGCCAGTACGGGATGCACCACCGCAAGGACTGATGACGAGATCACATATATTGGTACGTCAGAGCACTGTCTTGTTCCTGAATGAAGCTAAAAGGTGTTTGCAGGAAAACTCATTTGCCGAGAGAATATGAGTAGCGATTACGCCCTCGTCGGCGAGAACTGCCAGGACTGGGTCAATGTGCTTGGGAATCGCATCTCCACAGGCCCCTAGATCCCACAACGAACGCTGCAAGACATTGGCAGTAAGCTATCCTGGTCCAGAGCTGCAGATCCAGGGCGAACGTATGGCCACTCCACGGATGCCGCCGCCCGAGTGCCCTTTGGAATGACGAATCCGGGACCTGGTCTTGGTTTGTCCTCGTCGTCGTTGCCGAGTCAATAGAACCAACATCCAGGAACGGGTGCATCGTCCTTGAGCAGAGAGGAGTATCAGGCACAGGTACTCTCTCAAGCCCAGAAGCCCAACAACACCTCCCCAGAATCCCTTGCCGTATCGCCCCACAATCCCACCATCGAGATGGTAGACCCAAAGGGGTTCACCGTACTCATATGCTCCTACAACGGCGAGCACCGACGGGCCGTGAAAGAGCTCGCCGATTCCATGCGAATCCGCCCGACCTTCCTCGTGCGTATGTCCTCGCACGAAGCACCCATCGACTTCAGCATCCGAAGATTCAAAGATGCCTGCCTCATCGGCCTAGGAGGTAAGGACGCCGAGCTCGCCGTCAACGTCGGCTCCTCCTCCGTAGAGAGAAAAAACAACCCCGGTCCGTGGAAAGTGTCCTATGGAGAATCGTCGACCAATACAAACTCATCCGCGCCGAGCCAGAGGCGTACGACATCTCGCACGGATGGATCGCGGAGCTCAGACGCGGAGTGGGTGAGAAGTGGCATCTTTTGCTACGGTTCAGGACTGCGACGACGTCGCTTGAGCAGAGGGCTCAAGCGGATGAGCATTGGAGGTTTGCGCCGCGGAGCTCGAAGCCCACGAGGAGGGTGGATGAGTACGATACTTCGGCTGCTTTTCGGGATTTGACTGATATGAATGAGACGATGGGGCGGGCTGGTCAGAAATGATAGTGGAAGCTGGTGTTGCGCGGGTGGTGTTGATGTGGGCTTGAGAACACAGCGACATGACTAAATTGGAATCGGAGGACGCTGATTTGGGAAAACGAGCTGACAAGTCTTTGTCTGTCAGTCATTCAGCTGTTTCATGGTTTCGTTACTAGTAAGATTCGTGGCCCATCTTCTGTCAGCTACTCGCACTCGAAGGTAACTGCAAAGAGTATTGCAAGGGCCAAACTTGGCAAGAGCGCAGCTGCCAAAACGGGCAGGCCAGCCAGCTCCCGGCATCTTTCCGATCGCATGTGCAGCTGATGTTACGATACGTTGGAGTTGAACATAAGCAATCGAGGGGATCTTGAGCTGCTTTGATCATACGGACGGTCATCAGATCGGACTTAAGGACTGCAAGTACGGTCTGGCGAGATCAAGCTGTCACCACATCGTCTCACACGGCGATGTATCGATACACTCGGCTCGACATATAAACCACTCTTGGTCCCAGACACCCATTCTCCTCCCAACATTACCCCAGCCAGCCTTGCTACCAGAAACATGGCGTCCCCGATCAAAGCCCTCAACACCAACCACCTCACCCCCCACGAAGCCATCTCCGACCCCCTTATCCGCAACGCCCTAGGAATCGACACCAACAACAAAACCCTCATGACCTCCGCCTTCACCCCCGACGCAGTCCAAGACATGACAGCTCTCGCCTTCCTAGATAGTCATTTCGGCACGACACACGGCCGCGATGCAATCGTATCGATGGCCTCCTCCACCGTCGGCCGCATGGACACCACACACATGCTCTCCAACTTCCGCACGTCCATCTCCGACAACGGATTCACTGGGACGGTGACGTGCTATGCGCTTGCGCAGCATTGGAGGCCTGGACAGGGGAGGAGCTTTGCGTTTGAGAGCAGGTTTTTGATGGGGAATCAGTATGAGGGGGAGGTTGTGAGGGATGAGAGTGAGGGGCAAGGGGTTTGGAGGTTGAGGAAGTTGGTAATTAGGACGATGTGGACGGAGGGTGATTTTGGGGTCTTTGATCCGGCCTCTTGGGGATAGAGTGGATGAATCGTAGTGAAAGACACCGTCATCTCTCCGCTTCTCGCAATGCGACCATGGTACTGTCCCAAATACTGTGGCATTAGAGGTCTTGCAAGTAACGGGGATGAGTGCCCGAAAGTAGAGACATAACCTACTCATCAAGTGAAGCAGCCCCATCCGACTTTCACTTCACCTCTAGCCTCACCCCTAGCGCACGGCCCTCCCCGCCCACGCTCCCTCATATTTCGGTCCCTAGCTTCGCGACTTCAACACGACACGCGCCTTTCAAAACCCCACATACAAAGAAAGCACACCATACTCTCTCCCGTAGAACCTCTTTCACATACATCACACAACAGTACGTTATCCCCCTTCCCTTCCCCCCTCACAAACACCAAAATCCTAACCTCACCCACCCAGAACAACCCACAATCCCCACCGCACAATGACCGACTCCGCCGCCGACCTCGCCGCCCAGCTCGCCGCCGCCAAGCAGGCGCTGGAGAAGAAAGACCAGGAGATCGAGATTCTCCAGGACGCAAGCGCGAGGAGTAAGCGGAGCTGAAGAAGAAGCTCGAGCGGTACGAGAGGGAGACGGGCCTGGGGCGCGCGGAGCGGAAGGTGGAGGAGTTGAAGAGGCGCGTGGTGCGCTTGGAGGATGCGGGTGAGAGTGCGCGGGAATGGTTGGAGGGGGAGGCGGATGTGGAGAAGGCGAAGCGCTGGTTGCGGTGGGGGATGGAGGAGTCTCGCTGAGTTGATGATGGGGTATGCCCGTGATGGTTGTCTGTGGGTGTTTGTCTACTGTTGAGGAATGGGGATGCTGCGCTGTTTGCAGCTTGATTACCTTCCATTTGACTGCCGCTTCCATCGACTACCTCCCAAACTTCCGCAACTCTAACCACCTCAAGGGCAAGTACACCACCCCAGCCCAAGCGAAGCCAACATAGTTCCCCATCTGCGACCTCATCATTAGTAAACCGCCATCAACTACTACAGACGTTGAGCAAAACTTACATCACCACCATACTCCGAGATCAACCTCGCCAAAGGCCCCACATACCACACCTGCGCCATACACAAGATCGCCCCAACCCACCCAACCAGAAACGCAATCAGCGCCGCAATCCCCACCGGCAACTTCCTCCGATCATTCCAATCCTCCCAATCCCACCCTCGTCCCATCCACTTTCGGAACACAACATGCTCTTCCAGGATTATCGCCATCCAGATACTCACCCAATACCCCATGAGAGCGAGGAAGTTTGTGAAGATCTCGGCGAGATGGGCACGGCCGGCGATGGCGCAGATCATGGGGATGATGATGGCGACGGCGGTCCAGATGACTCGGGGGATTTTCTCCCAGTAGCGGCCTAGGGCTTGGAAGTCGATTCCGGAGGCGTAGGTTGGTGGAACCATGTTCCCGATCAGACTGAGGGAGACAATAACGCTGCAGAATGAGCCGAAGGAGCCGAGGGGTTTGAAGCCTTCGACGATGAGGGCGCCTTGGGAGATGTTGTATGCGTCGAGCCATTGTGGGTTTGTCGCAGTGCCGGAGCCGAGACCTACGCCGACGACGAGGGCGAAGGTGGAGGAGAGGGTGAGGCCTGCGAGAGTGGCGAGGAAGATTTTCGTGCGAGAGACGTTGGAGGGATAGTACACGAAGAAGTCGGCGGCGGCGCCGGCATAGGTGATCTGGGCCGCGAGGCAGAGACTGAAGAAGCTGAGTCTGTTGCCGGCTATGACATTTGAAGATAAGCCTGCGGACGGGTCGCTAGTGAGGGAGAAGTTGGGCCCAGCGACCCCGGCAAGAATAGACAGTACGATGAGCTGAGGAAGCCAGGCGTAGCGCTCGTAAAGGTGGAAGATGCTGTAGCCGAAGGTGGCTATGATCCAGGTTATCACCGAGACGATGACGATACCAACGATGACGCTGAGGCTGCCGTTCGTGCTCACTGCGCTGAGGATCTGGCCGCCGATTACAGCGTCGATGAGGAGGTAGCCCATGAAGATGATGAGATTGAGCACGACAATGAGCTTGGTTGGGTACCAGCCGGTGATGAATCTGGTCAGAATCATGGTCCGATTGCCGGACCGAGGGCCAAATGTAGCGATGTATGCTACAGGTAAGGCTCCAGTTATGGATCCAAAAACCGCAAGAAGAGCACTGTCGGTGAAGGGGAGATAGTAGACGATAGGACCCAGGAACCCCAGTGCCAGAACGACCGCCTCGAGATTGATACTGAACCAGAGCAGGAAGACCTGCATGAACCCGAACTTGGTCCTTTCGTGTCGATCTTCGGGCAACACTCTCTGGATACCACGAGCTTCGACATTGTACTTCATCAAGGTTCGTTCGGCTCGGGACAGCCATTGCTTCGCCCAAGATGAACGAGCTTCCGGCCGAGTGTTCGAATCGGCCTCGCTCGGCGTGGCTTGCTTCGCACCCTTCTCGACATCATACGCCGGCTCGGTCTTGATATCTTGGTCAATACCTGCAGAAGTCAGTACATCCCTCCTCAAAGCTCGGGAAAGAAAGGGCAAGCATGATTCTTCATCGCTAGCATTGTCTAGTTCAAGTTCAGCCGTATGATCTCAGCGAGGCCTCTCTTCCACTCCACTCCCCCTCCGAACAAATATCTTGCGCCAGAGAGTTCAGAAGAAGAAGAAGAGAAGACCAAGCACCGGCTCATGCATCAAAGCTCAACTCTACCTTGACTGTACACCGCTTCTCGGTGGTTCTGCTCGGGGAGAATCATGGCGGCCGGTTGAGCGTACTTTGCCCGTGCTGTGTTCCTTCTGGGCTGCTGGCTGGCGAGATAGGTGGCATTTTGGAGAAATTTGCTGGGTGGTTGCACGTGGGTTTGTCACGGGCGGTCGGGGGTTGTGTTTTGGATATTCTTGTGAAACATGAGTCGGGAAGGTGAGGTGGACGAGCTGCTCGCTCCTCCGCAAAATTTGTGGATGATTCAACGGTTGGCTTCACGTGAGGGAGTTCTTTGTCATGTGCCGGTTAAAAGTTCATCCATGGTTGCCTTTGTCACTCGCCGATCCTCATCCCCGGCACTGTCAAGAGTACTTGAGGAATATGATGATCATAGAAGACCCCGGGCATGTTCTATTTTCTCGTCTACTTGTTTCACTAAGGAGTGTCTTTGTACTATTCAACGTAACCGTAATAAGCGAGTGAAATAGGGCTGTTACTGGCATTAGATGCAGGTACCAAATAGCCTGAAGCGTCCTTCAGAACTACCCTCCATAGTGCGTCTAGCATCGTGGTACGTTGCCGCACTGTCCTTGGTTTGGATCAATGCTGTATGTCGTGATCAGTATCAGGAACGAAAACAAATCCGAAGCTGTCGGTAATAACTCACCGGAAGTACCAATCGTCGTTCAAGACATCAGGCTCGTTCTCGCCTCCCCTAGGACATTCGCTTCCAATGTAATTCAACTCCCGGGCGCAGTCCGCGTCAGTCAGAGACACCGGGATACCCTGGCGTCTGACGTAGATGTCGATCTTGCTAGACGCCTGCTCCTGCCAGCAGCAGTACTTGGTCTCGCCATTGCCGAAAGTCCCTGCGACCGTGGTGTCACATGCGGAGTTGACAGCGACGTCGTAGGGTCCGTGGAAAAGCTCGCCATCCGGATAGCAGCCTTGAGCGGCTGCTTGCGAGATTGCCGCGGCGAGCGTGATGAAGATGGTTTGGAACTGCATGTTGCTGGTCGATGGGGCGGAATGATCGGTTTTGGTTGTTGGATCTGATGGAAGGTGCTGGAGTTGTGCTTCGACATCAGTTCAGTCTGGAGCGTTGTTTTATATTAGTTTCGCATGGCCTGCTCGTGGAGGCCGAGGAGCATTTTGTCGCCGCCCAGTACCCTGAACCCGAGCTCCAAGCCTTTTGCTGTTAGTTGTATAAGGCAAGGCCCACTCAAATCGTATTTAAACTTCATCCGACGACGATCATGCCCTTTAGTATAGCCTAGGACTTTCAGATCGAGCAGTAGGACTCATGCCCTAAACGGCGTAAGAATGCAGATTCATTCTGCATAGCAATGCCTAGGCACTAGTTGTAGAGTGGATCGAGCTAGTAAGTGTTGTTTAGTATGCCGTGTCTTAGTGCACGTTGACTCTTCGCCACATCTCGCTTTCAAAAGAGCTATAAGGCTGCATGCAGTCTTGGCTCTGGGAAACGGCTGTGTCCACGACTAGCCATCTTTGCGAAGAGCAATTGGGTCTAGTCCAGCTCGTCCTTTCCGCGGCACCACGTAATACACCTACGCTGGGTGGAACTCAGGCGTGATGAAGAAACCGATCGAAGAGGTCCAAGCCATGGCAATGTTGAACGAACGTCGAGCGCGGATCAAAAGGCACGGATGCCCTTAGTATCGATGAGATCAGCATGCTCGAGTCGAGCCAGTTCCAACGGCAGTTGACGAAGGAAATTCATATGGTGCTGTTGCCCATTCTCCTGTCGATTTGCTCACACGCCATCCAAACCCGCCCAGCCAGAAGACGCAGGATCCCAATCAAAGAACTGACTGAAATCCATATCCGTTCCCAGCGGATCCATCATACCCGGCAGTCCCAAACTCCAATCCATCTGCACTGGCATCTCAAAGTCCTGCAGTCCTGCATCATCAAGCTGCTGGTCATGCTCCGGGCCCTTTGGCGTCTGTCCCGTCCTTCTGCGCTGTATAGCTTCCACGATACTCGGCAGAACCTCAATAGGATTGCCGAGCTCTCTTACGGCCTTCTCCCTCGCCTCCCAAGCCTGCAACACTGACCTCGAGAACAGCTTGAACCCCAAATTGACATCGGTGTCACTCTTGAACCTCGCCTCACAATTTTCGCTCATGGCCCTCCACGCCCTCTCTGCAGGTTCTGCGAGCGGCCGTTTCTGCAAATCGCTGACGATGTGCATGTACGAGGGGAAAGGGAAGTTGAAATAGAGTTGCCAGAAGAAACCCTTAGTTAAGAGCGAGGAGGCGAGTCTGGTGTCGCAGTCTAGGATTGTGATGGCATGAATTATCGCTGCATCTCGCTGGGTGGTTGTTTGAGGAGTTTGGGAGCGAGAGGCTAGGGAGTAGTGTTCGTAAAGACGGTACTTGGCGAGGAAGCCTCGGGCGGTCCAGATTGTGAGGTAGTGGATGGGGTTCTCCGGGTTGCAAAGGGAGAAGTACTTATTTTCGAGGGCTTGATGGATCTCGTCCAGGGTTCGACTTGTATGGTTCGGACGACCTTTCCATACTTCGGGCGTAGGACCGTTACAGTCGAGGTAGGAGGCGCTGTGGCGGGCGTGATTGCCGAGTTCGCTGCAGACGACGGCGTAGAGGGCTTCGGTTGGGATACGATGAGCGGTTGGAAGGGATGTCATTTCAGGGCGAATATCGAAGTCATTTACGTTGAGGGGCGGTTTGCAGTTCCAGGTTGGTGCGAGCATGGTGGCTTTCATGTCCGACATTTCGCAAATGCGGTTGTCGAAGAGGACTAGAGCCCACCAAAGTCTACGATGTAGTTCTGCTTCGAAGGGTGAGCATTTTGCGTTTGATGATTCGGTATGGATGCCCATGCGTTGGGCGAGGCGGATGGCGACGCCGAGGAGGGCTCCCAGAGATCGTGGATCAGTATTCGATCTGACTGACACCTAGGGTTGAAACTGTCAGTATCACAAATTCCCGCCGGCGATAAACATCTTACCAAGTAGAGAAAGAGCGAAACAAGGCAATCCAAGTCCGTAGCTCTAAGTATGCGACAGTTCTGCAGCGATTGCTGGCATGCCAATTGATACCTTGAAAGAAGCTCCTCTTTCGGCGAGGCGAACAAGGACTTGCACTCATCGTCTTGTAGGCTCACGATTGCCACGCAGTATATGCTGAACATCAGTGCCTCCAATGGTGGGTGGATCGAGGTGACATCGGCCGCCGCATCAAGCAGCCGTGACTGCAGCGTTGGAGTATGTGTGACTTTGAGGATTGGATTGACATTGTCCAGGTAGATCTGCCAGAGCCGGAAGATGTGCACCTGCGGTGGATGAAGTGTCGAAAGTGGTCCATCTGACTTGCTCGAGCCGAAGAAAAGCAGATCGTTATTGTGGAAGAGCTGGTCCAGCGCCTTCTTGACCGTTGAGTATCGCATCTTGCCTTTGGCAGCGTAGTCGATGTGGGTGATGTCGATGTCGTCTTCGTCCTCTTCGAATTCGCCGTCACTGGACTTGGCCCAAGCGTATCAGTAGGTGGGAGTCTGTTTCAATGTGTTCGTCATACCGCATGGTTCATAACTTGCCAAATATCGATCCCATCGCCAGGCTTCTCGTCAATGGGATCATCTTTTCGAACGTCTACAATTGATTCAGGGGTCGGCCCAGTGTTCTCTGCATTGTTTGGCTCATGGTCGGCTTCGGAGGCTGCTTCGCTTGCTGCACTTGGATGCAATGGTTCGAAAGGTATGTTGTGCTGCCGCAGAAGGCTCTCGTATTGCCTGACACGCTGCAGAAGATATCGCTCCGGGAATCTACGCTTCCGTTGTCGGGGTGCAAGAGATGCTGGTGTGCATTCGGCCTGAACACCCACCCGGACACAATTGCTGCAGGGATAGCTGCGGTCGCACTTGACTTTACGTTGCTGGCAGCGGACGCAGGCGAGAAGTCTTTGTGGTTTCTGCTGGATCTTGGTATTTTGTGACATGATTGCTTCTTGCCATTAGCATCCAGATGTATGCTTTGATTGATGATTGTGGTGTCGTGGGTATTGAAGACGTCGTAGAGGAGAAGGTACGCCAGAAGTCGTCATCGGAAACTTCTGAAGTCCGTTCGGCTTCGCAGGATTGTCCGAGGATGATGTTGATCTCTGACACTCAGATCAGCCATCTTTTTCACTCAAGACCTCTCATTAACTAGCAGAGGTCTTAAGAGCGAGCTCTTTCTGAGTAGCGATATTTGGGCACTAGTACTGTCATTGGGGAAACATGTTGGGCGATTCGTGGCTTCGAGAAACGGCCTGTCGATGTGTTGAACATCTTCCACGAACGCTCCTGGCTGCTACCTTCTCCAATACATTGGTGTTGGCTACTCACTGGTCGTGATGGAGTGTTTTGGTTGGCATTCGACCCATCGCCCAGTACATTGTCGGGAGAAACAAGCCGTAGATTCTGGCGACTGTGCACTCTGCTGAGAATGGTCTGGAAATGGCGGTGGTTGCAGCAGTATGTCTACCTACACACTACTTCTTCTTCTTCTTCTTCTTCTTCTTCTTCCGCTCTATTCCATATAAGGTGTCGTTGCAGAGGGGATTGTTGTGATGGGAAGTGACAGTCGAAAAGGAGGAGGAGATCTGTTTACAGAGGGGCTTGTCAGGAGCGAATCAGGAGCGGGTTGGGTTGGCCGGCGACTTGGCGGGCCAGAAATTGCGGGTTTTGCATCGGGCGCGTTTTCTAATCCTCTTCATATCGACACCGTAATCCATCGCCCTCCATCGCCTCGTCGCCCGCCTCATTTGGGCCGCCATTTGTGCTGCGAGCTGCCAGCTGCTGGGCCTCCTTTTCGTCTCCTGATATCGCCTCAAAACACGCCGGCGCCCGCGTCTCCTCCAGCACCACGCCGGCACCATCACCGCCGCCGCCAGGATGCCGCGCCCGCCGGACAACTACACGCACTCGCAGTTCGAGATGATCGAGTCGGAGCACCAGGGCGACACGGTGCAATGCGTGCACTGCCGCAACTGGACGGGCTCGATCAAGACGCTGAACCGCAAAAAGGCCCATCTGCTCAACTGCCCGCAGTACGCGCAGTGGCGCGAGGCGGGAAATGGACAGGACTTGGCGCCCCCTAACAAATACCAGAAGCGCGACAGCTCCACCCTAAACGCCTGGGACCGCGGAGACGAAAGGTACGTCCGATACCGGTACATACCTCACTGTAACCCCGCCAAGCCCCATCCGTCGACGTTTATTGCTCCAAAAGATATGCCGTGACTGACTGCAATATCGTTACAGCGCCATCAATCCGTACCTGCAGTCGTCGCCTTTCAACGAAGGCCCCAACTACACGCCGCAGATGAGCGTCCGCGGACGCAATTTGGGTAAGGCAGTCGATTGTCGTTGTCAATGAACTGCTGCTAATATTGATTTAGACACCGCCAAGGTTCCACATAATCCCATCAATTATTGACTGATTCATTGATTGAACTAACAGTCGGCAGTACTTCGATGAATTCTGGGACGACTCATCCGCCCAGAAGGTGAGTGACGACGTTCATTTGTTCCCCGAGGCTTGGTGGCGAGGCGATCTCCACACCAACCTCAGCGCCCCTTCAACCCCTTCGAACGCTACCTTTCCAGCAATGCCGACTTCTTCGAATAGTGCATGCGAGTCCGATGCCTCTCCTGCGGATACGTCCGAGCCAAAAACACCACCCGCCAAGTCGAGCATCTTGCTCAGTGCCAGTCGTTCCTTAACTCGACTGAAGGCCAAGCTGCGTTGGCAGCGGGCGAGATCGAGTTCACCCCTGCTCAGGGCCGAGCATCTTACGGAGGAGGTAATGATATCTGGCGCGGAGGAGCTCCCAATCCCAATCTTCAAGTGGGCTCGGGCTCTCAGTCACGCTCAGTCGCCGGCAACATCGGAGGATCCCAGCGCATGCCACCGCCCGGCCGACAAGCCCCATCTCTAGTCAGCCATCTCCTCAACAAGTGGCCCGAGAAGCCGCAGAAAGCGATCCAACAGAAGTTCTTTTCTCATGCTGGATGCGGCACACTCTCTGCTGGCGCTCTCGCAAACTGGCTTGGACAGAATAGTCATATCTCTCGCGCCATGATTGGCTTCATTGGCTCGCTCATTGGCAAAGTTCGCCTCCCCGAGCACTCCCCCAACAGCAAGTTCAACACTCAATACCGTGCTCTGGACCTTCTCATTTCGACTGTCAGCAACCTACGCAAGGAAATCGATTTCATCGAGAATACCAAGCGAAAGTACGCATTGCACAGTGATGGCGAACCACCATCGCCGATCACCAAGGCGTACGTCGACCTCCTCGCTAGTGCCGCGAGTGCCCACTCAAGCTTGCTGGAAGGCATGGTGGCTCTTTGGGTGACTGAACATGTAAGTTTACATCCCACTGGATCAAGTTATTGAGTATACTGACAACATGGCAGTGCTATTACGCTTCTTGGCAGTACGCTTCGACCTTTTCGACCACCGTCCCCTCTTCCAACTACTCCGTCCCTTCATACCTCACCGGCGGCATGGACCCCTATGGCAGCTCCTCCGTCTCCCGGCCCAACAACAGCTCTGATCAACACGTCTCCGCCCTCCAAGAAGCACTCATCCCCAATTGGACCTCTCGCGAGTTTAGTAAATTCGTAGACGCATGCAAAGCCATCGTCGACGAGCTGGCCAATGCTGAGACGACTGGCAGCGGCAGAGAACAACTCACCAGATGCGAGTCTCAGTACCAGCAAGTCATCTTCCTGTGGGAACGTATCTGGCCGGAGGTGGATGGTCTTGGAGAAGAAGAGGATTTGGCAGATGGCGACCACGACACATCTCACACTGGTGGACGACCTCAAAGCGGCGCAGGGCCTTCTGGCACCAACGGCAACAACGCCAACAAGTCTGATCCCATCGAGATCGGCGACGACGAAGATGACGATGACGACGACGGTGCAGACGGCAACGACGATGCACCCATGGAGTCGGTCGATTCGCCTTATGGAGGGACTGGACTTGGCGCCGTGCATGCTGCGAACCAGGCTGTCTGATATCTCTTTGCTCTTTCCTCTACTTTCACATCATTCCGGCACAGCTTCATTATTCCATCGACAGGGAGAGGAGGAGGCGTCTGTACACTAGTCATACCCCGGGAGCAATCTTCCTACAGTTCTGTACAAATACACACAATACAACACAACAACATCCACATCCACGTCTCACACTCATCCTCATACTCAAACCCCGTTGCACGAACTCCAACTATCAACCTTCACCCCTTGCTCTCGAACCCCTCGCTCGACCTCCACACATACCAACCTCTTCTCAACCCCATCCAAGCCTCCTCCCACCCACCCCTCCCACACATCCACCCCACCCCCCGCTCGCCACACCTTCCCCGCTCACTTAATCCACCCCCCACCCCCGGCCGTCCCAGCAACCATATTCCAAAACCCCTTACTCTTTCCCTTCTTACTCCCATCCACCGGCTCACCCTTCCCAAACACCTTACTATCCATCTCGGCCTTCAAATCCGGATTGATCCCCTTCGCGCGGAGTTTCTCTCGCTCGGCTTGTTGCGCGGGCGTGTAGGAGGACTCGGGCGGGGTGTAGCTGGGGGGCGAGGTGGAGGGGGTTATGCCCCATTTTGCGGCGGGGTCGGGGAGGTCTTTGCGCGAGGAGGAGGAGGAGGGTTGAGACATTTTGCGGTGTTGGTGCTCGTGCTCTGTGGGTTGTGCTGTGCTGTGCAGGTTGGGTTGATGATATCTGTTCGGAGATGGTAGGTTTTTGCTCTGTTTCAGTCGAGCAGTCTCCTTTCTCTTCGCTTTAACACCACCCAGAACTCCAACCCGCGACTCTCGCCAATATATACTTTCCCTCCCATCACATTCCCCACAGCCACTCAGAGAACACACGACCATCAAATCCTTCGCTCACAAACTGCGCCTTGCAATGATGTAATATTCCCCAGATTTTCTTGGCTCATCGGCTTGCTACAATAGGAAGCTGCTGTTTTGGGAAGGCTTGGTATGGCTTTGTGGGCCCGATGTCCCGATTGCGAGGTTCGGCGTTGACTTCACTTCTTTCTTCAGCTTTCGGGATTTAGAGCGTTGTTGATGAGGTTTTGGAGGATTTTGATAAGAAGAAGGGTCTGGAGAGGGGGTGTTTTGTCTGTGGTCTTTATACTGCGTTTTTTCTATCTCTGCTTCCTCGCTTATTGTTTATCCGGTTAATTCTTCCTTATTCGATGCTTGGGCAGTGCATTGGTGTAGAATATCGGCAATTGGCATTCACAGCTGTTCATGAAACGACAAGCCGACGACTTCTTCATACCGGTCTTCGCGGCTCTTGACAGGCAAGATCCGGATGGAAGGCTTGACGAAGGATTTTCGATATCGCCAGGAGGTAAAACTGACCCTGGCTCCCAGTTTGCGAGTCCTGTATCTCCATGTCCTCTTTCTGTCTCTCCTCCGTACCTTCATACTCGCAGACATGAATCTTCCTCGCCAGGATTCCTCTCTGTGAGCAATCCACGATCGGATGAGAAGCTCGACAACTGGTCTCTTCTCCATCTGGATGCATTGTGTGATCTGCCCTTTAGGATTGCGCACTATGTGCTTGCGACTCCTCTTCGTGTCTTCTCGCAAGATTTCCAGCACTCTACCTTAAGTGATAAGCTGGCGGGTTATCCATGCGAAGCTTGATTGAGCTTGACTGGCAATATATTGATGAGAGTTCGGAAGAATCGTCCCTCGTCCCCTCGTTCTGGTCTCCCAAAAGGAGGCATCGGCTCGCTGCGAACGCAATCGCAATTCACACGGCGAGGCCGATAAAACCAACACGCGGGAAAGCTCTCATAGTGCTCCTGTCTCCGCGGCGAGAAGTCCATAGCCCCTCTGTCCATGCAGGTGGAGAGCAACATGCGCCAAAGAACACTAGACGCCGCCAAAGAACCGGTCAGGTGCAGGAGCATCTCCATGCTTCATGTCCGCGCATTCCGCGCTTGCTGCTCCCCTCTTTGTCTCTCCTCCATGTCCTCAGCAAACATTCTCAGAGCACCAAGTGACTCTGCATGGCACAGTAGCATCTCTCGCTGACTGGGAATGATGCCAGTTTCATGGTATTCAACCGCAAGTGAGACGTCCACAAGCAAGTACAGCTCATCATGAAGGCGCTCGTTCGCAAAGGCTTCCACATAGGACATCATCCTCATCCAGGCGCTGCCGTGTCCAGTCTTGCCAAAAGCCCTCCGGCATCGCCCATGCCCGCAATCATCTTCGCGGCAAGAGTATATCATCAAGAACGCATGGATGCACTCGTGCAGCAGAATACTGATGATGCTGGTGAAATGGTCATCCACCCACATAAGGCAGTTCTTCGATGGATCCACTTCAGTCACCGCCCAGTATCTTGACGCCAGATCCGCGGTCCTCGCAGAATTTTTTCTCGCGCCTCGAGTCCCTCGTTCCACTCGAACTTGACGCGCTTGAGCTTGCCGAAGAAGAAGATGTTGCTGATGAGCTTGATGAGCCTGTCCATCTCACGAACACTCGGCACTCGCGATCTATCCTCGCTCCTTCGAAGGTCGCGCTCGAGACGAGCCTTGAGCCGCTGCCATTTCCGAAGCAGGCGGCGCTGGCGAAGGCTGAGCGTGGCCAGGTTCGACACGACCGCAGTTGCGAGTACTGATGGGCGATGGCTTTCTCGTTGGAGAACGAGTTTCGCTTTTCCGCGCCTGGATATGCGGAAACATGGGGCGTGAGCAAAGCCAGAGTTCGAGGTCGAGTGTGCCTGCTTATGCTGTTAGCTTTGACGTTTCATCTCCGGTACTACAATGCTGACCATCGCATTGATATCTGCTATTCGAGCTTGGTCACTGCGAATGTCGGGGAGAAGACTGGTTGTAAGTGGTATGTTTGAGCCTGCGGGTGGCTCAATTATGCGGCTGACGGGATGCGTGGGCTGGACATGTGAGCGCCAAGCAACGGGACCTTTCAGCGCATCGGCGCTTTGTTGGACGATGAGCTCCTCGAAGACGAGATTCGAGAAGAGACTGATAGATGTATTGGAAGTATAGTTCTTCATTGTCCTCTGGAGATATACTCACAGTCCCATGTCACTTGATGGGACCAACGTTTCACATACTTTAGGAAGGAGCGGCCACATGTCATCGCATATGCTGGGAAACTCGCTTTGAAAAATACACCATACCCCCAGAACTATGCACCAGAGCTTCCGTCTTGTCTGTTGTCGAGCATGTCTAGACTTGCCAGATCTCAGAGACACAACGTTGACTCTGCCTCTGGAGACATTTTGGAAGGGCCAATGACACTGGAAGAAGACGATGACTTTAACGATGAGCTGAACAGCAGATCTTTACATGAGACCAACAACGCCTTCAGAGAGTTTCACCAACAATGGATCTGACTATGTGGTTCTTCCTTCCGTCCAATGCCTATGGATCCGTCGGTTCTTGGGAAGTACAGCGACGACCTGTGCCATTCTGGCAGTCTCTATGTTGGCCGACGTCTCCTGCTCAGCCGTACGCGCACAAGTTCTCTGCGATCAACCTCGCTCGTAACCAAGCTTTGTATTTGTCCACAGAGCCGGCAATCACTGTGGTACGAAGCAGGCGTCTACTTGCCTTGCGCATATTTTCATCAGTAGTGGCTGAAAAAGCCATTTTATCCAAACCTGTGGCCGTTACTGATATATTCGAGTAGCAGCGCATGGTCTCCACTACACCTTCGACAATGAGCGGTTTATGATGGAGCCCGGGTATCCCCATTTGGATTCGTATCTTCAAAGTCTGCTTGGCAAGAACAGTCGAAAAGCTTGAGGCTACCTGAAGTGAAGCTGCAGTCTTGCTTCAGTTCTGGCGAGACATGATATCTATACTTTATGCGCACTCATTTTCGGCCTCGGCTCTTCTCTCGTTGCGCAATGCAGAGCTCGCATGGAGTCGCTCTCCGGACCTGATGAGGTTGAGGACCAGGAGCGATCGTTTCGAAATTCACTCATCAGGCTTTGGGCTAAACCGTTTTAGCTGGCGGCGCCGAATCTTCAATTGGAAGCTGTAAGCATCCGCAATCCCGCCGCTCATCAAAATTTGCATCAACCACAAGTCGGCATGGTATATCACCAGGCTCACCGGGGGGCCGCTCGGACAGAAGGAAGATTTCGACTCTGTCTTACCACCGAGCAAGGTCACCATGCAGCATTCCTCAGCCACAGGCTCATCTAGTGGCCGGCGCCGACCTCCAAGAGCATGCTCAAACTGCGCGAAGCGAAAAGTTAGTTGCGACAAGGTAGGTTGTCCCACTTTAGTACACGGTGCACGACATAGCCTGATGCGTGAGGCGTAGATCAGGCCGTCATGTACACGGTGTGTTCGGCAGAAACTCCGCTGCCAATACGCATTTGGGGGCAGCTCGTCCGATGGTGCGGTGGTGATTATTGGTGGGTTCATTGCCCAATGAATCTGTGCGCTTCTGACGAATGATCATAGATGAAACTCCTTCTGTGATCGCGGAGAACTCAAATACAGAAGCAAGAATTGACGAAGCTGCTGCGATTCCGGCCCGTCTGCAAAGGTTGGGCGATCTAATCGAGGAATTGGGTAAGGCAACCACCACATATTATTTCTTTCCCTGTTCCAACATCCACAATACCAAATATGTGTACTGACTTGTAGAGACACAGTCCCACAGCAAAATGATGATAGCGCTACATCCGCGGAGATGGCTTCCTTGGCGCTTGACAAAGACGCCAACTATCATCGCTACTTACACCGTGGGTCTCAGATGAAGAGCAGGTATCTGTCTCCTTCGTCATTTGCCCTTATCAGCAACGAGGTAAAAAAGTTCCTCCGATGTGACTTGAGTGTCACTGACGCTTCGACCGATCTCATCTATCAACGATCTATTGAGAGCACAACAGCGGCAGTCCAACAACCACACCGAAGAACCCGGCCTTGACTCATCCAGACCAAACTCAACAAGTCCAGTCGCAAGTAGTCATTCTGGCAGTGGGAAAGTGGCACGTCCCTACGGCGACATATTCCCTCGAGCTCCAACTTGGTCTCTTCTGGACTACCGGGCCACGAGTGGCGTTTCTTCATCCTTGGATGAGGTTCTTGTAGAGCTGCCCACGAGTGAGCAGTGTGACATGCTCACCTGGGCGTACATGGTCGGCTTTCACCCTATGATGCCAATCATAGATGTGCCCGATTTCTTCAGTAACGTCCATCAACTTCACGAAAGGTACATCTCAACACCTTCTTCGTTTAATACCATCTAATTTGTTGTAGCAGAGCCAAGCTGCGTACAGATTTAAAAGTTTCGACACATTTTCTGTCTTTACTGATGGCAGTCCTCTTTGCGGGAAGCGTTGTTTGCCCACGAAGTCGACTGCAGCAAACTTTCGGGCACAGAGGCAGGGAACGCCTATCCTCACGTCTCTACAACCTCGCTATCTCTGCAATTAGAGGAAGCGATTTCCCGCAAATCCCATCACTCCAATCACTGGCTGCATATATGATTGTCGACACCACCTGGTTGCGTGAAGAGCAGCCTCTTACTTGCTGCTCTTTCGTGGGTGTTGCCTATCGAGTGGCACAGATCCTCGGTAAGGCCGGGCTGAGCGATGTTCCAGCCAACATTCGCTGATATTGTATCAGGGTTGCATGAGGATCCGGTCAACTTTCAAAACATCTCAGATCAGGAAGCACGACTTCGTCGCCACCTCTGGTGGACCTTGATCGCTATCGATGCACAGGTGGCTCTTGCTGCTGGCCTTCCTCCACTTATCCCCAGCAAAATCTACGATGTTCAATCTATAAGCGAAGCCTTGGAGGCTGGAAAACACAGCGGCGATGAGAAAATGTCTGCTTCGCCTATGGTTGCAGGCTCCCCAACAACCTTGTTCATCTCCGGCAAATATGCGTTCTACAAGCAAGCCAGCAACTTTCTCCATGCCATACACAAACATGTACTCGACGAGAAAGATGTGGACAAGATCCTCGACCTCACGCACGGCATTCAACAAGACATGGAATCGTACAAGACGGCCATCACAGCTGTCCAATTTGAGGGCAATACCCAGACTGAGCCTGGAGAAGAGGCCACTAGCAACCCTTTCTTTGCTGACTTGGCCAGAATGGTACTGTCCATGTATGCAGCAAAGCCTTATGCGATCATGTATGGTCCCCTTCGTCGCCACGGTCTTCTGGAGTCTCTGCGTCACAAAGAACCAAAGTGAGTGATACCGCTGTCTCAGATCATGAAACATATCATTAACCCGCTGAGTAGTGCCATGATGAACTGTCGAGAATATCTTCACCGATTTCTACAGCTAACTCAGAAAGACGAATTTCAACCTTGGCACTGGTCCTGGCCCGGCAGGCATCAACCGCTTCACAGCATTATGGCGCTCATCACAGACTTGGACGAATCACCAGATGCGGCTTTCGCCAACGAGACTAGAGAGCTGATCGATCTTGCTCTGTCGATGTGTGGATGCGACAACTTGAGTAGCGGCGTAATCTCGAACGAGGACGGCGAGCCAGACGTTAGGCCGTTGAAAGACTCGGGAGGACAGGAGGTATGGAACTTCATCCGGCATGCACGAGACAGGTGCTGGGAACGAGCAGGCCTCGACCTAGATGAGCTTCATTGCCCTCGTAGTGTTCAACAGATCCGGTTCCAAGGCTTTGCTTTCAGCGAGAATGTCGATGAGTTTCTGCAGACGCCGACCGAAGGCGCTTGGGATCAGGTGCCATTCTCAAGCGATGAATGGGCGTTCCTCAGCCAGAATACTCTAGACCTTGACTGGGAGCTGAAAACACATATGGAGTGAGGTATAGACAGCGTTTGGAGTTGTGTGGGCATTCGATACATAGCCGTACTCGGAAAACAGTCTCGCTGGTCGAGGCTGGGGAAGAGTGCGAACATCCAGTCTTCAGAACATATACAAGACACAAGACATAAAGACAGCCCCGAAAACACCGCGCCGTAGGGATCCCAAGGTTTGCAAACTCACATGGTTGACGATTAATGGAACACATTTACTGGAGCTCGGGAGAGTGGATCTCCTGGTGCGTTCCTGGATCTTACAGTCCTCTTCAGGATCCTCGGCCCCGTTGCTCATTGGAATTGTTCGTGATGACCTGGCGGATGCGGCCCGAGATTGAGCTCGGAGCTCAAGGCACTTGAAATGGCAGCCGTGCCTCGAGAGCTTGCTCGTCACAGACGTTCAGCTTTTTGTCGTGACACAGGGTTCTCTCTTTCACTGTGTCGACTTCAATCCAGACGCTTGTAGCAGCCTCGTCGTCAATATGGCAGCAGTATATGGCTTCAAGGGATGATTTCACAACATGCTGACTGTCTAGCAGCTCAGCACCTCATACGATCCGCTCTACACCTTGGCTGAAGGTAAATGCTCTTTACACCTACTGAGCCGCAACATTACGGCTGATAATCTTGGAAGGCCAGCCATGTGCGGATCCTGGTTCAGCACAAGAAGTGCGATTGCAGTCCGGCAATGGAGGACTGGCGGTTCTCAGTGACACTCAATTGATCGAAGTTCTTGCTCACTTCTCTCGAGAACGTATTCCCGAGCGGTATCGACATCACAAGAAGTTGGACTGATCAAGTTACTGATCTGAAGTAGCATGGTTCACGCAAAAGCTGCCGGAGCTTTCGGTCACTTCGAGGTTCTTGAAGATATCTCGGATCTGACAGACGCCCACTTTCTCACTGGCGTTGGGAAGAAGACCAAAGTCATGACGAGAATATCCACGGTGGGCGGCGAGAAAGGCTCTTCGGACACGGTGCGGGATGTTCGAGGATGGTCCATCAAGTTCTACACCGAAGAAGGGAACCACGACTTCGTCTTCAATGACCTCCCAGTCTTCTTCCTCCGAGACCCCATCAAATTCCCGAGCATGAACAGGAGCCACAAGAAGCATCCAAGGACTAATGTGCCGGACAACACAATGGTTTGGGATTACCATGTCAACAATCCAGAAGGCATTCACGCTCTCATGCAGCTTTTTGGCCAGCGTGGGATTCCTGCGTCTCTGCGACACATTGCTGGCTATGGCGTGCACACGTACAGTCTGACGAAGGCTGATGGAAGCTTGGCGTACATCAAGTGGCACCTCAAACCTGAAGGCGGCGTGAAAACACTAGACGCAACAACTGCGCTCCATCTCGCAGGCACTGAGCCGGACTACCATGTCAAAGACCTGTTCAATGCCATAGAGCGTGGAGATTCTCCAACCTGGCTCTTATATGTACAAGTTATCAAGCCAGAGGAGGTTGCAAAAGCTTCCATCGATATCTTCGACAACACCTTTACATGGCCGCACGAACAGTATCCTCTCAGGAAGATTGGCCGCTTGACCCTGGATCGCAACGTAAGTTCAAGGCACCCAATGAGTGCATGCTTAGGCATTGCTGTGCTGATATATTGGGCAGCCTGACAACTACTTCCAAGACATCGAGCAAGCAGCATTCTCACCATCCAATATGGTCCCTGGCGTCGGGCCATCCGCTGATATGGGTGAGCATAACGAAACAGAAACTTCACATCAGAGGCATTAGCTAATGGGATGTCCTAAAGTGCTTCAGGCTCGCATGTTCGCCTATCCAGATGCTGCTCGGTACAGACTCGGCGTCAACTACCAGCAACTCCCCTCGAATCGAGCGCATGTTCCGGTGTACAACCCCTACGAGCGCGATGGCAAAGCTCGAATCGACGGAAACTACGGATTATATAAGGTCAGAATTGCGTCCGTTGAGAGTGAGCAATCGCCATGCGATCCCTACACACGAACACTGGAACGGCAGAGTGCAAGTATACTCCACTGGTGTCACGGAGAAAGATTTCGAGCAGCCACGTATTCTGTGGGAGATGATAAGGAAGGAGGGAAGTGCAGAGCAGTTCATGGATAATATCTGCCCAACTCTAGTCGACGTTGGGCCCATGCTGCAAGAACAGGTGTATTGTAAGTCGAAATTGGAGCGTTCTTCAGTCGCATCTGCTGACAGTCGTGATAGCATACTTCTCTCGTGTTGAGGCCGGCTTAGGCGATGCGATCAAAGAGGGCGTGAAGAAGCGATCAAACTAAGAGTGACTATCTGGAGAAAACAACGACGGAGGTGGTTCAGTCTAGCGATTTCCTCGTTTCTGATCATATCACAGCCTTGGCCGTTATCATCGAAGTGGCAAGATAAAAGCACAGTTTCCTCATCCCATTTACCATCGCGGACTTTGCCTCGATAGCCTCAGTCCATTTTCTCTCGACTCTTCTTGAGACACGGATATATCTTCGGCCCACAGCGACTTCTCATCAAGTATGAAATATCGCAAGCTGTCGAGTACATCATGAATGATATCAGCATTCCGCTTCTCTTTGTAAGATCCTGCGATGACAACGATCCATCATCTCCATAGTTCGTCACGATCTTGTTCTCTCGCTCATTGCATGGTCTTGAAGGAATCTAAGAGCTGAAGTCGGCAACAAGCTTTCTCCGTCTGGTTCCGTGCTGCTGCTGTGGAGCCTTGAACGCTTTAGTGAGCGGCCCCGAAGCCTTTCTTTCCCACGCCGCATCCGTTCACATACTGCAACGGGTTTCTAATTCGTTGAGTCTCACCAGCTACGCAGCTCGCGAGACAGAACGAGTGGGGACTAGCAAGACTAAGCTGACGCAAGGATTTACGGCGAGAGCTCAGCTATTGAGCATGAGCTCTGTGGTGGCTCCTGCAAGGCTCAGCTTTGGGACTGCTTGCCATTGGACACTACCACGACTTGAGAACCAATCCCCTCAGAAGGACATCTTGGACATGCCAACATGCCGTGGTATTGGCCCTTTCGAGCTCCCTCGAGCACTACCTTCGTAAAACAGCCACCCATCACGATGATGAGGGCAGCTACTCCCAGGGACTGAAAAGGATCGGTGCAGGTTGCCGGTTTCCGTGGCCCAGTCAGGATTCTTGGCCTCAACATCCATAGTGCAAGCCCCATGGCATACGACAATCGTTACGCTCAAAGTCGAATTCATGGCGACCTCATCTCTGCAGTTTTCAAAGCGACTAAGGCTTTTGGCTTGCTTTACAGCGCTTGGACAGATTGCAAGCTTTGGGGATGAAGGATCCTTTTGAGCTAAAACGAGAGAGCCCCTCTAATCTGTATGGACGCAAACCTCGGCGACGAGCATCACAACCTTCAGTAGTCCGAGGCCCCAAACAAGCCAAGCTCAATCGGAGCAGACTTTATTTGATCCGCTTGGATCTCTTGGAGCCGCTCGTTGCCCATGTATTCATCAATGTCCAGGTCGATGTACCCCGACGAGGCCCATTTCTTTGGCGAGAGGAATAGCGAGCGGCCGTTGATTGACCGATCGCTCAGAATCCGCAGCAGACAGCGACCTCCGTCCTCCGCTGAAGCCAGATCAACCCCACTTCGGCGAACGTGGTCGAATGCTTCTGGTGTCAGAATGTTTGTCTGGACGTACCTGGTTCTTCGGTCAGCAAGGTCCAAGTAATCCAAGAGTCTTAATGACCGTACCATGGCGAGATCATGTTCACTCTACTCCCGTGAAAGTGTGACGTTCTTCGCAAAGAGTGCATAATACCTCTGCTCGCCCACTTGGTCGCCTGATAGCATGGTCCTCGTGGACAGTCGAGAAATGCCGCACCGGACCCGATCAAGACCAGACAAGTGTCTTCCTGGTCATTCGACTGGGTGGTCCCGTTTTGTTTGATGAAGTAATGGGTTGCCAGTTTGGTGGTGAATAACGTCCCTTGCAAGTTGATATCGATCGTAATAAGGTCAGGCTTCGCCGGTCCGTCCTTCTCAAAGGAGAAACTTCGTCTTTGCGAGCTACTCCAGCGTTGGTGACCACGTAGTGGAGTCGTCCCGTACGTGAGAACTTTGCGGCTTCTTCGAATACCCGTACTTGATCCTCCCACTTTCGAACGTCGCAATGGACAAACCTCGTACTAATAAAACAATGTTAGCTTGTCCTTCTTTCGCCGTTGTACTCAAGCAAGTCGCACTTGGTGAGCTGCGACGACAGCTGGCTGCCTCTGACAGGATCGACATCCGCTATGACAACGGCCACACTCGGAAAGGGTCAGCTTGTAGTGTCTCAAATCTAAGATACGATGCTCACCTTGCCGCCGCCAAAGCTCGCACATATGCTTCGCTCAACCCACTGGCTCCTGTAGCTTCAGATCAGACTCTTCTCGAGCGGAATTGCGTGAGATACCGTACCTCCCGTGACGACTGCGGTCTTGCCAGCAAAAACGCTGGTATCTACCTCGCGGGCACAGTTCAACGGCGGATTACTGGGGCTGTACGCCATGGTCAGTCAAGTCGAAGTCGAAAGTACTCTGAGCTTGAGTGTCGGAAAAGCCCATCTTATTATACCTTCCCCTCTTATCATTGCTCATCGACTGGTGTGCGGTAGCGTCGTCCGCGCGCGCCCGCTGAGCAGGGAGTGGAGCGGGGATGAAACGCGGACGCGGAGTCGCCCTGCTGCAATGATTGTTCTGGACTGTCAGAAACCTCAAAGCTCATAGAAATTGTACAGGAGCTCTTTAGGATATGGCTGAGCTTTCATGTCTGCATGCTGGCTCGCAAAAGTCTTCATAACCGCCCAGCGCAGCCGACTTTGCCTGCCTTGCCGTGGTTCGCCCCGAAGCCTTGGCTCGCACTGCCTTTCCCAGTAGATCGACCACAGCAGCATGTCCTCCTGAGACGGCGGATGAGCTCACAGGACTCTAAGATGGAGGGAAGAAGTGTGTGTGTTGTGCTTGAAGTCTGCCAAAGGCTGTATTCATGAGCCTCTCAGCTGAGCATGACCGCTGAGCGCTGAGGCGCAAAGGCTCGAAAGACTTCCACTTGGAGAATCGATCAGCCCATTTTGATGCGCTACAAGCGCAAATTCGACTGCATGTAGCACCTTGTACCGGTACTCAAGACCACTTTTGTAGTTGGAAATGATGAACTGGTTGTATTTGTTGCGAGGACTGACATTTTGACTGCCGTTCGAAAGCTTGTCGTCACAGACTAGCTATGCGTCTTGGCCGGTGAAGAGAAAAGGAGACAGAGTAGTGAGATCAGTTTCCGCCAACGCCCATCTGGTTTTGGCCAAATGTCGAGAGTCGAAATCGTAGTCCGCGCTCAAAAGACTTGTCACCACCCAGGCTTCGAGCACGGAGACTACTGTGAACGGCGCAGGAACAGCCGTGGAGGAAAACGCATATGGAGTGAGGTTCAGACAACGTTTGGAGCTGTGTGGGCATGGTCTCTCATCGTCGTCAGGGGATATACCCCAATGCCATATTATGGTCTTCATTCACGTGCTGTCTTCTCGCTCTCACTTTTGTCTTCACGTTCAGGCTCATTCGTCTTCTTCACCCTCACTCTCGCTCTCACTCTCTCTCTAGTCTCTCTCCCTCAAAGATTGACCATAGGTCCGCATCATCTTCTGGCACTGCGGATGGCATAGCGCAATCTCCGCCTCATTGGCGATTATGCCCGTCTCCTTCCACTCCACCCGCATAGCGATTTTGACGTGCAGATCTACCCCATCCTGCATGCATGTGATTGCACATGCTTGTACATGTGTCATAATCCTGGAGAACGCGCTGCCATGACCAGACCCGCCCTTATCTCTCCGCATATTCGTCTCTCACGTGCTATTCTGGCACTCTCCGTCACATGTATATGAGTCTAAAAAGGCGTGAACGCACTCGTGCAGCAGCGTGCTGATGATGCTAGTGAAGTGATCAGGTGTGCCAGCTTTCACGTGCCAATCATCCGGATCGATCTGGACCTCGACCCAGTCATCTAACTCGCCGGGCTGTCTGCCAGATATGGTTACGCCGAAGGCGTTCTTCGACCTTTTCCAGCAAAACTTCACGTGCTTGAGCCCGTAAGAAAGGAAAATTGCCGCAATGAGGTCTATCAAATGCTCCATCTCGCCTTTTCTTGGCACTTCTCCCGTCTCTTTCAGATGCGCTTTCAGTCGGCTGGTCACTTCACGCCATTCTACCAATTTGCTACGTTGGACTTGCTCGTGCATGTCGGCATCAATCAGCTGCGACGTCACAAGTGATGCCAGATCTGAGGCATCGTATCTGTGGCGGAGAAGGTGACAGCCGTTAGGGCGTATGTGGGTCTGCCAGCTCGTCAGTAACGTTTCATGTGATCTCAATCATGTGACAACTCACGGAAGAGGTGTTGCTGGGCTGTGAAGTGAAGCAAGACATTGTGGTAGCACGTGCGATATGAGTGATGTGAGTTGGTTCAGATGCTCGTTCACGTGTCGCTGGGGTGTCAAAACGATCCGAAGCTGTGCGAAGTCGCTCATATGAACGCCAAGAAAATAACTGCCAAAAGCGGTGTAGCTTTACGGCCCAACCCATTTACATGGCCGCACGAACAGTATCTTCGTAGACGGAACCCTCATCATAGGCGCTGGCATTGTATCACGGATGACAGGAGAGCACACAGTAGAGGTTTTACATTTGTTTTGGGATTTTCTGAATACACATCACCCTTGAACGAACTCGGACCACCACCTCGTCACCTTTGGAAATGCCCAATGCGGCATTATCATGCTGAGACCCGGCCGCCAACGCACTCCTGTTGTGATCGCCTAGCGTGGCGACACGGAGTGCGAGGCGGCCCATTGCATCTTTCCTCATCAAAGCCTCGCCGAGCGACCAACGTGTGGTTAACCTATTGTGATCGCCGAAGCGACCTGGTTCCATGTCAGCCAACGATTTCTGAGAGCAATGTGGCTTCCAGGACTTACCATCTCTGACAGCAAGGAGTATCCTCAACCCGGGACAGAGCGACCAGGTCCAGTTCCAACCCCAAAGACAAAGCCCAAGAGGTTGAGCAAGCCATGGAAGTAGCTGAACATGATGCCGATTGGAGTCAACTTGCACTTCTTCACCAAAGACCTCGGTGGCCACTGGAACAGTGCTGTTGACTGGGTTGGAGATGACCAGGATGAGGGCATCTCTGGCGTTGTCCGCATTGTCCTCGATGAGGCCCTGAACGATGGCAGCGTTGATCTTGAAAAGGCGGTTGAGTCCCGCAATTGTGTTTTGTTTCTCTTCTCCAAGAAGGCAGGCGTCTCGGTGCCAACTTCGGATTGGATGCTGGTCGACATCGATAGCGCTCGTGTGGTCGGGGGCAGCTTGTGGTGGGTCAGGGACGTCCAGCCCACGAGTATGGCATACGCCGCACTTCGGTGTCTTGATTCATCGTCAGTGACTGCTGTTGGTATTCGAAACGCAATTACAACTTACTTGCAATCAGGAAATCACTTGGATTGTCTTGATTTTGGCTGGGCGCCGATATGCACGAGCATCCGGGGGCGCTTGTTGGCCAAGCCCCGAGAATACAGCATTGCGAGGTTCATAATGCCCGCCGGGGATAAAAAGGTCCCCCAGCGGGCGCGGTACTGCTCGCAGTGTCAGTGACTCGGTTTGTGCTGGCGCTGCTGGCAAGACGCGTGACTCACCAAGCCGACGCCGCGAGGCGACGACGCGAGATTGCGGGTATCCACAGAGTCGTTTGATGGCAAATGCTGCCATCGAAGGGCAGGCCATCAGCAAGGTGGCGTTGTGGATGGTGATGATCGTGTTTAGGGGTTCAAAGAGGAGAGAAGAAGCGGAGCCAGACGGCGAAGCAGTCACGGACGAGCTTGGTCCAAGCGCTTTATCGCCGTGGCTGCCTGTTTCAAAGGCGACTGGAAGGTCCATGTCGGAGGGAGGGAATATTTATGCGCGCTATGCTATAGATCTACACTTGGTAGACCCGCACACGAATTCTGCTTCGGCCGCTGGAACATAACCTCCTTTCTCACCACCAGCAGTTATCTCCAAAAGTCGTAGATGAACAGAATTGGCGATGAGAGTGACAGTGGCGCAGCGCGACAAAACAATCTGGATATGCGAAGGACTTTTACTGCTTTGTTGCCCCTCGATCAGTTCACAGCAGCAGGGCCTGGAGACTGGCAAGGAAAGAGAGAGAGGTAGAGTGGAAGGTATCGTGATATAAACCACCGCCGATCAAACTGCATACTTCTACCTGTCGAGAACGACGGCATCATGATCAGCTCTTACGCAGCCGTACTTTCATATCATGTCTCGTCCACATCACATCCTCAGTACGCAGAAGCCCCTTGCCAGGAGATAGCTTCCCAATCCGTCGTGTGCCTCGCCGTATCTGCGTACAAGACGGTGCCGCCGTCACTGTACCCAGCAGCACTGTGTTCAGACGCAGAACGTCGATGGCTCTGATTTCAAGTACTTCTTGTGGGCAACGATGAGACCGCACCACCCTCTGTGTACCTCCAGCTCTGGGTCCAAACAGGCATCGCCTTCACTTCATTCAGCAGCACCGTCTTCAGACACGGACCCAGGACAGCTTTGATTTCAGGTATTGCTTGTGAGCAACGACGAGGCCATGTGATTGTCTCTGGTCGTGAGGGTTGTGGTCGCGAGATCTTAGGCATTGCACCTGTCTCTCATGAAGATTAGCATGGGTCCGTCTTTCTTGCAAATTTGGAAGTGAAATTGGCGTCTGAATGCCCGAATATGCTCAGAAAGGCAAGGTGTGTTCTGCCACGGAATGTTGTAGTCCTCTCCTCTGCAGTATGGAACTGTCTAATTGTTCTTTGGACTTGTATTTCATCATTGCAAGGCTGTTTGGAAAGGAAAGGGGGGCTCACTGACTTCTTGCCGGCCTCCACGTGTGTCGGAATGCCAAAGACGATGAGCAAATTGCGTTGAGCCTTTCTGGCGAGACCGTGCGCAGCGGGAGACGGGGCTTGTGGTCGAGGCATCGACTCGACATAATGAGGATCTCTTCCTGCGTCCCAAAATCGTTAGCGTCGGCGCTGTGTAGAGAATGGCTTCGTGGGAATGGGGTCGATGGCTCATCAGAAAGAGTATTTATTGTTCTTTGGTTGACAGCAACGACCAGATGGGCAGTGAGAGCGGGCGATTGCGCACTCTGCACCGTGGTTCCCAAGGATCTCAGTACACACTAATAGGTGTCATCATGAGGAGGGAGGGGAGACTGACCTCAAGCTGAAGTTTGCGCTTGATCATATTGGCGAGCCGTCCGTGTGAGGTGTTCATTATCTGCAAGGCTCTTTCTATTAGCTGTGTAACAAGAAAAGTAGCGACACAGTTGTACGATGAGGTGATGCTTTTCAGAAGTGCTCTGAATGTCATGTTAAAAGCCCATGACATCGATCGATGTTGTAGCTTGTCAGGCGAGCAAAAAGTGTCATCATTGCATGAAGGGAGTGTAGGAGACAATGCTGTGACATACCGCACGCTCGAGGGCGCGCCGTCGCTTGGAACACGAGTGCTTGTTGACTCTCAAGCGTCCAACGACGTTCTGCGCGACGATGAGGTGTCTCGTTGGCAGAGCAACTCATGCACGAGGCGGGATGTTGTGGTTGTGTGGTGAGGTGGAGGAAAAGTTGATGGAGATGAAGGCGGCGCGCGTTGGCGTTGAGCGGGGCGACAATAGCAGCATTTGTGTTGTTGTTGAAGCGCAAGCCGGACTAGCGCGATTCAGGGGGTCGCTTCCAAAACAGGCAGGACCGTTGTCATCTAGACGGCTCTCAAAGTCAGCACGAGCGCTTCTTGCATCATTATAGTGCGATAGAGGAGCGGGTTGTGGGCGGGTTCAGCATCAGATACTGTCTTTTTTTTGGGTTTTCTTCAGGGTGGTGCCAGCCACTCGTTGTGTTTATTTGACGAATAGATGTCATCATGCGCGGAATTCGATGGTAAGAAAACGGGGAGTACGTACCGCTGTGTTGGAGATAATGTAGAGATATGGATGGTTCTGTTCGATATGGTATTCATCCTGGTGTGCTCAAAGTCAGCCATGCTCGTAACATCGGAGTGAGAGTGCAAGTTGGGTTCGGGTTTGATCAGAAACTGTGTTTCATCAAGGATGATTTCAGCTTGGAATAAGTTAACGTGTTCGTCGTGGTTATTCATCATAGATATCATGTAAATGAAGGTGCTGTTGAGCCTCAAACATACCTTGCTACTTTTGCCGCCGATCAAAGCGCTCGTAGAACTCGTCGGCCGTCGCATGATCCTTTGGCGTAGGAGGAGGCGGGCGTGAAGCCTTAACTCGCCGCTTGTACTGCTCCGACGACGGCGCCGTCGTGGTGTTGATGAGTTTGTGGGGATTGATGCTGCCGACCTCGATAAGGCGAGAAGGGAACCAAGGGCGTCCTCCTGGCATTGTCCGCTTGTTGGTGGTGTTGATGGCACGGTGTTGTCTTCGACGGCTCGGTGGTGTGGAGGTGTTGGTGGAAAGGAGGAAGAGTCTTCGTGAGAAGGGCGGAAACGGATAGAAGCAATGTGCAAGTTTAAAGTTCACAAAAGCAGAATGTTTCGTATTGTTGTGAAACGCGCCCCCAGCTTCACTCGCTGCGCAAAAGGATGACGTGGAGATTCCAAGGACGGCAACTGCCTTGCTGCATCATTTGGGGGAACAGTCGAAACCTGCTGAGATGGACCAGCGGTCGCATTGATAAGAACGTGGAAGTGAACAAGGTAGTGCTGCAAGTCTGATTTGTATTCCTGTTCTCCGTTACGCCCACCACTTCTCTCAATCTCCTCCAATTTGCCTTTCAGTCTCACTACAGTCCCTTCCTCCAACACATCCTCTTGCATCAAAGTGCGACACGGCGTCTTGCCCAACGTCTCGTCTGCTGCTACCACTGTCTGTGGGAGTGCTCAGTCTGTTGCATGATGTTCTCGAAAGCTTGACCACGGGCCCATGGTGTTCTCGATCTTAAACTGATCCTGCAGCGGGCTGTCCGGTCTTCGAGATGATATGGGACAGCTTGTGGAGGTCTGCATGGGCATCGACGGAATTGCGTGCGGCATCGACGACATCAGTCCCTGTTGATGTGGCTGTGGCTGTCGGTGTTGAGATGGTGACGGGCAGGTGGTTCGAATGTTCTGGAGATTGTCAGATTGCATCTCAAAGAGAGCTGTAAGGCTGGCTCATACCTGATGATTGCGATGCAGACACAGCAAAAGTGATGCCGCAAGCCCTGGCCGTCCATGCGCTGGATTTCATGGCTGGTGAAGTTGATATTGCAGTGTGCCTAGCGTCTTTGCTTTGAGGTAGGGTGGAGATGGAAGTCTTCGATGAATCTCTGGTGCTTGCGCGTTGCTCTTAGTGTTGGAGCAGACGACACCGAGGATATTGACACTGGCGACAACAACAATCGCGTCGATCTCCTGGATTTCCGCCGACGTTGATTATCCTTGGTCAAAGTCAGCCCAAAGCTATCCTCATCATGCTGTTATTTGTCGAGCCGGAGCACTTGCCTGCCATGGTTCGCCCACCGCATCACAGCCCTTTGGCTCGATCTCTGCGACGTCTGAATGGGGCATTGCAGGTGCTCCAGACCGCGCAATAGACATCCAGGAGATCTGAGGCGCCGCCACGGCGGAGTCTATCTCAGAGGTGGTGTTGATATCGACAAAGACTGGAAGATGTTCCACAGTGGGGGCCGTGAAGAATTCCACATCATCTCTCGTGACGAATGGAACAAGCATGCCGAGCGTTCCTTGCAAGCCAGACCAGAAGAGCACCTCCTGTCTACTAGCCACGAGTGACGTTCTCTGCATGCTCATCGGTATGTCTTGTGTAGTAGTGGGCACGTAGGTCAAGGCGGTACGGCGCTCCGTTCAAGTAGCTGCGCTCATTCATGATGTAGCCGACTGCGCCTTCTTCAGCTTCGCAAGGCCACCGCTGCCGGAGGTGAATGCCCTCTCTGGCACGGATCGAGTGCTCCGACGGCGGCAGCAGAGGTTATTCCGAGGAAGTTCCAGGAACCTGGGCTGCCTGATCTGGGAGGTCATGGCTAACTGCTGCCGATCAGACTGAGAGGAGGCGGTTGAGTCCCCGCGGTTCTCTTTTCTTTCTCCTCTCGAGCGATGGCACGAACAGCAGCCAAACCACAACCCCAGCCTGTTGCTACTACCGATCGCGGCCAGAAGGAGCCGGTTGAGTCCCCGGAATTGTCTTTTCTTCCCCCTTCTGACGGTGGCACGGATAGTAGAAACAAGCGGCTCCAGACTCGGCACGGGCGTCCAAAAACCGATCTGCGAAGAAGCAAGTCAGCTGTGGTATTCATGCTTAGGCTGTGACGGTGTGGGTGAAGATTGTGCATCGATGTAGATGGGGTAGCCGGGCTGATGGGGCGGAAGACTGGTGAAGGGGAAGGGAATTGGCGGACGTGCTGTTGCAGAGGGTGAAAGTGATGGATGAAACCGTGGTGGATGAAGCAACGACGCGTCGACTTGCTGGTGTGCATCGAGTGTTGTGGGTGATCGCTATACGACTGCGTTTCGTGATGATGGACTCACCGAAATGCCTCCTGGCTGATGCTGTTGATGACTGCTGATGTTGATGGAGGAGAGAAGAAGAGGAAGCGAAAGCGGAGGGCGGCAGCCTCAGACGACCAGCCAGCCATAGCACCACGTGCATGCCATTTACAGCCGGGCTAATACATGGGCACGTGGAACTTGCTCCTGCACTTGGAGATTACTCGATTTCATAATATACCGCATGTTTCGAGGACTTTGACTTGCCCTAGCTTGTACTGTGGTATTGTAGGATCGTGCAGCAAGGTGGCACCAAGTCATATGGGCGCTATTCAGGCACATCGTGCCTCAAGATGAGCTGGTCATCTGGACTCGAAGCCTTCATCACTCCAAATCAGCCACAATGGCTGCAATATAGGAAACCTCCCTTCCAGTCTTCCATATACATCTATGCTAAACGCCATGTCTGCAGCACATCGTACTCTCCCCCCTGCCAGCGCTGCCTTCAACCTGAAAGACCCCAGTGCAGTGATTTCAATCCCCACATCTGATGCCCTTCTCTTGCCAACCGCGAGCCCTTATAGAGAGCCCCGGCGCCTCAATTGCCCAAGTGAACAAGCCGCCCAGCGATGTCCAAAAGCCCCCAGATCCCCATATGATAAATGTCCACTATACGTGTGGTGCATTGCTGCATTGCTCGATCCCAGGGGGATGTTTGAGAGAGGTGTTTGTGCTGAGGTGCTGTGGTGCAGGTGAAGAGGGGATACGCACGTGCTCAGAGCCGGGTCAAATCGGCGGAGAAGGCCTCCAACTCGTAATCTTCTCTGATCTGCTCGCGCAGATCACGACGCTGACTATGGTGTCGACGTATGTTAGCATGCCATGGACAGGTCTGTATTAACGGGGATAGACGTACTTTCGGCGGCGGACGAGGTAGAATGCGATGACGAAGGCGGCGGCAAGGGCGAGGGCGGCGGCGAAGGCGATGCCGGTGTACGCCGGCGAGTTCCGGTCCATTGTTGTTGAGGAGAGAGAGAAGATGACTCCAGCGTTGGAAGAAACAGATGTAGCGCTATGGACGGCCTCACTTCACTGACACTTGCTTTGCTGCAACCTCACATCGCTGCCTGCGCCAGCAACTTCAAGCTCTCATTCACTTCAGCCTCCAAATCCTCACCCCAGATCCAATCCATGCGCGAAGTAGCATTCTCCTTGAACTTGTCGAAGTCGTCGCCGATCATGGGGTGTTCAAGCTCCCAGATACTGCCTGCTTCTGCGGAGGTCGTGACGAGATCCCACCCGCGTTGACGGCGAACCGTATCAAACGCTTGAAATGTCGCTTCTAGCTTCGATGAATCGTCGACGTTCGCAAGCAGAGAGCTCAAGACATACGCATCTTCGATTGCCATAGCAGCGCCAGAGCCCTGGTGAGGGGTTGTAGCATGAGCAGCGTCTCCAATCATAACGACATGTCCGTTGTAAAACGTCCTTGCTGGAGGGTGATGAAAGAGCGCCCATATGTCTGTGTCTCTCATCATGCTGATGACTTTCTGAACGGGAGCGCCGAAGTTCTTGAAGTCCTCGTTAATGTCTTTGACGTCGGAGTGCACCACCCACTTGTCGTAGTCCCAGGTCTCGCAACTGCTGAACGCAACAGCCATACCAACGTCAGCACAAATTCAACGTCTCAATCTAGTTGTGCTTACCGTTGAAGACTTTTCCCTTCTCAACTGGGAACGTCAAGAGATGACCATGATGTCCCACATAGTTCTGGCTATTCGTCGCCAGATCCTCCCCAAGAGCCGCAATAGCCTCATCCATCGGCACCAAACCACGATGGCAGTACTTTCCCGAGAAGACAGCGTCGACAGCTGGATCGTTCGGCCCAAGAATGTACTTGCGAGTCTCACTGTGGATGCCATCGCAGCCTACAACGGAATCATGTGCCGCCTCAGAACCGTCTTTGAACGTCAGCTTGACTTTGTCTCCGACTTTCTCAATAGCCGTGATCCTCTTGCCGAAGTGTGCCACGCCATCGGGGATCAGTTTGATGAGTTCGTCCAGAAACTTGGCTCGATGCACACCACCGTGGCTCTGAGATCCGTTCCAGCCCATTCGGCAGAATAGATCTCCAGCTTTGCCTCTGGGATTATCTTCGCCGTGTCTGAATTCGAACCACACATTCTCCATCGCGGGGTTTTTGTTGGCCGTTGCGACTCTCTCGAAGCCAGCGGTGATGGATGGGTCGATGCCGTTCATCGCACGAGCTGCGTTGGGGCTGAAGTAGACGCCAGCACCAATCTCGCCGAAATGATGGGCAGACTCGTAAATCGTCACAGGGACTTTGTGCTTGAGGAGACCGATGGCAAGGGTGAGCCCTGCGATTCCACCGCCAACAATCGCTACGTCGAATGGTCTTGGGCTTGTTGTTGAGGACATGGCGGAGTTATCCGTTGTGGGTGATTTGTTGCGGACCGTATGGATGTTCGAGATTGCTTTGTGTTCTGTTCAGACTGTACAAAGCTGTTGTCTTTCGATTTCCTCTACCCTCGTGATAGTATACATGCTTGCCAACTCTTGCATGCCCGGTTTTCCTCCTTGTCATCGGCATTTCGAATGTACGCTACATCGTTCTCTTTCCGACATCCGCTGAGGATCTTCCGAAGTGTGGGTACTGACACCCCTGCAAATGACGGGCGTCTGCAGAAGCTTGTGCTTCGTATCGGATGCTTGTTTCAGCTCGGCAGCCTGGCTACAGGGGTTTCCGCGCTCGGTTCGGCAGGCTTGCAGTGTGGTCGCACAAATGATGTAGCTTTTGCCGATATCCGCGATAGTTCCCATCGGCGAAGGATCCGTACCTGGTGAATCTGCAAGGAGTCAAATAGTGGTGATGACGTAAGTGCTTTGTAATGCTACAAGGATAGCATTCGCTTGGGTGTTTCGTGGAATGGGAGGTGCTCAGCCGAGAGACCGCATCCTTCTCCAAGCGCCTTCGGCCGACAGCCCTCAGTCGCAGAGTGGGGGTGCAATCCGGCAGGGAGACGATGTTGGCCACGCTTACCGCCTAAGAAACACTAGAAGTACACGACGTCTCGGCTGGACAAGGTCGAACGATTGGAGACATATTGTTGGCGGGAAAAGGGACTACATTTGGTCTATGGTATGTGCACCGACCCACCCCGAAGGGAAGTCTTGAGGAGGAGGCATGAGCCGCTCCTCAAGCCTTGGCCGGGGCGTTCATTCTCGGGCTCTTCAGCCACCTGCAGGCATGATGCCAGAGACCGAAGTCCAAGCCGCCGTCGGTGTCGTTCTACCCTTTTAGCTTCAAGATTCTCACCAGCAGTAGTCATACAGTTCTTTTCAGCTGCCGGCAGCGTCGAATTTTCAGTGTCGAGGAAGGAGTGTAGTGCTTGGGAGGAGGATGTGTTCCGCTTTGGGTGCGATTCTGTCATTGGTGTCAAGTCAGCGAGTGATCATGCGAGCAAGGGGTGCTGTTACCTCTACAGATCTGCGGCCGGTCATTCCCAGGTGCCTGACGAATGGTGAGTATGCTCGAAACTATGCCTTGATGAATGTGACCTCCTGTGGACGCCGCTGTGAAATGGAGCGATCGGTGCTGTAGCTGCAGGAGCGGCGACGAACATATGAGGCTCGTTGTAGTCATTGCCAGTGGGTAAGAGGAGGAGGACAATGCAGCTCCGTGCGGATGAAAGTTTGGAGGAAGGTCTTTGTTGATGAGGATGATTGTTTTTTGCAAGCTTGTGTGTTGAGGAAGAAGTGGTGTTTGTGCGGAACTGCGACTTTGGAAGGAGCCAAATCTTGGCCAATGTCTCAGCACGGACTTTTTCGCCGGAAATACTAGTTGACAAGCACCAGCGCCAAACCGACCTCAAGGGCTAGCAAGGACTTTCCCAGTCCACATCAGCGATCTAGCCACATCATTCTCGAGACGTATTGCCCCTTGATGAGACAGCACATCTGTCCTCTGGAAACCCCAACCACAACGACCGTCTTCTTCGTCGAGGTCCTTCGCAACACTGCGACGATTCATGCGAGCCACGCCCGGCTTGGGTCTTTTGCCGGGACGAGCAGGGCTGCAAGATGTCTCAACCATTTTTGATCGCAAAGTTGTCCATGCTAGCTCAAGGCAAGTCGAGCGGAAGACACAGAGCGCCATCCATTGTTTAGAGACTGGCAGAAAGAGCACGGATCCGGTGAGATGATGAAGAAGGTACAGACTACGGACGAGCAAGAGACGATGAACAGCCTCCCGACAATGTGCTACGGACTTGGGAAGTACCAATCCTTGCACGACTGCGGAACCTTTTGAACGATTTCGAGAGAGCAGCGGCACCCGCATCACAACCATCACCACCACCTCCTATTTTCTATCGAATGTACCCATCGCCACACGCGTCGCGCTCACCGCCGTCGCTGTGCCTGAGTACTGTATACGTCGGCGCACCTTCGTTTACTTTCGAAAATGAGCGCTTCCAGCACGAGGCATATCTCAGCGGACAATCCTCGAACGAGCTGAAATCAACGAGGAGCCTCCCAACAGCTTTACAGTTCAGTAGCGACGGAAGGGTCATGGTGTTGAAAGAATGGGTAAATCTGGCAAGATGGGTTGCGGCAGGATGTGTTATTGAAGTTGACAACAAGTGTGGTTTTGCATGACGGATGGGCTTGTCCGTCTCCGAGTCTGCTGCTCATGATGTGATTACGAGATGTCGATGGGCGAGCGTGTGATGCAGGGCGGTGGCTCTGCCGCTGGCATGCCTGCTCAGGAGACAAGCGGTGGGTATCTGACTTCCGGTCCGAGAGCTTCCAGCAAACTCTCTATACTCTATATCAACGTCAATGAAGTGACCTCCTTATGGCTTTGGAGACAGACAGCCTGATGCGTTATAATCTCGTCTCTGCCTTCCAATCGAGATTTTCCGTTGCTTTCCACTACAGCCTTCAAGTATGATAGTCGGGACACTGCTGGAATATAGTGCCGGAGAGTACTGCATGAGCCCTGCAGTACATTGTACTAATATCGCCTAGGTAGACATTGATATTATTGAAGCTTTGGTATGGTGCTGTATCGCTGAACTTCCACAAGATGCCTGCAAAAGCTCATTGACGATATGGTCGTTAATTGGAATGCAAGGAGAATAAACTAGTGCCAAGCAAGAAATACACGCACAGCAAGCTCGCATATCTCTTGCGCCTGAAAACATATCCATGAGCAGAGCCAGGGACGATAAAGTTGCAGTGTTGCGGCGGTGAAATACAGACAAGTCCGCGCGGGCAGCGCGCAAGCTGATGGCCGAGAGAGATTGAGACAATAGGGTGAGTGAAAAGTGTATCCTCCAATCCAAAGCTGTGCGTACAGGCTGACCGCGCTTGCGCGTACAGTACGGAGAATTTAGAACACATGGGCTAATGGTCAATACAGACCTTTCAAGCAAATTTGAACAACGCACGACATCTACAGTTCGATTCCCGACCGAACTACTTTTTTTTGCTTTTTTCGTCCACTTTTTTTGCTGCGTCTTCGCGCTGCTTCCAACAGGTGATGCACGCAAGTGATATCGATTTTGGATCGTTGGATGCTTTTTCGCATCGTTAACAACAGTATTGCTCTTATAGAGAGGTGCCATCACGGCGTTGAAGGCGCTGGCGCCGCAGCACACCGGCGCGCATGTGGGAGCTACCGTTAGCGTCGCCGCGGCGACGAGAACAACTTCTCGAAGTTCGCTCGCAACCTTTCTTCCTCCTCTCCTCAACCTAGTGGTAAGTCATTCAACCAACCCATACACTCCTGCCCCAGTCAGATCTAATCTCCGTGAAGCAAGGGTTATGGAGTCTTTGGCCAAATGCTTTACTCTATTTCTTTTGATATGGTCCGAATCCGGACCATCCACTTCTGAACGTCTTCGGATGAGCAGAGGATTGTTGGAAAACTCTCAGCGGGCTTGTCCTGCAACATGCTTTTTTCATCAGGAGATTTGCTTTCGCAAGAGCTTGGAGAAGAATGCGTGCTGAACGACGGCAACAGAACACCCACTGAAGTGCAGCTGGTGCCGGCATGCCTCCAATCTTCCTGAAAACCGCGCCGGTGAGGCGCAGGCGGTCGGCAGTGACACCATTGACGACGATGATCGACGGACGAGTACAGCTCGAGTCCAATGAGATGAAGTTGCCGCTTCGTCAGACGCAGAGTACCTCACGACAGTCGGCATGCAGTCCACTTGCGGCAGCGTCAAACTGAGCACGGCGACCAACAGCGGCGAAACAGCATCTCGTTCTCGACAGCAGCAGCCAAAGATGAGGAAGCAGCATCTCCTCCACGGTCACCAACACGACACCTCACGTCATCTCCTGTTCTCCAGCACATCGAGACCTCCACACATCCGAGCAACGGTCTACACCCAGTACCAGTGGCGTCTACGGACGATCAGACTCCTCCATCCGTCGGTGCTTGACGCATACGTGCTCAACTCGCGGCGCACGTAGCAAGATGTGGAGGGGACGAGGATAAGCAACGGTACAACAATGGCTGCTTTGAAATTGATGGCAAGAGAAGGTAGATTGAATACAGGATACTGAGCTAAGGTATGTCGTTCTTTCTTTAACCTGAAGTCCCATTGACATTTACTTCTGGGAGGAGGCCTTACCACGGGACCAGCAGTCCCGCAAAGGACGCTGCAGAACGTAACTACAATTTGATCTCAAGGTGGCGTGCCGCTACGCTATGGGCGCAGCTCGACATGTGCCGTTGATGGTCTCCCCCGAAGAGGATGGTCGAACCTTGTAAGAGGATGAGGGTCGAAGGGGAATGGCGGAGGGGCAGGGAACAGGAAGGGTTGGGGCACAGTGCGGGTGGATGAAGGAGACGAGCGAGGACGGAGACGAGCAGAACGTTGGACTTGTTTTGCCGCGAGCGGCGCTAGTGAAACCTTATGCGTGCAAACAGTGGATGAAGACGTCCCTCCGACGAAGCATCAGCAGAAATGGAAAGCACGAACATGATTCTGACCTGAAAACGAAGTTGTACAGTTGCTTGAGGCAGGCCTGTGAGTCTCTTCATGTTCTCTTTCCAAGCAGAGGCTTCTGCTGCTGCATCAACACCACATCGCAGAAGTCAACGTCTTCCTTGCCTCGGACTCAGGGGCTACTTCAAACCAGAAAAACAATAGCAGACAACGCAACACCCCAGACAAGAAGACCAATCCCAATCCCCATCCACATCAGGTCGTTTCGGTTTGGCATGATCTGATCCTTGCGGCAGCCAATACGTTCCTCCCCATCATCAGATACCAACGGAGCCTCTCCACCGAAGAAAGACTTGATCTGCTCTTGCGAGGGCTCGAGTCCAGAGCGAATGTACTCGGTGCGGACCTTGCGTTTCATCTCGAATATGAGGTCGTTGAAGCCCAGCAGCTTGCTTGCCCGAAGTTGAACAGTTCCAGCCAGCTCGACCCATCCCAAACCGTATCCTGTCTCTCCGAGCACCCACCACTTCCGACGCAAGGAGAAGCCACCGATGGCGCAGCCGGTCTCAAGGATGATGAAGGCGACGCAAAGCTCCCGCAGAAGAAGTGAGACCAGGGCGCTGGTATAACGTTAGATAGCTCATGTACCCTTCGAATCAAGACTATCAGTCACTCAACTTCCCATGACATGAATGCAATTCCGTCTTCTCGTGAATACGTCCCTGAGATGTCACAGGGGTTTGGCGCCCGGTGGCCTCAGGCACCGATTCGCGGCTGTTGCCGAACCTCCCCCTCCAAAACCTCTCGCCGCGCCTCCGGCTTCTCCTTCTTCCCAGACATCAATTGGTCTTAGTTTGTCGGTTTCACACCCGCTTGGTTGATTTGTCTGGTCATATGAGATGCCCTTAGGATCTCAGGACTGGACATCAGGCCGTTCTTAGCTGTTCGGGTTCACTCCCGCTTGGGTGATTTGTCTGCTGAATTGAGATGCCCTTAGGATCTCAGGGCCTTGCCCTCTCCATGGCATCGTCCAACATCAAGAGACCGTAGAATGAAAAAGCCTGAGCTTTGAGGCGCACTCGAGAATGTGTTCGGGGACTAGAGTGGTCGGCCGAATGTCTGGCGTGTCTCAAACGTTCCTTCGGGGGTGCTGCTCTTCCTCATAGAGTCGTAAAGTTCACAAGAACACATACATTTTCTCGCTCTTTTCATCATGGTGCTGTTTTGACGGCTACATGGAGAAGAGGCGGCTACTTTGCATCTTGGACATCCACTGCCTCTCTGATGGACGTCCGGGTGCGTGCGCAGGTCACACATAACTTCACAAGACGGTTCTCTTCGTCCAAAACTCGCCATTCGCCAGGGATACATTCAGTCTACTTCTTTCAGTCGCAACGACCCCCTCATGCCAACTTTCAATGAGCCATTCGATCTTGTTTGTGCACGTGACCGGTCCTCATCGCCGCCCAAAGCTGCCGAACTTGCGCCATTAGCCGAGATCTTCAGATACAAAAGCTCGCTTCTTCTCCTCCACCCTCCGTCTTCTTTTGCCAGACTTACGCCAGACTTACCTTGCTCTGCTCTGTGCTCTGCTCGTTGCTGCCGGCTGGTCAAAACCTGCTGGACCTTGCTTGCTCCCACGCATTGTCCAGCGACTCTACACATGCTTTCAGAGAGCAAAGATCAACAAAGCCTCAGCTGTGAAGCCTCACCGGCGGCCCTTGTGGCGGAAGGTGAGGCAGAAGGTGCGGGTCTGTTTCCGTTTGTGCGTCTGCTTCTTTCATGAGTTTGAGGCCTAGCGGAGCTGACAGTGACATTTCCTTTTCTTTTCATCATGATGGTTTCATTGAGACTGTTCTGGAGAAGAGACAACGATGCTGCTGCTGCTGCTGCTGCTGCTGCTGCTGGGTGAGATGCAAGATGCGATGGCGATGATGTGGTTTGAGTGAGCGTGGGCATGAGCGTCAACGGTCATCGCTCTCGTCGACCACCACAAGATGGCGAGCAGGTGCTGTGCGAACGTCTCATGTCCCGCAGATGATGCTATTATGCGCTTGTTCATTGAGACCGGCGGTTTGCGTATGGCCTGGTGGTATTCCTGGCGGGTTGACACCTGCAAGTGACTGACGATTGCGACAGGCCCTTGCAACCTGCAACCTGATCGCCCACGACCAAGCCGAACGGAAGTCAGAGTGGATCTTCTCTCTGCGGCCGTTGGGCCTTCTTCTACACTCGACCACTACCCAGCCCAGCAGCTCGCTCTGAGTCTCAGCACAACCACTCGCCAGGCCCCACTCGCAAACGGCCGTCGATGAAGATTTCAATCTCAAGACGTATTGGAGAACGCAGCGATTTAGGACCAGTAATACGATCAACGGCGCTGGAGAGGAGAGGCTGAAAGAGATGGGTCTATCCGGCATACAGGAGTTGCGCAGGGCAGAGACTCGTGGAGCGCCAACAGTTTTCCAGTATTTCCCACGACCTTCCAGAATGCCCATATCTACCCATCTTCAGGCCGCTGATGAGACGAACAGACTTCTGTACCACCCTATCAGACATACCACGCAAGACGCCCAAGAGCCAGCCGATCGACAGTCCTCCCTCCGGTACAAGCTCGCTCGCCACGAGACCAAGGTCCATTGTCCTCAAACTGTATCGCAGCTTGCTGCGCCAGCTTTCAAACGATGACTGAATCAAGAGGAGGTCCTGTCAGGCATTCGTGCGGAACACTTTCGAGACTGCGGACATGAAAGATGAGGAGGCAATAGCAAGGAGGGAAGGCCAAAGAGAGCAGCAGCCCGACGACGAGAGCGTAGTGTCGCATTATCAGCCTCATGTCGAGGCAGCCCTTGAGTACATGTCCTTGCTTCCGCGCATCCTTGAACCCATGCGCGGATAGTAGACAGTTTCGTCTATTCCACGATTGAATATTGAAGAGCAGGCTCCTCAGATGTACTGCTCGAGGTGGAATGTTTGAACAGTGGTTCTGAGAAAGGGGCATGGTCTCGGACGGACCTCTATTCCGAGAGATTGAGCAGTGCGTAAATAGGAACCAAGAGAACTGATTCATTTCATCGAGGTCACTGTCTCTGTGCCTCCTTCGTCTCCATCGCACACATCTACTGCCACGCCTCTGCTTCATCCCCTGATGATCCCGATCGTCCTCAACTGCTGGAGAAACGCCTTGAGCTGGGCAGAGTCACCAGCACTCTCCGGCCAGTAGATACCCAGCCGGCGCATCACCTCACTTGTCACATCATGGTCTCTGCCACAGTCTTCAAACACGGCGCCGACGAGGGCCTCCACACCACCAGCCTTCTCCACGAAATTCCCCTGCTCTTCCATGGTCTGGTGCTGCTGGACGCTGAGAGAAACGCCTCCCTTCTTCATGATGTTGTTACGCAGCCCTGCTGCGTCTGCGATCCACGCGAGGTAGGTCTTCCACCCCATGGCACCTTCATACATTCTCTCCCACTGGTCTGTTTAGTCCATTAGCTTGATGATCCGATCAATGGCTTGGAAGAGGAGAGACGTACAGAGAGAGTCGCCGCCCCGGATCCAGGCGTTCAGGGTGAGGCGCCACATCACCCGCTCGCCGATTTGCTGCAGGTGGCCCATCTGGTCGACGTTCTGCGCTTGGGAGAGGAGTTGCGCGTTCTCAAAATTGTAGTAGAAGCCGTCGGAGAACTCGATCGTGCGGGAGCCCACGATCTTCACCTGGCTGTAGGGAGGGAGTGTTGCTGGTGCTGCGGTGGCGGCCATTGTGTGCGCGTGTGTGATGCTGGACGTCCAGGTTAGTATCTTTGTCAATGGCAGATCATCCCCGAGACTTACAGTTGTTCTAAACAGATGTTTTATGATCAATGGCCCTGGTCGCTGTTCGAATAGTCGAAATCCAGGCCAGAGTGGTGACCATAACCTCGAGGCCTCTGCGCGTTGACTGAGTCACGCTAGAGCACTAGCGCCTTTTCGCCAGACATAAATATTTCCACATTCTCCGCTTCCTCCATTTCCTCTCCAGACCACTTGCCAGGCGCGATCCTCTTTCCCGCTCATCCCACCATCGAATTTCTCATAGACTTTGGCACAGAGCAGATCGCAGAATGAACTAACTGGTGTCCGTCGAGCGTCGCTCGAGGCCAGCCTACCCTCCTACCTTACCTCACCGGCATAGCTTGCGACGACTCTAGCTCGCCTCCACAGCAGAGTGTCGTACTGCAGAGAGCCAAACATTTTTTCCAGAACTTACTAACCCATTTCGATCCATCCCGCTCGTCCCACCAGCGTCTTCCTCATAGGCCCCTGGTACAGAGCAAATCGAAGAAGAAGTTTAGCTGAGTCCTTGTGACCACTTGCCGCCGCGCGATGGCTCGGCATCGCTGACGACGATTCTGACTCGCTTCCACATCAGAGTGTCGTACTACACAAATCCGAACAATCTTTTCAGAACCTACTAACTTTACCTCGATCACTCCCGCTCGTTCGACCAGCAATCAGCGTCTTCCTCATAGACTACTGAGATAGAGTGTATCGTAGATTGAGTCCCTGATGGTCGTTTGAGCATTGCTCGCGACCAGTCAATTTGCCGGTCTTAATGACTTGGGCTCGCAAACGACGATTCTGACCCGCCTCCTCATCAGAGTATCGTGCTACAAACTCCAGAGACCCAGACATTTCTATCTTTTCATCATGGCTCCTCTCATGCAGAGGATCATGAAGAAGAGATGCCGACGTCGGCATTACACATCACACGATTCCCCTACCACTCGTCCTGTCACTTCAACACGTCGCCGCACTCCCGCGACCTCGAGCTCTCGCGTTTTGGCCTCGCGCGCGCTCTTGTTTTGATGCTACGTCACCCTGATGTCGCAAAGCTTGGCGCAAGCACAACTTTTCGCTTCGCCGCGCTTCTTCTTCCTCTTCCTCTCCCCAGATACACAAACATACACTTTGGTCGTCCTCGAACTGAAGCGGACTTGTACAAGCTTATACATTCCCTTGAGCTTTCGACCGTACATCGATTCAGAAGCTCGATGAGTGCGCCTTCAATGGACTTCTCGTTTTGGCTGCCCGAACTTACTCGCAAGACTCCATGAGAGAAGACGGGCCACAAGCAACCATACATTTCTGAACATCGTCTTCACCTTCCAAACTCAGCTGTGCAACTCTTTTCCCGTGACTTCTTTCCATTGTGCAACTCTTTTCCCGTGACTTCTTTCCATTGTGCATGAAACCCTCCGTCAGTCACTCCTCCCACCTCGCTGTCCAGATCCCTGCAGCCTCCGCGGCAGCTGAGGCTGCAGGGATCCGCCAGCAGAAGCAGTCGGTCAGACCACGTCCGCGACTCGCTCAACGCCTCTTCTCTCAAAATAATAACAGCATCAACAGCCCATTTGTTGACACAGCTTACTCTCTTCCTTCGCTCCAAGTATACCATCTTGCAGAATCCTCCCAACAACGTCCTCAGGCGGTGGCGGCGACATATCCAGGTTTGGGACCTCTCAAGGCTTGGTCGGTGGCACGATGCTTTGTGCATCATATTCAAGTCATTTACAGCCTACATTACCTCCGCCATCGATTTTATGCCCTCGGAATCCTCGATCAAAGTGATCTGTCCTGTGTGCCAAGACCGGCTCCGCCGGGAATGCTGGTGACGATACAGACGCAACAACGATCATTTTGCCTCAAAACTCGGCAACAACATCTTTTGAGATCTTAAATCTGTCCTGGGACATGTTTGGAAGTTACCATCAACCGATGTGCACCAGGAGCGACATTCACGGCGTTTGCGGCGTCTGGGGTGAGGACGAGGTGAAGTCGGCGAATTCCTTCACCCATGCATCCTTCCAGCCGCCACTCCACAAGCGGACCCGCCGATCTCGGTCTGACTGTGGGGCAAGATCGTGGCAGCACTAAAAGCAGCCCCAAGAATGCCGCTGATAGCCGTTGCTGATATCAACCTGCCCTGGAGATCGTGATGGCCGTGGCCAAATAGATATACCATGCCGGAAGCCCGTGGCAAGAGCCCGTAAGTATCCTTCGACTTGTTCTTTGTCTCCTTGCTCCTCATCATCATCGAAAACGGCCAGCTTGCATTCCTCGTCCCTGAAATGCCTCCAATGAAGCCTGCAAGGGCCGTACGACCGGACAATTGCATTTTCTCGAAGCACACATCGATCACATCTCGAGCACAATTGCTGCGGCCGGACAAACAGGAGCGAGCACAGCATACACAAACACAAGCTCCTCGGAGGCGGCTACACTCCACAGCGCCCAAGGAGGATGTCGCACTTCCCCTCTCTACCCTGTCCGCATCCTCTGTCCCTTCGGCTGCTCCTAAGATGAAGCCTGTGGCTCCTCTCGGGAACCTGCCTCTTTCCCAAATCCTTCGCACATATCTCATCACCGCTATATCTTCCTCTCCGACTCTCATGAATGCCTCGACCAAAACTCTTCGTGCGATGCTCGAGTCCTCGACTCCTCTTTTCGATCTCAACCGGAATCCGCTCATGAGATGGGTCCTCCTCGAGACATTCTACAAGCAATTCTGCGCAGGCTCGAACAAAGCGCAGATTGCCAAGACGACTGAGGAGCTGCGGCAGCAGGGCTATTCCGGAGTCATTCTCGAGTACGCTCTCGAAGTGCTTACGGAGAAGAAGAGCGACGAGGCGAAAGATATTGAGACCTGGAAGAAGGGCATGCTCGACAGCGTGGACATGGCGGCCGTGGGCGACTACGTTGCGTTGAAATGGTCGGGCATGGGACCTGCGGCGATGAGGAGGATGAAAAACGAACAAGCGCCGAGTCGGGAGATGGAAGAGGCTATGCATGCGATTTGTAAAGCTGCTTCAGCGAAGAACATTGGCTTGCTGCCCTCGGCTGAGGAGACTTGGACGCTGAACGGGTACCACAACTGGACGATGGATCTACAGCGAGCGTACAATATCGGTGGCAAGAGCATCATGTTCAACACCTACCAGGCATACCTCAAGCAGAGCGCAGGGACCCTGGCGAGACATTTCGAGGTCGCCAAAGCCGAGGGCTTCACTTTGGGCGTGAAAATGGTGCGAGGCGCATACCTGGGCAGCGAGCAGCGAAATCTGATCTGGCCCACAATCGAAGCAACCCACAACGCTTTCGATACCATAACATCCGCTCTGGTGCACAGATCCCACAATGACCTCGTCAACCCGAGCACCGCCTCATTCCCATCCATCGACGTCGTCCTCGCAACTCACAACGCTGCCTCCGTCTCCAAAGCCCAATCCTGGCGACAAGAACAATCTGCTCGAGGCGAACATCTCACCCCGCTTATTTTCGCCCAACTGCACGGCATGGCAGACGAAGTCTCCTGCAGTCTACTTGCGAACGCCAAGGCCAGCGAGGGCGATGAGAAGGCTGTCAAGGAGAGAGTGTACAAGTACACCAGCTGGGGAACGATGTTCGAGTGTTTGAACTACTTGCTCAGGAGAGCGGCGGAGAACAAGGACGCTGCTGGGAGGACGAGTGAGACGAGGGCGGCGATGGGAGCGGAGCTGGGGAGGAGGTTGAAGGCTGGTGTTGGGCTTGCTTGAAGGACTGTCTTGAATTGCGATGTATGAGAGCGTTACTTGTGTTGAAGACTGCATGGAGGACGGCATTTGATGATCAATATCTACGGCGGGATGATTTGACTTTCTGCATAGCAAGCATGGAGTTTGGGAGATAGCGAGTCTTGATAGCGCTTTTTGAAGTACGATACTTTTACAGATTGTATATCAGAATCTACGCACATCAAATTGTACGAACTCAAGCATCATACAATCTCAAAGACATTACGAATGCCTGAGCTCATTATCCTCCTTTACTCAAATGCCCCATCGGCATCCAACCCCGACGCTTCGGCTCAGCACACCACCCCTCGGCTCAAATCCCTCGCCCTCGTCCTCCCTCCCCGATAAATCCACATAGATACGCAAGGCTTACAAGCCCCCCAAAAAGTCTTTAACGTAACGTAGCTATTACACATATCTTCTCCGTCAGTCGCCGCAGGCCCGCAGCTATCGTTCTTCTGGGGGTTCTTTGCCAAGGCCTCCGAGGATAGCCGCTGGGTGAGACACTTGGAGATGAGGCTAAGGGAGATCCGTGGATTTGCCTGACATGGTGCGTTGCGTGCTTTTGGGGAAGTTTATGGGGCGGAGAGGTCGGTGCTTGGGTAGGAGGGATGGGTTGGTTGGTGAAGGCGAGGTCGGCGAGGTGTTTGTTTGGGTAGGCTGAATGATCCGCTCGCTGGGAAGGTTGATGGCGAAGCGGTTCAGGTTAAATATCTGGGCGTTGGATGTGATGTCTATCAGCCTGTCAGGGAACAACTTTCGATAGGAGAAGATCGAGATTCCCCATTTGTCGAGAAGTGAGCAATGCTTCTGTAGTGTTGATGAATCGCAGCGTATCAGTCTTGCGCTTCAGCCTCCACCGCTTCTCATACACTGGACAAGTCATTGCTCTCACTTCGTTGCCGTCGAGGGTCGCATATCTTCGCAGAACCTCTCTGAAGTACTGGCGGATGGCGGCCTGAAGGCTTCAACAAAGTCAAAGGCCTTTGTTTTGCCCCAGTATGGAATCGTCTGATCTGATCGTCTTGTCCACGCTCAAGGCACTCGTGCGGGTATTTTATACCTCCTCGCCATCGTCGAAGCCGAGTTGATGCCTTCTGAAGTCCTGGCTGCACATAAGGAACAGGAACAGCCTTTAATCAGAGAAGTCGCTGCCTCCCAGTCGAAGGCCACTTCGATGGTACCACAGGAGGAGTTTTCCACGCACGGCCATCTTCTCATACACTTTATCTGATGCAATCGACTGCTCCTTCCTTTCCGTTATCCCTCATTTGCAAGTTCTTCATCCCATTTGCCGCCGAGCTTGATGGAGAAGAACGACCGCCACCCTGCATTCTGAACGAATCTTTCCATGTCCTTGGCTCGCCCGGCTCTCGCCTTGTTGTACAAATGCGTGGCATCTGTCACTGTTCCCTGCTTGAATTGGATGCAGCTCTTAGCTACCTTCTAAGGCATGGTGAGGTGAAAGCGCCACAGCTCCTCTGGCTTGCCCGGAGCCACTTCTCGAGAGGTCTCAACGCCACGGGTGTTTGGCGCCATACCAGAGGACATTGGTATTAATGTCCGGCTCTGTACTGCCTGTTTCTCGTCTTGTAGCTCACGGCTCTCCGTTCTACCTCAGCTCTTCTCGCCTCTTGCCATGAGCGCGTACCTGAAGGTTGTGTCAAAGGAACGCCGTAGACTTTGGCATTTCAAGAGTGTTGCTCCAGCTGCTACAAGGGAATGTTGGGCGAATTGCGGCCATTCTCTTCTCTCCCTCCTTCCTCAATGCTTGCTCGCTCTGCGGCAAAGTCTTCTTCTTTTAGTCCAATCTCCTGCGTATGTGTCTTCGGCGAGGTTGCTTCGCGGAGGGGTGTCATCTTGTTGCCCTTCTTTCGATGCTCAGGGAGAGGGGGATGTGGATAGGAGGTGGTTTGGGTTTGCGGCGCGGGTATCGATCTTTCGGCCGTGCCATCGAGGCCGTGGGTGATACGTTCGAGCATTGTAGTGGAAGTGCGGCGGCTGATGAGAACGATGTCTCCATAGCCCCTTGCTTCGGCAGATTCGCTGGACTTGGAACAAAGGAATGCGGGCAACGCAGTGCATCTCAAATCTCTGATTCACAATGGCTACGGAGTATGTTATCAGTGCCCAATCTTCCATTGCTCTCTTTCCCTTCCCTACTGGTGGGGCTTTCTGTGTGATCCGCGATGCCGATGCGTGGTCTTGTCGCTCCATTGTTCGCCACCTCTCCATTCCACGGTGTCTCGCTATCGAAGAGATTCGCAATCTCTGTGCCGGACGTCTTCAGAAGCGTGATCCTTTGTTGCGCAGTGCCATCCTCGAGACGCCGCCGTTGGGGGCGGAGGAGCCGGTGATCTCGAGCAGAAGGCGGCGTGCTTTGGTGGTACTCTGCCTGGCTTCTCGTGCCTCCAGCTTGTGCAGTAGCTTCGAAGGCATGCCGTACGTGTTGTTGAGCTCGAGAAGGCGTTCATTGTGATGGTGAATCCTCGCGGGAGAGGTGGGTTGGATGTCTGCATGCTCGAAGGTGCTGAGGCGGTGGCGAGTCTCGACAAGCCAGTCGCCAGCGCAATGCTTCGCTGCCTCTTCGCCGCTGCTTTCTCCATCCTTGTGGACTCGGGACACTCGCGGCGGTGCTTGACGTAGGTGTGAGATTGATGCTGGAGACGCCTGCATATTCGTTGAGTGGCTACTGCTGCGCATGGGCATCGTTTGGAGAGAAACAACGAGGGAAGAGTTGGTGCAAGCATGGCGTTGCTGCAGCAGCAGGAGGCACTGCTGGCGGACATTCCTCCTCGCGGTGGTCGCGCGGTGCCTGTACAGCCTCTACAGCGTGATCTGACCGTCAGATCTTTCTCCATAGCGTTCTCGCTGGCTCCGCAATCACATACAATGCTCCTCCGCCCTGGCTTATGTCTGCATTGTCACTGCAGCATCAATGTCAGGCAGGGGGAGCTGCGGGAGAGCGGTCTTGGCGTTGGGCTTCTTGGACTTTGAAGGTGGACTTCTTCCGCCATCACCGGCTTGATCTCTCCTACCACACCACCACATGCACCAACTCATCCGCTATCGCTCAAACACACTTGGAGATGTATCTGGTAGCTCATCTGAGCATCAGAATGCAATCCTCGTGTGTTCTGAGCGCCTGGCGGAGGAGCGACAGCCTTCGAGGCCGGCTTCAGCCAGCGCCACCGCCAGCTCATTTCGCCCCCTCGCGCACCACACAGGCATGCTGCGACCACAGCGACAATTTGCGCTTGCAGAGCATCATCACGAGCAGCTTTGGTATGTATGCTAACTCATTTGCACGTGGCGCTGGCGTGCAGTGAGGCAGCGGTGGACACAGCAATGGCCGCTGAAGCAGCCGCAGCCAGCTTCAGCCAGCGTCTTCGCCACCACGTTTTCGCCCAGAGCACACCACACACGACATCAACATCGATATGGGCTGTCGGCGCTCGTAGAGCAACCCCATGAGCAGCTTCTGCGAGAATATTGACCGTATTCACCGAAGGGGTGGCCCTTCACAGGCGTGGTAGGCAAAAGCGGCGAGCTCCTCCGCTGGCAAGCCGACGAAGCCAAGGCCAGCAACACCACCACCGCCAACCGTCGCTCGCTCACCACGCACTACACATGCAAGTGACGGCGACAACAGCATCTCGAGGTCGTAGAGCAACCTCATGAGATACTTTGGTATGCAGACCACATGATTTACTCGCCGGCGCGGGTGTCCACTGACTTGCAGGGCTACAAGCACCTCCGCTTCTCCGCCATCCACCGCCGCGATATCGCACTGCGACGACCACAACAGGTCCTCTGACACCTTGAAGGGCTCTTCGGCGGCATCAATACCATGATGAGACCCTTCTTGAGCTTCCACATGATCGTCACACCGCGCACACCTCGCCGGCGCCGCCGGAGATCGTCACGACTTCCAACCACGGAAAGGACAGCCAGCGACTTCATGGCCTCTGCGGCTATCCACAACGACAGATAGGGCCTCATCCGCCACGGAAACTCTTCAGGTAAGCCTTCAGAGTGCTCATGCCTTGCCATGAATCCGCTGACAATGCTACAGCCGCAGGCACCTCCGAGCGACCGAGTCCGAGAACGTCGGCCTCGACGATATCAGCCTCACCAGACCTCAACATCGCCTACGACTTGGGCTGCGCTCCTCCTCGAACTCGAATCCACAACTCATGCTCGCTGCGGCCAACTGAACGATAGCCCCACCTCACCTCACCGTCGCCTCTCTCAAACCCGAACGACGTGGCCAAGACAAAGCTGCAGAAAGAAGCAGGTCATTGGCGACCAGGACAAGAGACGGTTGGCAGAGGATGTGGTATGCATGGCAATTCGTACAGCACAAGAGCGTGAAACTTCGCAATGATTGACTCCAGGTGTCGAGATATCCTCTCCAGGTTCAAAGTCCATCAAGACCTCGAGGCATCCCGCCAAAGCTCGCTCAGGCTTGGACTTCTGGCTCTTGGAAGGACGACACACCGCCTCTGCCGCCAGGCTCGATGATCACCGTCCCCGGCGGACTTCGGGACGTCGGTGGCGGAGATCATCACCGCCAGCAAGTGTCTGCAGGAGCCGCAGACCTCACTGCTCTCAGGCAACATCATCTTCAAGGTACGTCTTCCTCTCATACTTCTTCAAGATCGGGCATCCATCACGGTGTAAGTCCCGCCACCAAACTTGACGACTACTCCTGGTAGACGCATGCAGAGGTGTTTTTCGTATCATCCACCCATCCCATTCTGTGCGCACGGTGAGCGACCAGCCCGGTAAGACGCACATCACCGAACTTGACGCCTACCCTGGTAGACGCATGCTGAGGTTTCCTTATTCCCTTGCATCTCATCCTCCCATCTGCGCACGGTGAGCGACCAGCCCGGTAAGACGCAGCACTGATCTTGACGACTACCCTGGTAGACGCATGCTGAAGTGGTCTTTCGTCTTTCCTTCCTCTCTTCCTCTGCGCACGGTGAGCGACCAGCCCGGTAAGCCGCAGCGCTGAACTTGACGACTACCCTGGTAGACGCATGCTGAAGTGACCCTTTTCGTAGCCGGAGAGCGACCAGCCCGGTTTTCCTTTCTCACCTTCAGCACTTGCACTTGTGGGGTCGTGGGCTTTCAACACAGGCAGATGGTCTTTCGAAGTCTTGGAATCGACAAGACTCTACTTCAAGGGGCCGCTGCTTGTTCCACATTTGATCGGACTTGTGGGCAATGCCATTTCGAAGTTTGTGCTGAGTTCACGGCTGAGAAATCGCATCTTGGGGGCTTTTGCAGACAGACGCAGCTGGTCTTTCGATGTCTTGGAACCGAAAAGGTTCTACTTCGAGGGATCGTTGCAATTGTCATCATCTTGATTGGACTCGAGGGCGATGCCTTCTCGAAGCTTGTGCTGAGCTCACGGCTGAGAGATCGCATCTTTTCGTACATGGCTTTTCTGTGCGCCGACCGCCATGTCTTGCAGACTACTCCTGGTAGACTCCTGTATGTGGGATGGGTGGCTTTGGATCTCTTGAAACCGCATCTTGAATGTACATCTCGTGGATGTCTCTTGGTCTGCGGCGGATGGGGTTCTTCTGCTTCCTGGGTCACGTTGGTTGTAGACTCCACTTGAGCTTTGCTCCTGGCAACTGAACGTCATCCGTGTCGTACTTTGGCCACCATCGTCAACGTCGGGTTTGGCTCAAGTCGGAGAACAGCGAACTGCAATGGTGGCTCTGACTTTCATCCTTGCAGCTCGGGTCTGGGCACACCAAAAGGCCTAGGTGTGTATACGATGGACTTTTCTTTGTGCTCTCCTTCGTCCCAGCCGGCAGCACAGATGATCTTCCCTCGCGGAAGTCTGGGCGCATTGCCGTGGGTATCGTTCAACACCTGCACCCATGGGTGCGCTTTGTCGGGATCTGGGGGCTTTTTTCATCTCGAACGCACGACTTCCCTTGCAGACTACTCCTGGTAGACTCATGAAGGAACGAATTCCTCTCGCTTCGAGAGATGTCGAACGCAACACTTCCCTTGCAGACTAATCTTGGTAGACTCAA